CTAGGCCTAATTAGATAATCTTACCTATATAAGAAGTTAAGATAGATAAAATCTAGTTTATTAGGAAAATACTTATATAAATCTTAGATTAGCGAATATTAGTAAGTATCTAAGACGAAGCGTAGAGAATAACTAAGGTCTTATAAGACTTAGAATAGGGATATAGAGATAGATAACGATCTAGGTCGCTAAGGGTAGCTTTCTAGAGGGAAGGGATAATTATTAGGACTTAGCCTTAGGTAGAACCCGACCTATATATACCTTAGCTAATAGGGTTAGAAGGTAATATAAAGGGCGGTAAATAGTCACGTGCTAGATAGATCGGTATCTCTTTATATATATACTCTCGGATTTCTACTAAAAGGGTTTGGTAGTAATTCATTCTATAATAGAATACACCCCATTGTTCTATCTAACTATACTACTATCCAATAACCCTATTCTTACATATTGCGCGTGGCTATCTAAATATAAGAGAGAGTTAAAGAAGAGAGATAGATAGATAGATAGATAGAGATACTACTAATACACTTCTACGACTATCGAGTAGAGTTATATAGACTATATTTTAGAATATATATATATATTTATACTACTTTTATATTACTTTATTAGGAAATATATTAGAATATATTAGTAGTAACATTACTCTATAACTTTAGCTCCTTTAAATCTCTCTACTAATTTAACTATATTATCGCTATCTCTACTACGTTTAAAGCTATCTAACTACTCTATTAGATATATATAAATCTCCTTATTAATATAGGAACCCTTAGCTATATACTTAAAGAACTTTAGTATAAATCTATTATAGTAGCTATTACGGAGTACCCTTTCTATAAAATTACTAAAGTTATAATACTTATCGCGCTTATATACCTACTATCTATATATCTACGCCTTAAGTACCGCCTATATAAGCTTAATTAGGTTATAGTCTAGCGAATACGGAGATAGATAGCGTACGACGTAGCTAGCCCTAGTTAGAATAGCCGTAACTTTAGGGATATAATAAAGATTTAGGTTATCTATTATAATAACTATTATCTTATTTAGATAGTAAGCCTTAATCCCTAGTAATAGATACTTATTTAACTATAAGATAAAGTCTTTCTACTTATAATATCCCTTCTTAAAACGGTAGTAAATGAATTTATCTAGGCTAATTACGCTATAGATACTCCACGTCTTACTACGTTATATATTTTTATACTAAGTTACTTAATTACTATAAGGTAAGTATCCCCATAGTCTCTAACCTATTTTCTTATTAAATATAGTCTTATTAATAAAGATAAGCTAATTAGAGGTAAAGTTCTTTATATCTTAGTAATAAGAGTCGTATATAACCGAACTCTAGTTTATATAGATTCTCTTAATATTCGTCCGTATATAGCCTTACTTCTTAAGATTATATCTAATTAACTAGTAAGTTATCTATATATCTCTTTTCTCTTCTAGGAATTACTAAATCTTATCTAAGTATAGGTATTCGAATCGGTATAGTAAGACGAGTACTACTATCTAGTTATTAGTTAATGCCTTTAGATTTTAACTAGAAGGATTTAATGGCGCTATAGCCTATCCCTATATACTTATATTTCTCTATATATAGTATATAGTTATCTTATTATAGTAGTAAATATCTACTATCTAAGTAGGAGATATACTAAGCTAGAGATAGATAATAATATTAACGTATACCTAGTTCGATAGCTAAGGAGCTACTATAATACTAATATTAGGTATACACGTATTAAAAGTAGGGTTATCGACGTACTAATAACTATATATAGTGCCTATAAATACTATAAAGTATCTATATACGTGGATTCGACGTATTTTACGACGTTACGGCTACTATACACGATAATATTTAAAATACTCATTTACTATGGAAAAACGTTGTGTTGCGCACGAGCGTGCATGCCAAGAGTTGCGCTGAAAAAGTTACGGACGGATCCTCTCAAGCCACACATCCTGTGCCAGGTTGAGACCCATGACCCATCTCTCAACCCTGCCCTTTTGCATCATACGGCGTGCTGTGCACTCGCTCTGCCCTGTTTCTGAGCATGGTTGCGTGTAGAAAGCAAGGGTTGAGATGGCAGATGGTAAGCAGGGTATGGGATTTAGACGGAGGATTTATATAGATATGGCATCCTGTCCATCAGTCGAGTGCTTGGAATACATACTTATTTTTGTCGTCGGAAGATTATTAATACTGAGGCATCTTTCACGTTCATCATGTCAGACCCAACCAAGAGCCAAGATAAGCAAGGCTATACGGGGGGTGCGAAGCAGTACTATAATCAGCAGTACGAATCCTGGTATCCGTGGATCGAGGACCAGTATTTGAAATGGTTCACGAAGGATAACAAGGCGAGCTACGCAACCAAGGGTGCTTGCATTCCCATACTTCATTCCTCCTGATCATCGTACGCTGACTGCAACCTTAGATGCCCTCGACAAGTCCAAAGTCACCGGAATTGACCAAGTCGATAAACTTCAGGATGGTGTGAACGGACTTGTTGCTGGACAAGTCGGCAAAGGCGGCCTTGCGCAACCTATTGGAGACTATGTGTCGAAAGAAGGCGTGAACAGAATGGAACGAGGAGGGAAAGATGACAATGGAGAATTCACGCCTGGTGGTGCTGGGGATACATATGTCAATCAGGCGAAGGGGGGCGTCTCGAGTGGTGCCAGTGCGGTGGCGGATGGTGCGAAGGGTGTTGGTGGGATAGCCACCGGGTGGATGGGTGGTCAGAAGGAGGGAGAGCAGAAGAAGTAGACACATTGTCTGATGCACGATGATATGCTAATTTCTTCTTGTTGAGATTCGGACCAGGTTTCAGAATCCTTTCATGTCAACTATATCTTACCTTTGCATACACAAAAAGTTGTGGTTAAGTGCTCATCGATACTACGATTATCATGCCGTAAGCTTCTCCGCAAGCACGAAGCCATGCCAGAGCATCGCGACTAGACCTCCCAGGTTGACTAAAGTGCTTATGCCGTGGAGCGCTCCAAACTGCTTGTTCAGCTTCTGCATATCTTCACTGTGTGGACCCTCGTCATATGCCTTCTTTCCGTCTCTTGTCTCTTGGTGCTTTCTTAGTATCATAACTCGTGTAGTCTCAGGGCCCAGATACAATGTGTTTGCGACACTGGAGATGACCATTGTGGCGATAGGTAGCCCCAAAGTCCATTTGTGCTCGGCTGAGAAGACCGATTTGATGCCACCGAAAGGATATGTGAGCGCGAGAGCAGCAGAAAGGAATGTTTGCATGCCGAAGTACACTGGAAAGGTATGCTAGAAAGATGTCAGGGCTTAGATATTGAGGAGCTATAATCTAGCTTGCCTTCTGCAACGTGGAGAATTGCGGACGAGGTAGCACGCGGAAGGCGATGATGCCTCCGACGAAGCTCTGAAATATAGTGCTGCCTAGCAATGTGCCATAGCTATTGATACCCAGGGTCAGTGTTCGCGCACCGAGATGAATGGACGCCACGGTCTTATGACGTAGTTGGAATGTACCTGATGATGTGATAAGGCGCGAGGCTCGAGATCTGCGATAGAGAAGGCATTGCTGAGCCGCTATTGTCTAGTAAGAATGGATACGGAGGCAGAGTGCTCATCATTCACGAACGGATGACTGAAGCAAGATCGTATGAGGCATAAGTACCCCCTCAACAATCGATTACCATTTCATGTTGCATATTTGCGCTTGGCTGTTTCAGGTAAGGCCCCACTTACCTGGGGTGCGGGTTCGCACGTGCGCGCGCGTTTTCATGGTGCGTGCGCCTTCTGCCTTGGGTGAAGTAGGCACGAACAAGGCGGCACGCGTCGTCAATTATATTTAAAATATGGCGAGGCGCCCATAGGCTTTCTCTTCACTTCAACACTCTACCAAACGCCTTGTAACGTAATCATGGCCAATAAAGAAGCAACTATCTACATCGTAGATGTTGGCAGAAACACTGGAGATACACATTCAGGCAGAGATGAGAGTGACCTGGAATGGAGTTTGAGATGGGTGTGGGACAAAATTACGACTACAGTGCGTCTCACCTTCACTGTGTCTCTGGGAGTTGTGATGCTTATTCTCGGCATAGGTAGGAACAGGCAGGAAGACTGCGATGGTCGGTGTACTTGGCCTGCGAACCGCCGGTAAAGAGGACTCCTGAGCGATTGAAAGTAGGCCTGATCTTCGTATAGCGACCGATCACTTTTTGAGTGACGAGGGGGGTTATGAGCATATTTCGATATTCCACCCCATTTCGCAGTATGCAGTGCACCCATGTGGTCGACCAATCATCTGACTTTCGCCTAGAGTTTTGATGCCAGACGTGCGCAAGCTTCGCGAGAAGTTTGAGCCCAGCAGCACCAATGCTGGTGATGGTATGTATGATGATAATATTGAATATTTTCGCTAATGTAGCTAGCCATCTCCGCTATAATTCTTGCTACACAGATGATAACAGATCATTGCAAGAAGCTGAAGTACACTAAAAAGATATTTCTAGTTACTAACGGGCGTGGGCACATGGATGCGGATGCTGGTGATATCGCAGGTCTTGCCAAAAAGATCCAAGACGAAGACATTGAGCTGACAGTGCTTGGGGTCGACTTCGATGACGTAGAATATGGCTTCAAAGAAGAAGACAAAAGTGACACCAAAGCCAGTAACGAGACAATCCTGCGATCACTTACTGAGCAATGTAATGGTCAATTTGGTACTCTTGAAGAGGCCATCTCAGCACTGGGTGCCCCCCGAGTGAAGACAACGAGACCCGTCCACTCATACAAGGGCCCGTTGACTCTTGGAGACCCGGAAAACTATGATACAGCGATGTCAATTGACGTCGAACGTTACCCTCGTATTGCTGTTGCAAAACCACCTTCGGCAAGTCAATTCGTCGTCAGGTCTGGCGCGACGCAGGACAGCGTCCAGTCATCCGAAACCCTTCAAGAAGGAGGTGCATCGGATCAGCGACCGGATGGTGACCTGGCTGCTGTCAAGAACGCCCGAAACTACCAGGTACCAGATGAAGACGCCCCAGGGGGCAAAAAAGACGTACCGGAAGACGAGCTCGCAAAAGGCTACGAGTATGGTCGCACAGCTGTTCATATCAATGAATCTGAACGTAACGTTACAGAACTTGACGTCGAGCCGTGTCTCGATATCATAGGTTTTGTTCCGAGAACCAATGTCAGCACGTACGGCAGTTTTATACTTATTAACCGCTGACATTTTTTAGGTCCAACGTTACTTTAGCATGTCGAAGACGTGTATGATTATAGCACAGAAGGCAAATGACAAGGCCAGTCTCGCACTTTCGTCGCTTATACATGCACTGCATGAACTCGACACGTATGCGATTGCTCGATTTGTGAACGCTAGGAAGTCGAAACCAGTCATACTTCTCCTCGCCCCTGAAATCGAGATCGAGTACGAGTGCTTAATTGACGTGGAGCTACCATTCTCGGAAGACATACGCCAATATCGATTTCCACCACTAGACAGGGTCTTGACGGTGTCCGGCAAGACTATCACTGAGCATAGAAACTTACCAAGTAAGGACCTAATGCAAGCAATGAGCGACTACGTAGATGCCATGGATCTATCAACCGCAGGAAAGGACGATGATGGGTGTGTAATAGTGTCTGGCTGTGGCTGAATTCCTCTGCTAACTCACTAGGGATGTTTGCGAGTATGCAACAATGGATCAGACATTCTCGCCAGTATTGCACAATGTCAATCAGAACATCCAGTGGCGAGCAGCTCGAGGAGACCAATCCTTGGCTCCAGTATTAGAGATCTTAACGCGCTACTCAAGACCACCAGATGATCTAGTCACGAGCGCCACCACAGAGATAAACACACTCGTCAAAAGAAGCGATGTCAAACCAGGTACTATGTTCAGTCCTCAAGTGAGCGAGAATGTGCTAATGTGGTCAGTTCCGCCAAAGCTGAAAGGTCGAAAGCGCAACAGAGAGACAGAGAAGCCCTTGTCCGGCCTGAATGTTGAAGAGCTTCTGGGCCGCGAGAAACGAACGAAAATCTCGGCCGAAAACGCTATCCCAGAGTTCAAGCAGTATATTGAGAACAGCGAAGATTTCAGTGCTATTAAAAACGCCGCTGACCAAATGTTCAATCATGTCAGCTCATACATTCAGCATAGTATAGGGGACAGCAAATACGGCATGGCCACTGAAGTTTTATATGTCGTAAAACAGAGCATGATCGACTACGAAGAACCAGAGATATACAATGAACACTTAGCCGCTTTGAAAAGAAAGGTCCTGGACGGCTCGCTAGGAGGAAACCGCACAGATATGTGGGTTCGTATACGACACAACAGACTTGGGCCCATTACGAAAGAACAGTCAAAACACTCAAAATACTCAGAAGAGGAGGCAAAGAGGGTACGTAACAAAGTATATGCGCCAAGTGGGACATGACTGATCTACGCACAGTTCATGCGGGTGTCACCTAAATAGGATCGCTGCAGCGACCGTCTTGCGGTTGCTTAATCTTCGTCGGAATCTGCTAACTCAGAAGTGAATCACAAGAATGTGGACCCCATGCAAGGCAAGGCCTAGCATGACAATAGTTGGGAAAGTCGAAGCTGCTTCTGACTGCCGACGCCTTTGCTTCAGCTGGCTAGCTACTGTCTTTTACAACACACTGGCCCAGTCACCGTACCTTGCATTAAGATTCATTCTGGCTATCAAAGGTAATACCTGCCAGGCACGAGTCTGCGGAGCGATTGTGTGATCTCAGCCACAAATACAACACCAGCCCAGTCACAAGCAGGTACTGTGTAGACTAGAATCTAACCAAGATTTCGGAACCCATGTTGTTCATTGTCACCAATTGTCATCCTAATCTCGCTGATGGAGTAGGAGGTCCCTACTGGCTTTTGTTGCGGCAGAAGTATCCACTTCATTGACACTATACCCAAATTAGTGAGCAGTGGTCGAAGCTCCGTATCACAACCTGTGCCGCATTCGTTTTCAATGCAGCTTCAAGCTCTCTCTCAAACCCAAATCTACCAAGGTGTGAACAGATGCCATCAATTCTGCATGGAGTCCCCAACAAGCCCAAAGCGACATCGCAGAGATCGTCGTGTCCCCGACGAGAAGCGAAAAAGAGCCTCGCATGCGTATATTTGTGGTGTTGGAGTTGCGAGCAGTCTGCTAACCTCTCGTAGGTGTACTCGATGCAAGTCTCGCAAGAGCAAGTGCATTGAAGTTCAACGTGGAGTCTGCCAAAGCTGCCAGCAACAAAATCTATCTTGTCGCTTTGAGCGTGTACGAGGGGCCTCGAAAGCTGAGGACCGGCAAAACTCAGAAGCATTTGATTCTAGGCATAAGCCACGTCACAACACAGGGCCGTGTAAGACATGGTCCGATCCGATATCATGGCCACAGCGTTGATTTGTGCAGCAGAGGGGTTTGTGTGGCCTCCTTTTCTCTCAAGGCTACGACAATCATTCTATCTCGACCCTGACCTTACCTGCAACTCTACGCTACATATGAGCGATCAACAAGTACGTCGGCGAAGGTAATTGCAGGGTGCTAAGCTGACTATCAGATAAACATCTCAAGCGGAACATTGCAGTCAGATCAGTCAGGAAAAGTTCATCTTGCTGTCACGTCCTTACCACCGGAATCTATCACACGTTTCTTATTGAAAGTTTGTAACGAGCATGGTACAGATGCATTCTTCTACTTCGATCAAGCAAGTATGTCAGAAGACATCACTAACCTCTACTCCGATCCTGGTTCCGCTTTGCGACGAGATCCATCATTCGTCTGCTTGTTGTACGCTATGCTTGCTCTAGGAAGTCAATGGACTACTTAGCTCGACCCGAGGGACCATTATCGAATGTTGTACCCAGGGACCCCGGCTTGACTTTCTTTCGCCAAGCCCGCGGTCTCATGTCGGATGTGATAGAGCTCAATTGTATCCGGGCTGTGCAGGCATCGTTCGTCATTGGGGTTTATCTACTTCCAGCCAACGCTATTGGATCAAGTTATGTTTACTTGGGCATCGCATTGCGCAAAGCTCTTGCTTTAGATCTACATCTAGCTCACCAGGATACGGACTTTACTACACTTGAGCGAGAGCTCCGTCGGAGATTATGGTGGTCAATATATTCCTTGGAACGGTATGTTAAAGGATGATCCGACGTTATTCGCGGACTTACAGTAGTCAGGAACACTACACTGAAATTAAATCGCCCACGTTCCATCGCAGTCTCGACCATCTCCGCTCCACTTCCATCGGAATTACCTCAGCTGGATGCTCAACAGGCTTTCAACAACCTCCAGCATCAGATTGCTAACGCACGACTGACACTCCTTCTCGACCAGCTGCAAGATACCTTGTGCGTTGAGAACTTAGTCTCATGCAGCCCATCACTAACATAGCTAGGGACCCTCAGAAATATGTATCAGGGATAGAACATTCTCTAAAGACCTGGAAACGGTCACTCCCACCGAGCTTGAGATTATGTAATGCCCATCCGAAGTCGTCCAACTTTCGCGCCGTTTTCCACTTGCACCTAAATTACCATATTGCTTGGATCTTTATGGGCAAGCTTAGTGTTCTTACTATGATTCGAGCTAATCTTCAGTATGATCTTGGTCGCTCTAGCACCCAGGTTCATCTCGCAGAACATGAAGAGCGCCTTGCACGAGCATGTATCGGTTCAGCAAACAAGATCTTGCACATGTTTCAGGACATGCAGAGTACGGGGAATCTGACTCGATTCTCTTTTACCGACTTCCAAGGTTGTAGCATCGCAACAGTCATAATCATCCTCTCAGGGATGCTTGAGAGAAACGCTATTTACGAAAGAGTGGCAGCATTCGGCAAAGACTGCCTTGAAAGCATGGCTGAAGGCAACGCTACCGCTCGTGCAGGCGTTAAATTCGTGGAGGCTGTGAGATCGATTGCAGACGAAGCCGTGAGCAGGATGCGACAATCTCAAAGATCTACTTCACATCTAGAAGCCATGCCACTCCTGTCAGACTATGAACACTGGGCTCAGTGGATACAGCAAGCAGACAATGTGTCGAGTGAGCACAACAGACCACAAAATGATTCGGAAATTCCTGCACAGTCTCCAGGGGCCTCGCAATCGACAGTCGGGGACAGGGCATGTCACACCACACAAAACGACTTGATCCTTGGCCCTGGCACGATTCCGACAGAAGAAGAACTGATAGGCCTTAATATTGACTGTCCGATTACAGTTCAAAGAGACGATCCTACGTTTCTCATGGGGCTTACTGGACTTGATATGCTCGATTTTGGGTCCCAGGATTCAGGTTTTGACGCGTTTGAATTAGACTTCTGCTGAACTCAACACACTTTCAGCTCAATCCACAAAATGCTATATACACTCAGAGCAGGCTTGAATCAAATATTTCCAACTTATTCGACCCTACGATAGCATCACAAGGATGCACCAATTTTAATTGGCATGTTGGCATCTTCCGCTAGACCGCTCCAACGACTTTTATATACTCGACCCTCCTTCATTACGCCTTTCACGTAGGTTTCTGGCGCGTCAAGGATTTTAACATTGTCCAGTGGATTTGAAGCTAGGAATAGAATGTCAGCCTCGAAGCCTACCTCCACCTGGCCTAAACTATTCGTTTGGTCCATCATTGAGGCAGCATTCAATGTTGCACTTCGCAGAACCTCCAACGGGGTCAGCACTTTGGAGCGCAAGGCAAACTCATGGGTCTGAGCTGCGCCCAACGGACCTTGATCACGTCAGTCATTTGTCAACGTAATCATGGAATGGCTGCACATACCCAACAGATCAGTCCCAAAGCACATCTTGACACCCGCTTCAGAGGCAATTTTGAGAGCTTCTAGACCAGCTTCGAGTACTTCTGTGTTTTTCGACTGTTCCGATCGCGGCAGAAAACCTTCCCAAGCAGGCGCAGCCATCTGGTCGTAAGTGACCAATGTTGGTGTCAGGAACGCCTCATGCTCTGCCATCAACACGGCCGTCTCTTTGTCGAGAAAATTACCGTGTTCGATGCCCTGAACGCCATTCTCAATACAATGGCGGATTGCCGCTGGAGTATATGCATGTGCTGTCACATAGGTACCAGCATTTTTTGCACAGTTTACCATGGCTCGGATCTCCTTTGGCGTGAACTGCAGGTGTGAAATCTTGTCCGTGGGACTAGACACACCTCCACTGCCCATGATTTTAATGAAATCGCTTCCACATCGGATCTCTTCTCGAACAGCTTGCATGCATTGTGCGACGCCGTTGCAGACACGACCGAGCCCAGCGTGCGCACCTCCACAACAAGCAGAGAGATCATGTTTGTTACGAAAATCTGCATGGCCTCCTGACTGGCTGAGCGCGTGACCCGCGATAAACAGTCGAGGACCAGGAAATACGCCATCTTCGATTGCCTCCTTGATCGCCGTATGAGCACCACCGCAATCCCGGACGGTTGTGAAGCCTCGGTGTAGCATCTGTGCGCAGACATATGGCTGGCGTAGAAGACTCACAGATTCTGGATTGCCGAATGCAGCAGCTAGGTTGTCAAATCCAGGCGTCGCGACTAGATGAACATGGCAATCGATCAATCCTGGACAAAGATATAGGCTGGTGCAATCGATCTGTATATAGCCTGTTCGAGGAGGAGATGGAAAAGAAGATGGCGTAATGGAGTGTATCTTTCCACGTATAATAGTAACATCAACATTCGCCCGAATTGAACCATGCGCTACATCAACTATCGAAGCGTTTTGGAGAATATACGGTCTTGGTGCCGGTCGAAGCCATGGCTTCAATGCCTTTTCGTTGACCATACTCTAATACCGGAAGCGATAGGGAACACGGCGTTGTTGCGGAGCCTTAAGGTTGGAGAGACGTTGAGCTCATAACGTGATGCTCTCGCTTGTGAGACCGAAAGACTTGAAGACATGACTCGAACGGCAGTCGGTAATCTGCCATACTATATTCGGGACATGGACAGACTGCTGCCGTTGATAGACGGCTATCTGTCATCGGACGTCTGACCACTTTTCCAGCCTGTCATCGGCAATTTGGCCCGGCAGGGGCGGTCGTTACTCAGACTGCGGCAATGTGCCCCTTCAGCTAACTAGTTCCCTGCCTTGAGATATCTCAGACCTATCACATCACGAGAATCCATGTCGCCATCTTGAAATCAGACCTCCACTTCTTTATCCGAATATCACATTCTTCACGTTATCATGCCAACTAGCCGGCAAGGCAGTTAAACGGAGGCCGGTACACATTCATATTGCGAGTCTGTCCACATTGTCTATTATGCAACAATATATCACCCATCAAGAGATTGCCTGAAGCATTATTATGGCAATGGCGCAACATGACGCGAGAGAAGTATCCTCGGATAAACAGCTCGATATAGACGAAAAGAATGTTGTCCTCGACCCAACAACATCGTATACCACCGAAGAGGAGAAGCGTGTGTTGCGCAAGATCGATCTTACAATCATGCCCCTAATGTGCTTAGTATTTTTTCTCCAGGTAATGATCATTACGCTTCTAGAGAACTCTACTGAACTTATACAGTATCTCGATAAACAGTCTCTTAGTTATGCATCAGTATAGTCATCTGCATAATGTTTCGATAGACACGCATTAACCCGTATCTCAGGTGTTTGGCCTCATTACCGATTTAGAGATGACTAGTAGCCAGTATTCGTGGTGCTCATCGATATTCTATATTGGACAACTGGTAAATTACTATTCTTCCACTGTTGCACATGTCTTCGTCTTCAGTGGCAACTAATGCAGTGCGTCGTAGGTTGCAGAATATCCCTGCATCTACCTCATGTCAAAGCTACATTTGAATCAACTTGTCGGAGCAACTGTAATACTTTGGGGAGTCATGTGCATGTGCCTAGCCGCACCAACGTCGTTTCATGGCTTCGTTGCTGTAAGGTTCTTGCTCGGATTTACCGAAGGCGCTGTGTCACCAGCCTTTGTGACCATCACTTCTATTTGGTATCAAAAGTCAGAACATGCTTCTAGGACTGCGTGAGTGAATGGGTACTTATTTTTTCACCATGAGCTGATCTTGTCTAACAGCCTTTGGGTCACAATGAACGGTCTCGCTCAAGTTATAGGGTGCCTTTTAATGTACGGGATTGGGAGAAACACATCACTGGCACTGGCACCTTGGCGTGTCATGTTCATCGTATGTGGAGCACTCACGGCCGCAGCTGGGGTTTTGTTCTTCTTCCTGATGCCCAACGGACCCAGAGACGCGTGGTTTTTGAGCCATCGCGAGAAGGAGGTGCTATCACAACGCATGGCAAGAGATCGCGAGGGAGGCGACAAGACCTCTTTTTCTGTGCGCCAGCTTCGAGAGGCAGTGTTCGATATCAAGACTTGGTTTGTGTTTTCATTCGGCGTACTAGTTACGATGCAATCCCCTGTGCTTACAGTAAGTCTGATGTCTTCGTCTTTCTTCCAGCATGTGACACGCTCTAATGCTTTCACCAGTTCGCCTCACTTGTCATAAACACCATTGGCTACGATCGGTACCAGACAATGCTTTATACTGCACCCTCCGGTGCTGTTCAGATCCTTCTCCTATGGATCGGCGTGATTGGCTGCTGGTTGTTTCCGCGCAATCGTACCTTCGTCATCATGGCACTAATCATCCCGCCCCTCGTTGGCAACGTCTTACTCCTCAAATTCTCTCTCAATTCCTCCTGGGGCATGATTGCTGCATCGTGGCTGGCCTCATGTATCACCGCCGTTATGTCGCCGCTGCTGTCACTTGCAGCTTCAAATGTAAAAGGTAACACTAAACGCTCGGTCGTCAGTGCAGTCTTCTTCATTGGATATTGCGCTGGATGCATTGCGTCACCGCAGTTGTGGACTGAGAAGCCAAGGTACTTCAGTGGTGTTGTGACGGCGTTGGTCACGTGGTGTTTGTTGTTTGTCGTTGTGACTTTCTACTGGATTGTATGCATGATGGATAATGCGAAGAGGGATCGAAGGAACGTGGATGTGAGAGATCATGTGAACGAGGATCCCACGATTCTGGATGAGAATGGTGCTCCGCTTCTAGATTTGACAGACAAAGAGGATGTGAAGTTTCGATATAGTTGGTAGAGAAACTCACGTCTCATTAATACCAACACAAATAGCTGCTTGCATATCACCGACTTGGCATCGGCATTGAACAGACATATGGCTCTATTTGTTAAAGATCTAAACCAAATTCACCATAAAGGAAATGACAGTCGTAAGCTCAATATCCTACACATTATAATTGCAACCTTGACTTCAGCTTGTCCCCGTTCACAATCTCGTCCTTTCTTGTTTTCAATTCTTCCAAATCCCATTCAGAGCTAATATACCTCCCACTCAGCCACGATTTCTCCCCCTGAGTAAGCCATAGGCACACACTACCGCAAAGGTCTGGATCGTCCTTCAATATCTCCGTGAATCCAGCCGGTGCGCCAACCGGTCCAGGTCCAGTATTGACTTCTCCCGGGTGAACTGAGAACGCCTTCACGCCGTCCGCTTTATAGCGCTCCGCTACAATCTCTGTCAACCGGTTACTCGCCAATTCGGAAACATTGAAACCCATTGGGCCCATGCCGACAAGATGCGAGCAGATAGATGTGACATTGATGATAGTTTTCGCGCCGCCCGGTGAAGAAAGCAGGATAGGCAGACACGCCTGCATAGTAAGCACGCGGCCAAAGTAATTTGCCTGCATGGGAACCTGGAACTGATCATATCGCACTTCCGTCAGTTTCGGCGCAAACGCCGACTCGTGCGAGCTCGGCAGGCCCGCGTTATTGATCAACACGTCCAGGCGCCCGTATTCAGTCTTGATCGTCTCTGCGAGGGATGCTGTCTGGTCTTCGGAGCCGGCTTCGAGGGCTACGGGTGTAATTTTGAGACTTGGTGAGGCTTCCTGGCAGAGTTTGATGGTCGACTCGAGAGATGTGGTGCTGCGGGCGGTGATTATGAGGCCGCTGGCGCCGGCGCGAGCGAATGTGAGGGCTGTTTGTGCGCCGATGCCGCGGCTTGCACCGGTGACGCAGACGACGAAGGGCGAAGGGAGTTTGTTTGCTTCAGGGCGGCGCTCGTCAAGGACTTTGTTGTGTAGTTTGGAGATGAAGTTCGTGCCGGTTGTGATGGACATGCCATCGGCGTGGAGTTGGGTGACGTCTGACATGATTGAGATTACTCGATGTTTGAAGTTTGTATGTTGAGTTTGTATGTTGGTTGGTTTGGTGGTGCGAAAAGTTGATATGCCTTAGAAGACTGCGTTGATGGTGAGATGCAAATTTTGCGCGCGACAAACAACCATTTTATAGGTATTCGTCTGGGGACGTGGCTGGTACGCCATCTGTGTAAACTCCGTGGCGCTCGCCATATCTGGAGAAACTTGGTGTTGAGCTCGTGTTGTTCAACAGTTGGTGGCGGAGGCTGCCTCGAGGTAAATCCGGCCTTAAAGCCCGGCCGTGAGTTTCGCCCAATCCGGAAAAAAAGGTCCGATGCCATTTGCCTGCCCGTTCGGCTGCGAAACGCTAAACCCTCCTGAAGTGGCTAGGCGCATCTTTCGCGAATTAGCGGTAGGTATCGCCTTTTTCGGCTGATGCACCACGACCACGCAAGTACTCAAACCCCGCCCCAATTGTTTGTTCCACGATAACACATATACACTTGTCGATCTCACCTACTAACTTACCTGCAGCCTTAACGTAGTTCGATGGGCCCGAGCTGATGACATCATGCCGATCAAGACCAAACGCAAAGACACATTGTATCATTATGGGACTTCTACTTTTATTAAACTCCAGTCTCATACCTCCGGCAATACATTCTGAATACTTCTTGCTGTCGGAGCTAGGACGGAAAATGGTATTTGGGGATCTTGCTATTTGATCTGGCGCTCAAAATCCGTCAAGTAGACTGCGATTCATCAAAGATACATAGATGCAGCATGTTCCTGTCAGCCACTGTCATCACTACCAGCGCAGTACATACTTGTGTTGCACAGAGCCTGCCGATCATCGCATTACAACACAGCATCATGGGGTTCTCAATTTTGTTTTTGCCCTTTACGCCACTACGTCACTCTATTAATCGCAGGCTTGGCCCAAAGCAATTCACCATCGTGCTGTCTACAGTTGTGTCTATCGCACAATCAAGTGTATACGCTCCTGGATTTAGATTGATCTATAAAAGCAGTGCCACAGTAGACTTTGACCATTTCCAGCATATTTAATTGGAGCAGGATGTGATTAAGTAGCGTTTCTCGCCGTCACTACTCCTAAAACCAAGCGCTACCCTGTATATATCCCTGACAGGACCTGCTTGTCCGCAGGTGAAAGAGCCAAGCCACCCAGGTTTCATGTGACACCAGGCATCAGCGAAAACTGTCTTCATGTTAGTATTGCACGTTCATATCTTGTTGACTTGCTTATCGAAGCTGGACACCCCATAAAATATGCTGCTATGAAGTTTTAAGTGACTGTATTTGGGTAGCCAAGTCTACTAAATCTGAGAGAACTATACACCCCGAATGTTTCCTTGCACGGCGTCCATGGCTGGAGGACAATACCTAACTAAGATTTGAGTAGTGATCCAGATCAGCTACCAGTCTATGACTTAACTTCAAGCAGAACATCAGCATTTTTGCAAACCTTGACATCTGATGGATATGATCTATCGCTATGCTAACACGTATGGGTTGTTTAAGGACTATCAAGTACCAATCTGAACATTTCGACTAGTATAGGAATTATCTACACACACAAGGGGGCCAAGAATTGGCTTTGACGAAGCAGATGATAATTAGAACGCTGCTACATTGTCTACAAGATATATCGTTAGAAGAGGTAGTTAGCATTTCTATGACATTTTTGAGAGAACAGAGCTCTTGCTGAATCTTCAACTTACACTCCGAGTGTCGACAGACACTTATGGCCGGATATTGACCAAGCTTCTGGACGCAGGAAAGTCCACCACATAATACGTTAAGCTGTTGTAGAAAATGATGTCCCAGTATGTATTGACTAAGCGATGAAAGAAGTCAAGGTCATCCATGACTGAACCTCTAGTGGTATAGAGTATCCCAAGCTTAGATAGATGATCAAGCTAATGTACTTCTCGGTTCATCAATGCAGGACCTGTGTAGCTGGTCCAGACAGAAGACGACATGATCCCCCTTTAGAAATTTCGCATGTCCCTCAACCCGGACTATTAGACTCTTTTTCGCCTCATATCCAGCCAAACGGTTTGCGCCTGAGTATCATAATCATGAGGCTTCCAAGAGTCCAGACGATTCAGTTGTCTGTGTCACCCTCTTCCCGTATCTCACAAACTCTTCGCCATCATGTCCGTCAATGCCCCAACAAATGAAGTGAAAAATGGAGTAGAACAACCAAGCAGAGCCATCGTTCCTACATTTGGTGGCGTTCGGTCTCGTAAATATCAATCAGAGTGTGTATATTCCCATACTCAGTGATATAGCAATGTCGTAAATCAGCACCATCCGTACATTTGGTCTGATATGGGCCTATGGAGTCCCAGTCTGAGCAAAGGCCTAGCTAATGTTTTGAAGGCCTGTGTCAAGATAACCAGCAAGCGGTATGCTTAGTAGTGTAGGTCATTAATGGTCCACTCGACAGGGGGCTTATTGAGTCAAGGGTCATTGCCGGTGGCGGCGTGGCGCTTAAGTAGGCCATGAGACATGGAAGATAATTATCTTACAGGACTTTCTCGTATTCGCAAGAGTGAAGGCGAAGGTCTGACGCCACCCAGGACGAGCTCTTTGAGAACGGGCGTTTGTTTCAAGAATATGGTTTCATGTACCGGCTGGTGTTTCGGCATCTACACGTTGCGCACCCTTTGGCACCACTATATGGCTTTCCAGGTTGTGACTAGAGTATTACTTACTTTACTTCATTTAATTGGGAGGATACACGTATATAACCCTAATTCATCTATATCTAATCCCCATTTATCGACAATTCATCGCTTTGTACTCATTTGGCCTCTCCCGGTTGAACAAACAGATATATAGTATACGACGACGAAAACCAAGGGTATAGTTTTTGACCAGATTAACTTCGCATATATGAGGCGACACTATGCTACACACGGAATGGTAGACTGCAGAGAATGAACGAAGTATCTGGCGCGGCTTTATGCGCATGATCGGCACCTGGCGTGAAATTGATAGCACGGCCCGTGTTACTGGATGATCTCGTCATTGTGTGCTTGAACGAGGTCAGCCTCTGACTCGACTTGGAAACAAACTTTCGTTACACCCAGCTACTTCTCCTACGTGTTCAGGTGTCTGTTTATCCCGGTGCGCTAGATGACCGGTAAAATTCTACACATTGCACGCTGAGGTATCCGCGAAACATGCTAAGGAGCTCATGAAAGCAGTGACGTGACACCCCTAGATATGCAGAAACATTATGATGTTCAGGGCCCAGGGGGGCAAAATTCACTCAAGTCATGGGGCAGCACGGGTCTTAAAATGGTCAATAACGACCCACTTTTATAGGGTCTAACGCGCGTCAAGCAAAGCTTTGGCTCCGCATAGAGACATCTCAAACTGCTCTGGACTTTGAGCACACAGTGCATAATATGCCTCATCACCCGTATCCAGTTCGCCTTTATGAGAATGACTCCAAAGGCGATAAGGCGTAGTTCTGGGAGCCGTAAGACCATGCAACTTCACCGACAGCTTGGTAACAGAATATAGCTACATGGAAGCAAGAACGTTTTAGGCCCGTGAGCTCACAGCCTCCGACTATGTGGATAGCTCCACCAGACCCTGATAGTAATTGTAGCGCTGTACCAATAATTACGGGAACTAAGCAATACTAATATATGCTTAATGAGAGTTCCCGGCTCTACGGAAGCTTAGCTCTTTAACAAGCTATATACATGCTTGAACTGAACTTCCAGGGAACTGCAGCAACTCGTTGGTGACATTATTCTCATTTCTATACACCAGGCCGTATTACATTGTGGTTTCTACTTCAACGTCTCTTTGCCGCTCTTTTCATCTATATTGTTCTTCGAGGACCACGTCAAGCTCCGTCAGACGTCATGGGGGTAATCCACGACCCCCCTGACCATAAACATAACAACAGCCACATTCTCTCCGCCAATCTTGCCCTTCACAGTAGTATCTCTCCGTTGATCCCCTACTCAGGCCTCATTCTCACCGTCGCTCTCGTTATCATCTTTATATTCAGATACATTTTTGAACTCTTTCTTCTTACTAGGATATATGGCAAAACATACCTCAGTCTTAATGAGGTCAACAGACGCGGCTTCATAAACCATCACATCGCTGGAATTGCGAAGATTACCATGCTCGTAACTGGTGCATATCCTCTTTTCCTCGTGTTCTTCGAAGGCGCGACGCTACATCATAAATTTGGGCATTCGAATACGGTAACCTTAGGAGATAGTAAGTAATAACTCTAGTCTCCTTAGAATATAATCGACTCTTCTGTTGACATGCGATAGTTTTCATTGTGCTCAACCATCTCTTCTGCGCCATGTATATCTTTGAGCTTTTCTTCCGAGCTAAACTATCTCCTGTGGCCATCATGCATCATATAGGCGCCATCGTCATTGCGCAGTCCGCGATTGCAGTTACCGTTGCGACGGAGCATGCCCAGGATGGAGTGTTGGACTTCCTACTTTGCATCATTTGGGGTACGCCACAACTGCTGCTTATTCGATTAGTCGCTGACACCCGGGTTCTAGGTATATTTGATGTCATCGCAGAGTTCTGGCCACATGTTGCTATCATCCTGTATCGCTGCCACCCTACGAAGCACGAGTTCCTGGCTAAAGTATTCGCATCGGCTTGTATAACAACATTTGCCGGGACCGTAATCGAGACTGTGGTTGTGATGTGGTTATTTGGGTCACTGTGGTATAGATGGACGTTGGTGTTCAAAATCGTCACTCCGATTTTGCATTGTGTTTTTAGCGCCGCGCAGCTTTGGGGTGCATGGAACTTCCGGAGCATGTGGTTGAGACAAAGGCGCTTTATTGAGGAGGAACGGGTCAAGGAGAGTGGCATGGATCTTAGGGAAGAGGGGCGTATGGTTGCGGAGAATACGCGTTCAGGAGTATGAGGCGCCTAGTCTGAGAACGAATACATATTGGAGAAAAGACTTGACAAAGAACAGGGGATGCCAAGAACAATTTGACATAGCGCTGCAGGCGAGGGACTCGTGCACTACATCTTCTGTCTGATATCGCCATCACCAAAACCTCCCATATCTTAGGGAGTGCTTTGGGAACGAGAACTATGCAGTGATCTACAAGCACTAGTGCGAGTAGATTTGAGACTGCTGATGCTTTTCAATTGTCAGTTTTCAACGCAGAAGTATGACGCGGTATCAGTAGCTGCTTTTGAAGTAAGATACTGCTATCCGTTCCACCGAGATATCCTTGAAGCGCTAAAGTCGACTTTCATCATCTCATACCAATCTGTCATCTGTTCGACTGAGACAGCCCTAGATCAACTACAAGACGATATGTTGGAATTGCAGATTGTCTACCCTTCTTCAATCATGTTGACGTTGCCTCAGCTGACTCGACTACATGTATATGACCCGAGCTTATACCTAACATTCGATAGTCTTGTTCCCTCACTGCATATTGATCTCGGTCAAGGGATGCTAATACCACCACAGAATACTCAACATATCAAACAAACGAAATGAAATGCCAATCCAGCCCTGGCAAGTCCCAAACTTCACCATCCATCAATCCATGGACATAGCACGCGCCAATAAACTTCCATGCACCCCCATGCGCTCTTAAGACAACTGGAATCCGCATACCCTTGAGTACACAAATGTGATCCCCAGCCCGGGCGCGGAATGGAACCCATCCAATGCGCCTGGCACTCGAGACAAAAAAATCTCTGGCATCTCTGACCTTGCTCTCAGCAAGCTCGAAAGGAGCTGCACCTCGAGTCAGGATGCAGTAGCCCATGTACCACAAAATAATCTCGTTGGTATGTTGGAGCCCGGTCATAAACAGCTTCTTCAGAAGAAACCAGTAGCCAAAGCTGACGCCCAGACTGTTGTCCGCTGGCTTACAGGGGTCGTCAGGATCAAATGTAGAGTCACGGTTGTATACAAGCGTGCGCCAGAACGACTCGAATGAGCTATCGTCCATTATAGACGCAAGCGGATCTAAGAACGGGTCCGCGAGGCGTCGTAAAGCGGATAGCCACTCCACCATAGCGAGTTCGTATGGCACTATTTGCTGAAATGCTTCTCTAAGATCTATATTCTTGTCCTGTCCGCTTGTATCGAGCGCTTCAGGCCCTGGCATATGAGGCCTTCTGGGACCAATTTTCCCGATAGTATCAAAAAAGGCGCCTTTGATATCGATCCGCTATTTTTGCTGTGAGTAGATTTCCCCTTGATCGCTGTAGGAAAGCATCTGTCTTACCTCCGGGACAGGACCTTCAAAAAGATGCCCTCTGTCTCTTAGACTCAACACGATTTCATCGCTTACTTCTGGCACAGGAACATCTCTGTACCCAGTCAAGTATTTTGTATTATAGAAGCCACTCATCAACAAACCTGAAGAATGAGCGGATATGAGATCAGGGATCCATGAAGGTATTCCCAGCTCCTCGTTTTTAGGATTAGCATTGAATGTTAGCCAGTCGATAGGCCATCTGTGCGGCAAAAAAGCCTTCGGGATGCCTATGAACTCATTTCCCCTGGAGTCCCGCCGATAATTAGGAAACCCAAGCAGCGTCATCTTCCCAACCAAGGAGGCAATACCCGCAAAGGTTTTATGGTAGTCAACAAACTCAGGTTCCAATCCAGTTGAAATCCCTGATAGAGCAAAGAATCGATCTCGAGGATCAGTGGCCTTCATTCCGGGATAACGCGAGAGGACATCGTAAATCGGCATGATCCCCTGATTTTCGGTTTGTAGATACCCACTGGCAATACACCTTGACAATAACGCGGACTCCTTGGGCCTATTCATAGCGTTATTGAAGCACATGTAAAGGTTTTTGTGAGTCCCAATCATGATTGAACACCAAAGGACAACTCGCGCTTCTGCATCTAAGGACCCCCTCCAGATAATGGATCTTGAGCTGACCAGCAGTTCTTGGACGACCCAGATTCGAGTAAACCACTCATGTGTCAGAATACCGAACAGTGCCTCCCAAGGAAGGCTTTTATATGGGTCCTCCTCACCAAGAGATTTGAGGTCAAGATCCGGCATATTATAACTGTCATGGAAGCTGTATTTCACCCCATCGCATTTGAGATATAGCCTCTGTGCTAGTTTGAGGGCGATAGAATCTCGTGAGTTCCCAGCACCTAGCCATATGATGACACGAGATGCAGTCTTAAAAATTTGCCACATCATACGGACTTGTGTTGTCTTCTCTGTATCATCACTTTGGTTGATACATATCGCATCGGCCCAGAGGAGTGTACCTGAACCACGTTTTTTCTTTTCCAACAGCGCTTCATGTAGATTCTTTCCAATGAGGAGCTCACATCCATTACACTTGATGGCTGTTACGTTGGATGGATCTCCCCATACGTAGGACAGAGCATCGAATTCAACGTCGTGGAGGCCATACTCACGGAGAGTTAGTTCGAGGTTCTGTTCGCGGGGCCGTAATTTCACTCTCAGTAGTCGTATACGTCCATCGGATAATCGTGACTGATGCTTGAACGGTGTTACTCTTGACATTTAGTCTGATATCGAAGTTGAGAGGTCCAAACATATGAGTGCCTACTCCGACTCGCCCATGAAGATGGGATAATGGGATGGCCACAAACACACACTGTGAGCGTGGATCCTTTTGCTGCTCCAGGCCAGGGTCTCCGGGCACGTGTCCGAAATGGTGGACTTCGGCTTGGAGGGAGTATTATTGGTCAATTTATAACTCGAGACAGCAAAGAGGTGGAGGAGTTTTCTGCGCTTAGTTGACTCTTGGCCGCAACGGCAACACAACGAACCTTGATACGATGCTATGAGACTTGATGTATCACCAAGTACAGCTTTTGATATCGCCAGTGACAGTTTTCAGATGGTTGACAGACCAAGTTTTGCACTTGCTAGCGAGGTCCTCTCGCAGACTTGATTAGCATGCAGGTGCGTTGTTACTGCAGGTGCATGCATGCATGCATGCAAGTCTTGCTTGGCAGTCGAGTTTACTCGTGTTTCTAGACATACTCTTGTGGCTCGTCGACTAGTTCGACTACCTACAGCGTATGATAGCCCCAAAAGAGAGTCACGGGAAGATTAGGGCTCGGTGAATCGAGCTCTCAGAAGCTTCAGCCTTTCGAAGGGCTTTTTACGTGAGAGCGGGTCCGAGTAGAACCTACCTTTTTGTCATGTGCCCAGTATAATCGGCTTGAAGGACAAGGCCAGTGTATGTCAGTCCTTTCTCAGGGTCGCGCATATGATCGTAGACAGAGTTTGGTACATATCAAAAGCTGTGACGGATTATCCAAGATGACACAGATTGACTTCAGGAGACAGAGAATCACACATCAGCAATAGCAAGGTCTAGATAGACGAATCTCGCACTATGAACAATCTGAAGACGGGGAGACCTCGTTGTTGGGTATCAACTGTTCATTATCTGCTACAACGTTCGCCAATCAAGCAGCCCTGTCCGCTATCCACTTCAAACTCGATCTCAGTACCTAATTCGAGATCTTCGAGCTGACCTTCTTCCTACACAAATTATCAGCACTACTTGGAATTTGATCATAGTCCCGAAGCAAACATACCCAGTCGCCTTCTCGTAAGCCTCGCGGCCACCATCGGTGATCTTCTCCTGCATGTTGCGGTCGACGTTGTAGCCAGATTTCTTGGAGCCAAACGCAAATGCTGAAGGATCTGGTCAGTGTATGCGCGTGCTATGAGTAAACGCAGGAGACTTGCCCTTGTCGACGTAGTCGTCCTTCTGGCCGGCCTGCCCGGTGCCAGCTTGCGGGTTATTGGTGCTGCTTGAGCCGCTCTTGTTCGTGAATGATGCGAGGCCTTTCTTGAGGAAATCCATGATGATGATGATGATGATGATGATGATGATGATGATGATGCTTCGGATGGATGTGATTATGTGATATATCTGTAGACTTTGTTGTTGTAAATATCGAGTAGTGGTCGGGGTGCAAGAGACTTAAGTACGAGGTTGGGTGAAGGGCTGAGATGACCTCATGTGGGGAACAAAGTTCTGGACAGGGTCTGGGGCGCTTGCACAGCCCGCACTTCACGATCTAGTCCCAGCGCGGCCCGCCGAGATCAGCGATGTGGCGGTGCAATAGTTCATCGTACTGTAGAAAGGAATCAAGGATCGTGCTACTTGGGACTTGAGACGAGCACAGCCACGGAATGAACAAAATGTCTTCTAAGCTGTGAGAACAGCCCTCGTCCAGTCAACGAAGCAGTTTGTTTTCAATCAGAATTACCCCAGCCGCCAGCTCCGGAGATCCTCTCGTATATCTATCTCCTCCACCTCATGAGTCGGCCGCTGTCTCCTCCTTTCAACCTCCGCTTTCATGTGACTAGCCTGCTGCTCCAAACTCGCTCGTCCTGTTGGACCTGTATCACCACCTTTTCGATGTCCATCTCGGCTCCCAGGCTTCCGCACAGGACTTCGTCCAAATCCGGTAGATCCGTTACGCCCATGGCCTAGCTTTTCGTTCTCACTACTCTCCCCGCCATCCTTCCAATTGACAGCACGTAAACGTGGCGACTTGGTGTAAGATGTGTGTTTGTCTCCCCAGCCGTCGCCGCCGGAAAAAATGTCCTCAATCGCGTCGTCAGCTTTGAGTTCGCCTGGTTGAGCGGCCCAGTACGCGGCAAGCGTGCGTCGGTACATGTCCTGTAACTCGCCAGTTTCCTTCGACTTCAATGAGATAGATGGTGCTGTGCCAATGAGTGTGGAGGAGTTGTCGTCAACTGGTGTATTGTCGGCATCTGCGGAGATGATGCCTGCAATACCGCCGAAAACAGGTGCGGTCTTCAGCGGAGGCCTATGGCACGATTAACTGTTTGAAAAAAGACATGAGTAAGCAGAATGACATACGCGACGTAATTTCGGTCACCCTCTGTCTGCCGCATGTATATCCCTATCTTCACTGTGCTATTGATCTTACTATCTTGCATCAAATAACGCCTTACGACGCCCTCCTCAGCGTCAACTTCTTGCTCGCTGGGCTCGATGTACTCGGCCAGATTTAATCTGACATTTCCCAATGTTATACGCTCACCACGTCCAGTTCCGCCATACTCTTGCACAATCTCGAAGTTTATATACAATTCTTGCAGCATACTGTTCTTGTCTATTGTGATTCGCACTGGGAGTCTTTTGTGGTAATCGTAAATGACTTTATGGTCCTTGATGGGACATTTTTCCGTTCGGCCGCGGTGTTCCGCCGCATTGGAGTGAGGTAGATGCCATTTGACGAAGGATATGCCGTTGACAAGAGGGACATTATTCAGATCAATAATCTTTCATTCGTTTTAGCGACGTATACGCGAGCAAGATGCAACCCCATACCTTCATATGCAGCTCGAACTTCGGCTGTTGAGGCGCATCTTGGTCAGCATGTTTCCGACACGGTTCTGAAGTATTTGAGAGCTTACTCGGCGCGTCTTTGGTACTACCAAGCCCGTCAGCGAGTGCGTGGCCAGGACATGCGCGCGTCGCAAAGACATTCCTCACCGAAAGCTTGCATGGTGAAGAGACGTTGCAGGAAGATGTAGAGAAAGGGCTGATAAAGGTTCCGATCCCGCGGGCGTCAGGTCAAGTCGCACGGAAATAAGCCGGGATGTTGCAGAAGCGTCGTGTATGAATATCGTCGTTGAGCTGCAGGGCTGACAAGAATATATTAGGTGGTGTGATCTTGTCGTTGATTTGGGACAGAAGTCAAGGATGGTCAAGAATGAGACGACGTCACTGGCCGACCTGGCGACTCGGCTGATGCGGACCTGGCGCCTATCAATCAAACCTACCTGGGGATTCAATAAACATCCGCGCTAGTCTGATTCCAGACGCGCTTAGACGCGTTGACGCGAGGCCTATTAGACGAAATCAACTTTTTCTTCATTCGCAGCGCACGTGTGTTAGGGTGTCGATCTTACAACAGCATGCCATTCACTCCAGATGAAATCGCTGACTGTGTGCTCGAAGCATTTGGAAAGCTTCCAAACAAAGCAAAACCGCGTCCGACTGAAAATGGACGGCGAGAATGGGTACCTTTAGCAGGCATTGTAGCAACCAGAAGTACTTGTCATTCTGATTCCTTTGAGATGTAAAATGCTGACCTCGCATCTTTCATCAGAGGGTAAAGTGCTCGGATGCCTGTCGCTGGCGTGAGTAATTTAAATATACATATTTCTTAATATTGATTCGCGACAAGCACTGGCATGAAATGCCTTCCTCATGTTCACATGCCCAAATGTCAGGGTAAGATTTTACACGATTGTCATGCCGAAGTCCTGGCAATCCGTGCCTTCAACCATCTCCTCCTTCAGTCTGTCTCAGCTTTGATAGATGAGCTGAACCGCAATGGTACTATCAGAGGCAACTCGGTTCTCCTTGCATGTAGGACGGAGAACACAGTGAACTCTCTGCACCCACAGCCTTTCGCTATCCAGGATGATATTGAGCTTCACATGTATTGCTCAGAAGCCCCTTGTGGTGACGCCAGCATGGAACTTACCATGGACTCTCAACATGATGCTACTCCATGGGCGGCACCAGAATCAAGTGAAGAACCGCCTCTAGCTCTCAATGGTCGAGGTCATTTTTCGCAACTCGGTGTCGTCAGAAGAAAGCCTGGTATGTGCGTTCGTAAATATTGGGGATTGTGCATACTCATGCACCCTAGGTCGCGCTGATGCACCGCCAACACACTCTAAATCTTGCACAGACAAGCTCGCTATGAAGCAATGCACTTCGCTCCTCTCAGCGCAGACTTTCATTTTTATCAGTCCACGAAACGCATATCTCAAGTCTATAGTTCTTCCCGTTTCACAAATCAACAACAAGAGTATGACACGTGCGTTTTCAGCTTCTGGTCGAATGGCGCCAATACTTACTCCCCTCGATCACTTCAAACCCAGCGGCTTCAGCTTTCGACCTTTCACCATCATGCCGACGAAAAGAGAGTTTCAACATTCCCGTCGTGTAGCCCCAGCAGACGAAAAGCTGGTACCATCCAATTTATGCGCTGTACGGGCTGGGAAGCTGGATGAATTGATCGTTAACGGCTCTATTCAAGGCTTTAAAAAGGGCGACATCCGCAGCGTTAGTAGGTTGAGCAGACACAAGATGAAATGTGCTGCGATCGAAGCCGCATTCTGGTATGTAGGCGATGATGACAGCCGGCCGCGGTGCCCAGACCTGTTTCTGACCAAAGACTCATGGAAGACTTACCGCAAATTCAAGAAGGACGATGCATTCAAGCTGAGAAGGAAACTGAAGGATCAGGTCAAGGACAAAGCCCTGAAGGGCTGGATAGTCAATGACGGAGATGATGATTGGCCCCAAGAAGAAGAAGAAGAAGAAGAGGCTAATCCCGATAATGGAGACGACGAAAAGTATGAAGATGACTACGACCATGAAGACGACAGACGCAATGCGGCATTCGATACAGAGTTTGCTGGTGATTCTGATGACTTGGTTTTCATGAAAAAATCAGTTCCCACAAAGGTGGAAGATGTTGAAGGCTTTCTATGAAACTCAACCGCGGCGTTATCATTGTCTCGTCGAAAATGTGCAATATTCCTTTGCCCAACGTGATACTGTCGAACACCAAAAGTTCTATGCTCATGGTGGACCCGGTCACACCTTGGTAGCCGCGTCTTATGCCCTCACAGATACAGGCAACCCAATCAGGTGTTTCGACACGATACCCGTGACCAGTACGTTAGACCTTGTGCGGAATGATCAACGGTATGTTTCCCTTCTTAAAAAAAACCTTCCTATCCACAGACTTAGCTTTCTACCTAAATCTCAGTAAGGTGTATCATATCTAGACGCAAACTAATGACAGTATCCATCTAGAATCACAATTTACAGCCAGCTTCTAATGCTAGGACTGTAATAGGGACATTCGTAGGTTCGTCAGTGAGTTTTCGGAACAAGAGAGAGGTGTTGGCTGAGTGCCAAGATTAGTGAGTGGTACGAACTGCGACCTCCAACCCAGGCCAGGCAGCAACAATGATAGCACCATCCATTAATCCCCAAGAAACTTCGCTCGCATCATAAAACACACTACACAACGCCTTTACATTCAACATGTCTGCGCGTGAGTCCATACGTGGAGAAATACGGCGCATGACGGCCGGTAAAAGCGGACCAAAGAAATGGCGGGCGGCTGCAAGGGTTTTAGTCGACAGGACAATGTCAACACAGTTCTGTATGGTGATAACGGTCAGTGGGCTTACGATTGGAGCCATTGTATGCATTGTACCTATCGCCGCCATCGGCTGCTTTTATGTGGCGCAGGAGAAATACAAAGAGCGCCACCGGAGCGCAAGGCAACAGAAGAAATCCAAAGAAGAGAACCGGGTTGTTATGATGCCGCCTCCAAGGTTTGCTGACCTAGAGGTGACGAGACGGAGGAAGATCAGCTTCGAAGCACAATGTGGTTCTGAAGAATCAAATGTGACGCCGGAAACGTCTTTGCAATATAAATCTCAACCTTCGAACCGAATGGCAGCGAAATCAAACTCGCAGATTGTGAACCCCTACAAACCGTTGAAGTTTCCACAGGACTCACCATTCTTCACCATTCTACCTTTAGACATCCGAATCATGGTATACGAGCTCGTCTGCGGTGGCCATCATCTAACTATAGTGCCATGCTACACCGGACCATATCGTCACGTTGGCGAACAGCGATACATCCAGATGAACACGTACGATTGCTACCCTATGTGTCCCGAACGACACAAGTACGAGACTGCCTATCGCTGGGTTGTTCCAATCGAGAGTGTCGAGGACTATAATCATGTGATGAGCCTGCCGTCGTTGGTGAATGGTTGGAGATCGAATGTATCCTTGTGGGTAATTCTAGACTCCAGAATGCCATGCTTGCCTGTACAGGGTCTTACTAGTGTCTTGTATGTCTGTCGTCAAATGTTAGTATGATGATCTTGGCGTCAAATGCGTTGCTGACTTTGTCGCAGGTATCGCGAAGCTGTAAACGTTCTGTACGGCGCTAACAATTTCAACTTCAATATCACCAAAGATAAGCTACTACCGTTGTCCAAGTTCATGCTTCCGCAAAGAATCGATCACATCCATAGAGTCACTGTACATGCGACTCTTGTGGACATAGCAAACGGCGGTGGTGCGTGGGACGTCCTGCGAAACCTGAAAGGCTTGACGTATTTGTGCATTATTATTTCTGGGCCCATGCCACAGGTTGTCGATGACGATCTATTCTATATCAAAAGGGTTGATCGACCTAGCAATTTGCGAGAGTTTGAGGTATTGATACCGTGGAAATTGAATGAAGAGTTGGATGCAGTCGTTAGGGGTGGAGATTGGTCGTGTCGAATAAGGAGGTACGCTATAAGCTAGCACACAATGACATGAGGCTCGTCCAACTGCAGACATTTTATTGTGTGGTGTGACAGTTGGGTAGCCATGACATGACGTTAGACGGCACAGATGGCATGATGGTTATTGAAATCATGAAAAACTCTATTACTTCGCACGTCTTCCTGCTTCATATCGCATGGGGAGATGTCAGCATAGATTGGGAAGATATTAAATTCATGGGATCACATACCACCTAGAATTATTCAGAACGTGATGACCGCGATATGTGTAAACACTGGAGAGAATTTTTGTTGGGGCAGAAATAGAGTAGAGCCTGCAAGCTACAAAGTAAACATTGAATGTAGGCATGCTTCTTTACATCTGCCTAGAGCTCACTAGGTATTTCTGTTACTCATCTACAAGGGAAATACTATATACATCAAAATTGGCAAAACGTATCAACGTGCTAGTTTACTTGCTCAACTTTATATTGCAGTGTTACACCTCAGTGGTAGAGGTTATGGATCTTTACTTGTTTCAAAGAAGCCTGTATAAACCTGTCAACTTGATTATGCATGCGGGTGTTAAGCTCAATAGATACTCCCTCTTCAATTTTTCTACGAGCATAGATGTTACATGTAGAAACACACTCATGAACACAGCTTTGATATAAGATTTCCTTGGTTGCGTTTGTAGATAAAGAAATATAGATGCGGATTATACATCAGATCCTATATACGTACGAAGAGTCTTTATTACAGTATAAAGGGGGGGAATTAGATGTAATATAAAGTCTCATAGAGATGAGCTACGAATCAGAAAATTATTCCAATCCCGCAGTCCTCTTTGCTGCATTTTCTTCACGAAGAGCACGGGAAGAGTGCAGACTCCAATGGTCGAAACCGCTACATGCCCAGCTAGCGAGACTTTGCTCATGAGTTTGCAGACATGTTTTACACCAGTGCTCATGCGCATGAATGTCTTCTCTGTCTTGACACTCTTGAGTCCGCATATATCGAGCGTGAGGCTTTACAACTCCAAGCATAGCCAAGCCGATTGAATCTGCTTCAGACGCTTCGTAAACTATCTGACTCCATCCGGCATCTGAGTCAGTCGGTTCCCGAAACTTCGTGTCAGACCAGTCGACGTAGACAGTCTGATACGTGACAGTCTTCGCCGAGGAGCTGCTCAATTTTGGCCGTACAAGCATATCCACGCAATTGACCTCTTGATGGCATACTCCGCAGGCCTGTGTCTGTTCAAATACGCTGGTGGCACCATCCATAATCTGCTGATAGTGCTCGATAGAGACGTGGTGCTGTATGTCGCTAATCTTGAAGCCGCCAATATATTCCATTAAGAGTCCAGGGGCTTGAAATGCTAAATTAACACTGTCGCTATATTCTGTGGGAACTTGGCCCCAGAGACACGAGTTCCGTACGGTGACCAGAGCATGTATGCGTGGAATGATCTCCCCCTGGTGCTTCTGCATCAGCTTGTACGCATTCGTCTCCGTATTGTATCGCTCATGACGACACCACCACTGAACACGGGCGTCGTCTGCACCAGGAATCGTAGATCTCGGATCGTCAGAGTGTTCAAAATACTTGCCATCATCGTCATCTTTCAGGTCATACCAGGAGTACCAGTCGGTGAGCTTATGGTCAACAAGATGCTTGGCTTGGCCGCTGAGGACGAACTCCTGGTATGCTTGTTCATCAGCACCGTTCACCCAAGGCTCCAGGGCGACGCAGTATCTGCGTTGAAAAGTGAACCTCCGGTCGAAGACTTTGAGGACGTAGTGTGCTTCGTAGTTGGTCCGCGGTAGAGTGAGCCGTACAACCATAGTGCAAGCATGACTGCATTCGAGGTGCTTTACGATTTTGCATTCGACTGACTTGGATGTGCCTTGTATTCTGAGGGTGATGCACGATCCAATGGTGTAAGGTGTCCTAGATGAAGTCAGTAAAGGATACTCATACCCGCCTTCAAAGGTGTACTCCTTGATGTTAGTCGCCATCGTTGTGACGCGTGCTTTGATAGCTCGGATAACGAGATCCAGGTGTATACGACTCTACTGATAGAAGAACCTGTATATCTGTGGTCTGTGTAGAACGCGAGGTGTAAGTATCTCGGGAAGATGTAAATGATGATTCTTGAAGATGCTCTCAAGGGAGGTTATTATATTAACGCGTTGGACACTATCGTTAGGGGTACCAGAGAAAAGATTACCACGTAACACTGAGTTAGTATTTAATGCACTCTACGAGTCGACAAACGTAAATTTGAGATACTTCGACAACATTTCCGTGTCCGGACTGGGATGGAACAGTTAGGTGTTTTTCTGCCGGCCCTCGTCGCATGAAGGCCTTGTTCAGCGTGAACGAGAAATTATGCCACAATCTGTGCAACACCAACAGCTGATTGAAGATATGTTTGTTGATGAAATATTAACGCACCATGTTATGCATACACCTGGTGTTGGGTACTTCCTGCTGTCCACGAGGCTTTGAATAGGACCTGGGTTTGTGAAGCGAACTGGAGACAGTCAACCAATTCTGACCTCAACCTAAAAGTCTCCTGTGCACTTCTCATGCAAGGTCTTCCACTAGACAAGTTTTGTGTCTTGGGCAATTTAAACAACTGTGTAGGTTCGGAGCTACACTTTGCAAGCAGTATAATAGAGTCTGCTCATTGCTTCTCACTCGTTTATACAAAAGGCCCCGAATCACTGTCCTTAATAACTCGCAGGAAACCGACAACTATATCTCACAAACCAGTAATACTCCCCTTTAAGAACGTCGTTGCTTCGTGCTTACCGCAGCGATCACCAAAGGACTTTAATGATCGATCGCATACCCTGCCAGCACATTTTGGGAATAATTACCAGATACAGGCATCCGATCGGATTTGAATTTCCAAAGAATAGTAAGAGTACTAAAAAGTCTGAAACATATCATGTTCATATGATTAAAAGCAATCTTCGAATAAATACTAAATCTATTTTTAGCGAGGCAAAAAGCTAAGAGCTACCTATCTAGGTAATAGTGCTAGATTTACTATCTTAGTAGGTAGGTAATAGTAGTTAGACTGACTAAGCTGTGTAATCCATATAATGGAACGATGCAATATGCACCTACATCATTGTTCTCGTGTACCACCAGATTGATGAATATGCCTTCAGCGCGCCGCCTCCCACGCCTCTGTGTCCCCCGAGTCCAACCCTTGAACCTCCGCGTACGCTTTTACTCTACGCCATCTACACCCTCAGTCCTTAAAATCACCAGCGTCCCCGCACCCCATTGTGGCAGCATACGCATCATATCGCTCAACCGACCCGAAGCACGCAATGCCATATCACGCCAATTGCTCGCCGAGCTCGAAACACAGATCAAGAGCATCGCAGGCGAGGGTGCAGACGGACCAACACGTGCGCTGATCCTGAGCTCCGAAAGCGACGCGAGTTTCTGCGCAGGCGCAGATCTGAAGGAGAGGAAGGCAATGAGCCAGAACGAGTACGCCTCTCTCTCCGACATATCAGCTGTCTAACATGATGCGCTCGTACTGGGGCTAATGGAGGCTATTCAGAACGTCAGCATTCCTGAAACAACTCCGCTCCACCTTCGCCCTCCTCGCCTCCCTCCCTATCCCCACCCTCTCGAGTGTATCCTCCCTCGCTCTTGGCGGCGGCCTCGAGCTTGCCCTCTGCACCCACCTCCGCGTCTTCTCTTCCCGCGCTATTGTGTCTCTGCCTGAAACGCGCCTTGCGATTTTACCCGGCGCTGGGGGCACATACCGCTTGCCAGCCATAATCGGCGCTCAGCGCGCGCGCGACTTGATTCTCACAGGCCGAAGAGTCAGCGCGGCAGAAGCGTATTTCTTGGGTCTGTGTGATCGACTGGTGGAGGTCACGGACGAGGAGGCGCGCGTGAGCGGGAAGGGGAGGGAAAGGGTGCTAGAGGAGAGCGTTAAGGTAGCAAGAGAGATATGTGAGGGAGGACCAGTGGCGATACGGGCGGCGGTGAAGGCTATGGAGGGGTGGGAGAGGGGTGAGAACAGCGAGAATGAGGCATATGATATGGTGGTGGGGACAGAAGATCGGAATGAAGCATTACGGGCGTTCGGGGAGAAGAGAAAGCCTTCATTCAAGGGACGATGAAGCGATCAGGGCGAAACTCGATGGTTAGCGGACACGTGTACAATTGTGGAGATATGTCGAAATGGGACATGATGAGGGCATTTGTGCATGGCGTACGCGGGGGAGTTTAGACAGGCAAATACAATGGTGGATATTGTGGTAGGTAAGTGAGGTTTTTTAAGACGGGCGCTAATTAGCCATCTGTCTGTGTCTATCTTTTTGATATACAGCGGATGTCAATCTAAGCCACCAACACTACATACCTCTTCTCTCATACCTTTTCTCTTACCTCCTCGGCATGCCCCTTCCACGCCCACGGCCCCGTCCACCCATACCGAGTGCTCTCTGCGCCGCGCCAGGAGGAAGCTGTTGCTGTGGAGCCTGCGGCTGCGCCGACTCTTGATTCCTAATCGTCTCGTCCACGCTCAAAATCAAGCACGCAGCTTCGATAGCCGCTTGGATCGCATTGATCTTGACAAGGGCGGGCTCCCAAACGAACTTCTCCAGATTGTTAGCGATGCCTTCGTTCACAAAATCTACACCGGCCCATATGTTGCCGTTGCGGTGGTCTACACGTAGTCGGTTGAGGATGTCCGTGGCATCAAAACCGGCGTTGTCGCAAAGCTGACGGGGGATGACTTCGAGAGCCTTTGCGAATGCTTTGATGATTGTTTGTTGCTTGTGCGCGATGTTTTTGTCGGCGTATGAGTGGAGGTAGGCAGAGACTTCCATCTGCGGAGGATCAGATCAGAAATGGAAAGGATAACCCGCTCTGAACAAACTTACCTCACAAGCACCTCCACCTGCAACGATGGTCTGGTTCTTGATTGCCCGCTTAACTATCATGATAGCATCATGAAGACTGCGCTCCACTTCTGCAATGAACTGCTCGGCACCTCCACGGAGGACAAGGGTACAAGTCTTTGATTGCGGGCAGCCCTCAAAGAAGTTGAAACGCTCACCACCAATCTGGCGCTCGTCAAACCGTTCACATGTACCGAGATGCTCGGCCTGAATGTCTGTGCACGTTGACTGAACCTTTGCCCCAGTAGCCTGGCATACGCGCTCAAGATCGTCAGAGGCGACCCGACCAGCGCAGAATATGTCTCTGTCGGCGAAATATCTGTGCCACGTCAGTTATGATTACATGAACAGTAATCATCAACTTACTGTGTCGCCAAATCACCAATCGGAAGCTTGCTGAGTACTACCTTTGCACCAGTCTTGAACAAAGCCTCCATCTTGTTGAATATGATCTGCCACTCAGCATCGACAATGGCCTGGTATTCTGAAACCTGCTCCACCCTAACCTCTGCATTGTCTTTCTCACTCTTCAGCTCCAATTCCACATTTAAGCAAACAATCTTTGGATTCTTAAAAGACTTGGGCTGTTGCTCGAAACCGGCGTATGAGAAAGTCTTCTTGAATGCGACACCGTTGACGAACAGAGAGTCTTGCAAAGCACCTCCGGTAATCTTCTTGATACCAATGAGCTTCTCGTTCAGGTCATCCTGGTCCAGAGAAAGCACGGCATCGACAACCACTGCACAGTTATATTCATTAGTCTGACGTTTTAGACATGCGACATGCAAAACGTACTTGTGGTAAAGAAGTCAGAATTGCGGTGGATCAACTTGCTGCTCATCGCCGTGGCGGCAAGCTTTCTTAATGTCTCTCTCTGATTTCCCTCAGATGTGTTGACGGCTATCTCCATGATCTTGTTGACGGCTAGCGAAGACGCTCTCTTCAAACCCTTGATGATTGTCTGACTGCTGACACCGGCTTCTACCAATTCTTTGATCTCCTTCAGCACCTCACCAGCAAGTACTACTACAGAAGTCGTGCCGTCCCCAACCTCTGCGTCTTGTGATCGAGCGATGTCTGTGAGGATACGGGCAGCGGGGTGGACGATGTCGAGGAGCTAGATTCTATATCTTAGCAAGTGAAAAGTCTGATTCTTTCACTATCATACCCTCATCACAGTTGCGCCATCATTCGTTATAGTTTGCCTTCCATTCTCGTCGACTAATAGCAGATCTCCGCCATAGGGCCCCAGCGTTGACTTGATCGTCTGCTGCACCGCAAGACAAGCATTGATGTTTGTAATTACCTGACCCTTTCCTTGCGACTGATCGGTCCCTTATAGAGGTCAGTCTGCAGGTAGATTAAGCAAGGTTGAGAGCTCCCGTGTGCCTACCCTCTTTCAGGACAATGATTGTCGGCGTCTGTCCGCCGAAAGACATGATGTGCGTCTGGGGTGATTACAGACCAGCGTCCAACAAGTAGTACGAATCGAAATAAGACGGCCTAGTCGTAGTATCTGTGAGAGTTGTGAGTTGTTGGATATTATGCGCTGCCTACGCTCCCACCTTGTACGCGTTCGCGAATATTTTCGAGCTTCAAGACCGCCGCTAGGGCCAAAGTGCACAGACCACACCCCATGTCTTATATATCTCTTATGGGTAATGGAGACCGGCCGACGACAAGACATCTGCTGACTCTGGATAGTGGCCAGTCCGCCGCAAAGACATACGCTTGGGTGTGGTCGGTCTATCTCTTATCTGCATATAATCTACGCGGCCTGGTTATATCCAGAATCGTTCGTTGCCTGCATTGAAACAGCGACATATAGAGTCACATGTCTCTACCTTCAGGGATAGACGGCATGATCAAATCTAAATGAAATTGGAACGCTCTACCTTGTTTGTGAGAGGGTATAAGACGTTGAAGTGCGCTCTCACATCCGCCGTGCAAGTAGCTGGATTAAGGAGAGATCTGGCTTCATACACACAAGAGCTTGGATGACACCGCGGGGCACCTTCTCTTGATCGTACAGATAGCAACGGACAGATCTACCTGTTATGGCTTCCAGTAGAATGAGTCTCAATCGTTTGACCAAGAAGCCGAGACATCCTTCGTCTACTTGCGCCAGCACCGAACTGCAGGATATTGGCGGTCTCCTGAGAAAGAGTCCGTCACTCCTCCGGAACCCGACACCTGATGCTCAGTCGATCAACTCACAAACCACATGTCCTCTTCTCAGTCTGCCAATAGAAATTCGACGCGAGATATACCGCTACGTTCTTCCTCGACCGAAGCCAAATATGGGTTTCCGCTTCATGCACGATGGCGGCGACCAGTCTGTGACCTCTGAATGGGGCGCCAAGAGGAATGGTCGCACGAGCTCGCGACACCGGCTTGCCATTCTCACCATATCCCGTCAGATATACATCGAAGCGCTATCGATCCTATATTCAGAGAACCTATTCCACTTTGTCACATTCTCCTACACTCCTGTCCTGGAATTACTGCGCAGATTGTCACCTGACGCACGGAGTAGGATGCGTCAGATCCGGCTTACTCTTGTACCACCAGGCCAAGCAGAAGCATGCGAGAAAGAAGGGGAACATGATACATTCTGCACTGTTATACATGATGCATGTCCAGGCCTGGTGGATCTGATGGTAGATCCCTCTCGATACATGTAAAACGGCCAGAGCAATACCTCACATATGGATAAATATTCTTACTCAGACAGGTTCATTGATGCCTCTGTCGCAGCTTTAGACCACTTGGTATTACCACTATGCATGTTGCTATCCAAGTGTACGTCCATAAAATTATATGGTACACTAGTGATGACTTTGATCCAAATCGTATGTACTATAGCATCATATATACTCAGTTGCAAACACGAGCGCTCGGACTCTGGCTAAGCTCAGAGATGATATAAAAGCCCTAGAACGCTAAGTGTGTCAACCGCCCTAGCTTATCAAGGCTGGAAACTTTCAGTCAAAGAAGTATGTCGCTCTTTGTGATACGCTTCAAGTATAATGAATGACGCCAGATCCGTGGTTATCCCTACGGAGATCATATACATAGCAACCGAGACTCATCAGCAAAGAGCCGCACTCACAAGAATGTAGATCTGCATACAGAGTTATACCCGCTTCCAATGATCATTTGTGCAAAATTGCCCACAGTATAGCTTCACCTGCTCATCATCAGGCCACCCGCCCCATTGCGGGATGCTCTCGATTTTCTGCTTGATGAGCAACGTCAATGTCTCATTTGCTTCCGTATTCGAGGGGTTCTGCGGTCTCCAACTGCGTTCAATACAGACTCTTATAGCCACAATGAGCTTTGCGAAGTCACGCGACCCCGACACAATATCCTCTGTATATCCCTGCAGGTCATCCTTGTGCCACTCCATGAATGAAACCAGCGAGAATATGCCTTCCACGTCATGAAGGGCACCAAGAGCACGTACATAGTGATGCAAGATTCTCGGCGAGGGAGTGCGAAGTAAGATCGAGCGCGAAGTGTCCTGTGACGGGTCCCCGAGATCACGCATATTGACTCTGGAGACCATGACCAGGAACTGCGCACGGAGGAAGAGTGCAATGTCACGATGCCTGTGCTGGACATCCTCGGGAGGATAGTAGGTGTGTTCGGCGGTTGCGAGGGCAGCTTGTAGCGCACAGATGCAGAGAACCTTGAAAGACTGCGGACCGAGAGTCACGTGCTTCTCTTCCAGTTGTTGCACAATGTGCCGGACATAGTCAAAGCTTAGAATATAGGGATTCTGTGCTATTGCTGAAGTCTTGACGCGCTTCCTTTCCCTTGCGCGATAAATGGCATCAAAGACCACGCTCCAAAGTGAATCGTGCGCAAGAGCGTGGAACAAAAGCGCGTTCACAATAACATGAAACCGGGCGAACGCCTGAGGAGTGTACAGGATGTTTTGAAGATGGTCGTACAGGGAGTTCTCGTTGGCCGCCAGTTCCGGTAATGCGGACAGCTTAACTGTTGGTCCTTTCAACTCTGCCCAGGTAGTCGAGTCGGTATGGAGGCCCCCCATTAACATGCGCACATAGCCTAATAGAAGGTCAGGCTTGCGTGCTATCCACCGACCCATCTGGTGATTGGGGTTCTCAAAGTATGTGCGCACAGCCCGTATGTGGGTCCCATTTCCAATGGCAACGACAGCCTTGGCGAACTCCAGATGAGGTGCATAGCGGAGCAGAAACGAAAGGAACCTGCCTGTAGGCCGGATACCTTCAACTTTCATCTCCTCAAGAAATGTCTCTACCGAAGGTGCTGCGCGCTCGACGTGGATTCGTTCGTATGGCGAGGTTGGTTCTGGTGCGACAACGGGCGTGTCTCCCGGGAGGATAGAATCAGAGAGCTCATCATTAATACCATAATAGCGCGAATCCATCCGGGCTTGAAACAACATTTTAAACATAGCGAAATAGATGTCGTTCCGGGCATTCGCTTTCCAATCTTCCAGCTCCAATTGTTTTGCTTCCCATGCTCTCAGAACAGTTTTCATCGCGTCGTATTCTAGTCCCCGTTCTCTACTTTTTTTGTCTGTCGCCTTGTCTATCCAATTATCTAACGACTCTGATTCTTCAAATTCCATGATTTTCGTCTTCAGTGTCTGAATTTCGGCTGCACATTCGTTCAATTTTCGTCTGGTATCCTCTGCTTGCTGACGAATAGATTGCTCATACGCCAAGAAACAAGCCCAGGACTCGTTCAATGTCCTCGTGGACTGGATTCTTGCCATCCATATCATAGTATCCTCACGAAGCTTTTGAACCATGTGTCCAAGCTCAGGTAGAATCGCACGAGTTTGTATCGTAGGGCTTCCGTCAGTATCCCATCCAGAATATATCAAAGCCGCACGGGCCCAAGGCGGTATAGGGTATCCTGCTTGTTGCATCCATCTTATGACCTGGTTGGACCGGGAGATGCCATGTTCGGGGGTAATGAAAGCGTCGAGTCCAGTTTTGTCAGCTTTCCACGGAGGCCATGACTTCGCTTTGAGGCTCGCCCATTTTCGTTCTGGCTCAGTCTTATTCTGGTCCACCTGAACACGCACGAGACCATGATATCCACGCTCTGAGACTAGCAGGGGTGGCTCGAAGCCATTCATATAATGCAATATATCGAATTGTAGCCTCGCTTGGGCACTTGCACGTCCTCCTGTGCCGGAATAGTGTTTTCCAGGAAGGCCAACGAGATGGAGAATGGTATTGAAAATGTGAGAGACCTTTGCAGCTTCTTCAACGCGTTGCTTATGTTGTCTGACATGCTCTTGAATGACATTACCATACGTTGATAAAATGAGTTGTACCACCAGCTCGAGCATGCGGATATCATTTTGGCGAGCATGTCTAAGCAAACGGACTGCCACAAGCACAAAAAAACGCGCACTTTGAATTTCTTTCAGAACAGTGTCCTTTTTCTCGTGCAATGATCTGTTCACAAGGGCAGACAGAAGATTGAGAAAGTTCTCAAGACAAGAAGGCGGAATGTGGCTTCTTTTGAGGTATAGTAGCATCAGAAATGTCGGAATCCTCTTCTCTGATGTTAAGAGTTCTGTAGCTGTATTGACTTTCTCCAGTACGATGACAGCCCAATGTCGTAGATCGTCCTGGTTGAACCCTTGAGCAGCCATTGTACGAGCTTCGACACCAACCAATTTATGGTCCAAGGATTGGACGGTATGGATCCAAGCTCTGCTTTTAGCGTGCCAATCCTGTTGCGTTACATATTGCTCCGCTGTTGTACTCTCACATCGCCGACTGCTTATTCGTCCTGTTCTGTCCAAGAACCGAGATAGCACATCTTGTAGACGCGTGCCGTACAGAGCACTGGATTTGAACTCGGCGATGGTATCCACAGCACCATGTCTTTCAAGACTTCTCGGATTCCGAAACGATAGGTCAGTCTTACATTTCGGTGCGAGGGTGTAGAGGTGAACGCCATGTTTCTGCAGTACAGACTCCGTGATGCTCGTTGGCGTAGGCCGTTTGCGTTTTGCCCGGCTCAATGGAGGATTCTGCAAGTCAGGCCGGTTTCCTGCTTCGTGGTCAGGTTTCAGAGCAGACTTCGTCTTCACGTCTTGCAGCTTTGCGAACTGAGCATCCCTCTCTTTCCTGGACCCTGCTACAAATGATATAGTGCGTGGAGACGAGTTCGAGGCAGCCTTTACCACTACCGGTGAGCCGGAATCCTTTTGGTCCCTTTGTTTTGCACACTTATTTTGGTCTTTGTAGTCAGGCTTTGGAGCAGACTTCGCCGTGGTCTGTCTCTGCAGCTTAAGGTCATGCTGGGACGCAGATTTGGTGCCGAGCGACAGAACTGGGTCGGATGGAGTGCGTAGCTTGCGCTCAGATCGTACATGAGGCTTGATCAGGTGCCTAGTCTCACCAGCATGGTGCTGATGATTATCCCGGCCCTTTGACCTCGTGCATGAAACCAATCCGTCGACAGAGGCGCTATCTCGAGAGAATACCTGCCGAGACGAGGAGTCTCCAGTAAATGAGGAAGTCTGTAGTGAGTATGATGAAGATGACTGAGTGGCAACTTAGTCTATGCCTTCTAAGAATGCTGAGCGGATCACAAACCTTGAGTCTCCCAGGGTTATGAGTATGGACAGGCGTTGTGACATAAGGCCATTTTGATGAGCTGCTGGCGAGTCCAGACAGCCGGAAATAAGAGCGCATTCATCGACGAATTGAGCAGGATCCAGAGGTTTATGGCATGTAGAAGTTGGATGTTCAATAATTTAAAGATTGAAGCTGCAGAGCTTGACGCGACTCGCACCAAACCACAGCACATTCACGCCAGTCTAATTCGAGACAATGGACTACGGAGCGCGCAGATGTATAGAGACCAATGCTTACTCCTTAGCAGGATTGCCCTGCTCCTGAACTTCACATCTTAGTCTCCCCAAGCGTCCGCGTCTTCGCGCGAAACCGCAAACCACCCAATTCAAGCATTCCAGCCCGCATTCATTCATTGCGACACCCATTACCATTCACTCATCCTCCACGCAGTTGATTTCTGCTGCAACCTGATCCGCAGTCGATTGCTCTTTGTAATCCCACGACTCAAATCATCCCTCGTTGCTCGACTACGCATGCTGCCTGTCATATTAGCACCCGACACAAATCACCACGTTGTAATCGCGCCCACGCTCGCGACTTGCAGCTGGATCGCAAACGAGGCACCGCTCCCACCGTTCGAGTAATATTCTTGCTCGACATGGCCGCCACAAATGGCAATCTCGCGCCATCTGATGCTGCGATCGCGACTCCACTATCACCATCTGGTCTCAAGAGAAAGCGCTCTGAAAGTGCAACAGGACAGCAGAATGGCGACTCAGTAACACCCTCAAAGCCAGTACCCGAGAGCTCCGAGAAAGAAAACTTCTTTTCTGTACAGAAAGCAGTGCTCGGGATCCTGGAGAGGTCTGTTTGCGCGCACCGTCTTGACACGCAATCCGGATGCTAATCCTGAGTCTAGCTACGACACCAAGCCTTCTCTGCTAGAGCAACCCATCCCAGACGTACAACATACCTCATCTGCAGAACATACAGCAAAACGTACAAAGACCTCCGACGAGCCCCAAGCGAGAAGCATTAAGGACAAACTTCAAAATGGTTCATACATGTCATTCGAGCCACTGCTTGCTGATGTCGAAATCGCCAGCACTCATCTGTTGTCGACAAGCAAGATTGGTAGTGACGACGGCTCTGTACAATCTTACAAGCCGCCTTCACTAGCCGAGACACGCCTCATAACAGGAATATATGCTCTGAAGAAGGTCCTCAGGAATCAAGTGCTACGTGAAGTATCTCAGCGGACCTCGAAGCTTGAGGACTCGGGCAAAGACTCAGGAGCGAAGGTGAATGGAGATGCCGTCAAGTCACCAACGGAAGTAACTGGGACAGAATGTCGCGTAGCAACTAGTAAGAAAGTGCTGACTATGTTTGCGAACGCCCAGGGACCCAAGACTCTGTTTTCCAGTCTTCAACAGCCTGCACATGTCGAGACTTCTAACAAGAATCCCACCGGCTTTAGTACATCTATCGATGTCACGTTGCCAATGAATGATGGCGCTGGTTTACCTGGTATGATCAGAATCACAGAGGCTGTACCTGTTCAATGCGCCTCTAAACGCACTCCTACAATCGGGGAGCTATTTGCACCACCAGCCACAGTTCCACAATTGAGCCCTCCGAAACCCGCGAAACCATTGACAACTAAAGGATCTGTTGTCACGTGGGTTGCAGAAGACTCTCTCTCAAAGTCACATCGAAAAGGAAAGACATACTTTTCCGAGCCACTAGCCACCGGCCAATGGCTGGGATATGGTGGTGTTGATTCTTCAGAAGAGCCTACAACACTAGAGGCCAAGGCGAAACATCGCCAGCGCGCGTTGAGTACTGGCGCAGCCCGGCCTCCAGTACCAGCCGCAGCTGTCGCCGCCTTACAACAAGCCAGAGACGATGCTCTTTTCCGCAGTGCGTTTTCGAGCTTCGCACCAAGCCATGACGATACTGTGGCAATAGTTCCATCGAGCATCAAGAACAGAGTCTGGTGGCACAAAATTGGCTCCAAAACGGTCCAAGAGGAAGTGCCCGTCGATCCGGCCTTGTACGAGCAAGCTGTTGAGGACGATGCCATGGAGGATGCTCCTGCTGTCGATACTGAGGCAGAAGAAGAAGTATTTAAACAGGTTGTCGAGCACTATGAGGAAGAAGATCTTGAGGCCGCCTTAGGTCTGCGATCGAAGGAGGACAAAGAAGTCGACGAAGTGCTGAAAGAGATATCCGAGCTGATCGAGACCCTCCACTCGTATCAGCGTATCCGCAATTCTACGTTGGCGGGAAATCTACGAACGCCAGTCACTTCAAGCGCACCTGTGCTCAATGGCACTCCGTCCAGTCCGTCATCCGCAGAAGTTGACATATATAAGATCTTGAGGTCTCAGCTATCGCTTCTCGTCTCTTCATTGCCTCCGTACGCCGTTGCGAAACTCAACGGCGAACAGCTCGCAGCGCTCAACATCAGCCGCAACATGGTAGTCGAGACTAAGACATACGAGGGAGTCTTGGAAGAGGATCAGGTTTCCAGACTAGCAAAGTCAACGTCCCTCGGGGCCACACCAAGCAAAGCTGTCGGTGTCACCCCTAACCATTCTACTCCGTTCTCTTCATACGGTAGAGTCCCTCCAGCGACGTCACATGGCCATTCTTCACGCCCGTCCACCTACTTCCAACCACAGCAATCTCAAAACGCTCACCGTCCCTCCTATGCTCCGACACCATCGTTCTTCTCAGGTCAGCGGCCCCCATACACGCCACAACCTCCTCGCGGTGGCTATGCCCAGCAGACATACTACCAAGGCCAACCTCGTCCTCCCCCTGGCTACCAAGTCCAGGCCACAACATACTACAATTCTCCTGCCGTACCCCAGGCTCAGCACCGTGGTGGCTACACGCCCCAACCGCACGCATACACCGCCCGTCCACAGCCCGTCGCACCCATGTATCCGCCTGCCGCGCATAGCCCGCATACACGGACTGCATCGCCCCTGAAGCCCACTCCAACCCCGACCCCAATGTATCCGCAACAAAGTCCGTCACGCCCAGGGTCGTATACCCCGGGACCGCCGCGTCCAAGCTCTTCGAGCTTCCACCCCCAGCAGCAAGGAAGTGGCGCACCGAACGAGATTGGCCCGAGTGGGTTTCACAGTAGCATGACTGGCGAGCAGCAGCAGAGTATGGTGGATCGACATCGTGCAAATCTAGCAAACGGAGGACGGGCAACGCCAGTCGCGGCGGAGAGCAGGGCGGGAAGCGGAACTCCAGGTGTGGAGAGGGAGAGTGGTACGCCAATGTCTACATGAGAAAGGAGGCAAAGTGTCGTTACATCCGCAAAAGGGAACATGGGATTTGGGATTTGATTTGCACTGAATGAGTGGCGTTTCGGGTGTAAACTATCAAAATACCCGTCAAGAGCAACTGCGTTTGCTAGTACGGTGTCTTCGTTTCTTGTTTGAGTGGAACTGGAGAGCTGGGACGTTCCTCGTGTTAAGGGGGATTATAGAATTAGTCCCTGCGTCTTCGCAAAGATTGGGGGTAGTAATTGCACGTCATGATGCTCAGCTATTTTCCTTCGTCGTGCTCGTCGACTTCATCTCCATTCAATCTTTCATCATGGGTCATGTCTCCTCGCTCCTGATTACATCATCTTCTGCACTACCTTACAGTGCTTGGGCCTGCTGATACATGGCCAATTCATGACGATCATACCATACATGTCCACACAGATATATGCACCACTCTGATGCAAACCCTTCACCCCCATAGTAGTGTCCTCCGCCTCCAAGCCAATGCTTTTCATAAAGGTGATAGACCGAATCAGAAAGATCCGAAATCCCGTCCAACCGGGAAGAATTGAGGTAACGCCGTCGCTAAAGCGAGAAAATGAGGAACTGACATGGGAAAGAGTTTGTGCGCCGGAGATGCTGAGGCCGTTACGTCATGTTTGAAACAGGGATCGTCGTAGAATGATAGTAAGTCCAAGGTCTGCTGTATCCAATCTCAGATATTGCGTTCGAGATCTACTCATCGTCATGAGTCCACGAGTATTTTAACATCAGCTCTGTCGTGGTACTTCATTTGGGTATGGTTTTCGTCCCCATACCACATATCTATGCCACTGTCAGTCCAAAACCTCACATGACTTCTTTCACCATACACAAACTCACATTTTGAGATACGCGTGCACGCTGCGATCACTAATCGCCTTACGCACATTCACCAAATCGACCTCAATCTCGTCCTTAGTCCAACGTAATACGCGTGAAAACCACGCTAACGAGAAGCCCTGCAGTCCATCCAACAGATTCTGCTCACTGAACCGTCCCAACATTTTGAACTGCGGATCCTTCGGCCAGCTGTTGATAGGTAATTTGAACATCTCCTCCTTAACATCTACAAATCCAGCTTGCTCGTACCATCGCTTCAACTTATTTGCGATGCGCATAGGGCGACCGGCGTCCATGGCGGCGCCATCCTGTCGACGCTGCCATACGAGGAGCGGGTAGTTGGGCGGCATGGTGCCGTCATCACAGAAGAGCATGCTGTACATTTCTTGGGACTCGAGATAGCCGCCAGGACGCAGCGAGTGGTAGGCCTTTTTTATGATTTCACGAAAGTCAGTGAAGGCGCCAAGGAGCACGCGGGTGTGGACGTAGTCGAGGGAGGAAGGACGGATCATCCAGTCTGGCTCGGCGGCGTCGTCTATTATGAATTTGCAGTTCGCTGGGTAGCTACGAGTATGGCGTAAGGATGGGGTTGTCGTGAGATGTGAGGGAGTGGAGGTGGACTTACTACATAGGCTGGATGGGCGAAAGGTCAGTTCCAGTGACTTCTGCGTTGGGGAACTTCTTGGCCATCTGTACAGCCCATTTCCCTGTGCCTGTGCCGATATCAAGGATCTTGCGTGGGTTCTCGAGGGGTGCAAAGTGGTTTCTGCCCCCGAACAGAACCTTTAGAATCTCGAACTGCAGGTCTAGACGTTCTAATTCGGGCTATGCGAGGCGTTAGCAATGCCGGTCGGTATGTTCACGACTGCGATTGGCGCTCACTGGATCGTTCGGGAATAAGTATGCTGTGCGCGTATCAGTGCATATCCTGTTTCGCTACTTTGCTACGCTCGACTTACAGCCCGCTTGGTAAGCATGATAGGTCCGTCCATTCTCTTTTATAAAGTTGAATATGCTCTCTCGCACACTCTTCGTGCTCCTGTGCCCAATCAGTACAGAGCTTCTCGACGCTCGCGTCTGTCCTTAGCCTGACGTACGTATCACAGCTACCGGTTTCGTGGCCGTTATCGGAAAGATCGGACTGTAGCACAAGATTGAATCAGTATTGTCGCTAATATACACGAACGGGTCTAAGACTCCACAATGGCGTTCGTATTGTAGGGTGTGGCAGCGTCCCAGGACGAGGCTGATGAGAAGTAAGTGCGACATACATCGGGCTCTATAATGTTTCGTGGCGACGGCGGACCTTCTTCAGGCGAGGGAGGCTCATCGTCGTAGAGGGGAGTAGATGGCGGAATGGTCAACGACGACATGCTGCTCTGGAGCAGTCAGTGGTCGAATTAAAGTAGTGGAGAGTGTTTGATCGTGGTCGTGTCGGGGAGCGAGTATGGACCCGGTATGTTGGATCATGGAGCTGAAGGTTTGGAGTAGGAAAAGTCGCTCTGGCAGCAGAAGTCCCGAGAACATGGAGCTGGTCCTGTTGGCGAAGTTCGCTTACCACACTAACTGCGGCCGCTTCTTCCACCAGGGGCTCCCCAATTGACCTGTACCAAACATGCAACCCCATCACCACCACCGTTAATCCAAGGGATCGTTAATACACCACTCTGCTGACCCATCCAGCCCAAGATGCCAGGCCAGGGTGCAGCATGGACTGCCGACGCCACTCCCATCCCCTCGAACCACTACCTAGCGGCAAGAAAGCCCCGGTCATCGGGTCGGTCTTATTCGATGCTCGACGTCTTCTATCTGATTTAGCCTAGACAGCGATGACAATACTTCTCACGAGCACTCGCCATCATATCCTCCTTTCTCTCCCCTCTCCACCAATGGCAGTGTTGTATGTCAGCTGGCACAGCCTCGAAGCTCGCGTACGGATGCATAGAAGCCTCCCGCGAAAGAGACTCTGGCCTGACTTGCGAATCCCTGACTATCTCTTACCTCTTCTTGTCAACGGCACATCACTCTGCAGCGCGACGACGTGGCTCGAATTGTCGGAGGATTCCAGTCTTTGCTCTCTGCATCAGGCCCAGCTGCACGGGTGACATTAATACGGCTCACCCGCAGAACGTCACACAACAGCTTACAGGCTCACGGTCCGGGGGTCCGTGTCAGCAGGAGCATCTTCTTTCGTCTGTTTATGTTGGGACAAGAAAGCTTATTGTCCCATGCAGCGCGACTGGCCTAACAAATCGCTTGCACAAGGCGTGCTCAGATTCTGAGCAAAAATTTGATACCTCTCACACGTCCCCGTCATGCAATTGATATTGTGACCAGTGCAAGCACGACCTGTGCTAGACTTCGAAAGAACCTGGGGACAGGCCTTGGCCGGACCATGCGGAAAATAAACAGTTCATGGTTTTAACACAGGCTCTAGCTGCATATTTGGGCCAGGCTCTTATCAGTCAGTCATGGCGATTTAGATAGTAAGACAGCTGCGGCAGTTGACTTGACTTGGCACCTACTGTTTATGTGTGCCAACAGCATATTGTGGTGCAAACATGCATATTGCCTCATTATTGTAGAATCGCCCTATGGCAAGTCAATCCTGGACCTGAACGCTCTCACATGTAAGGAATTATAGTCACGGCAAGAGCTCAAGTCTTTATGTTGGGTCATGACGCCGTCTCTTTGTATGGGTGAAATAACAGGTATCGTTTGAATCGTTCCTCGTCTTTTTGCCTCAATCATAGCTCAATAAGGCCCCGTGCACTGAGCCTTAAAGCGCATTGGATCCTCACAAATGCAGCTCGACGCAAGCAGATCAATGGGCAAGGCCTCCCTTGTGTCCAGCTTCCTTTGCAGCTTCGCTTCCTGGCTTGAAAGTGCCATCTTCACGGCGTCCGTTCTGCGATATATCATCAATACGGTGCATCAATTCCCACGCAGTAAGGGATACACTTACATCTTCGGCCTCGTGGGCATGCTCTTGTGCGATAATACCACCTTTCCTTTGGTCAGCTCGAGCGTGGACGTGGAATTATATGCATATGCACCTTTGCGGCCAGCCTCTTTGGCAGCCTCGGATCCTGGCTTGAAGGTTCCATCCTCGCGACGTCCACTCTTTAGTAGTAATCAGTATGGTACAGTACGGAGGCATCGGGCTGTTCCTACATCGTGGGCTTGTTCGTGCGCATGCTCCTGGGCAATCACACCACCTGTATGTGTCAATCAACGTACTGCGAGCTAAATGCACATCGCATTACCTTTGCGACCAGCCTCCTTGGCAGCATCAGATCCAGGCACAAAGGTTCCATCGGTGCGGCGTCCAGTCTAGTGAGTATGTGAACAGGACGTCCTTACGTAGCGTGAGGGGTAAGCCTACCTCGCGCTCGACTGCTTTCTCGTGAGCAGCCTTCCCACCTTTACTGGCAATGGCCCGGACTTCTTCAGTGGGACGGTTGGCGAAGTTTGCTGGGTTAGAATCGGCCATGTTGAAAGTATGCTGTGCGATGACACTAGATTGAACGAGCTGTAGAGTCAGAAAGGTTTAGAATTGTTTTGAGAAGAGAAAACTAGGGGCATTGAATTCAGCTGCCATGTTATATTTGAGACTCAGGAAAGGCACTTCACTCAAACTGGCAAACACCATGTTCATCACGTTGTCAATTCCTTGTTGTTGTTGCCTTCAGTCTTGGAACATGGGAACCCGGTGACGTATGGGCGGAACGCGCCCGGAAATCGCGTCCATGCCGGGCACTTAGCGGCTGATCACCGTTAGGCTACCTACTTCGCGTCCCCCTAAACTTCACGCGTCTTATATCTCTATCTTCGCCACTCCAAGGCCCCAATACCATAATCTCGCCCTCGAACTACGTGTCATGTCCCTCAAACGCAAAGCTGTCGAGCTGGTTGCTACGGAAGCAAAAAAACCAAAAGCCAATGGCAGCATCACGTCTTTCTTCGGCGCCCCAAAGTCGATTAGCACCACCGCTGGAGTTGCGCCAAAGGAGTCTGCGCAGCCGAAAGTCAAGTTCGATAAGGACGCGTGGGTGGCGAACCTAAAAGATGAACAGAAAGAATTGCTGAAATTGGAAATCGATACCCTGCACGAAAGCTGGTTGGCACATCTGAAAGACGAAATCACAAGCGCGGAGTTCCTAAATCTCAAGCGATTCGTTAAGAAAGAGATTGATAGTGGCAAGAAGATTTTCCCACCGCTAGAGCAGGTATATTCTTGGTCAGTACCCGCCAAACGCTGTCTAGACTTGCAGTGCTGCCTTCGGCTGGCCCGATGAGTCAATTGATACCATACTCAAGGCTGACAATCTTCAACAGGTCTCGACATACGCCCCTGAACACTGTCAAGGCAGTCATTCTCGGCCAAGATCCGTATCACAACGTGAACCAAGCCCACGGCCTGTGCTTTTCCGTCAAGCCTCCGACCCCAGCACCTCCTTCGCTCAAGAACATCTACATCGCGCTCAAAAAAGACTATCCTACCTTCTCGCCACCACCGAAGAATGGTGGTCTGCTCACGCCCTGGGCAGATCGAGGTGTGTTGCTGCTCAATACATGTCTGACTGTTCGGGCACACGAGGCGAACAGTCATGCCGGGAAAGGCTGGGAGCGTTTCACACAGAAGGTAATCGACACTGTGGCTAAGCAGCGGACAAACGGCGTTGTGTTCCTTGCATGGGGCAGTCCGGCCCAGAAGAGAACTGCAAACATCAATAGTCAGAAGCATTTGATCTTAAAGAGCGTACATCCAAGTCCGTTGAGTGCTTCGAGGGGATGGGTGAGTACTCAGCAACTAGCGTATAGAGTCGGGATCCTGCTAACGTCCTTTAGTTTGACTGCGGACACTTCAAAAAGACCAACGAATGGCTCAAACAACGCTATGGCGAAGATGCGGAGATCAATTGGGACCTCAACGTTCAGCCTGAGGAAGCAGGCGAGTAGAGTTGCATTATCTGCCACTGCGTAATAAACAAGTGATTGATTGGTCGGCCCTGTCACAATGTGACGGGTATCAAGCGCAAGTATGATGTTCGCTAGACGGAGTTTCTAGGTCTTTATATAGAACAACATGTGTAGTGATTACGGCCTGCTAAGCACCCCAACAATGGTTAATTACTTGAAAATGTCCAGCATGTTCAAACACCAATTAATATGTTTTCCGCTCGCTTTAAGCTCATTGGGCAAGCTTCACAGGGTTTATGGTCTGTGCGCTGTCTAAGTCGAACGCGACGTAAGCTTTGGCGCAGCCGGTGTGGAGTGATTAAGCTCCAGCGTCTTTAGGCAACTCAACAGCTCTAGACCAACACTATTTCCTACTACCTGCAACTCTCTGCTCGTCACTACTGATTTTTCAGTAATGCCTTATTCCTGCTCATAATACCATCATGCGGATCAGAAAGCCCTTCGCAGGTACGCACACAAAGCTCAAGGTGGACACCGCAGTGAAGAGGCTGATATTTTACTGCAGCTGCCTTCTCCATAGTATGCATATTCGCAGCCGGAGCAGGCTTCGCTCCCAGTCAATATGAGATTCCGAGCTACAAGCAAAGCGACAAAGTCCTCCACTTCTTTACCTTCTTCATAGTTACGGTGTGTTCTACCTTCAGTGTAGACATCGATTCCAGAACTGACAGAAGGACCCGCAGACAGCCTTCTACTGGATACTTGAGACCAATCGACGGCGCGTACTCCAACTCACGGCCCTCGTCTGTACCTTGGGCTTAGGGGTAGGATCAGAGTTCATTCAGTGGGCCATACCTGTAAGTACTGCACAGGAATATGCATTGATACAGTATGAATATTAATACTAAAGTTACGCAGAACGGTCGGGAATTTGACCAATTTGACATTGTCGCAAACGTCCTTGGTTCCGGTCTCGCACTTGCTCTTTCAACGTGGTATCATAAGCGCATGCTGGAGCGGAAGCGCGCTGCCCGGAGCTACCAAGCGGTTCCGGGAGAAGACTCCGAGCGAGACCTCGAGCTGGGTGAGGGTGTAGGCGAACAGGAAACCGGCGTCACAGGGACGGCTGCTGTGCAAGAGGAACTCGATAACTGGGATGAAAACGCAGAGGACTGGGAGACAACGGAGCCGGGAGAAAACATGGATGGTAATATTATGAAGGATACCCCGACTGATGCGATAGATGGCAAGGCGAAGAGAAATGATTAGGCTTGCCGTGACGGTGACGACTATACCTCAACAAAATGAGATTATTGGAAATGAATTGTGTTCGTTAGGAAAAGTCATATCAGGTGGCCTATACAGATATATGAGAACGTGGGCATTCACGAGCACACCGAATACGCATCTGCTGTTCGATGTTGAAAATATGGGTCTGATATTGATTTGCTTTTACATACCTTAGTAGTGTGGTGCAAACATGGGTCACCCAGAAACATATAGGAACCACCGCCAAGTGCCCACCAAGCTACCACGCAACACCGAACAGTTTGGTCCCATTCTATTTTTGATTAAATACAAAGTTCAAATAATCATTAGAGGATGTATGAATGCTGAGACTGGTAGTCATTGATTGAGCACTAATTATCCAGGCACTCGAGGTAACCTTTCCAGTCGGCTCGGTACTAGATCAGGCATAAATATTGGTGCCTTACACTGTTTGCGCTCCGCTAGGCGCGCGACCTCCCCAGGCGTGAGACAGCCCATACTGCTACTTGTGAACCTCACCTCAACCCACGGGCGAACGACCGTCGACGACACCTCGACGCCATCACTTCCATCTTTCAAACTTTGAGTCTGCATTCTTTTGAACTTTCGCTTCTACCGTATAACAATTTTGGCCATCCTCGGCCGCCGCATGACACTCGCGCAACACTCGACCACTCGACTGTTACGTAGTTCTGGTGAGCGGCATGCTTGGCTTGGCATCAGGACGACACTGAACGCGGGCAATGTTCAATGCCAACGGCCCCCTCCATCGCCCCTCGTCGCTGTCGAGCAATCATGGCGCATCCAGATGGCCTAGCCATCTGTCGAATGCGAATCGGACTCGCACTCCTAACATGAGCGATGATGGGGCCGTGTCAAACGCTTCCGGTAACAATGGGGGTGAGGGGGTGGATACCTTGGGAGAGGAAGATCGCAGGACTGTGGAGTTTAGGGAACACTACAAGAGGAGTGAAGCATTATTGATGGCTGCAATGGGTGATGGCGATGCGAAAATTACCTCTGCCGACGCGCTCTTTGATGATGATCCGGCGCATTCCTTTGCGACAGTGGCCGCCGAGGCCGCACCCCCGACCGCGCCTCCGAAGAAGCCTGCGCGAACGATTGACGAAGACGACTACGGAGACGACGATGACGATGATGAAGACAACGAATCCAACGCGTCTCCCCTCAAATCAAAAGGCGCGGCCGCCGTCGGAAGTGTTTCCGCCCCCGACAAACACAAATATTCCAATATCACGCGGCCCAACACTGATGGCGCAAAGCCAGAACCACCAAAGACTACTGATGAAGTGCGCAAAAAGCTGGAGCAAGATAAAAAAGCGACCGAAGACGCTGCTCGACGAAGCTTCCACACCACCTTCTACACCTACGAGACTGATCGCGATGCGATGTTGGAACAACAGAAGCTTGACGAACTTGATCGTCAAGTGGAAGCTGAAACTGGTCCAGGTCAGGCACAAGGTCAGAATCAGAAGAATGGCGCTGCCCCCCCAAATCAACCAGGTACCCTGAGCGGGACAAATCTTGGCGGTTCGGTGAACCTTACGCTTAAGCACTTGATCGCACGAATCGACCAGAAACGGAACATGGTAAATGCAACAGATACACAGCTGAGAACCTTGATGAGTGAGGTGCGCAAGAATCGTAGCAAATGGGCGAACGAGGATAAGGTCGGACAAGAAGAGCTATACGAGTCAATGGAGAAAGTCTTGATGGAGCTCAAAGCCATGACCGAACATGCAGGGCCTTTCTTGCAGAAGGTGAATAAGCGGGATGCCCCGGACTACCACCAGATCATCAAACACCCCATGGACATTGGTACCATGTTGAAGAAACTCAAAGGCTTGCAGTACAAATCAAAGAAAGAGTTCGTAGACGATTTGATGCTCATCTGGTCCAATTGCCTCAAGTACAACGGCGAGCCCACGCATTTCCTCCGCAAGAAAGCGCTTCACATGAAGAAAGAGACTGATAAACTTGTCCCCTTGATACCGGACATCGTGGTCAGGGACCGTGCCGAAATGGAAGCAGAAGAAAGACGCACGCAGAATGGAGATATTGGTGAGCCGGAGGACAGTGAAGATGGTAAGTTTCAGAGGCTGCTAGCTGTTAGGATCTGTAATCTGACATGTAACCAGAGGAACCAATTATGGCATCACGAGGCCGAAAAGCGCCAAGCAAGAGTAACAAAAGCTCATCGGCTGCCCGCAAAGCCCCTCCAGCTGGGTCTGAGGGTACACCGGGAGCCGATACAAAGCCTCCTGGGCCTGTCCTCAACAATGCTGCCTCTAACCTAAAGAATGAATTTCTTCGCGCTGATTCCGATGCGCCACTTGAGGGCAGCATTAATGGCTTTTCAACGCCTCCACCCGGCAGCGTTACGCCTTTTGGTGCGAACGGTGTACCAGGTAGCAATGCCCCTGGTAGTCAAGTAGACTTCTCAGAGCTCGACGGCGCTGGAACCAACATGGCTGGCCTAGGGGTAGTCGAGGATGCGGATGACAACGATCTTGAATACAAGACCTGGAAGCTTATAACTAAGAAGGATCGTGCACGAATTGCATCGGAGCGCCACCGTCGCTTCAAGGGAGATGCCCTCGATCCAGAGCAGCCTGCGATCCTACGAAGCAAAGCTGGTATGAGACGCTGGCTGCGTCGTCGAAAGCAAGCCGAAGACGACAAGTATCTAGATCCATCAGCTGGACCCGATGGTAAAGACGGAGCGCCTGCTGCCGCCGAGACTTTGGCTGAAGGAATCGAAGAAGAAGATGATCGTGACCTTCCCGACTACTATGATCCAGTGTGCGCAATCCCGGACGTCAACCCTAGGCTCAGATGGGTAGAGGACTCTGATGGACAGCTTGTTGAGCAGAGTGAAGATTTTCTTCGTGTCATTCCGAAAGGTGCTTTCAAAGCCCCCACTGGTCACCTGTCCCAAAAGGTGGAGGACAACATGCGCCAGATGCAAGATACACGTAAAATCTGTGCCAAGATTGGTGTAGTGAAGCAGATGCAACTACAGGCACAGGTAAGTGTCCGATTCAATTTCTACGTACCGCCTAGTGCTAATCAATCCTAGATGTACCAAAACCAATTCCAGAAATATGATCCTGTCCCATTCGTCGAACAAGACGTTGAGCCCATGGTCGTTACCGATGACGGCCCAGTCATGTCTAAGACTACATGCCGCGCTGCACTCCAGAGGAGCGTCGGAAAAATCTTCTATCATGCAGGCTTCGAAGAATTCCAGCCATCTGCATTGGAAGCTATCACTGATATAGCTAGCAATTTTTTCAGTCAGTTGGCCACGACGCTGCAGCTATACGGAGAGTTTCCAAAGGTGCCAGAAGAGCGTCCTACCGGAGACGAGATAGTATGGAACAGCAGGTTCACTGAGGAGGAGTCTATCCTACATGCTTTAGATAAAAACGGCATCGATATGGAAGGTCTTGAATCATACGTCAAGGACGATGTCGAAAGACTAGGCACCAAACTGCTGGGCATGCACGAGCGTATGAAGTATCACTTGGCAGAGCTACTTCGCCCTGCTCTTGACAGCAACGCTGGCGCCGACGGAGCAGGTGCATTTAATGATGGGAGCGAGCAGTTTGTCAGTGGAGACTTTGCAGAAGATTTCGGCGAGGATTACTTTGGTTTCCGTGAGCTTGGACTTGACCAGGAATTCGGTCTCGCACAGCTCAGTGTTCCCCTACATCTTCTCCAGAATCGCATGCACCACGCGTACCAGGCCCAACACGCCAATACGACAACATCAGTTGGTACGCTCATGGACGAACCAGCGACGTTCGAGCCTGTCACAACGCAGAGCATCACTCAAGAAATTGGCATCATACAAGGATTCTTCCTCAGCAAGCTCCACGACCATGGAGATCAACCTCTCGTCGAGGATGACAATCTCCCGGCCAAGCAGCGCTTCCCCAAGCCCCGTCTTCCTCCCACCGGCAAGATCTCAAGTCCGAGGAAACGGCCTATCAGGGAACAGCAACAGCTTGCTCGCAAGAAAAGGAAGCTAGAAGAAAGCAAAGACGATGGCAATGCCAATGCTGGCTCCAAGCCGATGCCAACTTCGATCAAAAAACTTAAGCTTGACCCACCTGCCAACAAAGATACCGCAGGTGATCCTGAGAAGGACGACGCTAGCGCAGTTGGCATGATGAGTCCTGAAAGTATCGCTGCATGATTTGTATTAACATTTCATTGCAGTCAGTCCCTCGCTGTCCTCGGGGTGCTCTCTAGGTTCCGGGAGCTCCTCGTCCTGCTCCTACAGCGCACCTTCTACTCCACTAGCCGGACGACGCGCCCACAAATTTGATTCGCAACACCCGAAGGCGATGCGCCGCAACATTCCACCACCTAGAACGAGTTCTTCGCGTCGTAATTCAATATCTCGACGACACTCCAGGAGACTCGAACCACAATATGTCTATCCGATATGCGGTCCATTCGTGTAACCACGATTGTGGACCTCGGACTCCCCTTGGCGTCGACCCTTCCACTATACACATCTCGTCTTATGAACGACACTACCTGCACGACGTTGGTGTTCTGGCGCTCTTGTATCCGGCGTTCATATACTACGCTTTTCTTGACCCAGCTTCTCCGAGCTATTCCAAATTCCTCTGCTTCACTACACACGCGAAGCACCACATATCGTGCAGGCCGGTCTATCGTCTCCGTTGATTATACCCTTTCTCGGTTTGTGCACAGGAGGAAAGGCTTCTTTTTGTACTTTGTTTTGGGAGGGTCGGAATTCATGATATTTCCCCATGGTCTGAGTCTTTGCATCTGGGATGGCTTTGCATGCATACTTTTGATCCTACTGGGCCTAGCGGGTCTTCTTCTATAATATGAGGGGGAAAAATCCCCCCCCAACAGTCTGTATATATGGCGTCGGCAGGTTTTGATATCGTGGGGCACTGTGGCTAAGGGGTGCGTAGCTCTGTCGGATGTTGCGTGAGTGTATTAGCGCGTGTGTCTAGTCAGTCGGGAGTGTCTATTCCAAATTTGATTACTTTGAGATGAGCGGGTGTGTGTTCGTGTGTAGTACTTCTGGCTAATAGTGATGGACAGAGAGTTCTGTAGCGGTAAGAAGTCTGGTAAGAGGCCTTTATGTCATTCATCTACTTCAGTTTATTGTAAAGATCATCTACCATCTGCTCGAAACGCTGTACTGCGGTACTTGCTGTACCCCTTTTATGCTACGCCCAGTCAGGGTATAACTCATCAAAATCATGCACTCCGCATACAGACGGACATCACCAAGAAGCAGCTCCACGTTCCCGTACCAATCACTATCTTAAGCGTTATATTGCATTACCAGTTGAATGGACAGGTCCTTCTAATGCGCTTGATAGCTTGGCGAGAGTCATCCTCAAGATCTAAGGCGCATGGGACTAAAAGAGTATTTTTTTTCTGCACCCCTGGTTCAAATGTCGATGTAGCTACACCCTCGCTTTCACCTCCTTACGCACACCTTCCCCATCCTTGTTTACCCATGGATCCCGAGGTTGCGACAGAAATTGAGGGATCGCAGTTGCAGGAACCTTTGGTCTCTGCTTGGCCTCGTCGGCCAGGGTGAGCAATACGGACCTCCAGTATGTCTGATCTTGCCACCATACATGCACCCATCTCCGTAAATCTTCCGGGGTAACCTTGTCATTCGACCACAGAGCTGCATTCATCGCACCGGTGACCGGATCCGTGGTCAACGGAGTCTCATCCCTCGACCAGGTAACAAGCTGCCCGTCATTCCGCTTCCGGATGACCCAGTACAACAGTTCACGCCGATGCTGTTTGACCCGGGCCCAGAAATCGACATTCCCCTTATTGATCAATGCAGGCCCGTGGTCTTCAATCATGCTCATCAGCCCTTCCCCAACCAACTCGCCAGGCTCCTCGTGCAGCGCCCGCTGGAGGCTGAAGCAGTCATACGGCTTCTGCCGCACCCCTCCCGCGCGCGCCAGCGCTCGCGTCCAGTTCGGCGCCGCCGCAACAAGCTGCACCATCATCAGCCAGTCCTCGTTGTACATGCTGTAGGGAAAGAAGGCCATGTGCGTCGTGACGCGCAGCAGGATCGCCGAGCCGCTCACGAACACGTCCTGGCCGAGGCCGACGAGGGGTCGTGCGTGGCCCACGACGCCGTTGTCCGCCATGTGGATGGACGGCCAACTGACGGCCTGGAGGTCCGAGTCCTCGCGCATGGCGCGCAGGGCGTAGGCGAGATGCTCGGCGGAGAGGGTCAGGCGGCCGTCGGTGTAGGGCGTGATGTCGTCGTCGACGAAGAAGACGAATTCCCAGCCTAGGCGTACGGCGAGCATGACTCCTAGGGTGCGTTTCCAGGCTAGGTTGCTGGCCTTGTGGGCAGCGGTCATTTCGTCCTTTGCGGACTTGAATTTGGGTTGCCACTTCAGTTTGTGTCGGATGTTAGTGTATAGGTTCCCTTTCTTTTTTGCTTATATCAGGGCGACTTACTGATGGATGAACATCATCGATTTCTACCCGTATAAGTCTATCGTCGCTACCGACGGCCTCGCGGACGCTGTGGAAGTCGGCTTTGGAAGCTTCGTGGCTTTGAAGCAATAGCAAGGGGCAGTGATGACTTGATGCAAGACTGGCAAGAAAGAGGAGCCCGTCCTTGCTACGAGCATACTCGTAGCTGGTCGGTACAACAATACCACCTCCGTTCTCAGAGATCAGTGGGCCCCATTCCGATATATCACTTCCTGCGGCAGGACGTGGCGGCCGTTCAGGACCGTAGAGACTTGTCAAGAGTTTCGAGTGCGTAGCTCGGTACTGTGCTTCTCTATCATCCTGGAACTCTGGCGGCGGCTCATACGAAGCCGTACGCTTGGAAGCGTCAAAACACACTTCCCAGTCCTCGTTCAATGCCATCCTATCTAGGAGTTTTGAATTCAGGAACTGTGCTGGGAGGGAGGTCTTTGTGTGGCGGTTCAAGCTGGCTGGCAGATTTTCAAGACAAGGTCGAGGAAAGACGAGGAAATATCAGCGGTGTTTTGCAACGAATGAAGTGGCTGCGTGTCGCCTTTTATTGGCTTCTGTCTGTCCTATATCAATCACCATGGTCCTCACATAGCGACAACCCCCCTCCCCTTCCACCGGCTTCGGGGATCTGTTAGTAGCATGCTGCTAATACGAAAATACGATGAGAAGTTCTGAAACCGTACCTAAAGCTATCTGACGAGGTGGAATGATCTTGAGGCGAAGCTTTTCTTTAAAGTTTGGGGGCGTCAATAATTGATCATGCAAGGCACTCGAATGGAAACGGGCCGTTGACTACTGTTTATGCAAGCCACTCAAGTAGGAATGCGCAGTTGTTATGTTTGCGTCACAGGCAATTGCATCATCCCAAACAGCTTAAGAACCTCCCTTCCTCACGGTCAGAAGACTTGCTGGAATAGCCGCTAGGAGAACCTTAACTTCAATATGTGTGATCAAGTAGCGAAAACACCTAAACACCACGTGGTCGATTACCGGACCATCGCCAAAGATGCGCCTCCTGAAGTTCGTAAGGAGGCTCTCAAAGCTGTTGATGATGCCCTTCGCTCTCATGGATTCTTCTACCTATCTCATCATAGTGTTCCTCCACCTCTCCTTGCTGCAGCTTTCGATTGGGTATGTCAGCCATCACAATTGAACGTGTGCGGAACAGAACAATAGTCTAATGCAGCATCTAGATGAAAAAGTTCTTCGCATTGCCACATGAAGTCAAGTCGCTCGCCCGTCGTTCTAAGGATCCCTTCGATCCTCGTGGATACACCATTGTTGGTGACGCGGTCCTGGATCAGGAGCACCAGCCTCATACTCTGGGCGAGCTTGCAGAAGCAAGAGCTAAAGCGCCAGTCGAACAACGAGAGACACTCGAGCTCGGGTGTCCACATGCGACCAACCAGAGTCCCAACAAATTGTTGCCAGAGGAAATCTTCCCTGGCTTCGCCGGATGGTTGGATGAATGGTGGGACACAACTATGGTAAATTAAATCCCCCCCAGCCCGAATTTCCCACGAAGACAGATAGAAGGAACATAGAAAGTCATGCTAATACAATTTTGACAGCGCCTCCAGTTGAGCTTGATGGAGTGTTTTGATGAAATCCTTCTTGGGGAGAATGCAAGCTCAGGCGAAGGTCTGGTCAGCCAGCAAGACCTTGACCAGAGTTATTCCAACATGAGTCTGATCCATTACCACAATATGGCGATATCAGACATAAAGAATGGTACTGCAAGCCGTTGCAATGCTCACACCGATTCCAGTCAGCTTACGCTCTTGTTCCAAGACGACGTCGGCGGACTAGAGGTTTTGGACCAGAGCACACCGAACGGGCAGGCAAAATTTGTTCCCGTACCCCCAGTCCCGGGTATGATGATTGTGCAGCTAGGCGACATGCTTGAGAAGCAGTCAAACGGACGATGGCGCAGCGCATTGCATAGAGTCACAGCTCCCTCATCCAAGAGAGACTCTGTCCACGCTACTACGCCTTCGGCCGGCACAGAAGGCACGCTGCAGGATCGCTACTCGGTTGCAGTCTTTGTCTATCCTCAATTTGACACGGTGATCAAGCCTTTGCCCGGGTGCTCAGACAAGGGTCCATGGAACAGCTTCGACTGGGGTAGCGTACAGACGGCGGGAGAGTGGTGGCGCAAGAGGATCGAACTGGAATTCGGGAAATATGCCAGCAGCTGAGGACGTAAACAGCCGAGACGCGGTTAGCTTGAGGCTGTTTGTGATTCCACTGTGCCTTGTTGTATCTAGTAAACTACCGTCTCGAGGTTAGCCTTTCTAATTCCATCACGCGGTTTTTCTATCGAGGTAGTACCCCGTTTGTGAAAATATTATTCAAAAACAACTGTGAAACCAGCATTTTCTGTTCTACTAACCTATCCTGTCGTCCAAAGGATGCGAAATCCAACACCTCATTGGCTCCTGCAACAAACCATGCAGAGAAGCTACTGCGGATAGCATCGGCCTCTAAAGCTTGCATCGACTTAAAGCTATATGACATACCGTGATACCCCGGCCTACAGGGTGTTCTCGTTTAGGGGATTCTTTAAGCACAAGCAGATGCGTGAGAGAGTATGGCATGATTGAAAACACAAAAAATAAAAAAAGAACTTGTCCAAGTACGTAAGTAAATGAGGGGAAATACCCCCGTTAAGTTCATGTCATTCGTCCGAGCCACCCTAATTGGTGCTTACTTATCCCCACAATAGAAGGGCCGTCTAGTAGAAGACACTGCGCGAATAACGACTTGTGCACGTGAACAGAGCCAGGCACCGCGTCCTCTAACTATATGGGAATATCTAAGGCTTGTGCAAAAAAAAATTTCGTTCAAAAGGTGCAGCTACAATATGGCTTACTGAACTTGACTCGGAAGAAAGAATGCTGTTTAGGTGGCTTTGATTCGAATGATAAAAGTGAAGATGAAGATAGTAAACAAAGCATAAAGCTTATTATATTGACGGATCCGTTATACGTCGTTAGTAGGCTGAGCCGAGCCTTTAAAGCCAACAAGCTAGGAAGAATGGGGAAATTCTCCTGAAGCTAAAATTGACGTTGCCCAACTCACCGCCAGGCTTAATACACAGTACGCCCACATTCGAAGTAGACAACATCGGATGACAGTTTGAAACAGTGTCTAGTGATGTGCCGAAAAACTCTCCCTAGGGTGGCCTGGTACACATCTTTTCCATGATGGATCAAGTCAGTAATGTACCATTGAGGACGACGGAGCCGAGACACTCAGATGCCTATTTATTAACTGAGTGTAGGACTCAAATTTAGCTCTTCCCACATATTGATAGTATTAACTACTTTCAAATATGTGGTCTCGTCTCAGGAGCAAAAGCCGTCGACCTCCGTTCCTCCTGCACTACCGTTCGGCGGAGTGGTTTATTGTCACGTCCATTGCCATTGCAATCTTCAGCGAGACTCTGATCTACGCCATCTTCATCCCAGTCCTCCCCTTTGCCTTAGTCTCACGAGCTAGAGTAGAGAGGGATGAGGTACAACGGTGGACGGCCACGCTTCTGGCCGTCCATGCAGGCTTCCAGATTGCGTTTTCGCCGCTGTCCGGCTGGATTGCCGACAGAACCTCCACGAGACGAGGACCCCTACTGCTCTCCTACCTCCTGCTCGCAGGGGCCACGCTTCTCCTCATGTTCGGACGCTCGATTGGGACCTTCATCGCCGCAAGAGCTTTGCAGGGAGCCGCTGCCGCCGCCGGCTGGACTATTGGACTTGCGCTGCTCGTCGACACCGTTGGCGTCGACCAGATGGGCGAAGCGTCGGGCTGGGTGTCGTTCAGCTCAAACGTAGGCATCCTGTCTGGGCCGCTGCTCGGCGGGGTGCTGTATGAGAAGGCCGGCTACTACTCCGTCTTCTACATGTGTCTTGGGATCATCGCCTTGGACATTGTGCTCCGGCTGTTGATTGTGGAGAAACGCGTTGCCAGGAGATGGCTGGAGGAGAAGAGGCATACGCAATCGATCGACGATGCAGAAAAGGCTGATCCGCAACAAGGTTCACCCTCCCCTACCTCAGCCCCCGTGATCGAAGTTAAGCAGGGCGTGCCGTCGTCGTCAGTCTCCAACCTCGACTCCACAAGTCACGACTCGATCACACCACAGCCTCCTCCTCCTCCTCCTGCGGAAGAATCACCATCACGAGTCCCAGACCAAACCACCGAAAGCAACACACCAACACAACCACCACACACCACGCCACACCCACCCGCAATCTGGACCATCCTCACCTCCAAACGCATCCTCGTCCCCCTCTGGGCCGCCCTCGTCGCCGCAACAATCAGCACCTCCTTCGACACCATCCTCCCCATCCGCGTCGCCAACCTCTTCCACTTCAACAGCCTCGGCGCCGGCCTCATCTTCCTCGCCATCATCATCCCCACGCTCGCCAGCGCGCTCGTCGGCAAACTCACCGACCGCCTCGGCGCCCGCCTCATCACCACCGCCGGCTTCCTGGTCCTCAGCCCGACGCTCGTCTGCCTCCGCTTCGTCGACCACGACTCCGTCGCGCAGAAAGCGCTGCTGTGCGCGCTGCTCGCCGTCTGCGGCGCGGCGTCCAGCATGCTGCTTGTGCCCGTCATGGCCGAGGTCGCGCACTGCGTCGAGAGCGCGCAGAAGATGCATCCGGAGAGGTTTGGCGCCCAGGGCGCGTTTGCTCAGGGGTATGGGGTGATGAATGGGATTTATGCTGTGGGGACGCTGGTCGGGCCGATTTGGAGTGGGTTCATGATTGATGGTACGGACTGGGCGACGACGACGTGGACGCTGGGCCTGCTGGCCGGCGTCACGGCAATTCCAATGTTTCTCCTGCTTGGGGGCTGGGTTGGGCGGAGGGGCTGGAAGGCTGAGCTGCTGAGTCCGGAGAGCGAAGGGGTGAGGAAGGATAGGGAGTCCAAGGCGCTTGTCGCGGTCGAAAAGGTATAGATTAGTTGGTATACATCACCTCAGGCTGCGTGATGCTTCTTCCGGATTGATGATTGTTCATTCAAATCACATCCCTACTGGAGATTGCTAGCAGCAACTGTGCCGATCAGTGAGTACTACTATTGAACACGTCCATACCCGCTCACAACGGGGAAATCCAAGTAGCTCGAGTACACAACCGAGCACGTCTAACCGCCACATTCTGATGTGCTCGCTTGAAGAAAGTCGAAATTGCGTCAGGAGTAAACAAAGTACGTAACACTCTAAGCACCCCACCGAATTTCCGGGTGAACCGGATGCAGGAGACGCATCAACATCACATCAGTACACCAATATTGCATACGTGGGTAAAATGGCGAATGTCCAACACACCAGAAGACGAATCGTCAACAATGATCCCACAATCGTCGATGGGACGGTCGTTTCCATTACAGTTTCAGCAGGGCAAGGGATGGCTAATTACTGATCCTGCTCTGATGACATGTTAGTACAAGGCTCGCAAGTCAGAAACAACGTCATTTACTAATCCCGGGAAAAAATATATAAGCTAAGCAGCAAGACTATTTTCTACTGCAAGAACAACTCTATTAGGCTTTGGATAATAGTAGCACTTAGACTGGGACTCGGAGACTATATTATAAGACAACACTATCTCTAAAAGCCAGGATCCTAGCAAAAAGCTTACTAGTTGAATAAATTTCTCTGTCTAGAAAAGATCGACCTCTAATTTTCTGGTTTTTCACTCGAAAGACTATAATCCTCTTGCATGAAACTACCTTAATTTGCGATCAGTCTGTTTCATCGACACTCAAGTTTCAACGTGGTGCGCACGGAACCCCACACAATAATGTGACATCTGCAGTAGCTGAGTTGATTACCGCCAAGATTGGAAAACGCTAATTTTAGCGTGAGAAGAGGCCTGATTCAGAAGTTTTGATTGGCTATACAACGCACGTACATAGTAATAAGCGAGACTAAACATCATCTATTAGGTTAAAAAGGAGCGCTGAGTACCCCCCCCCCAAAAGGCTCACACTAGACCCCAGTAGTATAGTAGTACTATGATCTTATTAGCTAGAAGATAGATATATTAGCTGATATGGTAATGCGTCTTTCAGTAAAGTGAATAAGATGTTATGTTACGCCAATGGTCCAACACATAATATTGCCAAAAATCCAACAGCAAGCCGAATCCGCTAGCTAGGAATACCAGACCAGACTGTTGCCAATCAACCTGCGGTTTAACGCGATGCTCTGACCTCAGTGAGGTCGTCGGCGGGCGCAGAGAGTGACAGAGTCAAAACTGTTGCTAAATATTCGGGCAACCTCAGAGTCAGTGCCTGCTTATGGCGTCAGCTTTGGGACCCCGCCAGCAGTCAGCCGATGGGCTCCTAGAGCTCTGATGGGTTCTATAGAGGTCGAGGACATATTTAGGGTGCCTTGCGTAGACGAGGGCAAAGGGAGAGCGATCGGCCTAACAGAACAAGCATAAATTGGAGCTCCTGGGGTTGATGCGAGCCGCCTTAAGATCAGTGGAAGCACGCCTTTAAAGGTCCTGACTGAGGCGTTGCAAGATTGTTCGTGATGGCAGTAACGGCAGAATAGCAGACTCAAACGCGTAAGTCGCGATATCGCATGTAGATTATGGCAGCGATAGAGCATCTTCTCCTCAGGAGTTGTGAGATAGCTCGTAGAAAGTAGCGGTCGTGGAGCAGTAACTTAAAGTTGTGAGTTGCCCCGCCATTGGCTCAAATACCTCCTCGCATTCGAAGATCCTCCTATCAATCTTAGGAGCAAGTACTGCTGCAGGATGTTTACAGAGCGACGCTCCATGATCTTGTCCTTCAAATATCAATTGGAGGGTCCTGTCTTGATCTCGGTCAACCGCACAGAGACAAGCACGCCGGAACCAGGCATCAAATAGCATCAAGAATAATGACACTTTAGAAAGGCCGAGAGCTCAGATGCTTTAATGCGAAGCATAGGGTTAAGAACCTCGATCCTGGGTTGAAGGCTTTGAACGGATATGAGCTTGCAGAGCTTGTACATTTACGAGCCTCAGAACGCGTAGTGAGTGACGTGTGTATGTGTATGAATCAGGTACTGTTGATCGCATTATCGTCACTTGTGGGTATCGTGCGCGCAAGCTTTTTAGGTGTCTTCTCCACAACGATCATTGTGCGCTGTACATACCATCTCTGGCAGATTCGCGTAAATCCCTGTGCACATCACTGTTGGATCAGTATCTCTCACTAGCATCAAAGCCAGAGGTAGGGCACGGTGCAGAGGTCGTCTTGCAAACGGCCCGAGGCGCCTTCGGACTCGGCGTCGTAGTCGGACTACGGTCCACACAACATTTCGTTAGCATGGATATAAAATTTGTGTCGACTGATCACGAAGATCAGTAATACCATTGCGGTTCAGCGATTCACAATCCGGTGCTCGGCGCCGGGTCCCAGTGTGATAAGTTCAGGCAATGGAGGTGGTTTGGACCTGACGTCGCCGTCGGTGATGCTCAATAACTTCCTCGCATCGTCCTGGTTGTACTTGTGGATTCTGACCGTCTTGACCGAGATACCCGACTTGTCCTTGTCGGCATCGTGGGCGCCAACCCATGTCTTGCAGAGAAGGTTTCGCGCTATGTTCACGCCTCCGGGACAGCCATGTGCAATATTACCGCCAAGAAACCACGGATTCTCCACACGGTCGAATGCATGAATGAGCAGGTTCAGGGGGAGGGCAGCTTCTTCCACTAGATGGGAGGAGGCGTACGGCTTGATGACATCGTATGGCACGCCATGGGGCGAGTATATCACCGATAGGGTTTTCTCGCGATTGTTCGTCGGTGAGGGTGAGAGCGTGCATGACGTCGTTGATATAGTCCGCAGCGATGCGGGCGAGGCAGGAGGCGTGGGCGGGAGATTGACATACAGAGCCGGAGCAGATAAGACACTATAGGGCGGGCGGTATGTGATTCCGAAGGCGTGGTGAGAACCAGTGAGGTCCCATTTCGCGGGCATCCAGGCGATAGTGACTTCGCCAGGATGGCCTGTCCGGGAGAATGCAGGCACCTCCAATCTGCAGACGGACGCGGCATCTCTCTCATCGTACTTGTCCATGGCAATGATGCAATTGGGGTCGAAATACTGCCATGATTTTATCTTCTTCGCCGCGGCCGGCGTCGCAACGATAGTCGATGAGAGGTCGCGCGGGAGTTGGCAGAGAGTGTCGCGGTTACAGTGGTCTGGCTTGTCCTGCGAGACGATGATAAGGTCGGGCTCATGCGGCAGCTGGGTCAATGATTCGATACACGGCTTCGTTTTGTGATGGACCAAGGCGAATTTGGGATGAAAAACTTGCGTGGACTCTGTCAGCCAAGGGTCGACGAGGACGGTGAAAGAGCCGGGATACGAATCAGAGGAGGCGACTGGAGCAACGGGAGGAGAGAAAGTGAGGAGGAAGCTGGAATCACCATTCAAGCTCTTAACGGACACGGCCATGGCGATGATGGACGACGAGGCATGAAAGCATGTCGAAGCGTGAGGAGGAGAGAGGGGACGAGCAGGAGAGCAGCATATTCGGCGGCGGAGGAGGAGGAGGAGGAGGTACAGGACTTAATATAATATCAATAATCAAAGTGGAGAGATGTCCGGAGTGACAAGAGAAACCCTGGACGTTCTTTGTGTGTCTGTGTGTGTGCTGAGCACTGAGCAGCAAGATTAGGCGGTGCAGCAGTCGATAATCAGTGGATTAGTGGGGGCTCTGCAGCTGCATCCATGGCACACATGTGCGCGCCCTCGCTTACTCTCGCCCTCGGACATGGCGCTTTTTTGTTTATTATCACTACACTACTAACTATCATCGCCCAGAATCCAGACTTCAGAATCCAGAATCGACACAGCCCGGATTCCAGACCTCTCGCATACGACTTGTTGCGTCTTGCGTATTGCAGCGTGGCGGCCGGCATCGTGTGTTCCGCTGTGGAAAGTGCCGAACTCATGTACTGACTTGACAATAGGCACTTGTTACACGGTATAATTAATCAAACGATTCGCGGCCTGTCCAATCATCGTCGGTCCTATCGCGACTCGGCTAAAGATGGCAAAGAGTTCTTGGCTCAGGAACAGTAAGAGAAGCAGACTGGGGGCTGACAGCTGGCAGCAGAGTGGAGACGCGACAAACATAAACAACGACTAATTACTCCACTGCTGCTTGGTTGATAGGTACAGTTGATGTATCCACATATAGATATGAAATGTATACTTTATGCGGCTGAGACACTCCGAGGTCGTGGAGATCTGGACCTAACCTTACACCAACCAACCAACCACATCGCAAATCCGGACGGTCGCCTGGGTGCGTCATCGTGCTTGTACAGCTTCGACCTCCTCCACATCAGGGGCCGCCATTTGTCCCGTGCGAAGCCATAATATGCCTGAAACCAGTGTTATGTGCTTTGCTCTCGTCGAATCGGCTGTCGCGCAGACGTGGATGCATGATGACAACTGACTACCACAGTATGCATCACCAGCAAAGCCAAGCCAGAGATGTTGGAAGCTTGACAGGCTCTTGGATAGATAGAGAACAACAGAGACGAATGATGCTTAATGCAGTGTGTCTGGCTGAACAGCTCTAGACACAATTGTTGCTTCAAGAGGTACCTCTACTCCGTGACTGTGATACGTATTAGCGACTGCGCACAAAGGCAGAGAGTCAGGCTGGGTGGTGCATACGTTACTGATAGCACAGCAACACTATAGCAGTCGAGACATGATTTTATCATTACTGTTATGATCTATTCATGATTTTCTTTGGTTGCAGTCAATGGATGCGACTGAGCTGGAGAGCGTTCGATATTGTAATGAGTTGGTGTGTGTGTGTGTGTGTCTAGCAGATCCATCGGCCGTGTAGGTTAGAGTGGATGGATGGATGATGCAGCAGCTCAGAGCAGCCCCTCGTTGCCCGCCCTTCACTCTCTCTAGCCCCTCTGTTCCCCCCTCTGTTTCCCCCTCGTTGCCCCCCGCCTCTCTCCCCTCTCTCACAATCTCTCTCTCTCTCTGTCCCTCACACACGTCAATCCATGCAGCCGACTACCCTTCTATTCGACTAATCACCACTAATTACCTGGCACCCACTCACTGCAGCTTCACCACACCACCCAACCCAACCCAATCTCATCTGCTACTGTACTCCACCTTTACCTCTACCACCCAAAACCCACACACACAACACCTTCACCTTCATCCCGAGCTCCCCCCAAAACAGCTCTGCGACCCCAGATTTCACTCGTCACACTTTGCAGCTCGAGCTCGTCCAGCTCTCCTACAGCTTACTACCAGCTTCAATCGTCCAATTCCCGCCCCCTCGTCCTTCTCGTCTTCCTCGCCCTCCTCGACCCCGCCCTCCTCGGTTGCCTCCCAGGTTGCGCACAGACGAGGGCCTTTCTGCAGCAATCCGTGAGCTTCGTGATTGGTGATGCCGCAACACCGGAACTCAAACTCGCTCACCAGCTCCTTTTCCGTATCCGATGCCAACAATGAGGTTGTCTGTCCGTTGAAGAATCATGACGGGACGAGTTGCCGGAAGCGCTGTATCGGCGTGAGTCGCCCGCTTCACCAGCAGAGGCTGTTCACTCCACAACACATTAACGCCCGCTTTCTACCTCTAGGAAAAACGATATCGTTCCATGCAGGAGCATATCCGTCGAGCACATCCCGAGCATTACCTTCCAAAGCTTCCTGCCACTGAAGAGAGCTTCATGCTGATGGTCAACACCCCACCATCCGAACGTCCTCCACCACCAGCACCCCCCGTTACTAGCGCCGGCCCGACGAGTACGTCTCTCATATACAGTATACTGTGCATTGGCTGACAGGACAAGACTACACAGAGAGCATTCCGTACTACGATGACTTTGGCTCGAGTAGCACTAACAGAGCGACTGATGATGTACGCAGAGGTTCTATGCTGCCGGCTGCCGCTGCCCTAGCACAATTGCACACACACCGCCCCGAGCCGGAACAATGGTTCAATGAAGATGCGTTTGAGAACGATTGGGGAGGTGGATTGGCAACAAACGGCATGACAGACGCCCTGCAACTGTCCGACTCCGAGACGAAGGCCCAGCGCCCAAAGGCAAGGTTGGCGTCCATGTCGTTGGAGCAGCAGATGGCTGTTGACGAGCCCTATTTCACCCCGACGTCTAGACCGAGAGAATTGTTGCCGTCCTCACTGGCTCGCTCTCCTCCCGGCCGCTCCACAACCCTGCCACCTGGTCTCAAAGCCGTCAAGCCGAACAGGCCCAGGAAACCCTCACTCGGCCAGAATGCAAGGAAGCCCAAACACGAGCGCCAAAAATCCAAGGAGCATGCCAGGCTGATGAACTATGACAGAAAGGCCTTCTCTGCCGAGCCGCAAAGTGCCGCAGCGCTCTATGGCAAGAGGTGGGAGGACTTGATAGATGCAGCAGCTTCTGCAACGGAAGAAGATAGCCGCGACCTGACACCGGTAAGTGGATGGGGAGACTACAAGTCATGCAAGTTAACAGCTTCAGGTACCTCCCTCGCCCCAGATGCTCAGCCGGTCGTCGGTGCCACCGTACATGGCAAATCAAATGCAGTCGTACACCGCATCGCCTTTGCAACATACTCTGACTCCACCGCCACCAGAGACGAACGACCTGCAGCCATTCCCATCTGTCGAGTCCTCCATAGACTCTGCAGTATCTGGCCAGAACTTCCATATGCCCTCACAAGGCTTATCTGACTCTTCTCCGACGAGATCATACCCGGTCCAGATATATTGTGCGGCTTGCCGAAAGTTGTCAATTCTCCGGAACAGCTATGCCTGCACAGAATGCATATGTGGACTATGTCAGGACTGTGTCGAGGTTCTTGTCACCGAACAGGCTCGAGCACGGCCGGCTCGATGTCCGCGATGTTCTGCGGTCGGTGGCAAATACAAACCATTTATGCTCGACATAAGATGAAGGGTGGCCGGCTCTGAGAAAGCCAGTGCCTTGCTAGTGTTACCACACCTCTGCCGTTGTGACTGCAGAATTTTTGCATCCTCCAGTAACACAAATTTGATCTCCGCGTTTTCTTTTGTCTTTACGGGGCCGGATCTTCATCCACACGGAGTTAGTGCATTTACAGAGCCAGATCAGGCATCTACTGGTTGGACCGGGAGTTGAGGATAGAAAACCGCTGATTGCATCGCTCTGCTGAGCATGCACAGCGTCGACACAGACGGAGTTGATATTGGATTTTTGGGAGGGGAGGGAATGGAAGGGGTTGGGGGAGGGATATTGTCTTTATGCGCATAACGTCATGGGTCAGGAGTGTGTGCATACCATTCGCTCGCTACGTGTGAGGGTAGAGGGGCTTTGTTCATCGATAACGGCTCGTCACAGATAGAGATTTGATGTTGATATCCTAGATTTCCAGAGAGAAAATCATCATATTCTGGAGAGCTGTCGTACGCAGCAGCAGAATACATTACACCACAGCATTCATACAATTCCCGCTCCGAACTATCTGGCTGCATTAGTTCGGAGCAGGACTGGGTTTCTGCTTTGGGATTTGTCTTCAGTATCCGTGACTGAAGACACGGAAATAATATCACAGAAATGATATAACACGGAAATAATAACACAGCAACCACGAATACTCCGAGAAAAATACATATGCACACACAAATACCGCTGCCTCAATCCCAACATCCCATCCCATCCCATCCCATCCAACAATCATCTCGGATTAAGGAATCAGTATTCCATAGGGATTGAGACTGCAGCTCAAACCCGTCCGGAGCGTGTGTGTGTAACAGATATACCTAAACAGCCATTGTTGAAAGCTACCCCTCCCATCTCATCCCTGCTACTTACATACCTACCTACATACCTCCCTACCTGGCTGCAGCAATGCAGGTGCATGCTTACTATAAAGCAGACGGAGCCGCCCCACTTGATTGCTTACTTACTCCCGTCCATCTTCGGTATCCGAAGCATCACATCAAAGGTAAAGGTGTATACGGCCTTGCTTCTTAGATCACAAAATTAGAAATATGGGATGGGTCGAGCGCGCGTAATGGTAACGTATGCCCTGGTATTTGATATATGCTTGACCTGTCACCTCAACTCCTCGCTCGCCTTTTTCGACTTTCCGATTTCAATCTTTCTGGACCTATCAATGATGAAATGCAAACCTCCTTTGCTCAAATCTAATAGTTTACCTCAGCCAGTCATCGTTTCCGTTTCGTTTCGTGCTCTCTAGGGTTTAGGTATGCGGATCGTCTTGCTGACCATCAGGCTTCCGTGCAGTATGAACATGATGGCGAGAGGGTGGAATTCGAAGGGTGTGCCGACAAGTGCTGCGCCGAAGGGGATGTTCTCGTGTACCCAGCCTTGTGATACCCAGTAGGCCATTAGTGCGGTCGTGCCAAGCGTCGTAGGAATGGGGGTGCCTTCAAAGTATTTCGATTTTCCGGTTGCATCTTTGGGGAGAACAGATACTGTGACGTTGAAGCGTGCGAGACGTGTGAGGCCGCATAGAACGAAGACTGTCAGGAGGATATGGTCGACTGGGGTGCGGAGACCCATGGCGAAGGCTGCTACGGCCGGCGACATTCCAAAGGACAGCTGCTACAGTTAATTTGGGCGCAACTTGCAAGTGGTAAGGCCGAAATACCAGATCAGCGAGCGAGTCAAGCTCTTGTCCCATGAGTGACGCCTTTCCTCTCCATCGTGCGACCTTGCCGTCCAGGGCGTCAAAGAAGAACCCGAACGGGATGAGCGCGAGCGCAGCATACAAATTCCCCAAATCGTGTGGGTTACCGAGGCAGTAGCGAAGGGATGAGAATACGGACATGACACCGCAGAATCCTGCAACTATTGTGAGCATTTGGTCGTCCACGCTGCAGCGCAATACGTACCGTTGAGCTCTGTGATGTAGTCGGCCATATGGAGCGCTCTGTAGGGAAGTCAGACAACAATGCATCATCGGGATCAGCATCGCACGAACCTCACGAGCGAAAAGTGGCCGGCGTCAGAAGATAGAAGCCTTGCCTGCTTGTCTTGAGCTTGGTCGGGCTTCTTGTCGTCCTTCTCGACACCGCCATTTGGCGCTCCCCATGGCTGGTTGCTTCTTCGCGACATGATTGAGCAGTAGGTCTCTGTAGGATTGCAGGACGGGGAGAGGAATTGGGGAGTAAGGGTCAGTTATTCAGGGTCTCAGCAGGAGATGTGGTGGTTGTTGGATTGTTGAAGTTGCGTGCGGGCCGAGTAGCAGCTGGTTTTGTTTTCAAGCTTGCGCGTGGTCCCAACGTCATACGGTCATAGCCACAGCAGAGCCGCCGCACAAGCCAGCCCGCGCTAGCCCGCATTTTCTTGTGAATGATAGGGTACTGGAGTTAGGATACGGGTATATCTGCGACTTTATCAATAGGCCTGCAGCAAAGCAACAATCACCAGAAAAGCTGTAGTAGAGGAATGGACAGGAGTTTTAGTAGATGGATGCATCAGGAAGTTGACGATACTACCTATCTGCTTCTGGGATGAAACACAAGCCTGATGATACTAGCCACTATTGAGTGACCCTAAAGCGTGCGTACGCTCTGATGATTCTCATGACAAAGCATTCCAGCCGCCCGTTGGATTGAGCATGGATGAACCTGAGGTACTATAGGTCGCGTTAATCCAAGGCTTTTGGCCGAAGATATCTTGTGCTTTTAACATGGCTCAAAGGGTGTTGGCATAACCTTTTTCTGCGCCAAAATCATGTTTAAGTTGCCCAACCCGGTCCGCAGACCACCTATAACGCCAATGCGCCGTGACCGTATGTTACAGTGCCTCTTTTTCACCCGCGACCCCGTCCAAAACCACGGCCACCTCCTCTCGAGGCTCCGCGACCTCCAAAACCGCCTCCACCAAATCCTCCACGAGGAGCGCCCCGTGATGATCCACCAAATCCACCACGTCCTCGTGGAGCTCCTCGGCCTCCACCACGTCCGCCAAATCCGCCTCGTCCACCCCTATCTCCGAAGCCTCCACGGCCTCTGCTTGAGCCTCCTGCTCGTTTTGGCTTTGGGGCGCCTGGGGGAGGCTTGGGTTTCGGCAAAAATCTAGCATTGATGAGATCCAGTCCAGGAATTGCAAAGAGAGTGCTTACTTGACGAGAGGTAAAAGCTTGTCACCGCCGATGTAGAACTTGTCGCCAGCCTTGAAAGAAGTTGCGACTATTCCTTCCTGCGGTTTGATCGTAAAGTATACTGAGTTGATCGGACCGAGTACTTCGTCGACTTTGCCAATGGGAGTCTTGTGTGCATCATAGTGTGAGCTTATGCTGTCATGATATAAAATATCCGACATACCTTGTTCTCGAGATATATGGGAGCATTGAAATATGGTATCTTCTCGTTGATGGATTCACACACAATCTCGCCCTCGCACGCGTGCATGAAGGAGCCCATTTCTGCATCCAGTCAGTCTATGTTCCCATTGGCATCTGAATAGTATGTACCAAACACGGAATCAGGTGGTCCAAACGATTGGAAGCCTCCGCGACCTGAAATCCTCGATGTTAGCTTGCGCAAAGTATGGCGCACTGCGCAGGATACATACTGCCGCCACGAGAGCCGCCTCGTCCGCCGAAGCTGCCACCACCTCCTCCACGGCCGCGTGGAGCTCCTCTGAATGACATAATTGAGTGTTGCGAAGTTGCGAGTTTTACTGCTGGCGTGGATAGCTGCTAGAATGTGCGTGGGATATTTTTCTTGAGGCTCGAAAAACTAGTGAGATGTAGGGAGTGGGATCCGAGACAGCTCGCTCCTTAAGAAAGTGGCTAGTGGCTCCCCGCCATTTTGCCGTTGTGACTGTGTCGGAAATATCGTGGAGGGGCAGAGCAACCACTCGACTCACAATCAAGCCACCATGGAAGCTGTCAAAGACGCCGCCGAGGGAGTGAAGAATCTGGTGGTGTCAGACAAGCCGAAGAAGGAAAAGAAGAAGAAAGGCCCCACGGGTGACTCCAGCGCAAGACCTACCGAGCTCAGTCCCCCACCCGAGTACTTCGACCACCGCATCAAGATCTTCGAGCGATTAAAGAAGAAGCAAGACGAGGAGATCGCACAGAAGCCGAGAGAGGCGATCAATGTCACGCTTCCGGACGGATCAATCAAGCCTGGGCAATCATGGGAGACCACGCCCGCAAAGATTGCGCAAGAACTGAGCAAGTCTTTATTCGAGAGAACTGTTGTCGCCAAAGTAAATGGCGAGCTGTGGGATCTAGAGAGACCACTTGAAAATAGTTGCAAACTGGAACTGCTAAGCTTCGACGACCCGGAGGCTAAGAGGGTATTTTGGCATTCAAGTGCCCACATTCTTGGAGAGGCTGCGGAACGACGGTTTGGCAGTGACCTTTGTATCGGACCACCTGTGGACGATGGCTTCTACTACGAAATGTCAATACCAGACAACGGGATCGTGAGTCAAGACGACTACAAACCGCTCGAGACTATCGCAAACAATGCCATCAAAGAGAAGCAGCCATTCGAGCGGCTTACCCTCACAAAAGATGATCTGCTAGAGATGTTCAAGAGCAACAAGTACAAGCAACATATAATCAAGGATAAGATACAAGATGGTACCAGTACTACCGTATACCGCTGTGGTCCTCTCATAGACCTCTGCAGAGGACCTCACGTGCCACACACAGGGCGAATAAAGGTGTTCAAGATTATGAAGAACTCGGCGTCGTACTTTCTCGGCGATGCCAAGAACGATTCTTTGCAGCGTATTTACGGTGTCTCATTCCCGGACAAGAAGCAGATGGATGAGCATATCAAATTTCTCGAAGAAGCTGCTAAGCGTGACCACCGAAAGATTGCCAAAGAGCAGGAGCTTTTCTTCTTCCACGATTGGTCCCCTGGCTCTGCATTCCTGCTACCCCACGGTATGACCATATACAATACACTCCAGGCCTTCATTCGGTCTGAATACTGGAAGCGAGGCTATCAAGAGGTTCAGACACCAAATATGTACAATTCTGCCCTGTACAAGCAATCGGGTCATTGGGCCTACTATCAGGATGACATGTTCGTTCTCGATGTTGAAAAAGAGAAGTGGGGTCTGAAGCCTATGAACTGCCCGGGTCATTGTCTGCTGTTTGGACATCGTGAAAGGAGCTACCGCGAGCTCCCAATGCGCATTGCAGACTTTGGAATCCTGCACCGTAACGAAGCTTCCGGAGCACTTACTGGCATGACAAGAGTACGCCGATTTGTACAGGACGATGCACATATTTTCTGTACAGAGGATCAGGTAAACATTTCAGTCAATAATATGCCTTACTATACTGACACAGTCATAGATTGAGGAAGAAATTGGAGGTCTTTTCGAATTCATGGAAGCTGTCTACGGCTGCTTCGGCTTCACTTTCAAATTGAAGCTGTCTACAAGACCAGATGACTACTTAGGGACCCTTGAGACGTGGGACAAAGCAGAAGCACGTCTCACTGCTGCTTTGGACGGCTTCGCTGCTCGCGGTGGAGGAGTATGGGAGCTCAATCCTGGTGATGGTGCTTTCTACGGACCCAAGATCGACATCACCATCTCCGACGCCTTAAAGCGAGAATTCCAGTGCGCTACGTTCCAACTAGACTTCCAAAATCCTATCCGGTTTGGTCTCGAGTATCAGACACCAGACACCTCCAAGGCCAAAAGCAGCGCACCAGCATCAACTGAAAAGTCAGCTGAACCTCAAGGTACTCCACAGCCCAAAGCAGAGACCAAGGCTAAGGACGGTGTTACCCTGCGGCCGCTTACTCAGGGCTATGCACGTCCCGTCATGATTCATCGCGCATTATACGGAAGCTTCGAACGATTCCTCGCTATTATTATCGAGCATTTTGCTGGCAAGTGGCCTTTCTGGCTTAGCCCTCGACAGTTACTAGTGATTCCTGTGATGCCTGCTGCCAATGACTATGTACAAGAAGTGCAAAAGATCTTCCGTGAGAAAGGTTTCCACGCCGACATCGATATCAGCGGCAACACCATGCAAAAGAAGATTCGCTCTGGACAGCTGGCAGCATACAATTTCATCTTCGTGGTCGGAGCACAGGAGAAAGAGAGCCGCACGGTCAATATAAGAAATCGTGACGACCCATCTACCCAGGCAAAGGGAGACCTGATTCCGCTGGATGATGCACTTGAAAGATTGACCAAGCTGCGCGAGAGTCGGGATTTGAAAAATGCAATCTAGGTGAGGCTGTTGGGGCGCAAGCACATGTCTTTGTAGAGGAAGGGCAAAAAAACTTGATGTTCGTTCGTGAACGTTTTCGTGTATCGGTATAGCCGTTTTCGTCGCGAGGTGTACCCAGGGTCGGAGGGGCCTTTATTGCGGCCATCATACACTAACGCTATAAACAAACGCCACCGTATGTGTGCGTCCCTCATGGCGACATTCACTTGCATTTCACTTGAGTCGGTGATTTAAGCTCAGCAACTCAACAGTGTACAACCCAGTTCCCTGCTTGAATCACATGACTTTGTGTCGCGTCGCGTATAGACCTCCTACCTTGTTATCCAGTCATTTCTTCTACATTCATTTCCCCGCTTTGTGAACACAACCATGTTTCTAAGCCCAATACACATCTGCGTCACATTCTGAGATTTTGATGTAATACACTAAGACGCACATATCTGTACCACACAGAGCTATCTTGATCGAGCGCAAGGCTGCTCTGGCTGCCAGTGGTTTTCTGCCGGCAACAAGAATCTCAGTCCCATGCAAGATCTGTTCATCTCAGTACACCCTCCAGCGGACTGTATCTAACAACTTGGGGTCGCCTGCCATCTGGTCATAAGTTCCAGCAACCAAGATGGCGACTCTGTTCTTCAAAAACCTTCCTGTGCACTGCACGCGGGAAGATGTTGAAGCTTTCCTGCAGCCTTATCTGCAGAGGTCAAACATCCACCACTACGACATCTTCAAATTACCAGGCAAAGATTTTGCCAATGTCACCGTCTTGGATGCTAATAAGGCACAGCAGTTCATCTTGAAGCATGGGCGAAATACGAACACTCGAATGAGCCCATCCCCATTACGCTGGGAGGACGGGCGTATCGTTTCTGTCTCACGAGGAAATCGCGAGCCTGAGCACCTCAAGCTACGCTCCTTGAAATATGAGGAGAACAAAAGGAACGATGTGCTGCAGAAACTAGCAAAACAACCTGGCAATGGCCGTCATCAGCTCCGCCGTCTGTTTCCCTTCCAATCTTTACAGTGTGGAACATGGGGTGATGGAAATGGAGCCTTACGTGCCACGTTTATCTCACAGTATCTCAATGCACGTCGTGGTATTCTTATTTTTGGAAGGTCTACATTAGCAGTCTTGGTCAATTGCGAAAGCCCTGGAGACTGGAAGCGTCGCATGGACTTACCATACTTGAATATCTCAAACGTGGTTGTTGGAACCTGTTCAACGAACTGCGCTTTGACAATCACCATCCGGATGCCACCAAAGATATCAAGACCTGAAGTAGAGTCCGTGGAAACGGCCCAAGACCTGCCTTCTGAACTTGTGAATTTGATGCAGCAACTGTCTTTCGATAGACAGAAACCGAAAGACCGCAAGCAACGTATACGTGTCACAAGCCTATCACCAGATCACACGGCGTCAGTTGGTCACTGCTTCGTATATCAATTCAAATTGGCCAGCGCTGCTGAGATGAATTCGATTTCAACACTACTGAGCCACAACAGAGGAATGCCTTCAGCAACCCCACTTACGACCTTGTACCGTTATAGGCCAAAGGAATCTGCTATAGGTATCCGTGCTCTACAGGATGAACTTGCGAGAGTTGATAACGACGCGGGATTTTTACCATTTCGAATCAAATTCCAGACTGAAATGCTTGCAGTGAATGGCCACCTACCTCCTCGGACGGTACAACAGATGTTACCTACAATCATAAAATTGCACGATACTATGGGATTGGACGCTACTACTGATGCACTACAGCGTCTGGTTCGAAATCTGCCGGTGAGAAGCCCCTTGGAGGATTCCGAGCAGTTTAGCTTGCACTCGTTGAACGCAAATCTCGAACTGATTGCCAGTAAATTCCATCCGGAAGGTACAATCTACGATCTGAAGAACCGTCACGATCATATTGCTCTGGTGCACAGAGTAACGATAACGCCCGCCGGGTACTATCTGGAAGGACCATACCCTGAACCCAAGAACAGAGTACTCCGGAAGTATGACGGCCAAACAGACATGTTCTTGCGTGTCATTTTCGCCGACGATGATGGCGAACAACTACATTTCGGTGCCCACGGCTCGCCGCTAGAGATCTTTAGCGAACGATTCAAGCCTGCCATAAAGTCGCCGATCAAAATCGGAGGTTTTGGCTTCAAGTTCCTGGGATTCTCACACTCGTCTCTCAGAAGCCAAACGTGTTGGTTCATGGCTCCATTCGTCCACCATAGCTCTTTGATCCATTCTCAAGAAGTTGTGAAGGACCTGGGAGACTTTAGCACGATAAGGTGTCCTGCCAAATGTGCTGCCAGAATCGGGCAAGCATTCTCGGATACTACAACTAGTATCGCAGTCAAAAAGGAGAGCGTGGGCGCACAGCACGACGTTGAACGAAACGGGCGTGTCTTCAGCGATGGCTGCGGAACAATCTCCTTGGAACTTCTTCGCCGCGTATGGAGGGACTCTACAGTCCGCGGGATGGTCCCGACTTTGTTGCAAATTCGCTTCGCTGGTAAGTTTAGCCATTTCGACTCGCATTGATACTTCTGCTAAATGGTACCAGGAGCGAAAGGTATGCTATCTCTCGATACTCGACTGAACGGGGAAAAGCTCATTCTGCGGCAATCTATGGTGAAATTTGAGGGTACGCCTGCGTTAGACATTGAGCTGTGCGGTTCTAATCCTAGACCGTTGCCCTTCTATCTCAATCGCCAGTTCATCAAGATTCTGGAAGACCTCGGTGTCCCACCAGAAGTCTTCCTGGAGCTTCAGGCTATCGAACTTGAGCGGCTGAAATTAATAACGACAAAACCTATCAATGCGGCCAACTATCTTGACCACAACCGCATGTGTAACGGTCAGCGACTACCAAGCCTCCTAAAAATGCTTGATGATATTGGAATCCTCTTTCATGCCGATGACTTCCTGAGAGACACGGTGGAGATGGTCGCTCTGGTCCAGCTTCGAGATGTGAAACACCGAGCACGCATACCGGTTGCACAAGGGGTCACCTTGTACGGCATCATGGACGAAACAGGGATCCTCCGTGAGGGTGAGGTATATTGTGTGACCGAAAGTGACGGAGCCCGACGAGTCCTTGCAGGACAGGTTGCGATAACTAGGGCTCCGGCAATGCATCCTGGGGACGTGCAAGTTGTGACGGCAGTAGATGTCCCTGACGAATCACCGCTTAGTCATCTATACAACTGCGTGGTATTTAGCCAACATGGAAGCAGGGATCTGCCCAGTCAATTGTCTGGTGGTGATCTTGACGGCGACTTGTTCAGCATCGTGTACGATCGACGACTCCTGCCCAGAAAAACATACCTACCAGCAGACTACCCGAGAGTGAAAGCCCTAGACATAGGACGCGAAGTGCAAACAGAAGATATGACTGACTTCTTCATTGACTTCATGGCCAGCGATCAGCTTGGCCGCATCTCGAATATGCACGTCCAGCTTGCTGACAGGCACCCCGAGGGAACAGTCAACGCGCAATGTATCCAATTAGCTGAACTCGCCTCGACAGCAGTCGACTTCTCGAAAAGCGGAATACCTGTCAATCAAGACATGTTCCCAAAATTCGACAACAGATATCACCGTCCAGATTTCATGGCTCCGGGTCCACGTGTCCAGATGACGCAATATGGACCTAACATAGAAGAAGATGACACCTATGATCCTGCCGAGAAAGACGCAGTGAAAGAGCTGGATCCTGCGTTTGGCTACAAGTACTACGAATCTGATAAGGTTCTTGGTCGACTCTATCGGGCCATCGATGAAGGCCGGTTCTTTGCGGAAATGCAGTCCGCAAGCCGCCGGGCGCTGCGTGACCTCTCCTATTCCGAGACACTTGTTTCGAAAGTCTGGAACTATGTCAAGCGCGAGGCTGCAGGATATATATATGAGCAATACATTGAAGAAGCTCAGGACATTCGCTACGCGTACGACCTCAACATGGCCGACACCATGGCCCAGTACACGACGTACCCATCTCATCCACTGACCGAGAGAGAGGTCTTCTCTGGTACCATCATTGGCAAATCGACCGGAGGTCAAAGCAAGCAAACCCGCGAACTGGCCACGGCGATGAAACAACAGTACGAGCGCGATGTGAAGTATACGCGAGAGTGGATCATGCGCAGCGAGGACAGCGAGGAGGGTGACACAACGGAGGCGCTACCGCGTGCAATGGCGTGTTTTGAAGTTGGACTGGAGAAGGACCCGGAGTGGCAGACGCACAAGGTCGAGAGCTTCAAGTATGTTGCCGCCGAGGTGTGCTTGAGTGAGCTAAAGAAAATGAACGGTGGGATCTTGAGAAGAGATGTGAGGCGTATCCCGACCAGATATGCGACCGCGGGTACTCATCATCCCGGCTATCATGCTTGAAATTCTGCATAGACGTTGGGAGAATTTGTATTAGGGGGGCAGCTTGCAGTGCATTGAAGCGAATCACTGAAGTGCAGTACGGTCTTTGCAAACAAGGATTTCGGTTAGAATACTCGAGGTTCGAGTATTTTTTTATAACGCAGATTATGATTCAATAACCCAGTAGGTTATCTTTCACGGCTCTACTGATGACATGAGAAGTACTGGGGCTTTTCGATGTATTTATGACTGACAGAATGACTTACGAATTTACTATACGCGATTGCTCGTGAATCTCCTTCTTGCTTGGGTCTGATGTCTACACGTGCGCTCTCATGTTCATGTTTCACGTCTCTCTGATGCTCAGAGGTTCTGCGTTGTTACATGAGTTTTCTATTTGGTCAGCGAGACAAAAAGCTATATACAAGTCGGAGCTGTGCAAAGTGGTTAAAGTTGAATTCATATCGGAGTCTGTATATACCCCTGAAGGCGCATCAACTGCATCTGCACATTCCGCGTCCACTTGCTCTCAGTCAACGCAATCCACTTCGCATTCCTAAACCTTGTTTCGGCAAGGATCTCCTTCGCCATATCCTCACCAAACAGGTCCCAGAGATGATACAGCGCGACTTTCCTGTCTCTATACGGCATTGTCGGATACTGCACGGGCGGATACTTCACCTTCTCTTGCAGTCGAGAGAGGCCTATCTGCTCCGGTGGGAATGTGTCCGTTTTGTCTTCATCCCTGCGGCGCGCCCTGTCAAACATTTCTGCGACTATCATCACGCCCTTTTCGATGAAAGCAATCATTTTATTCGCTTCGTTGACTTGCTCGGCAAAATCGCTCGGGCCAGGGCCTCCGACGTAGAGCATACATGCCACATTGTCGTGCTCTGCGAGCGTCTGCGGATCCTCGACAGCAACTGCCCACGCATCCGGGCCTTTCTTCTTGTTCTTCAGCGTCAGCGCGAGCGTTCTGCGAGCGTGGGCCCGGCTGAGATCCAGGTACAGGTCCGCGAGATCTGGGCGCCATTTCACCTGTCCCTTGAACATGCGCGGCATCCACTTTGGCCGCATATTGACCACCATGGCCTGAGCGACGCGCATGATCGAGTTTCTGCTCTGCGGAGTCGTATTCTTCCCAAGGGTTTTGCTGAGGCGTTTCTTCTTCTCGCTGAGATGCGGCTTGGTGCCGCCTTCGCCGAAGAGGAAATTGGCGAGCTTTTGGGAATTTAAGTGTGAGATGGCGCATTTTGCGGGTCGGGCTTCGCGGTTGATTTTCCCGAAATCGGTGATGGGTAGGAACCACTCTGTGTCTGTGCTGGGGTCGCGTTTGATGGTCAGGTTGCGCATGAAGAAGGAGGGGAGGTTCTGTTGCGTGACGGAGCATTGGCGGACAGGCATCGCGAGCGCGTGAGCTGGGACAAGTCAGTACTGGTGATAAGACGGGTGTTGTGGTACGCGACTGTGGCATACATACCGTATGGGTTATTGTTGATTCTCTCGCGAAAAGGAGTGATGTCGGCCGGCGTCGGGAGGGGTTTCGGCCTCGTCCAGCGACGTCGAGCAGCTTTCACTACTGTGTTGAGGAGGGGTGGGAGTGGTAATGGCGCATTATTGCCCAGTCGGACTCGCTGCGTGGGTAGTCCATCATCCTGTGCCGAATCTTTGTCGTTGAAGAGTCGTGCAGACAAGTTGAAGTGCTGCGTCCAAACTCTGGGCGCAGTTCGACATTGCTGAACCAGAAGACGTGACCTGCAGAGTAGCGGTCCCGAATGGATGCTCACGATCATGGAGGATCTCGCATGGCTCCAGGAGGTAGAGGTGCTGAATGAGAAAATTGCGGACCTCCGAAGCTTTCACGGAGGTCAGCCCTATAAGTCTTGGCATCTATGACTAGCTCCAGAGCTTCTCATTCCCTTCGAGCGCACAATCAGCCTTCAATCAAACACATATTCTACAATGTGGCGGCCTGTATCAAGGCAATTACCTCGAGCATATGCGCGACCATCTACTGTTCAGTGTAGTTGGTTTCAACGACGAACGTTTAGCTTGCCTTCAAGTACACCCAAAGCTCCCCACGCATGGTCGCCCACACCTTATGTTACAGAGACCATAGTATGGAAGCGCTTGGCGTTGCAGCTCTATCAAAATACTTGCTGACACTGTCGTAGGGAGGAGGCTGGCATACATGTAAGCTTCGAGGGCAACAAGCCATACGTAGCTGATACTAATGCTGCCTCCAAGACGACATCTTCTCCCGGCTACTCAAAGTACGCTAGACACCACCTTCACCCTTATATGTCCACGACTGACTGACTACTGCGTAGGAGCGGATAATATGTCTGAACGGCGAAGTGGATGAAGCCACCTCGGCCTCCATCGTAGCCCAACTCCTCTTCCTCGAAGCCGACAACCCCGAGAAACCCATCAATCTCTACATCAACTCGCCCGGCGGCTCAGTCACAGCAGGTACATCATTCGCGGTTTCTCCAGCACTACGCCCAAGAACGACACTGACTATTCAGGTCTTGCAATCTACGACACCATGACCTACATCCGCTCCCCAGTAACCACCATCTGCGTCGGCCAGGCCGCCAGCATGGGCTCTCTCCTTCTTTGCGGCGGCGCGCCCAAGAGTCGTTTTTGTCTACCCCACAGCTCGATCATGGTGCACCAGCCCAGCGGCGGATACCACGGACAAGCATCGGACATTGCAATCCACGCAAAGGAGATTCTGCGCGTAAGAAAACAGTTGAACGAGATATACCAGCGACATTTGACAAAGGAACACTCTCTGGATGAGATAGAGAAGTTTATGGAGAGAGACTACTTCATGAGTGCGCAGGACGCGCTGGAGATGGGGATTGTGGACCGGATACTGACGAATCGGGCGGATGAGGAGAGGGAGAGCGAGCAGAGGTGAGATTGGGAATTGTAGGATTAAAGATTGAATGATGTCCTAGTTCTTCAGTGTCAAGGCTTGACTTGTGAATCCGTACTGACGATTTCATCTTGCATGTGCAAGCGAACAGGACAGGAAGTAAGAAAACGGTCTATTCATCATGCATAAGCCCGCACTATGGGCGAAGCAGTATGCCATGAGCAGTCTATCTCCCCTCATTGCTGCCATCAACCCAGTCCCGCCATTCCTGCCATGCAGAATACCCCAGCACGACGCGATCTCCCTGGTACGTCACAACATTAAGGTCACTTACCTTGCGCCACTCATCCTTGCGCCCGTTCCAGCCCGCCTTGCGCATCAGGCTGACCAACGTCTCCTCTTTGGTCCAGCCCTGCTCGCGCGCCACGTCTGGCAAATACGTCGAGCCGTAGCGCCGCCCGTTGTACGTAAACGAGATGCGCAGGCCATGCTTGCCGATCTCCCAGGCCATGGGATCGGAGGCGGGGAGGAAGTCGGTGAGCAGCGTCACGCCGCATTCAAGGCTTGGGGCTTCGCGGAGGGAGATTGGGTTGAAGCGAGTGTCTTCGAAGGCGCTGGAATGTGTTAGGGTGCGTGTGGGAGGCAGAGATGGAATACATGGGCAGCTTACGATGTCAGAGCGTAGCTACGCAAACCGTCGTCTAGTGCCTGTGCCTCGAAGGTCCCGATGCAGCCTCGAAGGTTCTTGTGTCCTGAGCGACTGATCGTGTTCCAAGTCACGAACAAGGGGAACTCCTCATGCTCAGTCTTCTTGATGCTGGAAGACAGTGATGATCTGGAAGAGGACTTTGAAGACTCCTCGGTCGACAACGGAGTCGAAGCTGAAGTGGACGACACAGAGGATGACGATGTACTTGCTGGGCTTGGTGCTAGAAGTCTGTTCATAGCTGGCGAGCGTAGCTCATCCGAGGCTTCAGCCAAGTTGTCACCCGTGTCCGAGCCCTTGAACTTAGCCCATAGTGATTCAACCTCGTTCAGGCTAAGGGCAGGTCTCTTTTCGAGACTCGCCAAGAGACTCTCGAAGCAATACGCACAGTGAGCTTCAGTGGCCATTGCGGTTGATCATACAGACCCGCGTCTGGCTGCGGAGCACGTGAGTCCGAGAGAAAGACGTCACAGAAATGGTCTAAATAGAGCCCGAGACACCGGATAGATGTGAAATACTTCGTTGAGAAGGCTCTGATATGAGACTAGCTAGCACTTGGCTTCGACAACTCTAGTGTCACTGCTTCTAGATGACTGTGCTTTGTGAAAGCACCGAAGAGGCTTTGATATATTCTTGCCTGTTTCAGGAGGAAGCAGCTGTTCAAAGAGAGAGTCAACGACGGATCCAATCTTCAGGGCACAAGACGAGGACGGTAGCAGATAGGTAGCAGTAGGCGAGAGAGAGAGAGTGAGGTGTAATAACATGGTAGGCAGGTATGCTCGGTAGTCAGTGTATATTGGGCCGCCACGTGACCAGGTTCTAGCGTCCTTGCTCCCGGCGTTAGCGTTCCCTTCTTTCAACATCAACACCAACATGCTGCTTGCATAACTTTGTCAAGTCAGACATAATTCGAGTGCGAAAGTAGAAAGTATACTCTATATGCTTCTGCCCTCCATAATACGACGCTGATCGAAATCTCTCGACTCGGCTAGAAAGAAGCGAGAATGTACCAGACTTACAGCGTCTCAGAACCGTTTCGGCGGTGGTCCTCATTCATGGACATCACATTCTGAAATGAGGGCCGCGTACCACAATATCTAATAGTAGACGATGCACCGCTACTATCAAGACAAAACGATCATTGCCATACTTGACAGTATGCGAACGCCATCGAAAGACTATTCTTTAGCTATTAGCTCGATCATAAATCACCGTGGACGTCTCTATCAAGCATGCATTCAGACAACACAGAAATTCAAGACACTCGCAAACGCATAGTCAGCCATGAAGTATAGCATCAGATAGTGACCCCCAAAAACCCCCTTACACCAACCGTTTGACCACCCACCTCCCACTGCCACGCCAGATCTTTGATACAATGCCTCCCACACAAGTCCACCAAATCGCATACAGATCCGCACCAAAACCCCCAACAGCCCCAAATACACTCTGCAACAGCAATCATACACGCACAGCCGCCAATCCCCAACGGAAAGTCCATATACCCGGTTTCATCATCCCTTAATAATTACAGCATGTATACCTGTGACCCTCTGTCCTCCCCCGGTGCCCCGACTCCTTTTTAAGAAAGCATCTCCTCGTCTCCTCGATATCTCATTCTACAATTCCTCCTCGTGAAATCCACCTATATACCCCTCCCAAAACCACAAATATATACACTTTCCTGTCGCTAGACGACATCCACTCTGTCCATACACACCACCGCCGTTACCAAACGCACATCAAACCCAAACCACCACTACTCCTACCAAACTCACCATGAAGTTCCTCATCCTCGCTACTCTAACAGCGCTCCTCTCCATGGCCGCTGCAGTGCCTGTTATCTCACGTATGCTTACCCACCCCGCTCTGTTCCCTCTCTCCCTCATCCTCTCCCTCTCTCATCCTCTCCCTCTCTCATTCTCTCCCTGTTTTACATACACATGCCACCACAACAATACGTATAACACAAAGCTAACCGATATGCCAAACAAACAGGAGGAGACACAGACCCATCCATGGCGCCAGACGGCGAAGTAGTACCGTTTGTTGCGGCGGGTGCAAAGGGGGACGCGTGAGCGTGATCGAAAGAAGTTAAGAAGGAAGGAAGGAAAGATGGAAGGAATTGTTACAACCTACGATTATATCGGGGTCTATGGGCTTACTTGGATGGATGGCTGGTTGGATAGTCGGATAGCCGGATTGGATGGTTATGGATGTACAGACACACACATACACAACACCCTAGAAAGCAGCGGTTTTAGCATGGATGACAAATACACAATCACATCAGTCACATACACAACACAACACACACACACACTAGTCACAGACATAGATCATAGAAACGAAGAGTGTAGCATTGCAAGCCACCCACCACTATTCCAGCAAAGGGACACTACGGACTACCGCTGCCACTACTCGAATGCTGCTGCCCGATGATACCATGCACAGGATACACGCCAGACCCGTTCGTTTGGCTAGGGTACCCCGATCCCACGACCGGGCTCAGCGGATCTCGTTGACTGCCGCTACCACTACTACCCGATGTGCCACTGCCACTGCCGCTCGAGTCCTTGCGCTCGTTGTCAATCGGTCCCCAAGCATACGGACCGGGGAAATGAGATGCAGGCTCTATAGGAAGTGGCTTGCCGTGCGGGTGATTGAAGTCGTCGTCCTCATCGTCTGTGAAACCTGCGACGTCGGAGAGTAAGGACGAGGAGCGGCCTCCACGGGGCGGTTGGTAGTACACAAACCCATTGCCATTGCCGTTCGCGTTACCATTCCCATTAAGACTGTGGCTGAAATGCATGGGGCCCATGGACATATTGTGCTGGCGGGTGGGCTGGCTGATCATGGCTAGGTGAGCATCGGGTGAGCTGGGACGCTGCTGCTGAGCTGCTTGAAAGACGGCTTCCATGTGCTGGTTGTGCTTTTCGAGCTCAGCAATGCCGGCACGTGCAATAGCGGTATTCTGTTCGAAGCTTTCGATGTAATCGAGCCAGGACTGCTCCTCCATGGCGCGACCGGACAATTCGGCGGCACGACGGTTCTTCCGCTCTTGTTCGTTCGCAGCAGCAGCGAGGAGCTTGTCGCGCTGTTCGTCGAGCTTGGCCTTCCGGGCAGCGAGACGCTCGCGCTTTTGAAGAGCTGAAGTGATGTCTTGCTCGATGCTAGAGACTTGGCGGTCATGTTCGGATTTACAGCGTTTGAGCTCCTCTTCAACTGACGCTTTGCGGTCCATTTCCACTCGCCACGCCTTCTTGCGCGCGTAGTACTCGTCGTGTTCTTCCTCGGGAATGTCACCTGATGTAGCGAGTTGGGCTTCCAGATTAGCAATATCGTCCTCGGTCTGCGCAACTTCGAGCTTCATTTGGAGGAGTCTGGACTGCTGCCGATCGTCGTTTCCACCAGCGCCAGCAATACGGTTCTTGTGTCGGTCGAGATCTGAGCGCAGAGCTGTTATTTGCTTCTGGTGTTCACGCTTGGTACGCTTCGATCGGTTGCGTAGCTCTGACAAAGTCTGTTCATTCGTAGTGATAGATTCTTTGAGAGTCGTTGCGGGTGAAGAAGGTCGTAGTTTTGGAGCTGCCGGAGACGCAGTAGGAGCTGTGGTTTAATTAGCGAATTCACGTTTCGGTAATAGATAGACCTGTTGAACCCACCAAGTTCTGCACTTGGGTCCCGAGCAGTGATAATGCTTGTCGTGCATAACACTGCGTCATCCGTGGCTTTCACAAATTCGATCAAATAATTCGAGAAGGCTGTCAGCCCATATATCTCGCCCTTCCACTCCGTGTAAGATCCAGTATCGGTGTTTCTCGTGCGGATTTTGTCTATATCGGTCGAACGCCAGACCGTCCCATTCACGCGAACGTAGATGGGCTTAGTCGACTTTCCAGTCTGGAATGCGCTCTCCTCGAGCTCGCGTTCTCGATCCTCGCCTGTCTGGTATAGATTGGCACCGAACAAAACTTCCGCAGATGCTACGGTTGATATCCAAATTCTGTCCTCCTCGCCATGGAATTTGGCATTACCTATATGGTTTGGGTCGGTGGCACTGGCTTCGTCGGCATCATTAGCAGCTTTGCTTTGCTCCACCTCTTTTATAACTGTGACTTTGGTACTTGCAATGGCGGCCCAAAAAGGCTGCTGACTTCGAACATACGCGGCTTGTCGTTTCTTTCTTTTCGTAGATATGGCCTTTTCTTTTGCTTCACGATGTGCAGGTGGCTGCCCAGGGGGTCGCCCGTCCGTACTCGACGTTGTCGTAACATCCGGACTCCCATCGGCACTAACAGAATTCTTTCGAGCCTGGGCAGACGCCGCGACTTCCGGGTCCTGTGGAGTTTTTCTACTGTTCGGGATTGGAGGTAATGGCGGGTGTGCGAGCGATCGTCGGATAACCCTTAAAACTCCCTGCGAAATAATGTGGACACCTAACAGACTCCGGACCCAGCCGGAAGGAGTGGAACAGCTGAAAGAACGTGGTATCGAGTCATTTGTCGGTTCAACAAGACTGTAACCGGCTTTTGACAGCAGCACACTCGTAGCATCGACCAGGTGGTGTCGTAGGAAACCACAGCGGTTGAGGTTCGAGGCCCCGACAATCAAAATCGATATCACGATGCTGTTTGTCATCCCTCCTTTGCCCGCGGCTGCACCTCCAAGAGATATCGCAATCACAGCCTGCGCTAGATCCAACACAAAATTTTGCACCGGTACCCAAAGCGCCAGCCAGGCACACAGTATCACACCATCAACAAATATTATCAAGCCAATTGACGGAGTTCCTCCTGCGCCCTGGAATATGTCCGTCATTGAGGGGAAGGCCGATGTTGACGACGCAGTGGGAGGCGGGACAAAGGTGAGGGCGGTAAATAGAAAATGAAGGATGGTGAGCGCGGTTGGCCCAAGTTGGAGAAGAATGATGAGGATGGCAATGACATCTTGCAGCGGACAAGATGAGAGTATTGTCGTGGCGAGCGAGAAAGCATTTCTTTTGGATCCAGAAGCAGTAGTATATCCATTGGGCTGGCGCGGCGAGTCCGTGGAGGCAACCACGGAACCGTTCGCGTTCGCGTGCTCGAAATCCGGAATGTCAAGTGAAGCGTCAGACGGTATTCTGTCTCTTCCACCAGTAACAGGCTTTGTATTGACCTTCCCAGCCATATCCACGTCAATGCCATGGGTCGAACCGTTGGGCGTGGCAGGTAACGGAGTGTTTTGGTCTACATCTGCGGCGGGCAGCGGCGGCGAGGAAGACTTGGGCTTTCCATTTGTCTGGCCATTGAGGTTCTGAGACGAGCGTTGCTTGGGGATGCGCTTTCCAGGAGCTGCGAGACCACTCTCATGGCGCTTGTCGTGCTGATTCGCCGCGTTCCTTCTGCTGGACTTTTGTGGCATCAGCAGGCCGTATCCGCGGCTGACAGTTCCAAACCAGCTCGGCAAGACAGAGCAAGACGAGCCTGGAAAATGGAACGAAGCCGCTACAAGACAAGGTGGTGGTGTGCAGGATGCGGAGGAGAGTGATGCAGAGGTGTTTTGTCGAGGTCGAAAGTTGAGTCAGGGAGGAAGAAGAGGTTGTCGGAATAGTAGAAAGCGGCGGACAGTTCTGCGTTCTGTGGCGCTGAGCCGACCCCCAAGGCTCAAGCTCACCACAGCCAGACAGGGCTGCTGCCGACCTTAATACACACACTACTGGCAAACACTGGGGAATAGCACTGAACGACAATGGGACTGGGACTGGGACTGGGACTGTATGCCCACTAAACTCTAGGACCAAGGGCTAATACTGGCAGCAGTCTTCAGCTACACGGTACACTTCTGTGTTGTGACGAAGCAGCTTGCTTCTTCTGTTGACGCTTGACGCTGCGACAACATCATCATCGTCATCGTAGAGACACCTCACTCACACACACACACTCTCTCTAGTCCTTGAAAGCATACTGCTGGCCGGACTCCTCTCGCACGTGTCTCTGCCGTGGTGCTCGCAAGAACCTACCACGCCGTGCACGCCCTGATGCACAGAACCGCACTTCCGTCCCGTTGAGCGGCGGACTCCCGACTCGGAGGCTCTGGGAGCAGAGTTCGTGATGATTGATCGATGTCTCCGCTCTCCGCTACACCAGCGGTGATCCATAAGGAGAGAAATAGAAGCCTCCCTCGCTGTGGCGGACCGCCGGTCCCCTCTTCTCATGATCCTAGTAAAGTCTCAGGGCAGAGCAAATCCTTCTATGTTGTAGATCTGGGAGGCTTGAAGCTTGTTCAATGATAAAGCGGACACCAGTCTTTTTGGGCATAGACGCCCAGTGCTTACCTACTCGAATTGTATTACGCATTGGTGCAGCACGCCTAAAGAGGCCCCATCGCTGTGAGGATCGACGCTGCTTACTCTTCTTTGGTCTGCTGCGCGCACACACGAAACAGCCTCATCGCAACAAGCATCTGCTGCCGGCACAGTGTATTTTCCTTCTTCGTGGTGGTATTAGTGCCCCTTCGGTGGTTGTGACACTACGCTCTGCGCGTTCCATTCAATACGATTCCATCTCCACGTCGCGCTTCGTCCACGGCTAATTCTCCATGAAACCAAGCAACCGTCTCCGCTCCGCATCAACTCATAGGCTAGCCGAGGCGTGGACCGGCTACAGTGTTGTAATCCTTATCGAACTAGCTACAGCATCAGTCGATCTGTTTGATGTTGATTGGTCATGACCGCCAATCTGTAGCTTACCGTCGTCTTTTGCAACATCTCATCCCTCGTTCCTAGTCTCTGTTGCTCATCTGCTCAGGCCCTTTTTTTTCTGGTATACGAAACCAGGTTCTTAGTCTGGGTGTGTAGTGTATGCCTGCTTTCACGTACCAATAGGCTACAGAGAAAATTCTGCTATGTCTCACCGCATGTCTAGCCTTGCTCTGCGAACAGGAGCTCCCTGTCACTTTCTGATTTTCTGAAGGACACGCGACTAATGTATTGCGCGGCATACGACGGTGTTTTTACATGCTGGGTAGCTCGGCCTAGTATTGCCTCTTCACCACCTAGAAGCGTTCTGTTTCCTTTTGTGACTTCCGTACGCTGGGGCGCCACGATATCTACAGACAAAGGATGCAATTCTGGTGCAGTGGTCATCCTCTAGAGCTTGTCACATATCCTTATCCTAGCCCGCGTCGCCGTTGCTTGATGATGCATGCAGGGTAAACGCCTCTCGTGTGCCTCTCATGTGGCAAGCAAACATTACGGATGGTCCCGTCTGATGTTTGGCATGAAAATCACGCGCTCGCTGGATCTCTTGTCGATCCTCACGCAATCCACGGAGGGGTAGTGGGGCACTTCCTGGTGAGTTGTCGCGACATATCATGGATGCTGTCACACGCCAAGTCTGCCGCATTGATATTGATATTGTTTACGAGCTGGCAGAACCAAGGTCTTCAGCAGCATCAGGGCGGTTCCAGCTTTCATTTTCGAGCTGCTCCACCAATCGTGTGATTTCTTGAGCTCTGGCCGTGTACTTAGCACGGGCCGCTTCTTGAAGTTGAAACGTCTCTTTGAACTTCGCAAGCATGAATAGTGGTAGGGAGCACTTCTTGCCCACTCGATAGTCGTACATGACTATGTCCTCGACACACCGTGCTGCAGGTCGTTGGTGTCGCTCTGATAAGATTAGGACATCCAGAATGAACGCATCCATGCCTGCCTTAGGCTCGGAGTGTAGTTTGTGTAACACTGTCACGCGATCCGGAAACATCATAGGCTGCGAGACTCATCAGCTATATATATATCAGACATCTTCGCATATCTGGTGCAGCTCACGAATTTGTAGTCGGTCCGTATACTTCGCAGTATCATCCCTTCACCTTTTGGCGTGTCCAATTCACTCCATTGACTGCAATGCTCAACGTCTGCTTTGGCGAAATTCCGCGTCCATTGTACGCGACCGGACTCGGCCCAGCGATTGAACTTCACATTGTTGACATGTCCTGTCACACAAGATCAGCTCAAGGCACGAGAGGTGCAGCGAAGCTACAAACCCTGTGAGATATTAGCACTCTATGTGAGGCATATGACGGAGTCTTCCCACCATAGAGTCCTGGTCACCCCAGAATATCTCATGCCTCCATAAGCCTCGTCTTCCCTTTTGTGTCAAGAAGCCTTCCCCTCCAGCTAGGAAGTCTCGCCAATCTGTTGTTAATTCCTTCAAGATTGCTCCAGCGCGTAATGTCTGCGCTTCGTTTATCCCAAATGTTATGCAATAACCCAACCTTGCCTTCATGCTAGATAGCCATCGTGGATCAGGCGTAGCTATAGCAGAGCTTGACCCAGAAGAAGTGGCCGAAGTCGAATACGTTCGATATTGCGCCAGATAGTTAGGCAATAGAACATGCGTCAAACGAGCTGTGGTCGCTGTTCCGGGATGCGTGCACATGATGAAGGAGGCCATTGAACCTTTCGCCGCCATAGCCTAGAGCAGTAATTCGAGCAAGCCAGTTTACGATAGTCTGAGTACCCCGAGTATATTGAGATATGGAAAATGTATCATAGAAAGAAGGACTGACAGCGTTGTAGACTTGGAGATGTGAGGTTCAATTTCAGTTTCCGCCCACGCGGTCGGCGGGTCGGCAGCTCTCTCCATGGACTGGGGAAACAATAGCTTTACGTCACTGGACTCGTCCATCAATTGGACTACCTACTTCAATTTCTTGTCATCGAACCCCTCACTTGATGAACTCTTACATTACCACAATTCTCTAGCACCTTTTCAAAAAGTAATCTTGAAGACCAGTGTCTTTAGTCTAGCCTGGGATGCCTTCTAAGGAGCTACGCGCTCAAGTTATACGTATATACAAAGGTGCGTCAACCTCACTATTTTCGCTACTACCCTGCCTGGTTACAGTCTGATACAAGCAGAGCTCCTATACCTTGGACGCGAGTACCCTCTTGGCTACGACTACTTCCGACATCGTCTTCATAAAGCCTTCCTCAGTCAAGCACAACTGGATAGCGATGAGGCAATCAAAAAAGGCGTTGAGCGAGCAGAGTTCGTGAAAAAAGAAATAGAGGCACTGTAGGTTCACGAGACTTTTTATTATATTTGTGTACACGGGGTGGTGTATATAGGTGCAGGAGTCGCTTGGATAAGCTAACAAGACGCGTTTCTCCAGATATTACCTCAAGCGATATCGCACCCTGCGCAAACGCTACGAAAACGTATAATCCATACCGTATCGCAGAAACGCCGAAGCGGAAACACACCGAAGACTCAGGACATTCCAACCTTGCGCGCCCACCACGCTCCTATTTCTAAACACTCGCCGTTATTAGCGCTGTGATTCTCAAGAAGGTCCGACATCATCCACGCCCACCAGCGCTGCCATTCTTCGGCATTCTTGCCGCTTGCATCTTTAAGGATTGGCTCCAAGCTTTCTATATGCTGTATAACAATCATCAAAGCAGTATAGCGCACAGCAGCTTGCTCCTCGGTCAAACTTGAATGTTCGGCTACTTTTTGAGGTTTTCGCCGAGTCGACTCTTCACGTCTTTTGGAGGACTTTTCGCCCTCTCGTTCCCAACGCATCTCGTCTAAAGGAATTGCGAAACGCCTGAAGTCAACTTCGCTCATCGTGTCTTCCTGAAGAAGAATGCCCGCGATTCGAGTACATGGCGATGGTGAAAGTTTTCTTTTGTCGAGCGCACTTTCCAACCATTGGTTGAAGTCTTGCAGAAACTTGTTCTGTGCAAGCACAAAAGGTGTGCCAGGGAATATAGGAAACGTGCCTGTAGCTCGGGCCTGTTGGCTGTCCTCTTTGCGGACATTTGCCAAGCTTAATGGAGTTGGTTGTAAGGAGCGTATTACATGGTCCGTCTCCCATATCTCCAGGATCCCACCTGGTTTCAACACCCTGCAGCATTCGTCAAGCATGCGCTGTGAAGATGTACCAAGCGGGACAGCGTGGCTGAGGTCTTTCAGCACGAGCAGATCAAACTCAGCATCATCGAATGGCAATGGAACCCTTCTCAGGTCGTGCTGGATGAACTTCCAGTTCATGCCTTGTTTTGAAAAGTCTGGCGCAAGGGATACTATATCAACCCCAGTGAATGACACGTTATCATGACCCAAGCTGGAGAAATAATCGTGGCAGAGTGATGCCCAATATCCGCCTCCGCAACCTACGTCGAGCACTTTTGACGGCGGGTTGCTGGTCATTTGCGGGGCACAAATGGGCTTTCCAAACACCTTCATCGCCAAGCTAGTATATAGATTTTGCCTATTAAGTTCAGGAAGGTCGCAGGGCAGGGGATAGGTGCTATCATGAAGGTATCGACGGCCGTGACGCAGAGTGAAGACTGTCGTTGAGGCGTCCATCGCATCGTCGCGCGTGCTCTGCGCCAGCACGCTGGTTATTGGCGGGCGACTGAAGTCCATCGCATGCACAGGAGGAGGCGTTAAGGAGGAACCGACAACAACACCACTCGAGATGACGCGTCCGAGAGCATCGTGAGTGGAGAAGTCGCTGGGTGCTTGTGGTTCGACTTGAGCAGTGCGAGGACGTGAGGGACCACCGCCCTGAGGGGGGAATCGGTACTGTGCAGGGGGCTTGAATTTAGTCACGGTTCGTTTTGACACGGGAAACGCCGGGCGGGCAAAGCGTAATTACCATCATCCAGTCCGTCATGACTGGTCTCTACTAATAATTACCCCGCCTGCTAGTGGGACGCAGAGAGGAGAGACGAAAGACGAGAGAATAAGTGTGAGAGACCAGTAATAGATAGCCTGGTGTCTCAAAGTCTGCTGCACCAGCTGGACAATCGAATCAGACACGTGTGTCCAGTTTGTTGGTCTTTGTTTGCTGTATGGCTTTGGCGGGCCTGCGGGCTCTAGCGCTTTCATCGAGAACGACAGCAAACGCGATGGGAAGAGCGAAAGCGAGAGCGATGTCGATTAATGTACATGATGAGAATGGCGGGGGGAAAGGGATTGCTTATTAGAGATCGAATAGCGTGGTGAAACGTACGGGCATGAGGAGGTTCCGACTGTGTATGGATGCGCGAATGGCAAGCCTGTACTGTTGTTATTAATACCTGGTGCGCCTCCTCACATGAAGAACATCAACATCATCATCATTATAATTAGTCCGGCCGCTAGGATCTACAGCGAGGATGAATTTTGAATAGAATAACATGGTCAGCTGTGACTAATGTTCAATGGTAACTAGCTATATGGCAAAATATAACGACTGCATCTTTCATTTCAGACCAGGCCTGAATTGCATACCTACGATGGCTCGAAGACCCAAGCATGAGCACTGAGGTGAACTGATGTGGTGTCCTGCTGGAGTCTTGGCTGATTGAGGTCTGAAAGCGCCCCCGGCTGAGACAATACCGATATACATGGTTAGGAAGAGAAAGTGATATTTATATATGGGTCAATATGCATACCAGGAGCGAAACGCTGCGCTGTACAGGGGCTGCAAAGAGCCATGAAGGGACGTAGATGGGAACGAGCGTCAAGAGTGAGTAGAAGAAAAGGCGTCAGACTGATAGAAGAGAAGAGCTGAGTTCAACCTGAGAAACATGAAGATCCAGAAGCGACCAAAGTGCTGGAGAATAATTAGCATCCATACAGTAATACTCTGAAGCAGTTGGTTTTGCTACTGCGAGGTCACGTGAGAGTCCGTGCTGTGGTTGGATCACGAACTTGCTTGCCCAGCACCGCATCGCCAAAGTCCTGACCTTCCCTTGCAATCCCATCAGCTATCTATTCTTCACAATCTCCCGCTTCAGTACTACGGACACTGTTTACGACTCACTCTCTCTCCGCAGCTAAGAGCTTTGTTTTAGCTTGGTCCTGTTCAAATTGTACGTTCATCAACGTGCGTGACGACATTCACTCTCCAGGCCATGTCGCGCCCACCCCGGACTCCGTATGTAGAACAAAGCTAAAGCTAATAAGATCAAGATAACCTACAGGACCTCGATTGACTGTTGACCTTCCTTCACTTCCTCCGATCATCGTTGACGACAACGCCCACGTCTGGCCTTCGACGCTTTTCTTTCTCGCTTTCGACCGCACACAAACACGACCGCGTGCAGAGTCATCCACCGCTTTGTCGCAAGCCGCCAGGCGGCTGGGCCACGTCCATCTCTCGATAAATGCATGTGCGTCGCTCGCAAACAGATGTTAAAGCGAAGAAGACAACGTCTAAGACCCCTACCTCCTACCTAACTTCGCATCCTAATACGTACCAACCTCATCCACACTCCGCGACCAGAAGGCAGGCCGGGCATAAAACTGTGTCATCTGGCACATCAGCTCCGGTAGATGGCAGATGGTTCATACCGGTTCCAACAGGGAGCCGGGCAATTCTTCTATCCTCAACACAACCAACAGTCACATTTCCCTCGGCACCTCCAACAGCGAGCCTCATCTCCCGTCAGTAACGCGGCCCGAGCAGGCTTCAACACAGACGCAACATCGCCATCACGATCGCCTGGTCCGCAGTCTCCGGCGCAGAACCAATACGGCATGTTCAGTCAGAATCACCAGCAGCAGAATCAGCATGGCATGATAAATGGGGGATCAGCCCACAATCGCTTCAATATGGGAATGGGTCTGAAGCATTTTCAACAAGGCCATCAAAATCAGAACCATCAGCAGCACCAGGATCATGGAAATGGTCACGGCCCCAGTTATGGCAATCATCAACATAATGTTTCAAGTGGAGGCCTCTCTAACGCGCCACAGCATTTCGGAAATAACCACCTTCAAAATGGCACACCAGGCAGTACTCACAGTGGCCTAAGCAAGCACCATAGTGAACACTGGCAAGAACAATTGGCACTGTGTCAGCGCGCAAGAGAGATGACGATGTCGCACTCACACGCCCGAAATCATCCGAGTGTCAATAAGCAAGTAATGGCAGGAACGACCAATGGATTCGCAAAAGACTCAGACAGAGATGAACGGAACCGGTCAATAGTACAGACTGCTGAAGAGGAGGAGAAGCAAGTCTGGACTGCGTTGGATTTTGGAGGGCAGAGTCTGAAAGTGATTAGCAGTGCGCTGTTCGACTATAGCTTTCTTACGAAACTCTACGTCAATCACAACAAGCTGACGTATATTCCGGCCAAAATTGGACAGTGCAGACACCTCACCATCCTGGACTTCTCGCTAAATGAACTTCGTTCACTTCCTCCGGAGATGGGCATGCTGACAAGCCTTACGCAGCTCCTGCTCTTTGACAACAAGCTGGAATCGCTGCCTATGGAACTAGGCTCGCTGTTTCAACTAGAGATGCTTGGTATCGAAGGTAACAATCTCTTGGATGAAAACTACTTCAACATCATCATGGACGCCGGGACCAAGGAACTGATTACTTGGTTCCGCGAGAATGCTGATGGTACGTACACGATATGGGCCCATATGACGGTAAGCTGACTGAAGCAGTTCCTGATCCACCGTGCGAGCGTGATTGGATCGTGTTGGACGACACGTCGATACCAGCTGAGGATAAGTTTACTGTCCTGAATTATAACACACTGTGTGATAAGTATGCGACTCAGCAACAGTATGGGTTTGCTCCGACGCGCGCCCTTGCCTGGGAACATCGAAAGGAACTGCTTCTCGACGAGCTTCGAGCTAGGAACGCAGATATCATGGGCTTGCAGGAGATGGACGCCGAGAGTTACAACGACTATTTCCGACCGAATCTAGCCAGCAATGACTACAAAGGAGTTTTCCACCAAAAAGGACGTGCGAGGACGATGGGTGGGCAAGATGCAAAGTCTGTTGATGGATGTGCGACCTTTTTCAAGAACAAAAAGTGAGTGTAGCCGAAGACTGTTTTCTAAATTCTAATCATGCGCTCCAGGTACATCCTTCTCGACAAGGCGACGATCAACTTTGCACAAATTGCCATCAACAGACCTGACATGAAAGGCGAACACGACATCTTCAATCGCGTCATGCCTCGTGACGATGTTGCCCTTATTGTATTCCTGGAAAATCGAATGACAGGAACACGATTGATCGTGGCAAACTCTCACCATTACTGGAATCCTTTGTATGAAGATGTAAAAGTCGTTCAAGTAGCCATTCTTCTTGATGAACTCTCGAAGCTAGCCGACAAATGGTCGAAACACCCTCCATGCGTGGACAAGAAGGTATTCAGCTTTGCAGATGCAGATGCGGACGACGATGTAGAAGAAACGCAGGAAGTACCACAGGAGCCTGCGCCTTCGAAGAGCTACGCGGACAAGACAGAGATTCCTATCATAATGTGTGGCGATTACAACTCTGGGCCAGAATCGCCTGTGTATGAGCTCGTCTCCCAAGGCAGCTTATCTCCTTCCCATCGCAACCTCGTCGACCACAAGTACGGAGACTTCACGAAGACTGGAATCAGCCATCCTTTCAGTCTGCGGTCCAGCTATGCAAACATCAACGAGCTCAGCTTCACAAACTATACAGCGAGCTTTACGGGTATTCTAGACTACATTTGGTACTCTACCAACGCGCTGCAGGTTACTGGGTTGCTTGGAGATGTGGACAAGGAATATCTGAAGCGTGTGCCTGGATTCCCGAATTATCACTTTCCTAGCGATCATCTGGCGTTGGTTTCGGAATTCGTTGTCAAGGGGAAAAAGAAAGCGGCTGTGGAGGCAGACTTTGGCAATCAAGGGAGCCGGCGGTCATGATTTAGATAAGTACAGCTGCTTTTGAAACATTTGGAACCCATCCGCAATGTTCGCTTACCAATGTCATTGGCGTCGAACGGGAAAAGACAAGCCTTTGTTGGAAATATTACTTGGGCGCGAATGCTCGTGGCTGCGAGTTCATGTTGTTTTACGTATCTGGGGCCTGGCGTTTTGATTGTCTGCGTGCGGTCTCATATCTATCTATGTCGACTTGTCCTCGCCCAGGCCAGACACGCGGCGAGAGGTAGAATGTGTAGGCTTGAAGGGAGTGCATTGGGTGGATAGGTACTGGGGAATGAAGGATGCTTTCTGCTACGTTTCTTTTTCGTTCTTCTATTCTGCTGTGTCACTTTTGGACTTCGGACCCGAATCTGAATCCACGTCTTCGTGTCTGTTCTTTCGTCCATGCATATTCTGGACCTGTACTTGGATCTTTACGGCACGGTCACAAGGAGGAGAGGCTCTTCTGTTCTCGGGTATGCGGCGATTGGACTTGGCTTGCTTGGTTCGGCATCCTGAGCTTCACGTTATGTATTGTCCATTTTTATACTTTCACACCCACTTTATCATAAGCCCATGACTGCGGTATTACCTCGTCCGTGCGCACAAGACAGCGCCTCAGCCTTGACTCGACTCAGAAATAAGCCAAGGGATGTTGAGGAGAGATACGACGTGACTGTGAATGAACGGCTCAGTTGCATTCCATTCCAGTCACACTTCCATGTCTTCGATCCATCGATGCATCTGACAAAGGGGGTTAGGGGGGTTCAGAGAGATGGAGGTCGCGGCACCGGGCACGTGCGGCAACGCCCCCCACCAATTTGGAGGAAGGAACGGAAGGAGCCAGAGCCAGCCAAGACAGACTGGGCAACCCAGCAACAGCCACAATTTAATCTTCGTCATGTTCCCACGCGTCGAGATCCTGGGATTCTCCTAATCCCCTATTAAAAACAGCTGCGAACCTCAACTATCTGTTCTTTGTCCCCCGCATTCACTCCCGCTACCTCAATCCTCCCTCGTCGCCTTTCTACTGTGCATCTCTTCTGCTCACCCCATAACTCTATCCACAATGACTCTTGAGAAGCGACCTGTCCCCACCGACCCCAAATACGACGACTATGACTATCCTATCGAAGCCCCCGAGCCGAAGCCTGGCCACCCTGGGTTCACTACACCAGAGCAGGATGCGCAAGTTGCGCAGCTGCGGATGATGCTGGAAGCAGCAGGATACACTGAACGCCTCGACACTCTGTCTATGGTGAGGGAGCCATTTCATCCTGTCTCACTGACGACTTGCTAAAGATTAACTGTGTAGCTGCGATTCCTCCGTGCACGCAAGTTCGACGTTGAAGCCTCGAAGAAAATGTGTATCTTCCTGGACCCCACTCCATACTTTCACGAATACTCATGGTGCCAGGTTCATCGACTGTGAAGAGTGGCGAAAGACTTTCGGCGGCGGTCTTGATGACCTGACCAGGAATTTTGACTACAAGGAGAAGCCTCAGGTCTTTGCATACTACCCGCAATACTACCACAAGACTGACAAGGTACGAACTTGCTGGAGTTGACCCAGAGGAATCGCCACTGACCCTATCCTTACAACTATAGGAAGGACGTCCTGTGTATATCGAGCAGCTCGGCAAGATCGATCTGAATGCTCTCCGTGCCATCACCTCTGACGAGCGCATGCTTCAAAGTCTGGCTGTCGAGTACGAAAAGCTCATCGATCCGCGCCTACCCGCCTGCTCTCGCAAACAGGGCTACCTCCTCGAGACATGCTGCACGATCATGGACGCTAAGGGTGTAGGTATCGCGCGTGCTGGTCAGGTCTATGGTTATCTTCAGCAAGCTTCTGGTATGTCACAAAACTACTACCCTGAGCGCTTAGGCAAGCTCTACATCATCAATGCACCATGGGGTTTCTCGGGTGTCTTCAGCGTCATCAAGAGATTCTTGGATCCTGTCACTGTCGCGAAGATCCACGTTCTCGGCTCAAGCTACCAGAGCGAACTTTTGTCCCAGGTCCCCAAGGAAAACCTGCCTAAGCACCTTGGTGGCGACTGTCTATGTGAGGGCGGCTGTGAGCTCAGTGATGCTGGCCCATGGCGCGATCCGCAATACGCAAAACCTGCCAAGTGGGAGAAGCCCAAGGTAGACACCACCGCTCCGGCTGCCCCTACGGCAGGAGAGGAAGCTCCTGCTGCACCTGCTACAACAACTGCGACTGAAGCTCCTGCTGCAGCGTGAACGTAGCAAACCACACAACAGACGAGGTGATGACGGTGTTGGGGCAGTTGTGGCGTCGGGCGGTGAGTAACATTATCCTCGTGGATCATTGAAAAGACATACGAGACCTGTATGGGGATCCGTTTCTTCGTACCTAAAATTGTGCATACATAGTGGTATCACTAGAGGCGCTTTGGGGTAGGCCAGACACATCAGTGCATCGTGAGTGAAAGCAGTCGTTAGGTGACGGTGTATTGGGTAATAGATGAGAATTCCAACAAGTACAAGTCCGTCTGTGTAGCATCGACGTATTACGCTCAGCTGTTCAATTTATCAATAGTTCCGCCCTCCTGACTCAAGGATCCCAGCACCATCCTCAGCCACATCGTCTGGATTAAGGAAGTCTTATTGAGGTAACTGTAACGCTTGATAGGATGATGAACAGTTTATCCAAGTATAGTTGCAACAGGCAGTGTTTCTAAGGTTAAGTGTTCCTGATCCTCTGCAAATGTCGTTGCATATATAACTCCCGTAGCACACAGCAAACATGTTGTGGATCCTTGCAAACAGTGCTAGCCACATACGGCTAAGCCCAACTCCTGACTTGAACCTCATACGATCAATCATTCAGCACAGTCAACAGCATTTCTATCGTCCGATGTATTATTATGTACCGACCTGTCGCTCATTCAGAGCAGGATGATTCAGCAATCGAACTCCTCGATATCGACGACCCACGTCATGCGGGACCGGCCAAAGCCGCACCTACTAGGCGCATTGCATCTGTAGGTATATATCCAAGGCGTCTTGAATAGATATATGCACGTGTATGAATACTATTAGTAGTCCTGAGCAAGAACCAGAACTGTTTATTTGGTTTTTTTTTCTGTTTTTTTTTTTTCTATTTCTCGGAGAAACACGCAGCAACTGACGCGCCAAATTCAGACAAACTACCTCGTCGTCTTCTTCCTCATCAATTCCCTGGCCTTTGGCCTCACGGCCGTGCCGCGCATCAACCTGTTCGTCTCGCTGGTCTGCAAGCACGTGCTGACGCGCGATGCCTCTGCAGATCCTTCGTCTGTCGTGCTGGGCGGCTTCAATCAGCAGTGTCAGATTGATGCGGTCAGCTCGCGTGTTGCTGTCGTGATGAGTACCGGTGAGGTGGTTGCGGGCGTGTGCTCGGCGCTGGTGACTGGGTTCTTGGGTAGGCTGAGTGATCGGGTGGGGAGGCTGGTGGTGCTGAAGTATATCTATGGGATGAGAGTGGTGACGGAGGTCGTCATGGTTGGTGTGGTGTTGGGTGACGGGTGGGTGGATTGGCGATGGATATATATGGCGTTTCTGGTTGATGGGCTGGGGTGAGTTTCTCTCGTGTGTTGCGTGTGTGTGGGTTGTGCATGTTGTGTCGATGCTGATTCTAAGCCGTGATGTAGTGGGACTGTGGCTGCTGCTATGGGTATATCCAGTGCATATGTGAGCGACTGCAATCCGCCCGAGAGACGGAATATGCTTATCGGTATACGCCCTCCCATCTCCCTTCCCACCATGTCGTCGGACGGCCACTTACTTATGCTTATACTCTCACAGGACGCATGCACGGCTCAATGTTCATCGGCATCTCCATCGGGCCCCTTCTCTCCTCCCTCATCATCCTCCGCAGCGCCTCCACTTCGCCTCTGCTCGTCTTCTACATTTGCTCCGCCATGCGCCTGCTCGCCATCTTCTACCTCTCCTTCATCCCCGAGAGCATCCATCACGCCCCTGAGCCTCTCCTCGCCGGTATCCGCAACACCATCGCCCTCGACAACCCTCGCTTCAGCACACTATCCAGCGGCCGCGACGCCCTCCTTACGCGGATCAAACGCCTGAGTCCACGTGCCTGGCTCGACGATCTGATTCCCCCATCACCTACCTTGCCCCCGTTCTTCCGCCGCAACTTCATCCTGCTATGTATCATCAACATCATCGTATACGGCGCCGCTATCGCCCCCGCTGACGTCTCGATTCTATACCCACAGGTGCGTTTCTTACTTCCAGCTCGCCATCCCCTTCCGTCCCCCCTCCCCCCCTTTTTCCCCCCACAACCTCAAAGCCCCCCAAGCCAACCAAAAACGACCCTCCCTAACCCCCAACACAACAAACAGCACGTCTACGCCTGGGCCGACCTCGAGACAAACTACTTCATGGCCACAATAAACTGCTTCAGAGCATTCGTCTCCCTGCTCGGCCTCCCCTTGCTCATCTGGCTCTTTCGGCGCTGGTATCCGCCACACACACCACACACCCAACAACACACACCACAACAACAACAACAACAACACCCCACCCCCCCAACACCCCTAGACACATCCCTCCTCCGCCTCGCCCTCGCCCTCGACACCCTCGGCACCCTCGCCCTCGCCCTCGCGCCCACCTCGCTCACGTATACGCTCTCGTATACATTTGCCTCCTTTGGCGGGATCGGGCTGAGCACGACCGAGGCTGCGCTCTCGGCGCATGTATCGTGCGTCGAGCGTGATGCGGAGCGCTATCACCATCATCATCACTATCATCATTCTCATCATCACCATAGTCCGATAGGCGACGGGGAGAATGGAGAAGGAGGAGGAGAACAGCGTGGAGTAGATGAGTATGAGGAGGGCGGGGGCGGAGTGGATGATGCTGACCATGAAGAAGAAGAAGAAGAAGAAGAAGAAGAAGAGCAAGAAGGCGCACGCTATGGCGCGTTGATGGGTGGTCTGGGCGTTGCGCAGGGCGCGATGCGTATCCTTGCGCCTGCGGTGGCTGGCGGGGTGTATGCGGTGAGTGTGGGGTGGATGCCTGGGCTGGTGTTTGTTGGGGTTGGGGTTTGTTTGGGGGTTGGGCTGGGTGGGACGTTGTGGTTGCGGGTTGGGGGGAGGTGATGATGGTCATGATGGTCATGATGGTCATTATGAATGTACTGTTGTATATGTGTATATGTATGTGTATGTGTGTATGTGTGTATGTGTGATATGAATAGCGTGGTATGCGGCTGAGATTTCTGGGAGAGAATAGATGCATGAATCTCGTGGAGGTTCTGCTATTTTGTATGTAAAATTTCATAGCCCGGGACGGGAACGTCGGGAAGTCGCTGCGTATTCAAAACAAAATCACATATCGTGTCCCGTGCCGCAGTCGTCAACAACGCCGTTGGGTGTCTGACTCCGGATAGCACCCACCCACCTAATCACACCCTTTATGCCCGACCGACCATATAGTTCCTGTTCTCGACCGTGACGCTCTTCGTCTGTTTGTGCTGTCAGTATAGATCTTGTCGCCTTATCAAAAATGAGTGCTTACCATATGATTGACCTTGTAAACGCCCACCAACCTAGATGCAAGCTCGAACTGTGTCTTTCGTTAGCTCAAGTGTCCACCAACCCAAAACACGCATAACGTCCAAACCCCGACTCACCATATTATTCCTCAAACTAATAACAATAAACTGCGCATTCTTCGTCCTTTCCTTGATATACGCCGCAATAATGCTCACATTCCGGAAATCCAACGCCGCATCAATCTCATCCATGACATACAACGGCGTAGGCTTGTAGTGATGCAGCGCAAACACCAGCGCCAGACTACTCAGCGTCTTCTCGCCACCCGACAGGTTGCTGATGTTCTTCCAGCTCTTCTTGGGCGGCATGACGCTGAACTCGATGCCCTCGGCGAACGGGTCGAGGGAATCGACGTATGTGAGCTCCGCGTTGCCGCCCATCGTGATCATCTGGTACATGTCCTTGAGGCGCAGTGTGATGATGCGGAAGCCGGCATCGAACTCGTCGTGTCGGCATTGGCGGAGCGTGTTGTAGCGTGCCTTGACGGCGTCGCGCGAGGCAATGGCCGTGGCGAGGTCGCTACTGCGGGAGGCGTGCTCTTCTACGCGGCGGCGATACTCCGAGAGCACGGAGATGTCGACGGAGGCATTGGACGTGCTTTCTTCGAGAGCGGCAATCTCGTCCTTGAGAGTGTTCTTGTCCATGTCTTGGAGTTCGTCTCGGGTGTATGTAGGGATCGTTTCAGCTTCTCCTTCTTCGCCGAGATCGCTACGTGAAGTTTAGTATAGCTAGTGGCGCAAGTAGAGGGATGTCACGAACCTGATGCTGTGAAGAACAACTTTGCTGAGCTTATCTTGCCAATGGCGTAGTTTGCGTTCCGTATCCGCAAGAGACTTTTGACTTTCTTCCAGCTTATTTCTCATCTCGATCTCGACTCCTCTCGTCTCGTTCAACTCGGCAGTCTTCTCCTCAAGCTCTTTCTTGAACGTCTCTAGCTCTCCTTTCTTCGCATCAAGTACCTAGTCACAAATTAGCATAGTTCGTTATAGCTTACAGTTTCTGAATTACCTCGTCGGCTTCCTCGGCAGCCTGTTTAGTGCCTGCGGCATCTCTGCCCTGGGCCTCCATGGCTGTCTCGAGTTTCTCTTGCTCCACCGCAAGATTCCCAAGATCTGATTCTGCTTTAGCATGTTCTTTCTCATGCCTTGTTTTCTGCTTCTGCGCTTGTGACTTGCTGATTTCAGCGTCCGACATGTTGCTTTCCAAGGTCGATATTTGTTCCCGCAGCATGGTAACCTTGGCTTTCTGACTGCGATACTGCACACCACCAATTTGATCGATCTTGTCACGGAGCACCTGTATCTCCTCCTCGACACCAGCGGTCTCGGCATGAAGCTTGGTAATCTCTACCTCCATTGTGGCGATGCTCTTCTCCAGTGTGGACATGCGAGACTTGTCAGATTTGGACGTCTGTTGCTCGGCCGCTAGTTCTTTGATACGGCGTTGAGCATCAGCAATGTTTCGATCACAGCTTTCAATTTCGAGTTCCAGTTTCTGCGCTTTGGTCTCAAGCTGAGGGACTTGGTCCTGCATATCTCTGAGGGAGACCTCAAAAGACCGCTGTTGCTCTTGCAAGGCCTGGTATTCTTGCTCAACAGTTTCTCTGTCAACTTCGAGCTTTGACACTTGTTCCTTGGTGACATCAGCGGCGAGTTTTGAAGACATTCCACCTTTGGCGACACGAGTACCACCGCCGCTCATGGTACCAGACTTGTCAATTAGCTGGCCATCAAGCGTCACTACTCTCCATCGCTGCGCTCCATATGCAATGCGATTTGCCTGTGCGAGATCGTCGGCCACCAGGGTGTTTTGAAGCACACTATAGAATGCAGGACTGAACTTGGCATCCTTGGATTTGACCAGGTCGAAAAGGCGAGGTACGTCTTCAGGCGTCTGGATTTCAGAGAGGTCTCGTTTTGCAAGCCTGTCTAGGAGGATGAAATTTGCGCGGCCCAGGTTGTTCTTCCGAAGATACTCGATACATTGTTGACCCACCTCAACGCTGTCCACAACGAGGTTGTCCAAAGAAGGACATGCTGTGGAGATAGCAACATCGTACTTCTGATCAATGGCACCAAGATTCCCAAGTCTACCATGAAAACCATTGATACGACCAGAGTCTTTCAGGCGCATGAGGCCACTAAGCACGTTTCCTTGGCTTTGAGTCGCGGAGAAACTTGATCGAGCTTCGTCTGCTTTTTGCCGAGCGTTCGAAAGCTTGGACTTCAGTGTCGGCTCCTTCTTCGAGATGTTGTCAAGATCGATCTCAATCTTCTTGGCTTCCTTCTCAACCCTGCTCTTCTGTGTTTTACATTCATCGAGCTCAGTAATTTTAGCCGCTTTGGTTTCTTCGAAGCCAACGATCTTACTCTCGACTTCAGCAATGGCGACTGCTCCTGCGTTGCCCTTTTGTTGCAGGAGCTCCAATTCACTTTGAGCCACAGCTATACCCGATTGTTTCTCGTTGACTTTCGCCTTCCAAGGCTCAAGCGAGTGTTGTTTCGCGGCCATCGCGTCCGATAGGCCTTGCGTCTTGCCCTTCATAGACTCTTGAATGGCAGAGAGCTCCTTGTCTTCGACTTTCAACTTCAGTTCTAGCTCTTCAATCTCAGCACCATTACGTTCAACATCGTCGGATGAATTCTTGATCGTTGTCTCAGACGCCGAGATAGCGAAACGGCTTTTCTCCAATTCAGTCTCAAGCTTCTTCTGCTTACCAGCAAGGAACTTCTTCTTCGTCTCGAACTTAACCGTCTCTTTGTCAAGTTTGGCAGCCTTTTCTCTTACTGCCGCCGTATCCTTTTCAAGCCTCTCGAGCTCCTTTTTGCCAGCTTTGTACTGCTTCTCAAGATCCTTGATGATCTCTTCACTGCCGTCATGCTTCCTAAGTTCTTCGTCGAGAGAAGCTTTCATCTGAGCGACGGCTTCTTGGTTGGCTTGAATGGTATCACTACATTCCTCGATATAGATTTGATAGAGCGCGGATTGCTTTGTTGCCAATTCGTTTTCCTCACGAATATAAGCCAAAGCTTTGTTCTTCTTGTCTTCCAGGCCATTCTTTTCCTTTTCCACATGCTGAACGCGGCTGCTCTTCTCCATACACACCTCATTCAGGGCCTCCGTCTCTACAGCTGCCTCTTCGATCGGGGCCTTGTATTTAGATGTGCCGATAATATCTTCGAGATATTCAAGTAGACCATCGTCGTGCTCTGTTGCAGCTTTCGCTTTCATTTGCGCGATCGACTCGACCTCGCCCTGTAGAATGAGAAATCGCTTATGATCCAGGTCGATGCCCTGGTCTTTCAACATAGTTGTGACTACCGTGAACGTGGACTCCTTCCCATTGATGTAATACTTGCTAGAGTTGTTTTTGAAGGCCCGGCGAGCGACTACCAGCTGAGTATCTGGTATCACATCGCTGCCACCACCTGGCTGGTCCATGACCTGTTGAAAATACACCTCCACTTCGCAGTAGTCTAGATCCGGATGCCGAGCAGAATTGTGGATGAGAGCCGATATCTTTCCTTGGCGCATTTTACTGGCTCTGAAGCCAAACACAAAAAGTAGTGAATCAATGACATTTGATTTTCCTGAGCCATTTGGGCCGACTACTGACGAAAACGACGCATGAAATGGTCCTACTTCTTGTCGACCAGCGTAGCTTTTGAAATTAGTGAGAACAAGATATGTAATGACCAATCGCGCCTGCGGACCGGTCGGCTCTTCAATCTTAGGTACTATGGCCGCCGCACGTCTCTTCGCGACAATCTCCATTGGTGTTCCCATGTCTGCAGGTTGTGATCCTGCTGTTGATGGGCGGACCGCCTCCTGGGTCACTGTTTCTTGAGACCCTGCTGTTGACGGACGAGCAGATTCCTGGGTGGTCGGTTCAATCTTAGGAGTATGTAGGTCCCCTGCTGGAGGCGGAGCATCATCTTGGTTATTGCCCTCGACATCCATGGCTTCCGGCTCTTCCACAGATTCTGATCCCTGCTCATTGAGAGCGGTTTCGGTGATGTCCGCTAATGCGCCTGTACTTTGAACATTTTCTGGGGACTTGGAGGTAGATGGTGTTGGCAGTACTGTGGACTCGTTGGCGGCTTCTTCATCGTCTGGAATCTTGCGCTTGCGCGACGTAGGCTTCTTTGTAGGCGACGTGCGCCGCTTGGACGGCGATGCGGGTATGGGTGCCTCATTTTCGGGTTCAAACACTTGCGGGGGCTCTATTGACTCCGTCGCTCGTGTTCGTCGTGAGCGCGCTGCAGGTTGAGGAGTAGCGGAGACAGATGCAGTCTGGCGTCGATTCGCCCTCCTTGATGTCTTTGGCGCCGGTGTAAATTCTTCCTCACCATCGTTGTCGTCTTCCTTGACCTGAACCTCCTCTTCATCAGACTCAACGACCGGTGCCTTGCGACGACTTGCAGCAGCCCTGCGCGTGGGTCGAGAGCCTGCTGCCGACATTGTTGCGAGCTGGCGCTATATAGGTCAGTACTGTAGAGTCGTCGACACTGCCTGGCGTTGAGGGTTGTCCATTGCTCAAGCGCTTTGGGCCCTGGAAATCATAAACAATGCGCACGGACCCTGGGGTTCTGGCATACACGCGTGTTTTTAGCGCGCCAGATAAGTACCAAGGTTAGTGGCAGCCAGCACAAACGTCTGACGTGATTCACACATTTCGTCTCTCTATCAGGGCTCAACACCGGACGCAGACGCAGACGCATCTCGAGTGCCAGTGGTGCATCTGATCTTTGTGCACATCGATTGCACGTTTCAAGGTCAATAAAACAGAACGAACTTGTTCAGAGAGGCATAGACTATTACTATACTGCTACTGTCACTGTCGGCTGCGGATAAGGGAAGCTCTTGGAGTACCTGGTGGTACAGCAGTAACCATATTCGTAGGTACATATATATATATATATCAATGAAGAAGGCATCAAAGGTGCACTTATTCACAATTGGATACCCGCTATCATGAGCGATGAGAGCAGCATGCTAGATCTACTGCAGTACGGCCTCATGACCTAGAGAAACAGCAAATGGCAGATGCAACAGCAGGTTCTACCGAATGTGTCAATATGACGCCCTTGTCAAACTCTCTGTCGTTCCCGAGATTGGGAATATCTTCGTATGGAGCTGCGTCATGGAGCCCATGAAGTTAGATAATCAGTACTTTGCAAAGTCTCGACACCAAAATCCAATGATTGAGCTTGGTCAATGTACCTCAACAATGGTAGATTATGATGCCCAAGAGAGCGATTTGGTCGTCGAAAAAGCGATGAATTGTGATGTAACAACGACAAAACTCAACATCATCATGACAAGGAGAGAGATCGGTTTGCTTATACTTACCACATTACGAGTCACGTGAGTCGCGTGGAACCGTGGTAGCGTTATCTTCATACATGATAACATAAGGATGTCAACTACGCTTTGAGCCTTAACCTTGATCAGAGAGAGTCCTGCAGATAGTTAGTGTTGACAATAGCGCAAGCTCCAAGGTTCCATAGCTAGACATGTGATGTAAATGCCTAAGGCAGGTGGAGGTCGAACGATATTCTTTAGCTCTTTACTGTCGTTACATATTACTGCTGGGGACTTGCTGGAATGTCCCCAGACGACAGGCTTTCAAGACGCCCAGATGCGTCCTGTCCTAGGCTGATACCGCAACCGTGGACGAGACCTTGTATACATCTCGTTCCACGAAGAAGCGCTGCCTGGCTGCAGGAGTAAGATTCAAATCGAATCAAGTCCTTGTAGATACGACGGCACGTGAACGATGTCTATAGGTGGTGTTGACGCATGAGTCTTTTACAGACAGTCTGGACAACAAACGACGATCGTCGGCAAGTAGTGATAGCTAGTCAAACGATATACGGCAGGATTCTCGGCGTGATGCCACGAGGCCTTGTAGGCCGAGAGGGGCCCCAGAGTGTTCCTGGAAGCATACTACAGTCTCTAGGCATGATTGTGCGATGTATCTCTGACAGAGTGACACGAAGCTCGGTCTATAGATGGCGGTAGGAGGACTGATTCGTCGCATCCTCCACCATTCGAACCAACCGAGCGGCAGTTCGGTCTGGTCTGCTGCTGCTCCTCGTGGCTTGAATCCGAAGGTGTTGGTCGACCACTCAGATGCAGGTTCTGTCAGTAGCTGGTTTATTGCTTTCCCCGAGCCCTACAGCAAGGCGTCGAGGGAATCAACGTTTCGTGCGTTGTGCCGCCGTTCCTGTCGATCTCTCCCTGCTTGCCGTGCATGTGGTGGTGCCAAGGAGACAGACGCTGCTCTGTTGAGGACGCCTGGCGATGGGAAGATCGGTAGGAGGAGTGGAGGGAGGCTGTAATGTTGGCGTTGGTAGTAGTAATAGCAGGACAAAGGTTGGCTGGTAATTATACAGAGTAACAACAAGAGTAAAGTTTGCACACACGATTGGAGGCGGTGAAGTCGGTAGCCGGATCCAGCGTTAGCGCTCAACCTCTTCATTCTTCCCCATACCACCGTCAACCCACGCCAGGCCAGCACGAATACCCAAGACCCAAAACCGTGTAGAACCCCCCGCGCGTCACTCCTCATGCACTGGTAAGCATCGTCCCCATTGCTCTCTCCGCTCCTCTCCGTCGTCTCCGCTCCCGAGATGCTTTTCCGACTCGTTCCCAGCCCGTGACAACGCGTGTTGCGCTTTGCGGTGGCATCCCTGGCACAGCCGCGCAAGACGTCGCGACTCTTCTGCATCCATCACCTCCCACTAGGGCGCATACACTCCCGCTTGTTTACCTGTCGTCTCTCTGGCGTCTTCTCTGATGAATTCGAGGCTAATCGCGATGATCACACAGATGGAGACGCGCCTTTCTACCCTCCGCTCCTAACTCCATCCATCAGCCCCGACCGACCATGAATAGCTTTGCGCCCGACTTCTCGAACAACAATGGCATGTACAACCAGAATGGCGGAATGCCCAACGCCAATCAAGCCATGTTCGACCCTTCGATGTTTGGCCAGGGCATGCAGAACAACCAGATGCAAAACGGAGGAACCATGTCGCCGGGCTTCCCGAACCAGCCATCATATCAAGTCAACCAAGTAATTCCATCCAAACGGCCGCGACCAAATGAAGAGAATCCGGGTGCTTCACCGCGCCCTGGAAGCAGATCGCAAACACCACAGATGCCATTCCCCGGCTATCAAGGCAATCAGCTCCAGGCCCCAACGCCATTTCAACACCTCCAACAAGGTGGCTCTCAGAACGCGACTCCATCACCAACAATGCAAAATCAACAATTTCGACCTCCAGGCGCTCCACCTCAGCGAGTTAACACCGTTTCGCCAAACCCAAATCCGTATCCACAACATGGCATGGGCATGTCGCCCCCAAATGGCCCCAATTCACGCGTCGGCACCCCACAAAACCACAACATGGGCCAAATGGGCGGGATGAACTTCGTGCCAGGCATGCAGGGCGGTGCGAATCCACAAGCTTTCAACCAGAACTTCGGCGCCGGAAGAGGAATGCCGCAAGGAATGGGAAACATGCCGCAGCTCCCACCACATTTGAATCAAAAGTCGATGGATGTCCAAAAACAGTATCAGATGCAAATGCAGCACCAGCAACAGCAACTAGCTGCTGGAATGGGCATGCAACAACGCCATCCTGGGATGAACCCGATGTTCAATGCACAAGGCCCAGGACCTGGACCGGGACAAGGACAAGGACAACCGCAAGGCATGCCACCCGGAGCAATGCGCCCAGGCCCACCGAACCCAGGCGGAGGTGCAGGCCAGCCACAACAGTTCCTCGCGCAGGTTGCTGCTTTTATGCAGCGAAATGGACGGCCATTCAATCATTCGCCAGTAGTCTGCGGACAGCCCGTCAATCTGGCAAAGCTCTTTCAACCAGTCATTAGGCAAGGGGGATCTGCGGTAGTGACACAGCACAACGCTTGGCCTCAGATCGCGCAGATGATGGGTTATCCTCCACAAAACTTCCCTAGCGCGCCTGCTGAACTCAAATTCGTGTACGAGCAGAATCTCGGGCCTTATGAGAGCGTTCACCTGCAGAAGGTACAGCAAAACCGTGCACAAGCTGCACAACAAGGGCAAATGCCTGGTGGAAGTCAGCCACAAATGTCGCCAACACGGCAGATGCCAGGAACACCACAAAATCTACAGGCAGCGCAACAGCATGCGCAACAACAAGCGTACATGCAGCAGCTGCAGCGTGCCCAACAGCCCCAGCTCGAACACTCCACACCCGGTCGAAATGTTTCCGGCTCGTCCGCGAATGGTTGGAGTCCACAGGCCGACCAAACACCCAGCAGGACACCGAACGCGATGAATCAGGCACAAAGAAAGAGTATGGAACGGCCACTGCAATCGACACCGCCTCACGGCCAACATGCCGGATTTCCCACACCGTCTCCAGGACCTGAACAGAAGTTTGAACGAGCTCCCACATCAGAACCCGTCGGTCCAGTGCAGCCAAACGGTGTGCAGCATGAGCTCAGCATCAAAGTCAATCATGGTACAGAATACCACCCGAAAACACGATACTTGGTTGATACCCATGGAGGTATACCTGTGGAGGAAGCTGCGAAGATGGGAGAGGATATTGCACGAGCCAAGCCTACCGCACCTATGGTCGAAGAAATGGGTGTCATTGATATCCGGGCGCTGAGCTTGAGCATTCAATCAGGTATACATGCTGAGGTTAGACACGGCCTCGATGACCTTGCCAGGATAACGTGTGACCAACGATGCCAACTCGAACTGGAGAGATCCGAAGATTTACTCGATATCTTGATCGACTGCGCGGAAGAACAGGTCGAGCTCCTCGCCGATGGCGCACCCGAGGTTTCTGATATCATCGACCTAAACTCTTATGAAGACGTTCTGCGCAATTGCAAGCAAGAAGTGGAGTCGCTGCAAGACATACCCGAATTTGGGAGTCCAGAGTACGAACTCAATAGTGCAGCCAATAAACTGCTCGCAATCACGGTGATACTTCGAAATCTGTCGTTCTTTGAGTTTAACCATCATCTTCTTGCCGGCCCAACTGTATACAAGTTCCTTTCCAACACCATCCGGCTGATGGGCACTCGCATTCTCCTCCTACGGACCCATGTCAACACCTTCGACTTTATGAAAGACATTGTCACTTTCTTTTCAAATACGACACACGTCATGGGATTACCGTCTCGAGAAGACGCTTTTAACATATTGCACTTCCTCCTCGCTTTCGCTCCGACGCCAGCTCCTAGTACTCCAGTCCGCTTCACGCCTTACGATCCCTCCATCCACAAATATCTCCCCGCTGCAGTCGATTGTCTCGCAAAACTACTCGCCCGCGACGATCCGAACCGTGCCTACTACAAGAATATCTTCGCTCTCGACGCGGCGTCCTCTCCACCGTACGATCTCCTCACTCGATCATTCGCCCTCGCCATTTCTGTCGCACCTACACGCAACGCCCGGTCCCTCCGTCCCATCGACCTCAAAATCTCCGAAGCCCGCAAGCCATACTTCACACAGGGCATGCTCGCAGCCGATATCCTCTCTTCACTCGCGCCCGGGCCCGAATCAGGTCTTGCCCGTTCATGGCTTGATGCCGAGGATGGCTGGGCCGCCAGCCTAGTTCACTTCGCCCTCGATCTGCTGCACGACCACGCTGCGCCACCTCCTGGACATCGCGGTCAGCGCCCGCCCGAAATGCAGGATCAGGGATTCAAACAGATCACGCACCGTGCGCTCACGATGTTGAAACGGCTAGCAGAGAAGAGTAGCGTGGATGATTCCTCAGTGCATCTGTCACATGAGAACGGACACGATGAGTCCGATGAGGTGAATGGCGAGAATTCAGACACCCATCAGGAGCAACGGACGAGCTCGAAGGGCGGATTGAGATTTGCAGCAAGTCTGGTGCCAAAGGTAGAGACGCTACTGGGCGCACACTTGATCCAGAGCGTCGATGGGGCCGGGCTCAGCAAACTGGTGCGTCTGGGCGATTCTATCAGATGAAAAACAGGCAATTTCGACAACAGTGAAAGAGTACTGGAAGGAAAGCGGGAGAATGCATGCAAAATGTAAAAGGGACCCGATTGCGTCATTGTCTTTTAGGAACAGGTGCATGGAGCTTTTGGCAGTGGCAATAGAAATTCATAGGATAACGGCGGGACACATTTTGACGGGGTGACTTTGTTGGGTTGCGCGCTTGTTTGCTTTTTTTTATTGTTTGGGAAATGATTATGTTGGAGGACGAGAGGAGGAGGAGGAGTTCTTCTTATCTTTTGGAAACCATTGATAAAAATCCTCTTTTTTTGACTGCAAATGACGCCGGTGTAGGAAGTGTGTTTGTGTAATACTACTGTTTTGAGAGAATGAAAAAAAATATACATATATAACCTTTGACGAACTGTGCGAAATCTGGAAAGCAGACACTTTCACTGTCGAACGAACTGGACTTGAGGATGTTCTTCTGGACAAATACGGCCCTCATGTATCTCAGATCATACATTGAATAGTTGCGGCTGAGACTTATTGGCAGAATGCAGAGTCATATTCGTTCTCCAACCCCCTCTCTAACAAGTCTCTTGACTCGTTATCCTAGAAAATGAATAATACTACATGAGCCGCGGAGGCATAGATTGTCATATGTCGATAGAGAAAATTTATACTGGCGTCACTATTAGAATTAAGTGGCTTTTGGAAGATGTTGTATGCTTGTCCCTAGTCTGATTCGTAGGCAGCCATTTCAAGACTGTGTATTCTCACTGAGTTAGCTCTTGGGTCGCAGATACATAGAGTGATTATATTTATGCTTGATTATAATGTGCTTATCCTTAGATATAATAGTAGCCAAATTTATACGCGGAAGGAGCTTGTGATTCAAGTGAGTTATTTGGGTTTGCAAGAATACGGACTAGCCCCAATTCTGCCCTATCTTAGAGTCATAGTGTTCCGGTATGAGAGTAGTTAGAGAAGTACGAAGATTGGGAGACGATAAAGGTGTATTATATGAGAGTCAACCTGTCTAGGAGCAGTCCTTATAAGAATACCTAGATGCACATGATCTTGATATAGCACTGGTGTTGATGCACAGAAATTTCTGCACAGGACAGAAGTGTCGCAAAGCACTGTGCGGACTATAGAGGCATAATAGATGTTAACGTTGTTGGAATATGATATATACATGGAAATAGGTCTGAATAGCCAACTAGGCCGAAAGCGGTAGGCGTGTTCGTCTCGCACCGGCAAGTAATGAAAACCTCTATAAACACCGGTCACATCTTCTCCTGCTAAGATTCTGCTCCCGCACACACCATAGACAGTCATATCCTCCCGCCGAGAACATTCTTGAGTATCGGAAGGATACTCCCCACAAGCTCCAGGAGTGACTGTGCGTCGTCGATGTATTTTCCCAGCTGCGGATATTTTCCGGATAGCCACAAGGTAAGATACAACTGGTCTGGCGCAGTGTATGACTTCTTGGCTGGCGGCAGTACCTTCGTACATTCCTTGAGAGAATTTATATTCTTGACGCCCAGTAGACTCAGGCGAACATACTCTTGCGCATAGTCCTGCATCGATTAGTAAGACAACAGGATCACGCAGCAATAACACTCACCTCGTTCCAGTGACTCTGACCATTGACGAACTCGTTCCACTCACTGGAAGCTCTTGGATCTTTGCTCAAGGCAACATCACTCGCAAACTTGAACACTCTGACGGGCGGGTTTGGCTGCAACGTCTCGCCGTAGAACTTCACGTCCCATACTCCTGGAGTGCTATCCTGAGGGTCGCCGTCTCGCGATATGTTGACGAAGTGCTGCTGGCTTGTTGTGTGCGCTCCCACGAGAGCGACCAAGCCGTGTGGATCAATGGTTTTTTGCCGGAACATGTCGATGAGCTTGTCCGCTGAGTCGTTCACACCCGGTAGCAGTCCTTCTGGGTTGGCCTTGGGGTTATCTATGCGTCCAACATACGACTTGATTCGTGGACCAAGAGGACACACTACAGTCGCCACTGTGGCTCCGAACTGGATCATGTCTGCCATACTGATACCATAGGGCTGGTACTGCTTGTACCATGCCTTTGTGACGGCGGCTATATCCTGGAGTCCTTTGTTGTCGACACGGTCCAGCTCGTTGGTGAGAAGGATACTGCCGTCTGCTCCACCAAAAGCAGAAGTTTTGCTCCAGGCCCCTGCATCGTGGAACCCTAGACGAACAGCCGCACGCGCAAACCTAGTGCATCGTCCAGAAGAGCCGGCGAACTTCTTGATCATGGCCAAAGACAACCATTTGTATGCACAGCACGTGTCTGCGGCGCAAGCCTTCGATCCCAAGGGCGGCGTTATGGTAGTATCTATCGTAGACGATTCTGCCGAGCCCGTTCCCAGCAGTATGGATTTGATGTCGGCGGCAACAGGCGTTAGCTGCGAGTCGGAGAGTGTCAGTAGATCACCGATGAGCTCCTTTGGTTCGTCTCCATCGTTATTTGTTTGACGCTTGCCCATGGACATCACGTCCTTCAGGGTTGTGGTCATTCCGGGCCAAGAGAGAGCATATTGGATGTGGAAGAGGAAAAGGGAGGTAAGGACTGCGAATATTGAGGCCTTCATCATGGCCAGTTAATGGCAAAGGGGTATCAACGAGAGACCAGAAAAAAAAAGCAATGACCGGTAGTGCAAAGTGATGACGAAGATGAATCGAAGAGAGAGAAAGAATGGATGCTGGATGCTGCTCGTGTGTTGAACACACAGATGCAGATTACAAGACCTAAATACAACACATCAACAACCCTTCGCCTCCGACTACTTGTCCCATCCTAAAGGGGACATTGGATAGCCACCACTGTACAGACCTGCATCTCGCCTCTGCCACACAGCATCCACAACATACGACTTCGCACTTCCTCGCATACGAAATCCCCATCCACAACGCAGTTCTCATACGTTCCAGATCCAGCTCTTCCACAAGGCGACCAGTCATATCACTCCCATTACCGAGACCAGCCAGGGCCCTCGAAACAACATAGCAGCAGCATAAAACAAGCTCCCCCGGCGCCCCCGTATCGTACGCCACCAGACAGGGCACTATCGTCAACATACCTTCCACCGCACGGCCCACGCGCCGAGCCCAGAACCAAACACAACAGCAAGCAGCACGCACCAGACTGTAATACCCAGAAGGACGGAAAGGGTGGCAAGGAAAAAAGGAATCGGGAGTTCGGCGAGTGCGTCCCGAGGCGCATGTGGATACTTACCCCTTCCATGCGTGCACAGCTAATTATACATTCAATCCGTATCCCGCTTCTGCACCCCTGCTTGATTCTTGAAATTCGCAGGCAATGTTCGTATGTATGAAAGAATCAATGACGCGCGCCTCGCGTGTCAGCGCGTCAGCATACCTACTTGCCTGCCTGCCTGCCTGTCTGCCTGACATACGAACACGATGATGCTGCATCTGATCCTATCCATGCACGTGGTCAGAAGCCGCAGCAGTAATACAGAGCATGTAGTGTTGCATTTTTCACGTGCCGCCCCCGGACCTTCCCGTTGCCAAAATCACACACACACCCTTTTCTCTTTCAATTTCAAGTCACGAGAACGTAACAGTCACACACACACACACACACACCGCATCGATAATCACAGCAAATCGGGATCGAAAGCAAAAATGATAATCTAGACTTTTCTCCCGCTTCGGCCGTGCCTGCCCTGCCCGTTCAGTCGGTTACCGGCAATACGATATCATAGTAGCCCGCACGTTCCTTGTTACTGGATATAGATAGTTAGGCTATTGTTTACTAGACAGATTAAGCAATTTAATTATTAGTCAGGTACTAGTCTGCTCCCCCCGGGAAATTGTTGGGGAGGGGAGGAGGAGGAGGAGGAGGAGGAAGAGGGAAAACATTCGCCCAGATTGCGCTCCAGACTTTCCTTCGGGTGCTGAACTGACATGCTAGACGACCCGACAAGGTCTGTAATTATGTACTGTACTGTATGTATGTAGATAGAAGGTGGCTGATTACCTACAACAGCGCTACGAGGCCCGGAAATGAGGAGGCGTTTTCGATTGCTGCTGATAAAGTTAGAATCGTCAAATTATACTAGTAAACAGTAAATTGTGCTAATGTTATATCTATGGCTCGTCAATGTACGACATGCAGCTACGCTTTTTCCGGGTTTTTGATACGTATATACATATATCGATAGTAGTAGGGTATAATATATCGTGCCACCTCCTCCCGGGCCCGAGACCATCTCCTGAACGCCTTGAATGCATTTAAAACGATAATGATAATAACCATCCACAGCAGCTGTAGTATATGTCCCATGTTCAATCAAACCTGTACGCCCCAGCCCACGGCTTCTTGCACCTCCCCAGGCGCTCCTTGAAAGCCGTTATCCGCTCTAGCATCCAGCCCGACGTCGGCCGCGCGCTTTTCAAAAACTTGGTGATATCCTCGCTGTCCCGTTCAACATGGTGGATAGTGTCCAGACTCGGATCCAAGGAGGAGCTCGAGTCGAGATTCGGATCTGACAAGCTCGACTCGACATCTTCAAGATTCGGGCCTGGCGAGCTCAAGCCGATGGTATCGAGGCTCTGCTCGGGGAAAAAATCGGGCGAGATGGCCTGGCCCAGACGGACGACGTGGTTCGTGCGGCAGGATCCTGGTGCGAAATGCCACTGCATGCACTTCCTGTTCATCTCGCAGAGCTTGCGGCAGTGGTCGATGGTGGGCGGGTGGAAGGGGGTTTGCACGTCGTTGGACATGTTGTCCCAGTCCAGGCGCTCGGATTGGATTTCGGGGAGGATGAAGGCATCGAACATGTGGCGGTGGTAGATTGTCTGGTTGGCTAGGTGCTGGGAGTGTATATCAGCACTGTATCACATATTTCGAGCCGTACACATATGGTATGGGCAGAAAACTTACCGGTGAAGTGATCCACGCCTGCTCGAATTCCCATACCCTTCGGATCCAATTCGGGGGCATATGGTGATATGTCACGACGGGATGACACCAGTGATTTTCGGTGAAATCTAGTGTGTATGGTGTCTCGCCCTGGATCATGGGGAACGCCTCGGTAAGCTGCAATCCCACTTTCCGGAATGCTACGCTTAACGCGCGATCACCAGCCCAATCGTCGCCTGAGATCTTTTCAAATAGCTCGATGTTACGGGCTTGCTTCTCGACTAGCATCTGCATCGCTGGCTGTGAGATGATGATGCCACTGCCGCCGTGCCCAAACTTGACGGCGCCGCCCCATGTCTGACCTCCAATATACATGGGCTCGCTGGGATCCAGCGTGTTAAGCCAGTGTAAGATATTGCTCCATAGGATAGAGGTGTCGGCTTCAATGACGACGTACCACTTTGCGGAAGGACGCATAGCGTATGCCTTAGACATCAACGGCAGAAACTTCCACTTATCCAGATTCCACGCCTTGTCACGCACACTGGATTGGCGGCCATGTGTCTCGATGAGCGCAGAAATATTCCTGCCTTCGGCTTTGTACCTGTGTAGGTCATGGTAGAAATCTAGCTCTGGGTACTCTTTCAGTGCGACCTCACTGAGGTCATCGAGGGCATCGTGGACCGGGAGACCTTGAATCTCCTCCTCTAGATCGGAAAAGATGGCAAAGTCGGGGACACAATGCAGTGTCGTCTCGAGATGGATCGGAAGCCTATGATGGACCTCGGTCGCGCCCGTCCGTACTATAACAAACACGTCCTCGGCGCCGGGCAGGTGTGCGCATGGCAAATCTGCTGGCGTCCACTTCGTAGTCGAATGCAGGACAGAGCGACGCCAGGAATCGAGCGAAGGATGTGGGAGAAACTCAAGATAGACGACAAAGATGAGGAATGTTAGTAGAGGAATGATTCCTCTTCGCCGCGACGGCGCAGAGGGTGGTGACCAGGCCATCATGTTGTCGCTCGCTTCAAATCACACACTTTTTCGCAGAGGCCAGATAGCCCACAGACGTAAAACGCAGGATTCGATTCGTGTCAGCTCATCGATCGTTGCTCAGTCGTCGTACAAGGCGCAGACGAGTACGACTGTTCGTACGTGTTTATGATCACCCCGTCAGGACAATCGCCGGGATAGACACGAGAATAATGATAGAAGGTAAGGATCACCGTACAGGGTGTGAAGGCACACGTCCACAGCATCATCTATAAAAGCAGCCGCGAGGGGTGATCGCCCCACGGAATTACCGTGTATTGAGGTCTCGACATGGCAGTACGAGTCCCGATGCGTCGAGGCATACGGAACACGGTCTTGTGGCGCCGGACTAGGGGGGTCGCGAACACGAACGTGAGGTTTTATCAGGGGATCACCGTGAGACTTCGGACGCTTATGCAGTCTTCGTGTTTGTTTCGAATAGTGATGCATATAGTAGTTGAGCGAGTTTGAAAGACCGCCATAACATAGTATTTGATGGGAGATGCGCTTCCACAATGTGCCTGTCGTGTTGGTGAAGATAAAGGTGGAAGATAGTGATGTCTTCGTTTTTGGTGGCTGATCTGGACTTGCGGGCGATATATGCACTAGTCCTAATTTGACTAAGGGTAGTGAAAGTCATGATAGGCCTCTTTGTCAGGCTGCATTAGCGTAGAATATGTTGTCCCTCGAGTGCATCTTCGTTTCCTTGTTCTTAGGATCGAATTACTCCAATTCTGTATCATCAAATGAAGCATTCGAGCCAACATCGCAGCTCTCTACAATGGAATCTCCACCAATGTGCCCATCGACCCCTGATTCTGACTCCTTTATCGTACCATAAAACCTCTTATATTCTTCATTGGCCTGTCCATTGACTCTCCCGTATCAAGGAAGTTGACGATCTTTGACGCGATAATCTTGAGCCAGAGCTAACTAAAGATTCGGACGTCGTGATGTCAACTTGAAGTCTTGAAGCTGTCGTCCTGCTGGTTGGAAGCGCAGCTTCATTCAATTATGACTGTCTGGTACCTCTCCAACAGCGAGGATTTACTATACTCGATATGCCATCTTTGTTCTTCTAGACCATAAGTCCCATAGTCACGACATAAGCACTCCATCGAACCGCAATTCCTAACTCCCCAGCTTTTCCAAAGACTTTGCGCCAGACCCGGTCAGTAGTAAGGTCGAGAAACAAGTCGAACGAGTTGCAATACAATTATCTCTGATATTGTATCCATAATTCCCATAGGACAGCATATAGTATTACTCTCTTCGAAGAACATGCTCAAGCTCAAAAGCAGTCTGTAAGAACTCCAGTGTAGTCCAGATCGTGGCGATTAAATCGAGACATGACGTTCCATACGATAGGTACCCTTTGTTCCAGAACACATTAGCAGACATATAACATCATGAGAATGAAATCGAAGATATATAGTGTTCGACCAAGCATGCTATAGCAATAAGTGATCTTGTTACCCCTCCCGGATAACACTAGGTATACACAACAGTCCAACAACAGGGATCCCCGCGCCCCAATGACGTCCTCGCAACAACGAATGGGGGCCGATTGAACAAACAACCACACAGGCCCAATTATAGAAATTAGACCCCTTGCATGCCGATCCGATCCATCGTGCAGATTTAGCTCAACGTAGAAGTATCTTCAGCCAACGAGAGCGCAAAGATATGCCAAGATGTGTTGGTTCGCATGTTTGGATGGTGGGTTGGAAAGAGGTTTATGGCCCCCCGAAACGCAATGACGTTTGACGTTTAATGTCTCGTAATAGTAGTGATCTTTGGAGATGGGAAGTCGGTGTTCGTAGTCGATATTCGTTGTACTACTCACTTCTCTGAGAGTGTGTCCGACTCTGAGTGCTCACAAGAACAATATACAATGGCATCTGACAAGATACACGACATAGAATCTGAGAGTCTCCTCCCCAGCTCGACAACCCAGTCTCCGAAGCACGCGCCACAATCACCAGCTGCCCGGATTCTCCTCTGGACGTCGTGCTCGCTAAACATCCTCTTCTTCGTTCTCAGCATCTTCGTCTTTGTACACTGGACCGGGAACAATCAAGCCATACAATCATCGTACGAGACGGGATTCAAATCAGATCTCGGTATGAGAATGCAGTCCATTTCACACAATCTGCTCTTACATACTGACTGATACACTTCATTCCAAAAAGACCCGGTCAAGTCTGAAGTCAGAGTAATCCAGACCACGTACACGGGCGGTGTAGAAGTCGACGAAGATGGGCACTTCTTCACGACCCACTCCGCAAATCAATACGTTGGCAAACCGAGTCCTGACATCGACATTGCGTGGAGCAAGCTGCTGAGAGGTATGTGTGACGACAGGACGATAGTGAAACGAAAAAAGCTATTACTCATGGGTCATTGAAAGGCTTGAACATCGACCTAGACCCTACATCTTCAAATCTGCAGGGGAGGACTTTCGCGTGGCCAGAGTCCGGCTTTGCGTTCACTGGTCTCGAGGTCTACCACTCTCTGCATTGTCTGGTATGTCCCCTGAGCCAATACAAAGCATATGTGCGTCGACTAATTCGGTACTATGCAGAACCGTCTCCGTCAAGCGCTGTACCCCGATTATTACGATATGTTTAGCAATCCGAATGATCCGGATCGAGAAGACCATATAGGTTCGTTTGCATGGCGCCACGCAATGAGCACGTAGACTGACGAGCATAAGGGCACTGCATCAATCACCTCCGCCTGGCGATCCAGTGTCACGCCGACCTCACGCCGATGGAGTGGAAACTAAGTGGCAATAAAGTCGTGCTTAATACAGCAACGCAGCATACGTGTAGGGACTTTGAGAAGATCGATGCTTGGGCGGTAGAGCGGAGGACGAGGTTTGAAGATATAGAAAGTGTGAAGAATGGTAGTCTCATTGTGGTGGATTGATAGCAGAGAATTGCGTATATGGTCCCGACGTGCATGGTAGAACGATATCGTGCTAGAACTTGGTGATAGGTCGCGTGCAACGATGGAATTGTAAAGCTGAGTAGGATCTCGACTCTTGAGCACCAACTTTTGGCTGTTCTAGGATGACTGCATCACTCGCTACTGATGTCGTCCAAGAATTCGTCATAGAGCCGATTAACCTTGAGTGCTCTATACGCGTTGTTTCGTAATTCCAAGAGCCATGTTCGATCTATGCGAGAACATGTTTTCCCCTTTGGCACTTCCTATGTTGAGCTCTGTATCCATTTCCTTATGTCTTTGGTGACTAGCAGGATATCTCCATAATAGATACCAGGAACGATTGGCAAGCCAAGAGTAGATGCAAAGCAATGCTGTCAACGCATCATAGGATGCCCTCAATTGGAGAGTATCGCAGCAAACTTGCTGAGACTTGATCCCGAAAGCGCAATGAGCTATTCGATGGTATTCTCGGCGACAGCAAGTCAGATACCACGAAAGCAATCCGCTTGCTCACAGCGGCCATCCAAGAAAACGTATTGATTCGGAGGCTACTTTGCCAATCGTGATGGTGTTTATCGTCTGTTTGAGAGTTCCCGCTGTTCTCACTTTCCCGTCACGCCAGTCGCCACCGCAACACTCCTCAACACACCCCTTAACCTCTCGACCTCTGCCTCGAGTTCTTGAATCTCCTCCTCTTGTTCCTCAATACTGCGTTCCATATCCGGCAAGCCCTTCACGCTGTGTCTCGCCTTCTGGATGCTCACTTTCAGCGCCGTCGCAGTTGCCGAGAGGTCTTGGATTTCTAGCGGCTGGCTCTCGTCATTGGTAGTGTCGCCGTCTAGTGTACCAGGCGCCGCGGCAGAGTGAGGAAGGAGGAGACGTGCGAGTAGAGCATGGAGTTCGGGGAGGATATCGAAGGTTCCGGGCTGTGGAAGCTGGGGAGGAGCTGTGATTGTGCCTGCTGCAGGTGGTTCGGTTGGATAGCGAGATTGAGTGGCGACGGCGGGTGTCGATGGTGACGAGGCTGACATGGTGACAGTCGTGAAGCACGTTGGGATGAGTGATAATAATAGTAGTAGTAATTGTAATAGGTGCAGAAAAGACGCGTTCAGAACTGGGGACGGAGGAGGGTTATGCCAAGAGCGGAGCGGATCCATGGTGGGGCGGTGTGAATGACCCTATAGCGATGGAGGATATGGATACTAATACTACCTCATATCTAGAGACCCGAGCATGCTTTTGTCGTATACAATCACAGTTATAGTACGTGTAGCTGAGGATATACCTCGCAGCCAATTACGCTTCTACGTATAAGAAATCCGAAACTCTTCTGTCTTTCTTGGTTATTGGAAGTGCAGAAATCACCCACGGCCAAGCTGAGCCATTTCAGGCTGACCTCGGGGACTGTCGGGGTCTTAGGTCTACCTATCGAGTGACGTGGGGCAGCGCCCGCCGCGTGTAAATTTCTGGTCGCATTCCACGACGCCCGCGCTGAAGCCAACTACCCCTCCAGACTTATCAACTCCGCTCCTAATTAATCACTTTACTCGCCCAGTCTACGCAAATACACTGCACATCTAACAGTCTTATTTGATCAGATAGCCTTTAGTTATAGCAGTACGCATCATACCATGGTCGACCAAAAGACCTGCCTCATCGTCATCGACGGTTGGGGCGTAGCATCCGAGACGTCTAGGAAGGATGGCGATGCTATTCTTGCTGCAGACACTCCCGTCATGGACGACTTTGCTAAAGAAGACTCCAAGTCTGCGTCGGGATACACAGAGCTTGACGCGTCCTCCACCGCCGTCGGACTTCCGAAAGGCCTCATGGGCAACAGTGAAGTCGGCCATCTAAACATTGGTGCTGGTCGCATCGTATGGCAAGATGTTGTCCGCATTGACCAGACCATCGAGGATGGCAAATTGAATCAAAACAAGCAGATCCTGAACTCCTTCAACAGAGCCAAGGATGGAAATGGTCGCCTACATCTTTGTGGTCTGGTGTCTGATGGTGGAGTGGTAAGCTGCACGCCATCTTTTAGACACGCCTATGGCTGACTCTTCTGTAGCACGCCAAATTGGACCACCTCGTCGCTCTCCTCAAAGTTGCCAACGAGATTGGCGTTCCAAAAGTCTTCATCCACTTCTTCGGCGATGGCCGCGACACCGATCCCTACTCCGGGTTAGGACACATGAAGGATCTAATCAAGCTTACCAAGGAGATAGGTACCGGAGAGATCGCGACAGTCGTTGGCCGTTACTACATCATGGATCGCGACCAGAGGTGGGATCGTGTAGAGATTGGCATGAAGGGCCTGGTGACAGGAGAAGGAGAAGAGACCGATGACCCGGTCAAAACCATGCAAGAGCGATACGATAAGAAAGAGTCAGATGAGTTTATGAAGCCCATCGTTGTTGGCGGAAAGGAGCGACGTATCCAGGATGACGACACCATCTTTTTCTTCAATTACCGATCCGATCGTGTCCGCGAAGTTACGCAACTGCTTGGTGGCTTCGACCGTTCACCAAAGCCAGACTTCCCGTATCCCAAAAACACGCACCTGACCACAATGACCCGCTACAACACTGCATTCGAATTCCCTATCGCGTTTCCTCCTCAGGTGATGGATAATGTCTTGGCTGAATGGCTAGCGAAGAAGGGCCTGAAACAGTGCCACATTGCTGAGACGGAGAAGTATGCTCACGTCACATTCTTCTTCAACGGCGGTATCGAGAAGCAATTCGAAAACGAGGATCGAGAGTTGATTCCTTCGCCGAAAGTAGCAACTTATGATTTGCAGCCGACCATGAGTGCAATGGCAGTTGCAGAGAAACTAAGCGAGCGAATTTCCGATGGCAAGTATGACTTCCTGATGAACAACTTTGCGCCACCAGATATGGTTGGTCATACTGGTGTGTACGAAGCTGCCATAAAGGCCTGCACAGAGACCGATAAAGGTATCGGTCATGTCCTCGAGACGTGCAAGAAGGAGGGCTACGTTCTGTTTGTGACAGCTGATCATGGGTAAGTAATTCGATGAGAAGGCCTGAGATGGGCCATGCCAATCTGAATGCTAACCTGATGAATAGCAACGCCGAAGAGATGCTCAACGAGGAGGGCAAACCCAAGACTTCTCACACGCTCAACAAGGTGCCCTTCGTGATGGCCAATGCGCCAGAAGGGTGGAGCCTTCAAAAGAAAGACGGTGTTCTCGGCGATGTTGCGCCCACGATTCTAGATGCAATGGGAATCGAGAAGCCAGATGATATGGATGGTAAGAGTTTGCTCGTGAAGGCATGATTGAAGATGATGTGATTGTAGTTTTGGCATGGCGGAAGGTGTTGCGGGTATAGAAAGAGCTGCTGTGAGCTACGTTGGTGTAGAAAATCCCGTGTTGATGATGATAGAAGCGGTTTGCTGTCGTGATAGACTCCCGAACTGAATATATACTCTGTTGAGTGTGATTCTTGGTGGAAATGCGTACGTGTATGTCTTTTGTTGGTGGCATAGGACAGGACCTGGAGTTATTAATGAGGGTGCTCATCCCCGCGCTAACCTTCCATTTCGAGCAGGGATCTTTGCAACACCAAAATCTGCCCCGCCAGATTGGCCCCGACAGCTGAAGGTGGAAATCATCGGCGGACCGCAGCGAGCTGCTTTTTTGTCGAAAACACCTGCTTCTCTTCCATATTAGCAGACCTTGGTTTAAGATACATTCTTTGCTGCTTCACCGGTCTTCTCGATAACAGCCTGTCCATATCTTGTATCCTTGCACATCATTTGTCCCGGCCGCATCCTTCGCTTTATCCAGCCTTGTCCTTGTCGCCTTGCGACTGTAATAGTGATAGCGGACTTTACAAATCAGCCTAGGCGTTCTGGTGTCTCGACATACAAGAACCTGGCGGACGGTATTCAGAATCTTTCCATACTATAGCTTTGCCTCGACGACTCGACTCGAAGACCCTTCGGTCTCCCCCTGAGACATCAGCAACTCTGTCGTCGTCGATACTGCTCCCAGACCAAATCCTTGGACAATTTCTCAGTCCACCGGCCCTCGAGAACAATGGCAGATACAGCACCCGCCAATGCGCAAGTGCCGCAACAACAGGCAGCTCAGATCCAGCCATGTAAATACAAGACTGGGAAGACGTTAGGTGCGGGCAGCTATTCAGTTGTCAAGGAATGCGTACACATCGATACGGGCAGATACTACGCTGCGAAGGTCATCAATAAACGGCTTATGGCGGGAAGAGAGCATATGGTGAGCACCGGTTGCCCCAGCACATAGAACAGCGTATAGCTGTGGTCTGAGGGGGAACAGCTTCATAAGATTCTCACAGAGAACGTCTCCATGCGGGATGGAACGTCCTGTCACCAGCAGTAGCGTGACCTAGGGATATAGCTGATAACATGACTGACATGATGCTCTGTCAGGTTCGAAACGAAATTGCAGTATTGAAGAAAGTCTCCATGGGTCACAGGAATATCCTGACCCTGGTAGACTATTTCGAGACCATGAATAACCGTGAGACCACCATACCACGCCATTGTATGTTCGCTTACGTTCTCTCCAGTGTATCTCGTCACCGATCTTGCCCTTGGAGGAGAACTCTTCGACCGTATCTGCCGAAAAGGAAGCTATTACGAGACCGACGCCGCAGACCTCGTCCGGGCAACCCTTTCCGCCGTCGCATATCTCCACGACCACGGTATCGTACATCGCGATCTAAAACCGGAGAACCTCCTCTTCCGCACCCCAGAAGACAATGCAGACCTTCTGATCGCCGACTTCGGCCTCTCGCGCATCATGGACGAGGAGCAGTTCCACGTTCTCACAACTACCTGCGGCACTCCAGGCTACATGGCCCCTGAAATCTTCAAGAAGACCGGGCACGGCAAGCCAGTGTAAGCCCCAACTTCCCTCTCTCCTCTTCCCCCCTTTTTTTCCACCATCAAGATTCTAACCCTAGTAACAACAGCGATATCTGGGCCATCGGCGTCATAACCTACTTTCTCCTCTGCGGCTACACGCCTTTCGACCGCGACTCCAACCTCGAAGAAATGCAAGCCATCCTCGTCGCAGACTACTCCTTCACCCCACTCGAATACTGGCGCGGCGTCTCAAACTCGGCCCGCGAATTCATAAAGCGCTGTCTCACCATCATCCCCTCGGAGCGCATGACCTCCCACGAGGCCCTCTCCCACCCCTGGATCGCCGACACCCCCGTCAAGGAAGGCGAGGACTTGCTCCCGACGGTCAAGAAGAACTTTAATGCGCGCCGCACGCTGCATGCTGCAATCGATACCATTCGTGCCATCAACCAGTTGCGAGCGGGTGGGGGCGCAGCGATGATTCATGATGGCGCGAGTGCGCGCGATCCGGCAAAGATTGTGGAGAACTCGAGACCTGTGGATGAGGATGTTATGGAGCTTGATAGCAGGGGCAATGGGCGGGGCCAGACTGAGGAGATGATTCGCGAGCAGGAGAGGCGGATTAGGGAGACACAGGCGGGTCTGTGGGGGCAGCGGAGGTGAGCTACAATGTACCAGGATGAGGCATTGTTTGCGATAGACGTGGGAAATGACGGCGCTTATGATGAATGAGCACATGAGTGAGCGATTCGGGGTCATTGCGGGCGGGCCAAGATTATTGCCACCAGATAAAGCCATTTCAGGATCCAGGCAGGGTGCGGGACGGCGGGCACGTAGACAGTCCGGTCATGTACCTTGACACAATGCACTATCATTTCGAAATCGCATTTGCCTAGGCATGTGTACATGTCATCTATAATCCCGTGCCAAAACTCCTCACCCGACTCCAGTAGTATGGCTTGTCATGCTTCAGCCCAAACTCCCCCCAGTCATCCGTCGTCTTGTTATAACTCCAATACCCCTGCCAATTCAATTTATTATTGCGCGCTCCCCGCCCGGCCGAGCCCAGCGAAAAGGCCATGCGGAACATGTACTTCGGCACGGATCCATCAGTCTCAATATGCAGCGTGCCCTCGGCCTCGCGCTCCTCTGCATGCTCAGCCTTCGCAAGCGCATCATCCGGCCCCGAAAGTCTCCACCGTCCAGCGAGCGCCTCCTTCATGACCGACTGGGGAAGATTGCCCTGGTGCTTTTGTTTCATGTTCTCTGGGATGAGATGGTGCACGACATCGGACGGTTCGGCGAGGGTGAGGAGACTGATGCAGGTGCCGTCGCGGAAGAAGCGGAGGTAGCGGAAGTAGGTCACGATGAGGACGGGGGTGTTCCAGGTTACTTGGCTGGGCGAGCTTGCGCCGGGGCGGGTGTAGTTTACGGTGCTGATGTAGACGCCGTTGAAGCGGATGCGTGGGCGCAGGCGGAACATGGCGCGGTAGGTTGGGTAAGTTGCTGGGACGAGGGTGAGTGGTGGGGCAGGGGATGGTTCTTCGGGTTTGTACAGCTCCTCATCTGCCTCCTGATCATCGTCGGACAATCCTAGGAGACGGTCCTCGTCGGCTAGTAGGGGCTCACCGTTGATGCGACAGGCCCAGGAATAGTGCATAGCCGCCATGCCGAACTCGTGGCCCAGTGCGACGCGTTTCCAGATGCGCTCTTCGGTGAGGACAAGATAAGCTAGTCTCTTGCAGACCTGTGCTGTGCGGACGAAGGATGCGACGTCGCGTACTGCTACATAGAGCAGGATTTCTGTGAGGAGTTCTTCGGGTAGATCTGCAATTGGGCATGGAGGAGCTGGAGATAGTTCTGTCGGCGGGACTTCGCCTTCAATCTTGAGGCTGGAGAAGTCGGAGAGAAGGTCGACAAGAGAGGAGGACAAGCCGGTCAAGTTGTCTGGTTTCACTGCAGAAGCTTTTTTGCTTGTAGTCTGTGACTGAGAGGCTGTCTGGGGAGCTGGTTTCGGCTTTGGGGGGAATGAGGAGACCGGGAAATGCTTCTGCTTGTATGATTCGTGGACGCGATCATCGAGCTATACGTATTAGCTTAAGTGTCTCTGGAGTATCTGAAGGCATGCGGTGTACCTTGAACGCTTTCCTGTATAGTGATACGCTGTCTCCCAATTTACCAATGGACTCTTTAGCTACAGCCTCCTCGTAGTGCTCTAGGGCCGAGCTTGGCTCTGTACTACGCGCTGCTGCTGCTGAACTGCTCTCCGACAACCGCAGACCAGTCTCACGCGGCTTGATATCATGAAAGCTGGATGGTTGGTATTTATCATCATCAGCCTCATGCTCTTGCCGCTGCTTGCCCGCATCTCTTGTCCGTGGCAGAGGTGCCTTCGCTGATCCCTCATACTGCGGTTTATAGGAGCCCGTAGAGGCCGTAGAGGCTTCTGCCTTGGGAGTTTTGCGAGCTTTCACTTCTTCGCGCCAGCGCTGGCGGAACGATTCGAGTTCGGCTTCAGTTTGATTTTGGTCCATTGCGTGAGGGGTGTGACGTCACGGTAGACGACTTGTCGGTACTCTACTATTCTTGAGATGATATCTTGAAGAACAGGAACTCCATAACGACAGGCGCAGGGGTTTGCGAATCGGAGGTCTAGGTTAATAAATAAGAAGGGAATGCTGCGAAGAGCGGTGCGATGTACCGATTCCTGCGCGATGGCGGTATCCTAATTCGGCCGCGTCGCTCGGCCTTAAGCTCGAAAGGCCGGCGCGCGACTCCCTCTTGCACATCAAAATAGCTTTAGCCATCTACATATATCCATGATATTTATGCGAAAACAGGCCAGCCTGTAGGTCTCTTTGTACTGTATGATGTAGATTACCAGAATCTTCCCCCCAATTAGAAGGTCGCAGATTTATGTAGCCAGCAGTGTACTTCGATGCTTGACAGAGAGCAGGGAAACTGACCAATCAGCGGGCAGTCTGGCGCTAAAAAGAACGCCGAACGGAGCGGTCCCATTTTTTGACACGCGCATCATACATTCCTCAGCGCATCGTCAGTCAATTCGCATCCCATACACCAGCTAAGACATCTGTAGTACTCGTCCATATACGTCGACGAGCTGCATTATGCCAGCTTCATGGCTCCTAATTCAATGCGACGCTCTGAGAAGATGACATCATCTCCTCCACACGAGAGCGATGCAATGACTGAAGGGACAGGCAAAGTGGCGCCCTCACCACCTATCGAAGATGTCTCGGTCACTCAGAAGATGTTATCAGCGACTGCTGGGAGTCTCTTGACTTCACTACTGGGTATGTTACATTTCCACCAGTTACGGCATCATCCTGCATCCCACCGCACCAACTTCTTGCCACTGCTATAGCTGTCTGAGCATCAGCATGCTCGTGGACTCGTTCATACACATTAAATGCTAACAAGCACTACTAGTAACCCCTCTTGATGTTGTTCGTGTCCGTCTACAATCGCAAACACACTCTCCCAGAATGACTGCGGTGCAAGGTCTGCCTACGCCTTCAGCAGTGCAATTCAATAATCTACCCTCAAACATAGGAATCTCGACCTGCTGTCGAGAAGTATTCTGGATGGGAAACAACGCTGAGTTCTGCGTAGCTGGACCGACAGTGGCCCCGAATACTCCTGGCGTCGCATGTGCCGCTGAGGAGGTGCGGTCGAAACACTTTACGAGCACCTTTGAGGGCTTGACGAAGATTGCTAGGAATGAGGGACCGACCACATTATGGCGCGGATTGTCACCAACTCTCGCAATGGCCATTCCTGCAAACGTTATATATTTTGCTGGATATGACTGGTTGCGAACATCACCACAGTCACCCATCAATCATCGTATACCGGACATGTACGCGCCTCTGGTTGCAGGGTCTACTGCTCGTATACTGGCAGCGATCGTGGTGAATCCTATCGAGATGTTCAGGACTCGGATGCAAGCTGCAACGCACGTCAAGACATCTGCTGGATACTTTCGCGAAACGATGCATAATATGAGGAGCATGGTCGCAAAAGAAGGCCCAACGAGTTTATGGAGAGGCCTTACTTTAACCCTATGGCGAGATGTGCCCTTCTCTGCATTCTATTGGTGGGGCTATGAAACTGGACGAAACGCTCTAACCGACATACGAGGGCGCGCTCAAGCAAAAGCCGACGGACGTGACTTTATCAGAGGCTCTGGCGACGCTAGAGTACGGCGGAGGAGCGAGTCCAGAGGGCACCAGAATCACAGCACCACACTTGTAGACAGTTTTATCGCTGGTGGCACTTCTGGTGCGATTGCTGCTTTCGTAACAACCCCTTTCGATGTCGGCAAGACACGTCAACAGGTTTACAAGCATTCAACTGAAGACGCATCAGCTGCGGCAAGTTCATCGGCATCGAAGTTTGTCCGACCCGAGGAGCGATCTATGCCACGATTTCTGCTGCACATATTCCAGGAACAGGGCCTCTCGGGCTTGTTCAGGGGCTGGGCGGCGAGATGTCTCAAGGTTGCGCCTGCGTGTGCGATCATGATAAGTAGCTACGAGGTTGGCAAGAAAATGGCCAACAAGGTCAACGAGCGTCGACACGACGACTGAGAGAGGGTCGTGGTGCGAAAGTCAGTACGATGGGCGAGTTTTGTCGTCGCTGAAAGATTTTTGACTGTGCGAAGCATAGGATACCCAGGTGTTTGGATAGTCTCCTCACTCAACCGCATGATGGTCGGCGTTGGATATTGTTCTCCCAGGTTCTTGCATTATAGAGAAAAGCCTGTCCTCGCGGCGTTGGAGTACATGATAATGTTGTGAAGATGTGAGATGACGTTCGTGTATATAAATTGCAGCAATGCTACTCCTTTTGGATCGGAACTTTCTCTAAGCCTAAGCCTTACCAAACCTCCTCAATGTAATATGATGCATCTCAGCCCCAACCACCAGTTCCGCGAACAAATCCGCATGCCTCGAGAACGCCGGATGTTTCTTGAATGCCTCATGCGCAGCAATGCCCGTCCATCCAATCAAGCTCACAAACCGTGCTCCTTTCCCGTCTGCTCCGAAACTCTCGTGCTCTGCCTCTTCGACCGCATGCCCACTGATCGACCCATAGTTTCCTTCGGCCTCGGCGAGCACGCTCAGCATTACGGCGAGGTTAGACTCGTAGAAGGGTGCTTGAGCGTGAGTGACATACATGCTGACGACCTCGACGACTGGTTTCGAGCAGAGGTCGTCGATAGAGAGGGGAAAGTGAACGTGGAACATGTAGACAGGGACGTCTTTCAGGTATGGACGTATAGTGTCTATAAGTGCTGGATAGTCAGATGTTTGCATGTATGTGTGGTGGTCCTCGATGGTTCTCCATTCTGGTGAGTGGAAGGGTCAGTGTATGTATGTATCATGTATGGCAGGAGCAAGGCTATTATGGTCCAAGATATATAGACGTACGGACTAGTAGTTGGAGGATGTCTGGGTGCTGGATTGTGTGGCCATAGTATAATGACTGGAGACCGGGTTGGGAGGAGATGGTCTTGAGGAATGTAGTGAAGACTGGTTCTGCTTCGCCTTCGTTTACGTTTGTTCTTGATTTGAGGGTGAAGTAGGCGATTTGGGTAGCTGGGGACATATTGTGGTTTGGGATGCAAACGATATGAGATTGTGCACGTTTAAAGTCTATATACAGCTGATGTTGAGTGAAGTTCGAGAACACTTGGTGATAGACTTATGGAAGTCCTTGTCACGTAGGAGCCGAGCATGGTAATGCTTGAGGTGAGATATTGGACTGGCTGAAGCATGCCTGCAGAGAATGCCACACATTACTGATGAAGTTGCTGCATAGCTACATGATAGCAGCCTAGAGCAGCTTTGTAGTATTTTGATCTAGACGGATCATAGACGACAGACTTCGAATGAATGCTATGTTTGTGGCTATAATAGCCCCTCGATCCTCTGATCTGTCAAGATGGCGCTAGAGAGGATCTAGGCAATCTGATTGGATGTAGACACTATTAGTCAGCGTTAGATTCCAGGTCATCCATCGCCCAACTCCGTTTGCGTTGTGTTGGCCCCCAATTCATCCGACGGAACAAGTCGTGCGTGTGCGCGACTAATAATAAATTTTTGTTGTTATTATCTTCTACTTCTGCTATTACAGTATTGAACTAGACAGCCCCTACTCCCTCCCTCGTGGCCATGACATTCCGTGGATATTGTTAATCGATTATTCACCAACCCCCTCCCTCCACTACTTTCATACTACGCTCAGTACAGCCTACACCGACGGTAGGGCTCTCGCATACATGGATGGCCTGGCCGTGCGTCAGCAAAGCAAGTCTCCATCCTCTCATATCCATCTCGACGTTGTGGACCCCCGACTGTCGGGATACGTGAGACAGAACACCACCGAACCGCTCTCCCCGTGTACTGGTCCTGGTCCCACTCCATTTCACTATTGCTGTCATTGACCAGACGTGTGCCGCAGACGCGCATAGTTCTGTCTCTGTCCATCTGCCTATTTGCCTATCTGCCTATCTGCCTAGTCACCTACCGGCGGCCTACGCACGTAAGGCGAAGCGCTGCCTACCCCGGACGTGCGTGCATCGGAGTTTAGGTTGCACGCATCTGCAACTGGCAGATCATTGGTGCCATGTTCGCAAACACAACAAATCATTCTTCGGGTGATGGAGATGGCCTTGCTGGACCGTCCGATCAACACTCTCCACCATTGTCGGCCGGCCAAACCGCTCACCAGCAGCGCATCCGCCGAAGAAACAGATTGATCACTTCCTGTCTTGAGTGCCGTCGACGGAAATTGAAATGCGACAAGACCAGCCCTTGCGCAAACTGTGTGAAATTCAACCGCGATTGTTTGTTCCTTGCTCCCGCACTCGATCATGCCTCACAAGCAAAGATTGCGGAGATCAAGGAGAAGATGGGAACGCTGGAGAGGACCTTGGAAGAGGACGTCGCCCGGAAACGAGCAATCAAGCGTGAGATGTCAACGGGCGACCATATTCCCGGCCAGGACCAAAGCAGTGATGAAGAGGGAACACCTCCCGAGGACGAGAAGGACCTTGAAATTAATACGCTCGCTCTCGATAATGTCGTCTACGGTGGTGAGCCAGACGATGACGTCCAGGATCTTGGCATCCTCATTGGCAAAATGAGAATCACTGACAGGGTTGGTGGTTATTTCAGACCAAAGATGTATGAAGAGGTGCGTGCTCAGGCTTCTCTTCGAATCATTGCTGTACATGCACTTACGCGCGTATAGATGGCTGACACCTTGAGACGCCTCACTGGAATCGATACCGAGGAAGTGCCACCAGCAATGCGTGATACCTCTGGCAGTCTGGTCGCCAGTGAATATGTCCCTCCAAACTCTAGCTTCTTTTTCGCACCGCCTATTCCTAGACAGCAGCCTCTATCAGGCCAAAGGTCTACGGGCGCTTTTGGTTCGATCCCTATCATGCAGTATCTACCGCAGAGGGCTATGGCAGACAAGTTAATGTACCAGTATTGGCTCGCTGTGCATCCGCTGTGCCGAATTGTCCACAGGCCCTCCTTCGAGAGACAGTACGACATGTTTTGGCGGAACATGCACATTGGAATAGCGTCAAGGAATTCTTTCATGGCTCTACTATTTTCTCTACTCTTCTCTGCTGTAGTCAGCATGCCTGAGGATTCTGTCTACGAGACCTACACGGTAGAGAAGCAGCAACTTGTGGAGAACTTTAGAGAAGGAACTGAACTCGCGCTGTCTCAGGCAAATTTCTTAAGGAGTACACAGTTGGAAACTCTTCAAGCCTTCACTGCCTATATGGTAGGTTCATATCACTACCTAGTGTACCAACACTAACGCAAATTGTAGATCCCCCTGTGCAGAAGTGCAATCTCACGTGGTCATGCTGCGTTGACAGGGACTGCCATTCGTCTCGCCGAATGTATGGGTCTTCATCGTGACGGCTCAAATTTTGGAATTTCCCCAGTCGAGACGCATGTCCGGAGACTCGTGTGGTTTCAACTGTGCGCCTTGGACCTTCGAACGTGCGAGGCTTGCGGGCCCCGACCACAGATCCGCATGGACGACTACGATACGAAGTTCCCCCTGAACGTAGACGATGCGGATCTGGAATCTGCCACACCACCAGTAAAGGATTCTAACATGTTCACGGACGTTACATTGTCCCGCATTCGATTCGAATGCAACGAGATCCATCGTATGTTGTGGTTTGAACGGCCGAAAATAGGCAAAGGAAAAGTAACAATTACTTCTCTATTGGGTAAGTGTGAGAGGTTCAAACAGGCTATGGAGAAGAAGTACTATTCCATGCTGAACCTCCATCTTCCCTTGCATTTCATGACACTGCAAGTCTACAAAATTCTGTCATTACGCCTACATGCTATGCTACTACATCGGTACGCAAGTAATGCCCAACGCGTAATGCCTGATAGATTGCGGAATATCATGATGAGCTCTGTCACACTGCTGATGGAACATGCAATTACCATTGAGACAAATCCTGCTCTCACCCCTTGGTCATGGTTGAGTGGTTAGTATATGTTCTCTACGAAGGACTTCACAGGCTAATCAAAGTAACAGGCGCTATGCAGCAGTGGCACGTTGCTCTACTTATGATGGGCGAGCTGTACGCGAAGCCTCCACCAAAAGCAGAAGAGGAACGTATCTGGAAGTCACTAGACTATGCTTTCGAGTTGCCACCCCATCTAACGCCAATCGACAAGGTCAAGGTGGTACTAGGCGATCTTCGTGGGAAGAGTGAGGTGTATCAGCGCTTGCACCGGATACATATGCCGAAAATCCGTACTGAGCGGGAGTCTGAATACGTCAAGAAGATGGGCGAGAATGATCCGATTCGGCCATCAGTATCCCCGCCACCTGCCATAGTAGGCATGGCGACACCGACCTTGAATCGACCGGCCAGTGCGGGATATCATAATCAAATACCTACGACAAGTGCAGGGATGAGCCTTGGAAATGCGACAGGAGCAATTGCCCCTACGGACTTTCAATCTAATAATATGCATGGCTTTGGCGAGTCTTTTTATGCCCCACACACAGCACTGTCTCAACAGCCACACCTAGCAGGTATCATGAATTCCCCTCCAGGCTCAGATGGTAGCGCAAATCTTCCTGGACAAGTTATCAGTGGAGGCAGTCCTGGTGGTGAGGTGGTGATTGATATTGATTGGGTGAGTTACAACCATGGATAGACCCTCAACACGGCCCAATGCTAACGCGAACTTAGAATGAATGGGATAAATTATTCCCGCAAGCACAAAATGCTGATCCAAACAATATTAACATTCCGCCTTTCTCTTTTCCCGAGTCCATGGGTGGCAACCTGAGCTGGCAATACCCACCAGGACAATATCCACCACAACAAGGATTCTGAGCTCAAGGCATGAATGGTCGCCAGTATTATGATGTGATATATGATAAAGTTCTAAGCACCTTCCTCGAAAAGGCAGGTTCCGGTTTACTCTAACGGTGGTACTACCTTCTCCAGCCATGTGCAAAGATCTCTCAGCTCCCGTGCGTTCGCAGTATGAGCCAGATCCTCATATTCATGCACCTCTACTGCGTCGTCTTTGAAGCCAAATTCCTTAAATTTGTCGATACATAGGGTCAGAAACCTCCTCGGCACAGCAAAGTCCTTCTGTCCGCGAACCAGAAACACCGGCACATGGCCGACCTCAGACGGCAGATCATTTTCGCTCCGGAGCGCCTGCATGCGATTGATCAAGGGAAAATAGCCGCTAAGACACACGAGGCCAGCGAGTTTGTCGGCATATTTGCGCGACGTGAGGCCTGTCAGCAGCGCCATTGCACATCCCTGGCTGAAGCCGGCCAACACAATGCGGTTAGGTGGAACACCTCTCGAGGTGAGGCCGTCGATTAAGCTTTCGATGTACTTCATGGACAGAAGCATGCCGTCTTCGTCCTCGTCTTCCTCGAGTTCAGGGCGGGAAGGTGCGGTCGCAAGCAGGCGGACTTGCCGATACCAGGCCTTTTGCATGGCGTCACGGTTCTCTGTCGCCTCTGGGAATATCCATTGCATATACGGGAGTTTGTTGCCTCCCTGGAATTGGTCGGCTATATCTGAATTCTGTTAGTACGAAAGGCCCTGATGCTCTCCTCTTGTCAGCACAGGTACATACTTTCCCACCCAGCAGCATCATCACCCAGACCATGCATGAATATGATGGCTGCGCCATGAGAAGGGTTCTGGGGTGGTGAGACGGCAGGCTTGATGATTGGGGGCTCGCGCTCAGAGGTCATGTTGGTATTTAGGGGCTATCTATGAGGTTGGGTACGATTTATGTAGATACGACTGAAGATAAGCACAGAAAATCCAAATTCATATATTCAAGTCTGGAATGATATAGAGCATCTTCACCTACTTTAGGTTACCTAAGTACTATGACGTTGTGGTTCTATTACCGCGGACAGAGTTCCTATCAATCAGTCCAACTTCAATTCTGCCTCTCCAGAATTGACTCAGTCCAGTTCAACTGAGGCCTCTTGCCAAGGGTTGGATCTTCAGTCCAATTCAATTCTAGGGTAGGATTGAGTTGCTAATAGTTGAGTTGAACTGAAGTTATATATAGATAGGTATATTGGTAGATATCCTCTTAAGGTTAGGTGATTCGACGAGATTCATTATGAGAATGTCACGTGATATGTCACGTGATGTGTCATGTGACTTTCTCGGGTACATTAGGTAAGCTATCATGTGATAGGTCACGTGACTTTCACGCGACTTATCATCACTCTCTCATGTATAAAACCACATAAAGTCTCTATACTAATAGCTATATATAAATAATATGAATATAGTCTCTTTTAAGCTTATTATTCACTCATATTAAGAATTACTATATAGGTAATATAGATATATAGCCTTAAAATACTAAATTTTATGCATCTTTAAGACTTTTAGCTAATCTTACTAATATACTTCAGTCCAGTCCAGTTCAACTTCAATTCTACTACTAGGATTAACAGTCCAGTTCAATTCAACTAGAGGCCCAAAATTGAACTGAACTGATTGATAGGAAGTCTGACCGCGGATGAACGGAAAGAGACATCACGTGGATCTGATTCAAATCCTTAAGACTGAGTCAACTAAAAACCTACCATTCATTATACGGAGAGATGCTTCCTTGCATACCAGAGCCAGATTGGGATCGACTATACCCAGGAAAGTTAAAACTTCAATGTTGTCGACGAAAGAGAACTTAGAGAAGCTTCGAAATGGATACTAATCTACAATGATGCCACTCTGGTGATAGTATGTATATATGATCATATCGGAGATATCAAATTTGTATGCGTCGTAGGCGGTACCTTTAATAGTTCGACATAGTAATTGTTTATTGTTGCCTGCTTAGCAAGATGTCAAATAACATTATTGGTGAAGAGGTGAAGCATAATGGCTATATAAACCGATGAAGCCCCGACGCTACGCCCAATCCGGATCCGTGGCGATGGGGACCCAGTCTACTGTCAAGCTAGCGCGTGTGCAGCAATTCACTTTCAAGGTCTGTTGCTATTCAGTAACAGTCATTGTCCAGATGCGCCTGCCGCCGCGTTCGTTTGCTCGCGACCCCGCAGATGACTCTTTCTTCACCGCAAGAGGGAGATTGGTCAGGTCTCGGAGAAGTTAAAGCTGTACGTACTGCACATCACCACCTCCATTTCCACCACTTTCACTGCTGTCGCCGACATAAAACCCATCGCCTACATTAGCTTATACCTGCCCAGAAAGACTCGTACGCTCGCTGCTGAAAGCTTGCGATCCTACTGCTCGGCACGTCTCACTCATATATCGTTCACCCAGTTTTGCAACAATGCCTCACGCTGTTCTTGATGACGACGGGATCGACGCCCGCGACGACGAGCTCATCGCCAGCCTCTTGAACACCGACGCTCAAGATGTCGACCAACTTGACTTTAGCAGAGAGCTCGAACCGGGCGAGAAAGCCGATGATGCTCAGGACTTTGAGGATATTGGAGACGATGACTTGGCCGACGATGAGGACGAGATCGTGCCAAACCCGGACAGAGTTGATATGAATGGACACTCTTTCGATGATACGCAAGACGGTGCGGATGGTATCTTTGACGACGGCTTCGACGCTCTTTTCGATGATGCGCCTTCTCCCCCAACGGACGGCACGGCTACACAGAAGGTTGTCGGGAACGAAGACGACAAAGATGATCTACATGGGCTGTTCGAAGACGAAGACGATCATAATACTGACCAAGCTAATGGAATCGCTCCCATATCTCACAACGCGACCCAGCTTGAGGACGAAGAGAAGGAGGATTCAGATTTGGCAGACGAAACTCAAGGGCCTTCACCAAATCCTGTAGACGACGGAAGTCTGGACCATATCGAGGACCCAGCCGAGAGAGCGCAACTCCTGGAACAGCTTGAGTTATTCGGCTTTCACCGCGACAGGCAGACTCGGACTGTCACGGCGGATATTCCACCGCCACCTGAGACCGACAAGGAACTGTTCCGCACAATCTTCCCACTGTTCGAGGAAGACAAACCTGTCAGGTGGAAGAAAGTGCTACCCCAGAAACGTGCATATTTCGTTGGCAAACAGCCTCTCAAACCACCAAAGTCGATTCAGCCATCCAAGGTGACCCTTGATCTTATGCCGGACCAGGAGAAATTGTTCAGGCTGCCACCTTCGACCACTGCACCAACAAAAACCCGAGCCGAGGAAGCTGCACAAAGAGGACTAATTCTCGTTACAACCCATGATACACAGGATAAGGAAGAGGAAGAGTCAGATGTAGATGATATGGACGATAACGAGCCCGTTGGTGGCTTTAGATGGCAAGACCTAGAAGTCGTTTGTGCAGACTGGGACCTCTCAAGCTCAAGTGATGCATCTGAATATGGCGATATTGTACTACCTCCTGCTAAGAAGCAGAAGGGAAACCAGATGGACCAGAGTGGGCTTTTACACCGTTTCTACGAGGATTTTCCTTCGCTTGAGGACCCTGAAGCTACAACTGCGAAACTGGCGACTAAGATTACTTTGGATATGAACGATCCACATTTAATGCTCCACGAAATGGACGCCAATATTACCCCTCGAATACCTCGCAAACCTGGACTGGAATTCAAGCGAGACGTGAGCGGAAGTTTCACTCGTGCGCTATCTAAACGATTCAATATCTCTAATGACGAGGCTTACGACGCCCTCAAAGAGAACCACCACAACAACAAGGTTCGCCACCTCATCGGCACCGAGAGCCTCGAACACGCAACACCGGCATTACGGCTACAGTTCCCATTCTACAAGGTGAAGATGAGTGCTCGAGAATGTCGGTCTTTCCACAGACCCCAAATGCATTTTAAGGCCCCCGAGCTAGCTAAAGTTACGAAAAATCGTCGCGTAAAGCGAAAGCTGCTAAAGGGCCTATCTGCGAAGGAGATCTACGCTACATCCGACAGTCTTTCTTTAGCAGATAATTCCGACATGATTCTCTTCGAGTACTCCGAGGAGCAACCTATGATGATGTCGAATTTCGGAATGCATAGTCGTCTCATCAACTATTACAAGCGAAAAGATGATGCGGATACGCAGAGGCCGAAGAAAGAGCTTGGTGAAACATCCGTATTATTACCACAAGACGATAGTCCATTTTCCAAATTCGGCACAGTGGAACCTGGCGAGATGACTTCAGCACTGAGCAATCAGATGTTCCGCGCTCCTGTATTCCAACACGAGCCGAAGAACAGTGATTTCCTGATCATTCGGAGCACTACCGGAGAGAACGGCCATAGTTGGCATGTGAGGAACATCTCAAACCTGATGGTCGTTGGCCAACAGTTTCCCAATATGGAGATACCTGGAACTCATTCGCGCAAAGTGACTGAAGCTGCCAAGAACCGATTGAAGATGATTGCGTACCGGATATACCGTAGTAATTCTCGCCGGAAGGTCAAGGGCGCTCTTCTTAGCAATGAAATGATACGAGAGCATCTTCCTGGAACAGACATCGCCCAGAACCGTGGAAAGCTGAGAGAGTTCATGCAGTACGACAAAGAACGTGCCTCCTGGAATCCTAACCCCGCTGAATACACAGACGACGCACCTGTCGAATCGCTTCGAAAGATAGTTCCGGAAACAATCTGCCTACTGGACGCCACACAAGTCGGAGCCCAGTATCTGCAAGACGCAGGTTATAACAAAACTGATAATGATCAAGAGGACGTCGACGAAGACGGCGAGACTATGGAGGAGCAGATGGCGCCCTGGCAGCTCACCAAGAATTTCTTGAATGCTGCAGCTGGCAAGGCCATGGTCGAGATTCATGGGCCTGGCGACCCTACTGGATGTTCCGAGGCTTTCAGTTTCATCAAAGTTTCAATGAAAGGTGGCTTTCGTGCACTGGGTGAGAGTATCGAGGACCAGCTCGATGCTCAGAAAAAGAAAGCAAACAGTGGGCATAATTACAACGTGGCCACTCAAGAACAGAAGTACAGAGAGGCCATAACGAGAACTTGGAATGCCCAAAAACAGAGCCTCAGTTCAACCGTTGAACAAGAAGGCTTTGATGCAGATGGCGTGGACAATGTCGAGGAAGTGGTTGATAACGGTCGAGAACCTACGCCACATCACGTGGGCGGGTCCCAGTATGGGACGCCCATGCGCAACGACGATGATACTATGAGTCAATTCAGTAGACTTAGCCGATCCAGCCAGAAAGGCAAGATGCTGAAAATCACGCGGACGGTGCTTGATACGTATGGGAACCCGAAGACAGAGCGCGAGGTTATCAAAAACCCCCGGGTCATTCGAGAGTACCTGAAAAGGCAAAGCGCCGCCCACCTCGAAGACATTAAGAAAGATTTATTCAATCTGAAGCCCACGGGTGATGAGGCCAAAGATGCTTTGCGAGAGAGAGCGTAAGATTGCGTCTTGACCTTTCATCTCAGCCATAGCTAACATCCGTGTAGTCTTCGCGACGAACTTCTGCGTCTTGAGCGCAACCAAGAACGCCGCATGGGCCGCGAGAAAGCCAAGGGTGTCTACAACCCATCTAATTCCGACTCTCCTGGTACAGGAAAGCACGTTGGTACCCACCGCAAGTGTAAGCGCTGTGGTAAAGCTGGTCATATTAGTACTAACAAGAAGTAAGTTTTATTCTCTCTCTCCTCCCGGCGAAAGGATCATAAGTATGCTGACGCAACTTCAACAGGCTCTGCCCAATGCAAAACGGCACGATCCAGGGACCCGAGGATTCTGATGCTGCGTTTCCTATGCCCACTATATAATCGCCTCTCCCACCTCTATACGCGTAGCTTCACGTCTTGTTTTCCTGAATTTTCATTCTGCATGCAGATGTTTCGACCTCCTTGGCGTTGATACGGTGTAACATGGCGCAGTAATTGGACTAAAAGGTCAGCTATTGTTACAGTTTGACAGCGAGCTACGCCGGTCGGCTCGTGGGAAGTCCCGCCTTTGAAATATATAAGGCCTGGTCTTTGATCGGAAATGAATCGCACCATTCAGCAGTGAAGATGTAAGATAGGTATTCGTCTTTCCAATTCAGTAGCGATCACTGGTGGATTGCGACGGTGAATGAAACGGGCTGCGTGCAATATTTACGCATGAGGACGACTCGAATGCAGAGCGAGCATTGTTATTACCATATAGGTTAGATTAACTCAGTACAGTAAACCTTGTGTGCGATACCAAATGTGTCCGATATCTGCCCCATTGGTGGCTGATGCGGCCTATTGCGGCAGCTTAATTATCTGTTCAAATAGTTGATGTCGGTGATTATGTAAGATCCTTTCCCGTGCCAAGACCACCTGGTGATGGCGAACCGCTTGCGGCTCATGCTTCAGAGCCGCGTCGAAGCTCTGATCTCCTGTACTCCATCACTTGAACACAACACTCACTCAACACGATTTCTTTACGCGCGCTCTCGACTCTCCTGTAACCGCTGTCCTCCTCGACTCTATCTCAGCTCCACAAGCAGCCATGGCCGACGTCGCCGTAGAGAATCCGGCGAACCAAGTCCATCCTCACAAGAAGCAACTACCTTCATCTATACCCAACTTTGAATCGTTAGAGGGCTTTTCAACGGACGGTGATGAATACTCCACATTCAAGAAGCTTCAGAGACAGCTAGAGTATGTCTTCAACGAGCTCAAGAGTATCGACATACGTGCTAACAAAGCGGACAGATACATTCAGCTCCAGGAAGAATACATCAAGGATGAGCAAAGGAGTTTGAAGCGTGAGCTCATTCGAGCGCAGGAGGAGATAAAGCGCATTCAATCTGTGCCGCTGGTGATTGGGCAGTTCATGGAGGCTATTGACCAAAAGTGTGTTACGCAATAATGCTTGAAGCTATCTCGCTGACCTTCATAGTACGGGGATTGTACAATCGTCGACAGGGTCTAATTATGTCGTCCGGATCCTATCTACGCTCGACCGCGAACTTCTCAAGCCCTCCTCGTCTGTCGCCCTCCACCGCCACTCCAATGCTCTAGTCGATATTCTACCCCCAGAGGCCGACTCCTCGATAGCAATGCTCGGTGCCGACGAGAAGCCCGATGTCACATATGCGGACGTAGGAGGTCTGGATATGCAAAAGCAGGAGATTAGAGAAGCAGTCGAGCTGCCACTCACACACTTCGATCTGTACAAGCAGATCGGTATTGACCCGCCACGCGGTGTACTGCTGTACGGTCCCCCGGGTACCGGCAAGACAATGCTGGTCAAGGCCGTCGCGAACAGCACAACTGCATCATTCATTCGAGTTGTTGGCTCCGAATTTGTGCAAAAGTACCTCGGTGAAGGACCCCGCATGGTGCGTGACGTCTTCCGCATGGCACGCGAGAACTCGCCTGCGATTATCTTCATCGACGAAATCGACGCCATCGCCACGAAACGTTTCGATGCACAGACCGGTGCCGATCGCGAGGTCCAACGTATCCTACTCGAGCTGCTGAATCAGATGGACGGTTTCGATCAGACCTCCAACGTCAAGGTCATCATGGCAACGAATCGTGCCGACACGCTCGATCCCGCCCTGCTGCGTCCCGGTCGTCTGGACCGAAAGATTGAATTCCCTTCTCTGCGCGACCGCCGCGAACGACGCTTGATCTTCAGCACTATTGCCAGCAAGATGAGTCTGAGTCCCGAGGTCGATCTGGACAGTCTGATTGTGCGGAACGATCCGCTCAGCGGTGCCATTATTGCGGCGATCATGCAAGAGGCCGGGCTGAGGGCGGTGCGGAAGAATAGGTACAACATCATCCAGAGCGATCTGGAGGATGCGTATGCCAGCCAGGTCAAGGGTGCGCAGGAGGCTGACAAGTTCGACTTTTACAAGTAGAGAGAGAAAGAGTAGACAGGGCGGGGCGGGGGAGCAAGGTTGGATGAGGAGAGAGGTTCTGCATAGACTTACTTTGATAGCAAACAGCCTGCCGACGCGTTCCGGAGGCACTGTAATATACACAGAATCATCACGCACTTCAATCGTAATATCGCCACCCCTTTCCATCCCCAAATCAATCTCAGACTCGCGGGTGTAGGCCAAAGTGTATCTTGCTGCTCAGGCGGTGTTCAAGTCATATTCACTTCACATCCACAAAACCCGGCAGCTTTCAGTCGACCGATCAAGTAATCACACACAGACACATAGACAGAGCATATCTCAATAGACCTAATTCTATTACCCATATGAACACTCATACACACACTCTCCCCGCTCTCCCCTTCCCCCCTTTCCAAACCTAAACGCTACCCATCTCCCTCCTTCCCAGATCCCGCAAGGAAGGCGGCCCAAAAGGTCATACATGAGTAAAATGGCACTGCTCTGCACATACACATATGCGACTAGGTAGTTTATGACGATGACGAAGATAATGACGACGATAATGACGACGACAACAATGACGATAAATGATGATGGATAAAACACAGAAAAAACCCACACGGGACAATGATGACGGTTGGTATCAAGGGGGTTAAAAAAAAACAATAAAAAAAAATACTCACAAGAAACAATAGGATACAAACAACCACAATCCCATTCTCAACTACAATCGAATCTTCACACACGCACGATACGCTACGCTACACACAAACTATATTGCACGCACGCTACGCACTACCTATACCACACACCCACAAAGAAGGACAGGACAGGACAGGACAGGACAGGACAGGACAGGACAGGCACGAAGAACAAGCAAGCATGTAACGCAGTAAGTAACGCAGTAGGTAACGCAGTACGCAGTAGATAGGTAGGTAGGTACGTAGCCATTTCCCCAAGCAAAGCAAAGCCTAGCCTAGGAAATGATATGATATGCCAAGATAAGACAGGACAGGACAGGACAGGCTACAAGGCATGAAAACAGCCGTTTTGGTTATCTCCCCGCCCTCCGGCCCAAAAAAAACCGAGTAGACGAGCGGTGGTGATGATGATGATGATGATGATGATGATGATGATGACAATGACCATGATGATAATGATGACCATGATGATAAATAAACATAGGAAAAGACTCAGGGGCGCTAGGACCGCGACGCGACGCGACTGCCATATAGTCATGTCACACGCGTGGACTTATGCTACTACTAGTACTAGTAACTACTACCAATCCTACTACCACTCCTACTACCACTCCTACTACTACCCCTAATCCCCGTCTAGTCTCTGCAACGGAACGCTACATGGTCAAAATGGAACACGCTCACAACTGCTCGGACTTCTCTACGACAGACGGATAAGACAGATAAGACAGACAAACAGACAGACCAAGCAGGGACAAAGGAGATGACGATGATGATGATGATGATGATGATGATGATGCAAAGACGCGCACGCAATGCTTTGATGATGATGAATTATAAAGAAGAAGAAGCAGATAAAAAAAGGGGAGAATTACAGGATTGCGAGCGCTTCGCCGTCCGTTCTTTTACGCAGAGAGGTATACAAATAACATTTACAAATGGATCGTCGCTTACTCGCCGGTTTGGGGGTGCCTCTCCGGGCTGACCTTGGTGGTATATAGGGGATTTTGATTTGATTTCAGGAGGGACGAGTTCGCAGGTGCCTCGATGCCCCATAGGGAAAAGTCTCATTGTACCGCGTCAATTCTCATGCCGTACTCCTCCATCTCTACACCGCCTGGCCCTGTTTTGACACGTGATGGACTATGCGTGAATTCTTGGGCGACAAGAGGTGGGGCCAGATCTCCAGAGTTCGTATGGGGGATTGTTGGAAGAGACTTGTCCCTGCCTCTTCCTCTCATGTCATCTTTTGGTGGTGTAGGCGGACCGTCCTTTGGCGGAGTCGGCGGACGCTCATCGTCGGCCTCACGACCGTCTTTCGGCGGGGTTGGCGGTGGGCGCGAGTACGCATGTGCTGCAGTTGGAGAGAGAGTGTTGGCAGGGCCGGCGTGTTTCGGAGGGTTGTGTGGATCGGAACTCCTAGTGCTCCTTTGACTTCGCGCGCTACGTCCATCAACACTACTCGTTTCATGTGCTTCCTCCACAACTGGCAGACTATAGCCCAGTTCGCCGCGCTCTGCACTTGGACTTCGGACTACTGTGATGCTGCGTTCCGGAATATTCTCTTCACTTTGGCCATGTCTTTTCGAGCGCTCGGCAACCTTCTCTGCTTTCTCGATGACCTTTTCAGTGGGCGTTTGACGAGCTTGCTCGATTGAAGCGCTGGGCATTTCACTCTCCCGGCGTTCTTCTTCCAGCTTCTCGGCGTCAGCGGCTTCCTTGGTTTTGGTGACTGCGGAAATGAATCGAACAAAGCGATCTCCATAGCGCTCGGGGGGTATTGCAGAAATTTGAGACTCCTGATTTGACAGGCCTTTGATGAAATGTTCCATTCGTTTGATAAGGCTGTACTGTTGTATGGGTTAGCATAGAATTGAATTTGTGCAAATGGGGCGACTTACGTGGGTCAAACAGTCAATGATACCCAGGTAGTAAATCTCTTCGCCTGGTCGATCGTCCTCATGTGTTGCCTGAAAGCCGCCATCATCGCTGTAAAAGTAGAAATTCGTCTTCCCTTCTACGGCCTCGTCTGGCATTTTAGTATTTGTTTGACCCATAGGAACTGGCTTCTGTAGCTTCAACGTCGCCCGCAATTCTTTCGCTTTCCGAGCATTCTCTAGCTTCGAAGGTGTCCGTAACAGCGGATTTGGTTGAAAGTCTTCAGGTTCATCTCCCATAGGCTGGAAGACTTGTAAGTTCTTCTCACGAAGACCCTCTTCGTTTCCCTTCTCCAAGTCATGAATCCCAATAAGCAAAGAGTAGTCCATTATCTTGAGGCGCTGCAGAAGCTTAACATCCTGCTCCATCTGTGCTATGAAGGCCGATTTCTTGGTAGGACCAAACTCCAGATGCAAATCCCTTCGTAGCCAGTTCAAATCCTTCAAGGTTGCGCGTGGGTTCTTCTCTAAATCCTCTTCTCGAAAGTCTCGACCTATAGTTGAGCCTTTCAAGTCGAAGGTGTGGTGGATGTCTCGATGCGGTGGGAATAGGTTGTTCATGACGACGAAGTGTATTTTCCGTCCGTAAGGAAGCTTGACTCGATGGAGACCGTAGAACTGTGAAAGGAGAGTGTTGGGATTATGGCGGACGTGATCGTAATATTCTACCAAGATCTTCCGTAGAAATTTGTGCTCCGCGTGGTGGATTGTCTTGATGATGTATTTGTAGTCCCTCGAAAAATAGAAGAAGCTGCCACTCTTGCCAGGCGAACCAAGCTCGGACAAGATATACTTGCTAGTCAGAGACATCAAGTAGTCCGCGGGATCTTGTTGGAAGATTATTCTCAGGTGCCGGAAAACCCATGGAGCGTAGTCCTTGAATTTGAAGTCGTATTTGGCGGACGGCGTGAGTTCGTTGCCGTTGCTGTGGGATCGTTAGCATTAGGCGAAGCAACGTAGTAGAGGGACAACTTACACATCAAATGAGAACTTGAAGCTGTCTGTGAAGTCTTTCTCTTCAAGGTCTCGATTCATCTTGGCATTTGTCCTGGAAACAGTGAAGCGAATGCCCGTCAGCATATTGTATGCTGTCACATAGTTGACATGGCCCTGTTCGACTTTGGTTCCGACTACCACCAGATCGTCGTCCTCTTCCTCTTTGCGTTTCCTTTTACTGGCGCGCTTTTTGGCAAGCTCAGCATATCGTGCAGCATCCTCGTCTTGAACCTCATCGACGAGCACATCCGATTGTATTGATCGAGTACCTCTGCGCACGAGGGACATTGAACCACGTCGTCTCGTTGGTGTGTTGGGCGAGAAACGACCTGTAGATGTTGCAACGTCCTCGGCGTTCACACCGGCGAACTCGCGGGACATACGAGACGCCGAGACTTTGGGGACCTCGAGCGTATGCCGATGCTGGAGTCGAGCGCTCCCCGGAAGCTGTGAAGATGTGGATGTTGTCGATTGATGCGATGATGAAAATGTTGGAGGTGAAGATACACGTTGAGAGGGATTGGTCGGGTTGAGCAAATTCGCATCTGCGGGGGGGTATGTCGAGGAGACTCTTTGTGATTGAGATCCGTAGTCCGTGCTTGTGCGTATGGCAGTTGGTGACTCCGAGAGACTCGACTCAGTTGTCCCATCAAGGCCATTTGTCATGTCTATTGTGACCTTTGTCGACCTGAAGCGTCGCTCCTCGGCGTTACCCTGTTCGGTATACGAGAACCTCCCATCATCACGGCTCACATTCCTGGGTACTGCAGTGTCACCATTAGAAGCGAATTTCTCATTTTCAGACATGGAGCTTCGCTTGCCCATTGTGTTGGCATTGAAGTCTCTGCTCGGGGCGGACTTGTCGTGGGAGTTTCTCTTTGTATCGTGCGTATAACCGTTTGGAAGGGATTGCAACGGGGGATGACCATTTGACATTGCACTACTCTTCACTGACAGGTCGCCATTCGAAAGTCTGCCACTAGTCTCGCTGGATCGATTGAAGTGTTTGTCCATGGAAGTGCGCAATTCGTGGGAGCCGGATCGAAGAGAGGAATAGTCCCGTTCCTCGGCTAACAGAGAGGGCATAACGAATTTGGAGGAACGGTTGTGAGCATCGGAGACGGCCCCAATTGTGTTCCCAAGTGGCGGACAAATGTTTGCGGTCTTCGGAAGGGTCTTCGTTTGGGAGTGTTTAGAGAAGGGTGGAGGAGTAGTACGCCTACGTGTCGACGGGGAGACGAAGGAGCAGCCAGGTAGGAGAGGAGTCGGATCAAGCAGCGCAGAGGGAATAGCAACAAACAGACAAAGATGCAAAGGCTGAAGATGGGGCGAAGGTGTTGTGTATGTGTGTGTGTGTGTATGTGTTGTTGTGAAGAGGACGGGGTGTATGTATAATGGGATTTCTAGGGCAGATAGATGGGTGGTAGGAAGCGCAGGATTAGGGTAACAAAAGCTCACGGCGTGCTTCCCAACTGCCAAGAGCCCAATGACAGGGCGTCGACCTACCCACGCTTCCAGATTCCGTCTACCCTTTAGCCTTAAGGGACCAGTAATAATTAGTGGGCAGTTGGCAGTTGGCACTCTACCTACTACACTACCTACTACCAGCACGTCCCCCCAATTCTTCCGTCATTCCTCATATTACTCCTCGCCATCCCTCCCTCCTTTCTAAAATACGCACCCCGGCCTGGGCAACGCGATATTCTGATCAGATCTTTTGCGAAGACCAGATTCAGTTTCTTAGTATCAATTTTGAATATCTTCATCTGTGCCCGTCAAGGCACCTACAGGTCTAGTGGGGTTAGCCAAGTCATCGAATAGACAACAGCTTGCGTGTCCCTTTGCGCTTGTTGTCCTCAGCCTCATAGATTCTGCGCTGCCCGTTCGCTGCTGGGTCCCTTCGCACGTTACAGCGAGGCCTTTGCTAACTCCGAAACGGAGCGTCCGGCAACGACAGTCGCACGACTCGCAAGGTCGTCTTGTTAACGTGAACCTAACTCCAGAAGCCGATGTCCGCCTAGAATGGAGATGATGAGTCTCGCGGCCGGCTACCAGATGCCAACGCGCAATCGTAATTTACTTATTTTGTTCTCTAGGTACATTCGTTCGTTACTTGCTAGATTTAGCTGGTGAACAAGCTTCGCGTTGGCGCCGTTCCAGCATCGGGTATTCCCTATTGGACGAGCCTTGGAGAGACAAGCCCCCCTTTCCTGTCCATCCTCTCTAGGAATGTATCTCTCCATGGATCGATCTATTCCAACTTAATCTTGTTATTTGGTCTTAGTGCTACAAGCTAGTTGTTGTATTCTAAAAATAAAGTCCCTCTAAGATTATAGCGACAAACTACGAATTCTAAAATGCTAGTGAGACGTGCTTGGGTTGTCGCTGGTACAAAAACCAAAGGGATTAGAAACAAAAAAACGACATGAACAAGATTCGAACTTGCGAGGCCGAAGCCATTAGATTACTCGAAGGTGAATTCAAGTCTAACCCATTAACCACTCTGGCATCATGCCGAATAATGATTAAAGATTTTTAGTTTCAATATATAATGTTTCCCAGGTTCACGTTTTGCGACGACGCGCCATATACGTCTTGGCAACTAACGGCCGTGCAGCCGAGTCTACCCACCACTTACCGGGGCATTGTTGGAGAACCAAATATACACGCGCCACGCTCACAGTGATATGAATAAATTGACAACTAACAGCACTACAACGTCGACTTCGGCAGCAAACTCCACGCACCGGACGCCTCATCACGAGCCACCCGGCCATCCCGCGCCAACTTCTCCAGCACCTGCACCACGCCCTTCTCCGCCGGCTCATGCAGATTCTCCGGATAGTCCCTGTAGATAACCTTGACCATCTCCATCGACCCCCACCGCGACGGCACCACTGCCCCTTCCTTCTCCCTTCCCAGCACCTCGACAATCTGATTCTCGCGCTGCTTGCGGTGCGCGATATACTCCAGCACCTTTGCCCTGCCGTCGTCAATGACCGGGCCGTGGCCAGGATAGGCGCGGCCGTGGAATTGGCCGGCCATGCGCTCCAGACTGTCCATGTAGGCGGCGAGGTCCTCGAAGACGGCGGTGCCGTGGCCGAGGACGTTGTCGCCCGTGAACATGGCGTCCTCCTCCTCGAGGATGAAGGCCATGTGGTCTGCTGTGTGGCCGGGGCAGTGGAAGGCGCGCAGGGTGGCGCCGTCGGTCTTGAATGTTTGGCCGTCGGTGTAGTTTGTTTGGCCTGGGTCTGGCTGGTTCTTGTAGAAGAGGGTGTGCGGGGAGAGGGCGCGGAGGTCGGTGATGCCGCCGACGTGGTCGGCGTGCCAGTGGGTGAGGATTGCGCGGTCGATTTGGATGTTTTCGGAGGCGAGGAGGGATTTGATGGATTGGATCCATGCGGGCTTGCCCTCGCCTGTGTCGAGCAGGATGCGCTTCGGGCCTTGGCCGATGAGGTAGGTGTTTGTGCCTTTGGCTTGTCGTTATTGACCATTGTTTTGTGATCGATTGACTGCTTACCTTGGAGAGTGAACTGCGTGAGGTCAGCCTTGTCTCCGAGTCTTCCATTGTTCATGACATAATGCTTGCCTTCCCGGGATTCCCGCCGAGGATTCGTATCACTCTACTACTCAATCTCTCAATCTCCGGCAGAGGCGGTAGTGATGCTGCCATTCTCAATCTATGCATTCAGAGACCAGACCTGACGTATTCTCCCGCAAGCAATATATATCGACATATCGCTTGGCAGCTTACTGTACCCGGAGACTCGGTGAGCACGTCAGAAAGCAAACCTCGGCGATAAGAGAAATTCCTGGATCGGCTCTCAGGTAGCTCTATGTTTCTGGACACACGAACACCAAGTGTCCCGATGCGGTCCATAAATTCTTTGCATCCTTGCGATTTGGTGTCAGGGCAGCAATTTTTTTTTTACTTTTTTATTTATCATTTTTGGGAAACATACCAATATATTTATATATACATTCCTATCATGATGGACGACGACGACATCCCGTATGTGAAAAGCAACACGACGCTCAAAGATTCAGAGAATCGCCTAACGTGATAATTATTCGTTTTCAACAGGTCGCTCCCGGCAGATGCACTACAAGCCCTGCAGGAGTTTTATAATGAACGAGACACTCGAGCCAAGCAGTTCGACCAGCTCAAGGCCCAGGCCGAGCAAGAAGAACAAGATCGACCCAAGAAGTGGTCGATGGAGTATTTTACGGAAGACTGGAATGCTTCCCAATTCTGGGTACCGTGATGTCCTTACGACGACCCCCCAGGGTCATAAATAAAGCTCATCCTGTCCTCCAGTACACAGACGAGTGTGCCACGACATATGCAAGACAGCTGCTCGACAGTGCGACCGATGCGTCGGCCGTGGCAGTGGTCTCTGCACCCAGCGTGTTCATCCAGCTGAAGAACCTGCTGAGCGCGGGAGCGTACTCTGTCAAGCCGCGCATAATGCTGTTCGAGTACGACGAGCGCTTCGCAGTCTTCAAGGGCGAGTATACGTACTACGATTTTGCAAATCCGACTCAGTTACCGGGTAATATGACCACCACCGCCATTGTTCACGGTTTTTCTACGCGACCAAACAAGCACTCATACGCATGCCAGGCGAACTGAAGGGTAAATTCGACCGCATCATCTTCGACCCACCGTTCCTCAACGAGAACACGCAGACGAAGAGTAATTATGCATGTGTTTTCTTCTTTTATGGAGTATTACTGATTGATTCACCCAGCCGCCATCACGGTCAGATGGCTATCACGCAACTGGAACGCACCGGGAACGCAGTCAGTGACCGACGAGAAGCCCAAGGAAAGCCTGCGCCTGATCGGCAGCACGGGCGAGAGGATGAAGCCGCTCGTGAGCAAGCTGTACGGCAAGGTGGGCATAAGGACGACCAACTTCGAAGTCGAGCATGCCAAGGGTCTCAGCAACGAGTTCCACTGCTACGCCAATTTCGAATGTGACGCTTGGAAGTGGGCAGCCTGAGTGGATTGAGAGGAGAAGGTGTCCAGGCGGAGTGGTTTTGAGCGCTGGGTTTGTTGATTTATTGATTGATGCAAGCAAGCAACGACACAATTGCTGGCGGAGGCAAGTCGCACTGTACCAGGATGCAGCCGCTTAGACCAACCACGACGTTTTCGCCGTCCGGGCCAGAAAACCGTGCGGGGCTACGTCAATTCGACAAATACACCTACTACCTACCTACCTACAAAACCTACTACTCATATCCACTCACCATCTCCCACCACACCCAACACAGCGTGCAAACTCCCCACAAGAACCATCCCCCCAAAAACAAACCACACAACTCCACATGACCAGCAGAATGGCATCACTACCCTCCTGCATCTTCTGCAAAATCATCAAGGGTACCTACCACCATGCCAACCCCCAAGGCCCTTCTCTCTAACAACAAACCCTCTTCCCAAACAGGCGAAATCCCCTCCCTCAAACTCTTCGAAAGCGACAAAACCTACGCCTTCCTCGACATCGGGCCCCTCTCATCCGGCCACTCTGTACGTTACGCTCCCTCCCTCCCCCCAAAAAACCCCCCAAAACCCTTCCCCCAAAAACCCTCCACCCAAAACCAAAACTAACACCCCCACCCCCCCTTCGCCCAACACAGCTCATAATCCCCAAACACCACGGCGCAAAGCTCCACGACATGCCCGCCGACCAACTAACCGAGATCCTGCCCGTGGCCGCGCGCATCGCCCAGGCCGTCGGCTGCGAAGACTACAACATACTGCAGAACAACGGGCGGATCGCGCATCAGGTCGTGGACCATGTGCACTTCCACATGATTCCGAAGCCGAATGAGGCGGAAGGGTTGGGGGTTGGGTGGCCGGTGCGGGAGGGGGAGGAGGATAAGACGGAGTTGGCGCGGTTGTGTGAGCGGATTCGGAGTAGGATGTAGATGTAGATGTGGGAAATGTAGGAGATGGAGGGGGATTCTTTGTGGACTACTTCGGGGTGGTTGATAGGGGGAGATGGGAGCGGCAAAATCATGCGTCTAGAGAGAGAGAGGGTGGATGTAGTACGCGGGGCAGTCGTCTGATTGGAAAGTAGTGTCGATAATGTCACAACTACTTGCTGCGCCAACGCTCTCTCCATTCTCCCTACGAGTACGAGCGCCATGCTGTTATATCCAGTGAAATAATCCCTTGTCCCTGCCCGCCCTGCCTGCCCTGCCATACACGAGTAGAAATACCAGAACACCAATGATACACCAACAAGGAAACTTGCGTTGCAATGCGTTTGTGGACGAGCAGGTAATGAGGTAGCACCTGTCCCGGACGACCCCGTATTCAAGCCCGAAAACAAAAGAAAAAAATGTCCAATGTTGAGCTTTCTCTATACAGCCTGCTCTCCCCTCGACGTTTCTTCTGCAACGGCCGCGTTCCTCTCTGGACTCTGCAGTACCAGTTGCTCGTGCCTCCGGACTCTCATAAAGTCACTCAGGCTCTTGATCAAGATAAACCATCCCACGATCATTGTAATGTATGCAAAAACGTCATCCGTCGTGATTCCCATTTGAACATTACCGCCGCTATTTCCGCCGTCTGGCATGTCTCCCGGGTTAAAGTTGTGGTTGTTAGGGTCGCTAGGGGGACCGCCAAAGTCGCCGCTACCGCCGTTACGATCTGGCAGCGGCTCGGGGCTTCCCTTCAATGAGAAGCCGTATTGTATGAGGACGACACCAAGACCGGCAAAAGAACCGCGTTTCGCAGCATGTGTAGTATGTAGTAGATAGGTAAGGAGGAACCCGACGACGGGAAAGGCGATGGTGATCATGAAGTTCCAGAACAGCGAGGGGAGAGACCCGACTGGAAGGCCGTCGATGACGACTTCATCCGTGAGCATGCCGGGTGCAAGAATAGTGGTTTCCCAGTAGGGCGGCGTAGCATCTGCAGCGGCTTGTTCATATGTCTAATGATCCTGTCAGCCATCTCATTCGTTTCGACTTCTGAGGAGAGTAGTACTTACGGGAGGCTTCTCTTCCACATCATCACCTGGCGCAGGCTTCGCACTCAGATTCGCAAACACACCGTCATTCCCACTCCCACCCCCAAACCGCCTCATCGGCGTTGTCGTCGAAAATGCTGGTAGCTGTGTGACGCGCCTCTGTATCTCGCCCGGTCTAGTCTGCGTCTCAGTTGTGTCGTCCGTGTTCGCCCGCATCAACCGCTGTCGGTCATCCAATCCATCGGCATTCTCATCGTCTGAGCCTTCATCGTCAGAAGGAGAATCAAAGGTATCGGCCAGCGTTTGCTGAGGGTCTTCGTCGAGTGGGTCTTCGGCAAGAAGACGTCGTGACGCTGCGTTTGGTGACGAGGCGCGCGAGCGGAAGGACGGTGGCGGAGAGTTGGGTATCGGGTAGTGTTGGTGAGAGGTCTGAGTTATGGGTGACGAGGAAGATTCATCTTCGTCGTTTGCTGCTATCTGCAAGCAAAGTCAGTATGGGAATCGTGGAGTTGCAGCGGTCGTTCCGAGCATTCAGTGTTGTCGTTGCAGGGAGTCCCGGGGAGGGGCGAGCCATGTACGTACCCTCTCGTAGCGCTGAGGCATGGCGAGCGAGCGAAAATGCCCGGGAACAGGATGATTGTACGGTAAGAATCGTGGCAAAGGGACAAAGGAAAGCTGGCGAATGGTGCGGGATTGTATAAGACGTTAAAGTAGGAGAGGCGGCAGGTGAAGTGTAATTAGCAAGAAGGTTCCAGTTGGAGGCGTGGTGCGTGTGTCGCCCTCTGGTCAGCACGAGGGTCTGTCTGGTCACTCAGTCACTGGTGCAAGGAAGGGGCCGGCGGCTCAGCCACTGTCCACTCATGAGAATGAACTGGATGGTTGACGCTAGTCCGCTTACGTCCGTGTATACTTTCAGTGCACGGACTGTCAGTTCGAAATGGATGATGATGCGACAACATTTCCAGCGTCAATGCTTTTCCTCCGTCACCAAAACCTCACTCACAACCAAACACATCCTCAAAATAGCCCGCTCTTGACGACAGATCACCACGTTTCGCACACAATGTCCATTCCCAAAGTGCGTATCACGCCATCAGAGAACCCACCGTTCCTTCACAGCCAGCCAGCCAGCAAGCCAGCTAACTAACCACCCTCTCCTCACCCACAGAACCTCGCATCCAAATACACACGCCTCCTCACCCTCTGGCCCACCGACCCACTCCGCCAATTCACATTCCGCACCGTCCTCCAAAAGCGCCTCACAAAGCACAACGAGTCTGCCTCGAGAACACAAGCAACAACAACAACAACACCACCCGCACCCGCACCCGCACCCGTCTCCCCACAACAGCAGGCCTCCGAAGTCGTCCAGATCAATGCGCTCTTCTCGCTAGTCGAGGACCGGTACGCGACAAAGTACAAGCTATCCGAAAAGTACACGCGGCCGCGCGCGAATCCGGAATACTATGCGCGGTTGATGCGCGAGCTGGACGAGGCGCCGACGAGGTCGCGGTTCAGCAATTGGGTGAGGAGCTGGAAGGGGTACTTGAGGTGGCAATGAGTTTGCCAGTGTGCAGTGTGCAGTGTGCAGGAGCGGAGCGTGCTTTAAAAGAATTATATTTGGAAGCAGCAAGTGAGTCAGTGGTATGAGGAAGTTCATACGATACGGCTGACAGCATTGTAACAATATCATTGGGTATATTTACTGTACATGATTCCTGAATTGTTGTGTACATATCTTTGATTAAAGACTTCACTATACGATGGCTAAGCACACGACACAGAAAGTGACTTCATGTAAGTAGTATATAGTTACACTGATCATTACTACGATCAAGAAAGCTTGAGCCCCTCACAACACCCCCGTCCGTGGCTGCACGCAGCTCTAGCTAGATAAATGCGAATGACGCCTATACTACTTTTACACCAGTGCGCGCCTGTTCTATATAGTCGTAGGCAACCCTCAACAAAGAGCTACCAATGCAAATATTCACGCGAACAAAAGATCTCTCTCTCTCTCTCTCTCAGGGTATATCTTACTTACTGCATGACGCCCGTGCCGGGGTAGGACAAGGCAGATTTGGCGGCAATGTTCGCTGCCAATTTCTCTCGCTCCTGCTTCTCCTGCTCCATCAAGGCACGTTCAGCTTTGGTCACGCGAGGTTTACGAACGGTCGTGCCGCCGCGAGAACCCCGTCCTCCACGACTGCCGGGTCCGCCGCCTCGACCTGTGGTACCATCGCCTCTGGTAGCACCACCGCGTCCTCGGCCGCGTCCACGCCGGACTGTTCCATCGGCCCTGTAAAGACATTAGATTAATTTGCATCAAAGCGAAAACAATGGATGCGTACTTCTCTATGGTGGGTTTTGCCCCTTCGGTAAGAAGTGGGCCGCTGTACACGAAGAAACCGTCCTTGGCCATGAGAGCTTGACGCTCCCAGGCAAGTTCTGTATCGTCGATGAAATCGTCCTCCTTGTCGTAGTCTTCTACCTTCTTTCTCCGCTTCCTTGGCTTTCCTTCTTCGTTGATTCCTGATGCATCACCTCCATCGACGCCACCCATCTCGACATTGCTGTCAGGCTCGGACAGATCCAGTGACATGTCGTCGTTGGACGCGACACCGGACGCCTTCTCTAGAGCAGCTCCAGCGGCGGCCATCTGTCGTTTCCTTTCCTTTTGTGCTGCAATCTTTGGGTGCAAGGCAGCGAAGCCGTATTTCTTCTCTACCTCGCGAGCAAAATTAATGGTCACGTTGTTCTGGCCTTGAAGCGGAAATGTGAGCCAGATGTTGGTCCCTGCAGGAGAATCTCCGTTACTCGTTCCATTGGAAGATGCGACCGGGCCAAACGGAGTGCCTGACAGCAGACCACTTCCAGTGGGTAGTGGTTGCTCTTTGGCTCGAGCAGGTTTCGTGGGTGGTGTTGGCGCGGCAGAATTGGTGGCACCAGTCGAGTCTGACTTCTTCATGGCAGCAGGCTTTCGAACCACGTTATCCTTCTCCGAGTCAATATCCATTGCATTGGACGCAGGCACCACCTGAGTGGCTTTTGGTGGCTCCGTGGCGGCTGATGCAAAGTGAGATCGACTGTTTGCTTGCGGTGAAACAGGCGCAGAAGTGACAGAAATGTTGGATTGAGGTGTGTACTTCATAGATTGGGAGACATTGTTCACAGTCGGGTTGGGGTCAATAAGACTGTGAATGGAAGGCGACGCGCTAGCTCTGTGGACGACCTGAGTGGGAGGAGAGATTGGAGGTATGCTACTGGCAGTGTGGCTAGGTCTGCTAAATTCCACGTTGGACGATCGGATAGGGTCGAAATGCTGGCCACTGGAAGCTGGACGAGGCGGTTGAGTGGCAGCAGCTGGTGCAGAGTACTGCGTCACACTGGGATGCTGGAGCGGCTCTGACACGCGTGCACTCGTTGAATATTGAGATGGCGACTGATGCTGCGGGTGCAGTATTTGCGGATGCGCCCGCGAAGAAGCCTGCGACGACGATGTGTAGCTTGATTGCTGGGGAACGCTGTGGTACTGAGACTGCTGGTCGTGTTGTGAGGGTTGATGGGATTGTGCAGAATGGTGATTAGGCAAATACTGGTCTATTTGCTGTTGGCGAGGCTGGGGCGTGGTCTGATTTGCAGCAGCAGGAGGAGGATGTGATGATGTTGATGCAGCAGATGCATGTTCTTCCTTGATCTCGCTCGCATCAACAGCAGCAACATTGGAGCCAGTCTTCCGCCTGCGAGACTGCACCGGTGCATTTGGATCTTTGGGAGTGCGCGGCTTGCGTGTCTTTTTTTCCTTTGGAGTTTCGTCTTTTACGACAGCTTCCTTCTTCTTGCAACCAGGACGTTTCTTGACAGGGGCGTCTGTGGCGGCGTTGGGAGGATTATTACTGTCTGCAACACCACGATTGTTGTCTATAGATAGACGTGATGGGCGGGTGGCAGGCGAAGGAACATCAGCGGATATGGAACGCGGAGGCGACGACAGCTCAGGCGAGGAATCCATCGTTGCAAACCTTTTGGTCCCCCCTCTAATACTCTCCACGCAAGAACAGAAGAAGATCAGGTCTCGGGCAATAGCAGATCATCAAACTCTAGCACAAGAATGCAGATATGCAGACTTTCGATAATATTCCTTTACAGAATATTTGCAGCTCTGCAGTTACCTTGGCCAGTTCCAATATCGATCGAGTTTGGGGGCGTTTGCAGAGAGAGTATGCAGGACCAGCAAATAATTAGTGTAGGCAGAAGAAGGGGTCGGGGCTTTGTGTGTGTGTGTGTGTGTGTGTGTGTGTGTTAGCACCACCACTCTGCAAAAGTCGCGATAGGAGCGACACGACCACGCCGGGTCGAAGCAAAGAAGGATCTCTCAAGAGCTTGTGAAGGTGCAAGCAGTCATAAGCCGATGGAAATGGTCTGGAGCAAGGCGCGGAATCGGTTGAGCGAATTAGTTTGATGCAAAAGGATAGAGGAGAGGTTGTGGCGATGAAAGAGAGGTAAAGCAGATGATGTAGAAGGGAGAAAAAGAGGGTGTGAAGGAGAAGAGTGGTTGTGTGAAGGGGGGAAATGGGAAGACGGTAGGGTAAGTAGGTAGTAAGTAGTAGGAATAAGTAGTAGTAGTAAGTAGGTATGGGGTATGGGAGCGTATAAAAGGATAGGCGGGCACAGACAAGAGCGAACGAGCGTTGCGACGGGCAGAACCACACCAGAACCTGAGACTGGACAGCCAGGAGAATGGAGATTGAGTGCGGCTACTGCTAATTACCATTACTGTTACGGCTACTACTAACTGGGTTAACGGAGCAAGGCAGAGGCGGAGAGGCTCGAAAGCATCAGCATCAGCATCAGCATCAGCCGACGACGCAGTGAACTTGGGGCGACGACTTTGGGGACTTTGGGGACTTGGGGACTTGAAGAGTTGGGGAAGAAAAGCCAGGAAGAAGGGCGGCGGCGGCGACGGCGGCGGGTGCGGGAAAACGTGGAAACAGAGGTCAAGTGGAGTAAAGAGAGGGACGAGGGCTTTCTGGAACGGAGCTAAAGCGAAACAGTAGAGAGAGAGACAGAGAGAGAGAGAAGACTCAGCAGACCCGGAATGGCAGACGGGCAGTTGGGCGAACAATCACATCACAGCAAAAACAGAAAAACAAGCATTCAAGGGCAACACACCTTGCAATCAATCAACCGGAAAAAGAGGAGCATTCGAGTAGAGCCAGATGCGCCAAGCCTGTTGCTGATTGGTCGCTTGGCTCCAGCGTATAACCAATGTGGTTAGAGTCAGGGACTGGCTGCCCTGGTAAATCTACGTATTAATTATTATAATAGACGCAAACCTCTCAGATATACACTTATCCACCACACCGCACAGTGCACACACGCACCCACACCCACACTCCACCTCTCCACCTCTTTCTGCAAGGGTTTCCAGTTACAACACTACATAATGACCTACAGCTGTTGTCGTCTCCATTCTGTCTGTCCAGTGTTCCGTTCCAGTTGTCCGCCATCACGCTATGACGATGTGCCACTGCTCGTCGCGCACGTTGCCCACATGCGACGCTCGACTGTCTACAGCCCATGCATGCATGTCCCAGCAGTGTGGTGGTCAAAAAGAGAGCTAAAGCTAGTCAGACGTGTCACTGGCGCTGATCACGATCACACTGCTGCTATTTACGACCTCAAAGACGTACAGTCCTGCACGACTTGTATCGGCCTGCCAGTCACAATATATGTTCACGGCACGAGGCTCGCTTACAACGTCTGCCTACATCACCTACACGCACGGTGGTGGTCGTGTTGAGGCGACAAGGAATGAATGCCATGTGTTCAAAGTTTGAGGTGTCGTCTGAAACTACAGATCCATACAAGGCTAGCCTCAGCGGTGGCCGATCCCGACTGCACGTGAGTCGATCATGCCAAGCCTTTTGTCGAAGCAGCAAGTGCGACCCCGTACACCCTTCCCTTTTCTGACAGGCTCGTTCGTACATTCCCAATCGAGAGTTTCACTATTATGGCCATCATTGAAGTACCTGCAGTGGTAAGAATTAAGCGAGACGGTGCGCACGTCTGCTCAGCCCTGTATTTTCGTCGCTTCCAAATTCTTCTAACCTCAGGTCGTCATTGCCATCTTTCTCATACGCATACCTATTGAAGGAATCACACGCTCAATTCGGCTAGCGTCAAGCGGGTACAAGGGTGGCATCCTGCATGCAAGCCCGCTGTCCAATAGCCGCTAGTGCCACTTTTGAGCTCTAATCGATGCACGCCATCTTTTTCGCCGTCTCCGCCTTGTTCTCCATAACTCCATCCGCCAAGATGACCATCGTCAAAGGCGAGCGTTTCTACCTTGATCTCGACTCAGACGATGAAGATCATGCCCCAGACCGCAGCGTGCCTGTGAGGCCATCTGCAGGCCCGGCCTTCGACTTCATCGCCGATGTGACTGAGAGACAGCCATCGGCACCGAAGCCTCCAACGGCACCCACCTTCAAAAAGACCGCTTCTGGTTTTCCGGCACCCAAGACCAGACCTAGAGTGTCAGCGTTCAAGCAACAAAGGCACGGTAGTCATCGGGATAAGCATGAGACTCTTGCTGCTCCCTCCTCGCTGTCCCCCACTGGTGGTCCATCAAAATATAACGTAGAGCCCGAAAATGAGAGTCCTGAAGCAAGAGAACGGCGTGATATTGATATGGAGAACAAACAACGAGTTGCACAAATGTCACCTGAAGAGATCGAAAGAGAGCGACAAGAGCTTTTTGCTGGTCTGAATCCATCCTTGATTGAAAAGCTTCTCAAGAGGTCAAATCTTGACGTAACCCGACAAGACTTCGCAAACACGACGGAGCCAAGCGCCTCGCCCTCTTCTCCAAGAGCAATACCTGATACTATCAAAGATGATTCTGCAAGCGGCGATGCGTCTGTCAAGCGTTCTCCGAAACAAAGTAAATCCGTCACATTTGCACCAGAATCGGTACCTTTGGACGAGGAGACTATAGCTACTAAGCAAACAGAAGGTAAGGGGATCGATCCAAACGAGAACTCACAGGCTCCTAATCCTCCTGATATCCCTCCTCCGTCTTCTGTCCACTTCCCTCGCGCGCCGCAGCCCCCAGATCTAGATCCAGACGACCCCTCTTTCCTTGACAACCTTCATGAGAAGTACTTCCCGGACCTGTCCTACGATCCATCCAGTCTTTCTTGGATGGCTCCGATCGACGCCGCGAAACCTTCGTCATATTCTTTGACTCAATCCAGCCTCATGATCTCCGCCCTTCGGTTCTCGTTCAAAGGAGCCTTGATACCCCCTACAAAAGCCGTTGAGATCCCAGTCACTGAGGGACTTCACCACCATGGTGAGGCCCCAGAGGCTGCTGGATACACAATACCAGAACTTGCCATCTTGGCGAGGAGTGCCGTCGCAGCACAGCGCTGTATGGCATATCAAACTATGGGTCGTCTCCTTTACAGACTGGGTAAAGGTGAATTCGGATCAGAGGGAGAAAGAAAAAGGTACAACGTCACAGCCGTGGATGCTGAAGGAGGCGAGATTAGAGAAGAGGCAGATGAAGAGGATGACGATAGATCCGGACTGGCCAAAGGTCTCTGGGAGTGCATTGAAGAACATAACATCATTGGGATATTGAGCGAAGAAGCAAACAAGACAAAAGGGCATATGAGTTCAATCTCGTACGCGCAGGAGGCTCTCTGGAATTGGCGACAGGGCGGAGGTAGACAAAGGAAAGCCGTGTGAGCTTTGTGAGGAGGTCAGCGAGCTTCTCATCGCAGCACAGTGTGTGCATTTCTCGCTATGGCACCACCCGATAGGATACATGCTGCAAAGAATCATCCGTTATCATTCTCCCGTGCAATGCGGGGCAGGATCCTCTCAAGAAAATGTACCAAGCATTCCAACGTTGTTCATTCGGGTTGATCGCAGCACGTCCAAGACACATCATCGTCATGTGTTTCTTCGACTCTCACTAGGCCCTGCTTGTACGATCAAAGTTCTTGTGGAAAATGGTTTTTATTCACATAGACAACGATCAGATGAGGAGTCCGCACAATGCACGTTGAATGCAGCTGGCTGACTCTCCAATGGTAGCTTTCCTCTTCTCCCTCCACTTGTGGAGAACTACTTTCTCAACACAGCTTCCAAAATCTGATCGAGTCCTATATTCGGACCTCCTTGCACCACACCCTCCCAAATTCCTTCTTTTAGTCTCTCCTCGTCCGGCAATATGCTCCAATTCGGACTCTGCTCCGCCTTCAACCATTTGAAGTCATCGACCTGGTCCCACATGTTCACCGGCCGGTTCACGCTCTGCACGACATAGAACTCCGGCAACGGCGCAAACCGGATCCCCTCACAATCTTCAATGATAGGCCGACTAGAGCACTGCAGGTACACAACCACGTTCGTGCTCGCGTGCATCCGAAACTGTCGACACGATGCCACCACAACACTCCCGCTCAGACCCGTCACATGCGCCGACCCAGACACCTGCCCGCATATTATCAAGCTCGAAGAAATGTTTTTGAGCGTAAGCGCGGCAAACGGTCCCCCATGCGACGTCGGCTGCGACATGTCCACCACACACCGTTTCAGGCTGGACAACGTCCCAGAAGACGTAGCATGAGACGCCGACGTCGGCAGAATGATGTGCTGGCTCGTGTGGTTCGCGATTGTCACGCTGGGGCTGTTGGAGAAGCTCGGCTTGCGGATCGCAGACTTGCCGTTGCCGCCCTGTGCGGCGGCGGCCAGATTCTTGTTGACGGGGAACTCGGGCATGGGCTTGTTGTCGTTACCATTTTTCTCATCATCGTCATCGTCATCGTTATCGTCATCATCGGGTGGAGCTCCAGGTTTCGGCGATGGGGCTATAGAAGACACGCCCGAGGCTGCTGAAGAGGTGGTGTAGTCGGGCAGCTTGAGCTTCTGCTGCGCGGCCAGCTCGGCAGCGTCGTGGAGGCTGATTGCGGACGGGTTCTTGCGGTTCTTGAAGGAGAATTTGGCGCGAGGCGCGAGCTGGGTGCGGGTTGTTTGCAGTTTCTCCGATAGCGCTTTGATGGCCTGGTTCGGACATGTCAGGCATGGGAGGGGGGAATATCAAGGTTTTGGTTTGTGGTTGGGATGGGGTAGGGGTTTTGGTGGAGAGGGAAAAAGGAAATTGGAAAAAGGGAAAAAGAAGACACAAACAAACCTCGCCGTACGTGCGCTGGTCGTATGTAGGCACATAGCTGGATGCATCTTTGACCTCGTGCGAGAGCCGGGCTATGCCGGCCAGGCAGTGCTCGATTGCATCGCTGCGCTCCCCGCCTGCTGCGGGCGTGTTGCCGAGGCGTTCCATTTGTTCTTGTAGGGCTGTTGTTTTCGGTCATATATTAGCATTTTTTATAAAAAAATAAAACCATTCATTCATTCATTCATTCATTGGCTGATTCTCCCTCGTACCCCCGGACACATCTACGTAGGGGAGTGGGGAAGGGAGAGATATGGGGAAGGGAGAGATATGGGGATGTGAGTGCTGCTGTCTGGTGTCTTTTGGGGGTGTGGTTGTTTGGGAATTGGGGGCTTTCTTCTAAGATAGTTTGCTTGCTTGCTTGCTTGCTTACCTACCTACAATCTCGTGCTGGAAGTACCGGAAGAAGCGCTCCTTTGGATCGACGGGTGGACTCGTCGTGGGCGAGCTTGCGTTTTTGTCTGGCGTCGCCATGGTTTTGGGGTTTGTTTGGCTGGGTGGTTTAGTTAGAGAAGGGTTGGTTTGTGTAGATAGAGTATACGCAGATACAGTTGCGGTTAAAGCAGTGCGGTAGGTAGATAGATTGCAGCGATGCCGACCTTTTTATGCTTCTTGCTTGACAACCTTACGCAAAGGGCGGCAGAACAGTGACAGCAAGGCTGGATACGTAGCAGCAAAAACAAAAAAGTGGCTGAGTTATGGGAGGTTGGTTGGTGAGATGCAAACTAGGTAGTGAGTGAGCAAACAACAAGTGAGCAGGCGAGCAAGTAAGTGAGCACACGAGACTAGACCGAGCCAAACTTAGACTAGACACGCAGCAGTAGTAGTAGTAGCAAGACTTCTGAAGAAAAGAGCAAATTATTCTTGTAAATTTGAATTAGAAAAAAATCGGTACCTTATAGGTGGTGATAGTAATTAGTGTCTTAATTAAGACCCCCGGAAAGTGCGGGGGTGATTTTCTGCAGGGGTGTGTTTGTTGTGTGGTTTGGGTGTGGTTTGGGTATGGTTTGGGTGTGTTGTGAGTGGGTGGGCGGGTGCGGGGGAGGGGAGGAGATGGATGGATTGATTAGGCTGTTTCGATTTTGATTGGGTTGGTTTGATAAGCTAATTAGATGATATTTTTGTGTTGCGCGGTCGGTACAAGTGAGTATTTATATTGGATATGCGTGGCTGTATGCATACTCGGATCTGGCTTCTCCTGGTGATCGAGCGAGCACATTTTATCATATATTTTGATCTTGTAAATTGCTGATCGAGTGATACGGGCGCGACACACAGAACAGGGCGTATACAGGCATGCTTACAATTCTCAGCACTGTTCTGTCTATATAATTACAGGCAGTCACTCTCTCTTGACGTGGAGGATCTGGAATTTGCTTTTGACAAAAAGAAAGTGTAGTCTTCTCTATTTACCGTGAATGGGCGGATGGCACGCCTTCCAGATCCAGCCCGTACTTCTCCTTTAGTCGTTCTCGGCGTCGTTGATCGTAGCCTTCTGGGTATATACCTGGTCTTGTTAGCGGGGCAGCAATAAGAGAATGTAGGCCGACGACGAACCTCGTCCTTCTCCAAGCTCGGCAAGGGTCTGTTCGATCGGTTTCCGTCTGGTCTTTCTCAACTCTTCCTTCCTCGACACTTCGTCCTCAGTCTCATCCTTCTTCCATCCCCGCAGGCTGCCGCCGGTGTAATCGAAGACTGCCAGGATGACTGCCAGCCCAGACCCGTATCCAAGGGTGTGTGGCAAGCTTCGGTCTTGGTGCTGTTAGCCGTCGGATCAAGTGAATGGAACACGAGGAGCTACTGACTTCTCAGCCCGAGCACTGAGCCGGCAAAGAATCCACCGACTGCTTTGCTCCAGCTGTCGTCCTTTTCTCGTAGGTTCGCGGTTGATGCATGGGTGAATGCGTAGAACGCTCCGGCAGCAGCTATCTTGAGATTAGCCTCCAACGTCCTCGATCATATGTATTGTCCCCCCTTTCCCCTGGTGTATCTTACTGAAGGTGCCAATCGTTCCGCCATATACTCTGAAAGTGCCTAACGCGCCGACGTTCTGCTTCGTGAGGGTATTCTGAGCGGCCGCAATGAAGGTACCCAATCCGCCGAACGTCAGGGCATTGTTGATCGTGGACTTGATGGTATCCTTCGGATGGTAGGAGTGGTCATCGCCGGCCATGGTGGGCAACGGTGTGGTCAGCAATTGTTACGATGGCTCACAAGTTCATTCGACCTGACGTTGGCTTGAGAGTGAGGTGCCCAGAGCTCGGCCACGGCAGCTTTTCGGGAAAACGTCAAGCATGGTTGGCGTGATGCGCTGTCATGGGTATTTCTGGGACTGCAAGCTCGTGGTCTGGCGCTTACGTCGGTCGATTCAAGGGTCTCAGGCTGTGTGTGTGAAGGTCGTCTTCATCTTCTGCGGCGTGGAAACAGCACTTCCAAGGCTGGTTGTGGACAGAGTACTCTGCGGTTTCTTCTTTTTTCATTCCTGTGCTCGTACCGCTACTACATCTATTGAACCTATTACAGCCACATAATCTTACTTACTCAGAACGTCCTGCTCTCTCTTCCACACCTTAATCGCCCCCAGTGTTGCCTAACAGCTACTACCCTGTCATCAAAGAGCTGTCTTACGACTCATACCGCCACGAGAAGTGCGTCTGCTGCTCTCAGGGACTCTGAGCTTCTCCTCTCACCGTAGAACCTTCAGACGGTTCTGCGGTGGATATGGCTTGGCGCCCAGGTACTTCTCATAGCAGCTTCATGCATTGCACTTCCTCGGGTCGTTGACATTCTACAGGGAAGACCGCTCCAAGACTTCTCGAAGACCTCCTTACCTACGATCCTCGCAACGAAGCCGTCATCGGACGCAACACCTTGACCGATGCCCCGCCAGTCTTTGACCCCGAGAAGAGCAGCTCGCATACGCGGTACAATGGATGCCGTCATGCTTTCATGGAGAAGACGGAGCAGAGCAAGCTTCCAGATGCAGGTCGTCCTCTAGAGAAGTCGGAGAAGTATAAGATCGCCACATACTGCAACCAGTGCCGTTTTCACTTCGACGTGACGGTGGACTATAGTGGACAACTGTACCACGGTTCCCCATGTCCCAATAATGAATTTCCGTTACACCATTTCACACATGTTCCCAGCAAGGAGAATGACAAGGCGGGACCATCTCTTTCTCCGCAGGACTCCACCTATCACTTCCGATGCACAGCGAAGGATTGTCCCGTGGAAGTGTACGTTCGCTCACGGCCTCCAATGTTCAAGACCTCGTGGGTGGACCTCCTCACCAATGTCGACGGCCTTCGCGCCCGTCTAGCTGCTGCCAAATCTGTCGACCCTAATAGAGCGCTGGATATAAACCTGGCATTACCATGGGACGGTATGCAATACTTGCGAAAATACATCGTTGATTCCTTGTCTCCAGAGGTCAAACACAAGATGATCCCAGCGCGGAACGTAAAGTTTATGGCTGCGTTTGGGTCTGACTGTGACCACGTGCTATTGGAACTTGGGTTCGTACGGGTGGAAGCAGAGGACAGCAATGAGCTCAAGTGGCGGCTTCCGCAATGCGAAAGCTCAATTGGCCCATTCCAGGCAGATTCACACCGCTCAAAACTGCTCGATATACTTGCGGAGCTGGATTCACTATTACTCAAGCGTGCAAGCTCGGAGATCAAGCAGATGAAATTTGCTCCACCAGAGCCTAGGCCATGCTTGAAAGACCTCGAACGAGCACTTGGATGTCTCGACTATCCCAAAGATCCGGCCTCAAGGCATATTGCGAACAAAGACATTCCAGAGCACCCGTTCTATGGAAGCTTGGGTGTCTTGAGCGACTTCTCAGATCAGTTGGTGATATTCGCGTACAAAAGGCAAATCGAGAGCGATCCTTCAAACACCGCTTACTATTTCGAATGTATTGAGGATCTCGCCAAGGGTAGGAATAGCGAAACGCTTGCGACCGAAGTGCAAATATTAGCCTCTCAAGGTCAGGTCAATCGTAAACAGGTCCGTCAGGCATACAAGTACTTCAATATCGATCCGGACATGTCACAAACATCCGACACTTTTATCATCAACCAGTACAGAGCTCGACTTGCAGACGTGTCGAGCAATCAAGAGCGAGACATGAGGGAGATGCTCCGCATCTTGGGTAGCGCTCGACAAAGCAACGAGATATTACACGAGGCGTCGAACTCGCTGGAGACGTATGCACAAGCTTTGAGCTGGCTAGATGTTCAAGACAACATAGCCGACGAGTTCATCGTCACCATGGCTACCATCAAATTAGAAGATTCTGGGTCACAAGAGAACGCGCGCAAGGCCGTGCGAATAATCGCAGAACACCGCAACAGCGACGCGCTGAGGATCTGGCTGGAGACAGGTCAACTGGGTCACACGGAGATGGATCTTGCGGAAGCATATCGCATTCTTGATATATCGGATCGGACACAAGAGATTGATCAGGGCAGTCTCTCGGTGCTCTTCGAAGTGCGAATGACCGACTCATCACACCCGCCAGCAAAGTTGCAAGAGGCGTATGCACTGATTAGCAAAAGCAAATTCGGGATGAACGAAGAAACAAGTCAGCATCCTCCGGGGAATTGGCCCGTCGGGTTTCAGAACATTGGAAATACCTGCTACTTGAACAGTCTCCTCCAATACTTCTTCACGATCCGGCCTTTGAGAGAGCTTGTCTTGAATTTTGACAAGTATAAGCTCGAGCTCACTGCTGAAAATATCACCAAGAAGCGCGTAGGCGGGCGTGAGGTTTCAGTCGTCGAGCTCGAGAAGGCTCAAGAGTGTAGGTAGACGGTGCTTGGCATATCGCAAACCGTTGCTAATCCGGGCTACAGTCGTTCAGGAATTGAAGAAACTGTTCACAGGCATGATCACCTCCACGGAGTCGAGTGTGCGTCCCGAGGTACGACTTGCTTGTCTTGCACTACTATCCACGGGAGACGAAGCTTTGCAACGTAGACATTCCATCAACAATCGAGGTGCAGGCCTGGGTGAGACAAATGGAACACCATTCATTGGACCCATGCCCATGCCGACGACCAATGGTGCCTCTTCACCTCCCCAGACGGAGACGGGAGATAATAAAAGTGACAGCACACTAGTCGGAGACGGTTCAACCCCAGCATCTAGTACCGAGGAGACTGATGACGCCTTGAAAGCCAAAGACATTCAATCGACCGATTTAGATGCCGGAGTTACTGAAATGGATGTATCTGACGCTGATAAACCTGTGACCAACGGGGCCATGCCCGCTGAACCGAATCGTCCTCCTCCCGTTCCTCCAAGGCCAAAGGCAGCAGATACTGCGAGCACTAATGTACCGGCTGATGTAGAGTGGGCTGCCAGACAACAGGATGTGGCTGAAGTGATGAACAAAGTTCTGTTCCAGCTTCAGTGCGCCATCAGGCCGGAGGTTATGTCTGACGGTCAAGTGAGTGACCTCACAAGGCGGTATGTAGGCGAATGTAATGCTTGAGATGTTATACTGATGAGAGCAGGCTCTTCTTTGGGGAAACCACGACAACGCGCACACGCAACAACAAGATTGAGCGTAAAAAGGAGACGTGGGACACGCTGTTTGTTAATGTCAATGAAGGACCTCGCGATATCTACAAGGCGTTGGACGAAGAGTTCGATAAGGGAGATATTGAGGAGATTAAGCAGGATGCTGACCATGGTATATTGTCAAAATATGAGAACATTAGCGTTCTGCCACCCGTGGTGCAAGTCAACGTCAAACGTGTCAACTACGACACGAAGAAGCGCGAAACTTTCAAGAGCCACAACCATCTCCACCTTGAGGATACACTGTTCTTGGATCGCTATCTCGAGCAAACAGCGTCAGTATCAGCCGAGGAGCTTTACAGTCGTAGAGTGAAGAGTTGGGAGTGGAAGAAGCGGCTAAGAGTGCTGCAGAGCAGACTGCAGGAGCTGAAGGGCGATGCAGACTCTGGTGAACTTGCGGATACGATCGAGGTAACGGCGGAGTATTTATCCGGGCAAGAAGAGGAAGATGAAGAGGAGAGCTCGCAAATGGCAGTGGACGGCGAGAGTGAACGCGCCAAGCTTGTAGCGGCGCTACGAAAGCGGGCGACTGAGCTAAGACATGAGCGGGATGCTATTGGGGATGAGATAGTGGAGTTGCAGGACAAGATCGAGGGGCTGTTCTCAGACCTTCAGGACCATCCTTATAAACTGCATGCAATCTTTATGCATCGGGGCTCGGCGGGCGGGGGCCACTACTGGGTCTACATCCGGGACTTCCAAAACAACATGTGGCGCAAGTACAACGACACCAAGGTCGACGAAGTGACGAACCTACAGGAGATATTCGGCGAAGACAAGACGAAGCCGCCGGCGACGTCTACGGGCGTGGTATATGTGCAAGAGGGGTTGAGCGGGAAGCTGACGGAGGCAGTGTGTCGACAGATGGCCGGGGAGCAGGAAGACGTGGAGATGGTGGATGTGATTGCGGGCGCAGGTGCAGATACGGATGCCGATGCGGAGGTGATTGAAGGCGTGGAGCCATGATAGTCGAGGTTCTCGGCATTACATACATCATATATACACTTGGAAGACTTTATGCATAGCGCTGGGCAGTGTTGGTTGGGCATTAGCGAAGAGATGGGCTTTGTAGGGTTGTTGGGCGATTGAGATGTGGTGGTTAGTGTAGTAGTTAGTATAGAGATACCCCAAGGGCAGGCATGAAGAAGATGACTATCAATGTTGTAAAAAATATCGACTTTGCCTCGACTAAATGCTGTAGTGAAGAGTTGTTGTATACATACGTTCCGAGCTATAGACTCTTTGAGCCTAGACCCGCACTCAAATGCGCTAAGCTTCTTCGAGTCCACCTATGGCTTTGGTACCAGCTAGTCCCAATTAGGATTAGAGCAGCACGAGCCAGCTACTGTATTTAGTCTTAGTCTGGCTAGATAATTAGTCGGCAATACCTCGGTACGAGATCAGAATGTCCTCCATCCATCGAGTCGGCCGAGCTGTCTCTCTCTCCCTAATATCTATCTTCTGATTATCACACAGATAGGTGTGCAGACATGTGCAATAGATGTGGCAAGTGCGCAGGCAGATATGTATATATATAGATATATATATATTTACATGAGAAGAGATGTAAGATTCACATCTTGGGTGTGCGTGTATTTCAAGCACGGCGGTGGCGGCGTTGTGGCCCTTGGGAATGGGGCTTGGACGAGATATGGGCGGGCGAATGGGCGAGTGGGCGAGTGGGCGAGTACTACCAGTACCACCCTCCTCCTAGGCAGCCAGTAGTAATCTTGATTGGCCAGACAAACGCCAGTCAGTCAGTCAGCTAGCTAGTCAGCCAGCTATATAGTTGAGTTTTGCAAACGACAGGTGTTCTTCCGCCTTGGCGAGATGGCTATACTGCTGTTGATCAGTGGTTGTAGGTAGGTATGTGTGTATAATTACAGTATGTGCTATAATGTACAAGAAAGAGCGCAACCTGGCTACAAGCGACCCGCTGTGTTGAATATCATGGGAAGGGGAAGGGGAAGGGGGGCGCGGTGTAATCTCCGCGTTAGGCGATATATGTAAGGGGTTAAGGTAGACAGTGACCATTAGGTGTATTCTCCGAGAGAGAGAGAGAGAGAGAGATTGGAATTTGGAAAAGACGACGATGTTTGGTGTTGTACCCTTGGTAGGGCTGAATTAAAATTTTCTGATTGGACGTGTTGATGTACAGATAGAAGGTCACTGCGTGGGGATGGGATCTAGGCCATGTAATTATGCCATGTAACTGTATGGGATGTCGCTTATCGTGCGTGTCGGTCGTGTGTACAGTATTACTAGGTGTTTGGTGTAATTATTATAAGACGACTAATTAGTTTGTCGAAGAGAATGCTTCAACTCGTCTGCTGCAGCGGCCGCTAGAACAGTTGAAGAAGCTGATCCGAGGCCTGGACGTTCTGCCGACATGCATTTGTCCCATAATAACAGTTCCACAAATCCTCCCACTGATCCATATCTCGTCCAGTAATCTATTTGACGTTTTTAGTCCAAAAGTCCAGAACTCCATACGCGCGTGACGGGCGTCAGCCATTCTCTACTTCTTAAGACTCTTCCTCTCTTGCGCGCCCTCTCTCTCTCTCTCGTTCCATGCCGTCGCCACTGTCCTCTCTTCGTCCCGTCTCTTCGTTGCGCCCTCGCCATGGCTTCTAACCTCGCTCACGACCAGCACAGTGCCGTCTTCGACGACAAGGCCTACCGCAGACCCTCCAAGCAGCCAAGCATAGCGAACCGCGACCATGTCGACTCCGACGTCAACTCGGCCGACGACGTGCTCGAGGCCATGGGCTATACCTCTGAGCTGAAGCGCACGCGCTCGACCTTTCACGTCATCTTCATGTCCTTCGTGCTCGCCTCCATCCCATACGGTCTGGCAACGACCTTCTTCTACCCGTTGATCGCCGGCGGTCCCGCCAACATCATCTGGGGCTGGGTCACGGTATCGTGCATCATCCTCTGCGTGGCCGCGTCGCTGGGCGAGATTACGTCCGTGTATCCTTGCGCCGGCGGGGTCTACTACCAGACCTTCATGATCGCCCCGCCGAGCATGAAGAGGATTGCGTCGTGGATCTGCGGCTGGGCCTTTGTCGTGGGAAACATTACCATTACGCTTGCTGTCAACTTTGGAACCTCGCTCTTCCTGATTGCCTGCATCAACGTGTTTGAGAGTGAGCCCGGCGTGGGCATCCTTGCCGGTGAGCCCTATCAGGTCTATCTCATCTTCCTGGGCATCACCCTGCTGTGCAATGCCGTGTCCGCGCTGGGAAACCGGTATCTGCACTGGCTTGATGTACGTCCCTCCTCCTCCCCCGTCCCTCTAACCCTTTTTTTTTCCGTAGCTCCTCTTATTAAAACTTTGAAATTATTTCAGACTTTTGCCATCTTTTGGACACTCGCTGGGTTGATCGCCATTGTTGTGACCGTGCTCGCCATCGCCAAGAACGGTAGACATTCCGCCAGTTATGTGTTTGGGGAGTTTGACCCGTCCAATTCTGGATGGGGCAGTGCTGGTTGGTCGTTCTGTGTGGGCCTCTTGCAGGCTGCGTATGCGACTTCGTCGACTGGAATGATTGTCTCGTGAGCCTCTCTCTCCCTACGCGCCTTTTGCCAGACGCAGCCTTTTTTTTCCTCCTGATGCACCGTCAACACCACTCCGACTACGAGTCCAGAAAGCAACTGGGGGGTTTTTATTTTCCCAATGCGCCGAATCCGATTGCGACCACCCCCTTTTCTTTCTGTCCCAACGCGCCACTGCTTGTCGCTTGTTGTCCATATGCGCCATTTTTCTGCTTTCTCAAGCTCTGGTCTTACAATAGACGGCTTGGCCCCTTACTTTGATAAACGGTGGCTGACATCTGTCTTAGTATGTGCGAAGAAGTCAAGTACCCAGCAACCCAAGTCCCGAAAGCCATGGTCGCCACCATCGTCATCAACACCTTTGCCGGTCTCCTCTTCCTCATCCCGCTCACCTTTGTCCTTCCTGACATCCCTGAGCTGGTTGCCCTCCAATCCGGCCAGCCCGTGCCATCCATCATCAAGTCCGCAATCGGCTCTTCTGGCGGCGCCATCGGTGTACTCACACCACTCCTCGTTCTCGGTCTGTTCTGTGGTGTCGGATGCACGACCGCCGCATCACGCTCAGTCTGGGGCTTCAGCCGTGACGGTGCCATCCCCGGCTCGAGGCTGTGGCGCTCTGTAAACCACAAGCTCGACGTCCCGCTCAACGCCATGATGCTCAGCATGGCAGTGCAGTTGATCCTGGGCCTGATCTACTTTGGCTCTGCGGCCGCATACAATGCCTTCTCGGGCGTTGGTGTCATTTGCTTGACGACCTCGTACATGGTGCCCATTGCCGTCAGCTTGCTCGGCAGGCGTGCGCACCTCAAGGATGCAAAGTTCAAGCTTGGCCCCCTGGGCATTTTCTGCAATATCGTTGCCATCGGTATGTACTCTGCACTTGCACGAGACTGTGAATGAATCGACTGACACCTGGAACAGCCTGGTCCCTTCTTGCCATCCCCCTCTTCTGCATGCCTTCGTACCTGCCCGTCTCCGCACAAACCATGAACTACGCCTCCGTCGTCTTTGTCGCTTTCCTCCTCATCTCCGCGCTGTGGTATGTCGTCTGGGGCAAGCGGAACTACCAGGGCCCACCGATCCAGGATGAAGACCAAGTCACGCAGAGGAAGGCAAGCATCAGCGCCGGCGGTCCGGTCGAACTATAGAGACACAGCTCCGTCATACCGTTGACCTGCCCGTCCGTGTACATGTACATATATATAGTGGTGGATTAATCGGGATAAGTAGCTTTGTGCAATGAGATACCCCAGTCGTCAGTCTATGTTGGAGCATGTCGCGCGTGTGTGTGTGACTGCGTGTGGAATGAGTTGTGAATAGTGCTACTGTGCCGCAACTCGCAGACACCACACACAGTGTAGTGAATGAATCAAGCTGTGATGGCAAGTTTGTGGGCGGTATCAGATATACGTGACTGGGGACGTGCTGGCGGATCTGACATCGCATGTGTGCAGACGGGCCGACCCATCTCCAACTTAATTACTCGGATCGTCATCTCGATCGTGATCTCACTTCAGCTAGCATCCACTTCCTCAGATCTGGAAAATAGAGTAGCTTGTCATGCTGTTATATCCATGGTCTTGTGCGGTCCTTGCACTGCTCCTCGCAGACAATGTCTCGTCCGAGAACGCTCACGCCAAGCTCCACCAACATGCTCAGCAGCCCATGATAAAGTCGACTCCGAAGAGGGTGGCCATCATAGGTATCTAATCCCCAGAGCCTGTCATCTACCGAGCTTCTGCACAGACTAACAGATACCAGGTGCGGGCGCAGGAGGCTCGTCGACTGCATATCACCTCCACCAATTCGCCGCCGCAGCAGGGATCCCCATCGACATCACCATCTTCGAGAAGAATCCCTACATAGGCGGCCGCACCACCACCGTCAACGCATGGGACACGCCCGGCGAGCCCATCGAGCTCGGCGGCGCCATCTTCGTCAAAGCAAACAAGATCATGGTCGAAGCTGCCCAGGCCTTCAACCTCACCGCCACCAAGCTGTCGTCCGTCAAGCCCCCGTCCGGCACCTCGAACGCCCCGGAACTCGGCGTCTGGAACGGAGAGGAGTTTGTCTTTGAGCAGACCGGGAGCTGGTGGGATGTGCCCAAACTGCTGTGGCGGTACGGGTACGCGCCCGTTCGCACGAACAACCTGGTCAAGGACGTCATGGCCAGGTTCTTGAGGATGTACGAGGCGCCCGTGTTTCCGTGGACGAGTCTGTCGGATGTGGCGTATGAGCTCGGACTTACGGAGGCCACGGCCGTGACTGGGGAGCAGTATCTGCAGGCGAATGGCGTGGGGAAGTTGTTTGCAGATGAGATCGTGCAGGCGAGGTAAGATGTCGATACAGTTGAATGTCCTAGCAGAGCTGACGACGATGAGCAGCACGCGCGTGAATTACGCCCAGAACCTGCCTGTCATTCACGGTCTCGACACCATGGTCAGCATGGCAGCTCAGGGCGCCATGTCCATCGACGGCGGCAACTGGCAGATCTTCGCGAACATGGTCCAGACAGCCGCCGCACACATCCATCTCAACACCACCGTCTCCGCCGTCCATCGCGCTGCAAACGGCTCCTTTTCCCTCACCACCACCACCACCTCCTCCTCCACCTCCCTCACCACTCCCCCCTTCGACACCATCGTCCTCGCCGCCCCCTTCCACTCCTCCTCCATCACATTCTCCCCCAGACTCACACGTCCCCCCGACGCAGTCCCTTACGTCCACCTCCACGTCACCCTCTTCGCCTCTCCGCACTCCCTCTCCCCATCCGCATTCAACCTCCCCGCAAACACACCCGTCCCCAAAACCATCCTCACCACCCTCCGCCACACGGCCGACACCAACTCCACCACCACACCCCCCTTCTACAGCATAAGCACCCTCCGCCACGCCCCAAACCCCCAATCCCACACCCGCGAAGCCCTCTACAAAATCTTCTCCCCTGCCCCCATCTCAGACGCTTACATTGCACACCTCCTCGGTCTCGGCCCATCTCCTCCGTCCTCATCGCCACAGTCCCAATCAGACTACAACCTCGCACCCCGGGACGTATCCTGGCTGAAGCGGCACGAATGGGACAGCTACCCGATCGCGTTTCCGCGCGTGTCGTTTGAGGAGTTGTGGTTGGGTATGGATGTGGATGTGGATGTGGATGTGGATGTGGATGGGCATGCGGGCGGGGTGTGGTATACGAGTGGGATGGAGGGGTTTATTTCGACGATGGAGACGAGTGCGTTGGTGGGGATGGATGTGGCGAGGTTGGTTGTTGATGGGTGGGGGGGTGAGAGGGGGTGAGGGGTGAGGAGTGAGGAGTGAGGATGGGAGGGTTTGTGAGGTGTGGTGGTTGGGTTGAGTGGGGCTGTGTATGTGTGTGTATGTGTGTATGTATGGATGGATCGCGATGGATGTTCGTTGTAGCAGGTCAATCGCATAATATTTTACATATCGTCTGCTCGCTACTCAAAACGACGGAAACACGACATCCAAATCCCAAGCCCAAATCCCAAGCCCAAGCCCAAACGTGTAGCATCCAAACGTTCACAAACCCACCACACAGTCAAGGCCTTGAGTTCTCTCACTCTCTCTTACTATGAACATGCTGGGCTGGCTGGCTGGCTGGGGAATTAACTTGGCGGGAGGTGTTTTGATGCGGATATGTAGGTCTGTATATGCGTATAGATATATATATATGCGTATGGGTGTGTAGGTTAGTAAGTAAGATATAGTTACTATATAGTATATATAAGAAATTACTACTACTACTACTACTACTACTACTACTACTACTACTACTACTACTACTACTACTACTACTACTACTACTACTACTACTACTACTACTTCTACTACTACTTCTACTACTAGAAGGAAGAAGAAGACGAAGAAGAAGAGAAAGAGGAGGGGAAAGACACTACTACTATAGCTATTACAAGATAGAAGATGTAATATTTATCTTTCGTATATACCGTGTCATTAGACGGCACGTGGAGTAGTCCGCTATATATATATATGTGTTTGTTTGTGTGTTCGAAAATTATGTTAATATTAGGGAAGAGATCGAGGTAATAATATATCAAACTATATTCTCTCTCTCTCCCTTATATATATACTTAATTCTAGTCCAAAGTACTATATCTATCGTAAAATCCCGTTACAATAATACGAATACAGCCACGCCAAACGCATCGTTGCAACGAGAATATCATAAGAACGGATTAGCTTTCTAGTGAAACCTCGATTTCGTTATCGAGAATTATATTATCGTACTAAGAATATTACTATAAACGGGTATAGTAAAAACGAGGTTTATATATATGAGAACAACGGTATAACGTAAAAATAGAATTTAACTATATGTCTATGTCTAAAGGCTAGACTTTAGATAGCTTACTTACTTACTTAGATATATATAGACTCTATATACTCTTTCGTATCAATTCTACTAGCTCTTACGAGATGTTAAGATGGACCTATATAAACATCGATGTTAAGATAGATAAGTAGAATATACTTATGCTATTGTTTAAATAACTATAGTCATAGAGCGAGAGATTCGAATAGCCGTATTCTTTCTTCTAAGCATTCGTAATAATCCTCGACCGGTATAGAAAGACTTGACGCTTGAGGCATGTCTCAACTGCGTCAGTTGGCCTGAAGATTAACGCGATGACTAGTTGTAGTGAGGAGCCGTGCGTCAGTCAACGGTGCCACGGTGGGTGACAGCTCAGCGACACAACGGCGCGATCCTTCGAAGCCATTGAGAGCCGAGATACTGCTCCCGTCCTAGCATGCTCCACATTCCTTCGCCGGGCAAGAGCGCTCGGCATTCGGTACATGCGATATGTATGGCATTGTCGTCGATGGATGAGCGCGTCCAGCTTACATGTATGTATTACGCGCATCCTACAGGTAGCTGCTGGTTATGCCTGCAAGCCGGATAAACCACACGCTCACTTAGCCAGCGGTTCATTGACCAGACGGAAAGCAATCCTCAATTACTCATCCTAACCTGTTCAGGCTTGGGTGAGAGACCTGAACACCCAGCACAGAAATTTGGCTCTCATGATGTAGGTGGACAGGAGTTTTGAAATGTCGGACAAAGCCACCCATGAAACTCGCGCTTCCAAAGGTTAGATTCCAAAGATTCCAAAGCCAATCTATTTCCCGGGCCACCAGTACCAGTACCAGTGCCAGCATGCTGCGCTACAACTTTGGTCGAGTCGTCCGTGCTTCATGGATATGGCTGCATGTATTATCGATAAGGAACGATATTATCGAAAGGGGAGCTTGGTGACATGGGGAGATGTGTGGGTCATTATGTCAGACTCTGTTATATCATATCTGTTGCTGAGGCGGCGGATGGGCCGGAAGATGTGACGACCTGGACTTCAATATTTTCGATGACCAGAAAGAGAACAAGGCCAGGGCAGGTGTCGATGCGAGGTTGGCTGGGAATGTTAACGCCAAGCGGGAAGAAGCACATCACGATCACGTGCAGAGCCGGTAGCGGACTAGCGTGACGCGTGTCAACGATTGTTTTGTGCATGGTAGAATGGCTAAGTGGTAACGTTGTATAGATAACGGGTTATGTCAGGGCTTGGCAAAAGGTCATTCGACGCGTTTTCCACATAACAGGCACAGCTGTATGGGGCATCTTTAAGCTGTACGACGATTACGATAGGGTCATAGAGCTTCTAACTAAGCAGAGGGACGAGCCTTGTGTCAATGTCGATACGTCTTATTATTGACTATAATAAGGACATGCACAGGGTTATCAGCGTCGGCAGAGTGAGACACAAGAACAAGGAAGCGAAAGAGTGCGAGGGGAGGTCTGTATTCGATACGGTAGTCACTAATATTACGGTAATTTATGCAGGATCCGGGCGGATTCATGTATCGGGCCGTTGCTGGAGCGCAAATCTTCATTTCAGACTTTTTAACACTGAAAGTGAAACGCCCAAGGCCGGAGTACGACGACAACACGCCCTGTGCTGGGCTGCTGGTGTCGCAAAGAAAGGTCAGGTGCAGCAATTTAGTCATGAAAGAACAGCAGCGCTGTCTGCAAACGAACGAACAAAGTGCTCACTCTTAACAATGGCCCCCAAACACAAGACAATGCGAACAGAACAGAACAGAGAGCGGGATAATTGGTAACAAAGTGGGAGCGGGAGTCTGGAGAGTGAAAAGGCCGCGGCTCTCTTGTTGTGTGTGGATTGTGCAGGCGGACAGAAGACAGCTGATTGGCTCGATGGCCGGTTCCTGACAAGGGGTTGGCTGCATTCGGTTCCTGACTAGAGCGAAGGCGGAGTTGTGCGAGTTGTGCGAATTGTGCGTGTTATGCGAGTTGTGCGAGTTGTGCGTGCAGTGCTGAGCCACCGGTGCTTTCATTTCCTCTCCTGACCCTCTCCCCAAACTCCCAAACTCCCCCAATCCTGCTCCCCAAAGCCTCGCATTGCCCCCCAAAGCCCCCAATTCCTCTCCTCCAGACTTGCACCCACTCACGCTTGCTCCACCCGCACTCATTCTCTCTCCCTTCCACTCATCACACATACACACCACTCTCTCACATACACTCACGCTCATTCATCTTCTTCATCCCTTCACTCACTCACACTGCTTTGTCTTCGTCGTGCTCGCTTTTTGATGCCGACGACCCACGCTCGCTGTCCCCCTTGACAACCGTTCTTTCGCCTGCTGCTCTTTTGCTCAGACACCCTGAAATCTCGGTCCTCCACACGGCTCGAAGGGGCTTACACCTGACGCGAAACACTGCAGACCCGATCAAGGCCTCCTTCACTCAACCTCCATCGTTTCAGACCTCTCACTTCGGCCTCGTTGATCGAGCAACTACCTCTTGACAACACCCTTTCTCCATCATCGTCAATACCGACAACGTCTCGTGGCATCTAGAAGCGCGTGATCGAAAAGAACGAGGAGGGAGATTTGATTTGGACCTTTGCTCGATAATACTACTATCGACTGGTTCGATTTAATACAGGTGTGCCTCGACGCTCCGCTCAAACGTCATCGAGATCATCTCACTGATCATCCAACGCAAGATTGCTGGTGTCACGACTTGGCCAACACTGCTATCCACATACCGCTTCAATATGGTGTCGTTCATACTCAAGACTGCCTTTCTGGCAGCATCTTTAATACAACAGGCTGTATCTCAGTCAACTGCTCCGACTCCCATTGCCACACCGACCTCCCATCCTCAACTGATAGCACCCAAGTACAGAGGATGTTTCGACAACCCAGGGCCCCTGGTGGATTATGGCCCAGCAATATACCAATCAACAGGCAATTGTGCCCCAATCTGTGCTGGATTAAAGAAGCCGATCATGGCCTTGGTCGACGGATCGAATTGCTGGTGTGGTGATTTTCTACCTCCAAAGAGCTCGCAGACTTCCGACGATGAGTGTCGTACACCATGCCAGGGATATGACGTAGAGACATGTATGTGGATTGGATTGAGAAATGCTTAATCATGATGTTAACACAATCTAGGTGGTGGTAATGCGCACTGGGCTGTCTTTCAGGATGGCTTGAACGGTAACACCATAGACTACTATGAGCCATCGACCTCAAGCTCTGCTCCGCCCACAGGAGCGACTGGCGGCACCACTGTCGTCCAGACTGTACCAGGAAGTGTTCAGACGGAAACATCAGCCCCAACAAAAAGTCCAGAGAATGGATCCAACACTGCTGCTATTGCTGCTGGCGTAGTTGTGGCTGTTCTTGCCGTCGCGGCTATTATCGGAGGAGTTTTCTTCTTCTTGAGGAGGAGAAGGTCGCAACATGAAGCAGAGGCGTACCGACGGCACCAGTCCATGCAGAGCTTTACACAGAAGCCCCCTCAAACAGCCTCCTCCGATACTCGTCTCGATCCCGAGATCATGATGCGAAGGCAGAGCGATGGCAGTATTGCAGATAACCAGGACTACTCCCGACGAATTCTCCAGGTAAATTACGACTATCCGTTTGTTCCTTTTGACCGTGACTGACTTGTCCAGGTTCGCAACTTCTAAGGGACATTCCAAACGCTCATGACCACGATTATACATTTATTCCCTCGCTGCACCACACGGCGACGGATCGACGACTTGTGGCACTATGACGGAATCATCTGGCGGTCCGTGTATTCATCGACGTAACCACCCTAGAAAACAATCTACATCCTCGCTTGTATCATGTCCACGACCTTCTCCACAATCCTTTAGCGACGTCATCTTCGCACCTCCACAGCCTTACGACGCATCTATGCGCCTTACTTTTCTCTCTATGGTAGATTTCTTGAACTCAATGTACCGGAAGCATGATGCTTTGATGGTCACCCGGCGAAGCGGTGTTGGCATGTGGCATGACTCTCGATGAGGGAGCACGCCTGGTATCTTTTCCTTTATGTAGTGGTTTGAAACATGGGAAATGGAAATTACTTATGGTGGCTCTATGGATCGGTAGATACTACCAGTGCGAACAATATACTTCATCATTGACGTGCTTGTGCTGTGTCTCGTGACTGGAACTTTTGCGACATTTTTTTGGTACTTCCATAGGCCAATGAGTCTTGGCCGCTCCTGTTTGACCGGGTACCTGGCTATTAGATGGCGTCCGCATTTTCTACTTGCCCCTTGTACACCCTTTCTCCGTAAAAACATGCGTAAAACTATTTCTGGACTTTTCTCAAATGTACTGTATATGATGTATCATACATGTATGTATGGAAGGGCACGAGTTTTTTTTTTATATTTCTTTGCACAGCCACCTCTTTTCTTTCTTCTCTTCGCCGTGCCTCTTCCCCCTTCCTCCGGCTCCCGCGCTTCTATATTCTTCTATAACCGACCGGGGGCCTAGCTAATTATATATATATATATATATTGTGAAACGCTTTGCTTGGCTTTGCTTAGCTTTGCTTCGCTTGGACTGTCGGTTTCAGAAGGAGGATTGGGGGGGTGGATGTGCGCGAGTAAGTGTGTGATTGAGGGAGTGATTGGGTGCAGGTGAGGTGTTTTGTATATGTATGTATATAGGTATACTCTTTGATGTCATGCTGTCATGCTGTCATGCTGTCACGCGGAGACTGGGGACTGGGCATGGCATGGCAGGACAGGGTAGGGCAAGGAAGGGACAACCTGGGGCAACAAGCAAGGGCAGTGACGTACGTGTCGTGTCTGTCATGGAAATACGTAAATTTTTTTTTATTCTGTTTTTTTTTTCTTTTATCGGATTGGACTGAAGGAGCATAGAGGTCGTGTTTTCACTCCATGTTTTCCATCTTCTTTTTTAAGGAAGTTTTTGTATAATTAATAGTTATTGGATATTTGGTATGGTCTATTTGGGTTTCGAAAGTAGGTAGGGTATGTAGGTATTTATTTTACTTCATCGTTTATTTGTTTGGTACAATACAATAGAGAGGGCCGATTATGGTGTTTTTACTTCTTCTGTTTTACCTTTTCTTTTGTCTCTTCCACTTACGGAATCTCTAGTAATGGTACCGTTTTGCGCGCTACGCCCACTCTTTATACGACGACTTCACTTGCAGCGCTTCTCCACGATGTTGGCGCCGTGCTCGTCGTATTCTTTCTTTGAGATCCACATCTGTTGGGCGAGAGGTTAGTATATACAGTAAATGGGAGAAGCTTCTTGTGATATAGATATATAGAGAAAAGGAGACATACCTGGTGGAAGGAGCCTAAGCTGCCTAGGATACTGCCTCCTATCCACGAAGCATACTTTCGCTCAATCGTGTTTCCGGGCGCGCTCAGCCGGATACGCGGCGAAGGGTACATGCCCTGTAGTTCCGCGTTTAGTCGATCGTTGAAGCCAGGGAGGAACGAGGATGCACCAGTCACGACTACGTTGTTGAGGAGATGTGGCCGCTGGTCGACGTCGACCTGGTTGAGCGCGGCCTGTATCATAGCCGGGATGGTCTGCGCCTTGGTGGGCTTAGCATTCTCGTCATCCTCCAGCGCGGCGGTCTCGTCGAAAAGCCCTTCGGTGACCTTGAACCGATCCAGACCGAACACTTGGTTCCAACCGTCCGGCATCTCGAATGGACGAGGGGGCTGAGACTTTGCGATCTCCTCGTTCGTGCCGTTGCTGAGCTTGCCTGGGCCTGTCCAGCATTGTACGACGGATTCTTTGAATTCGGTGAGGACACGCTCTTCTTGTAGGCGGCGATATGAAGCGGGTGGTGCAGTCTCAAACTTCTTGTATGTGGCCTGCGAGGGAGCTCCTGCGTCGACTGCGGTCTTGGAGGATACCATGTAATGCGGCGTCAGAGGGACTTGGTTCTGTTTGAACATGGCGCGGATTTGATTCGAGACGAAATTTCCGGCGAGAGGTGACTTTTGTACACCTGTTTCATGGAGGTTAGCTCAGGCCTGCCCGGAGGATGCTCGTAGCTTGCCTTTCTTCATCATGATGCCATCCACCACGGGCGTCACGGAGGTGATGTTAGCTCCGACATCGACGACTAGCGCTGAAGCCTTGCCTGCTGCGAACCTGTCTGTCTATCAGCGAATGCATCCTTTGAAAATCGCGTAGTGGTCACTTACGCTGCTAATACTCCAGACCGTCCTAGCCAGTATGCGGGAACACCCCAATCCTCCATCGCAATCTCGATGTATTTCTCTCTTGCTTTCACAGGGTTCCAGCCCGGCTCAGTCATTAAAAGAGGATTCTCTGTTAATGGCTTCTCAACCTCTTCTTGTGCATCTAGCTCCATAGCTTCACCGTTGGGGTCATCATTAAGCCCATTCTTCTCCGGGTGTGTAGGCTTCGGTCCGGTCAACCTTGACGTTATCGAGTATTCCCAGAGCTTCGCTGCGGTATCCCAATCCTCTACGATGCCATCTGCCGACCAAGGGTTCTTGATCTGAAGGTTTGCCTGAGGGCTGTGTATCGCGTTTTCGCCGAAGAATAATCGTGAATCGCTCGATGAGACGCCGTAGTGTGTGGGTATAACGGACTTTGGCGCGTCCTCGCCCGCAAATCCAGCGCGTGTAGTTGACCAGCCCGGATCCAGTACGAGGGCAGATACCTCATCTGCAAATGCTATGTTAGTAATCTGTAGCTTCGCGCAGGACAGTGAACGCGTTTGAACGTACCGCCTGCGTATTCGGACAGTGGCGCCGTGTTCGCATTGGGGACTGCCATGGTATACGCTCAATCGTAGTGCTCAGAGCAGTCGCGAGTTACGTCAATAGATATAAGTCACCAAGAAAGTCAAAAGATGTAATTATTGGTTACTTTCACAAACTCGTCCTTGTCGCATGTTTCGCTAGCGCATGCCCGCCAGCCCTACAGTACTACCAAAACCTGGGTGGGGCTAGTCGGAGCTCTACAGCTACCTCAGACGCTTATGATGGACTCCTGAGCGTGTCATTTTTGGATTACGCGCTCTATTCTTCAGCGAAACTTCCCCTGCACGGGTAATTGATGCTCATGTACACTCCACCATGAGTGTCGTCCAATACCTCAAACAGTGCTATACACTAGAGACACTCGACACGCGATTCACGATCCCCTCGAATGTCCCCCCTCGACGAGCTGCACCAGACCCTGGGTTCGAGACAGCAAGCACTTCGACATCTACTTTAGAAATCCAGGAGGCATCTTCAAGAGCTACGGGCACTGTGCCGAGAGCGAAGGCATCACAATGGAATACATTTGAATACTACATATATTATGCTGTCGTTTGTGTGGCCGTGTTTTTCATGTTCAAGTCTACCATTGACGTCTCGAAATGTAAGCAATGGTTACCGGCGCAAACAGTCCCCACTGAGACCTTGTAGCAACACATCCAAACTATGGTAAATACGAGCGCCTGTTGTCGAACGGCTGGTTCTTTGGCCGCAAAGTCGTAAGGACTGAACCCCTGCAATTGTGCACAGTGACGGGTCGCTGATAACAATCAGGACAATTCAGACGCTCAGTACGCTTCGTTCAGAGACAACTTCCCGTACATGGTCCTCCTGATAATCGCCCATCCTATTCTGCGAAAATACTACGACAAATTCTGCAGGGCCGATACCTACACCAAACCATCAAATTCTTCGAATGGTCTGACGCAGGGTCTATCAGCTGCCGCGGCGGCGGATGCTAGGCTCGAACAGCGGATTTCATTCGACATTATATTCTCTGGCCTCCTTATAACAGTCCTACATGGATTCTCAGCATTCAAGATTGTCTTGATTCTGTATTTGAATTACAGCATAGCTAAGCGTACTACAACCCGTTATATACCCCTTGCAACCTGGACTTTCAACATTGGTCTTCTCTTCGCAAACGAGTACTATAAAGGCTACTCATATGCCCGTATATGGAACAGAATTTTCCCGCCCCCATTGGGTCTCTCTGTTGATGATCCCCTGTTTCCTAAAAACTTTGGCGCCTCGCTGGACAGTTATGGAGGTCTAGTTTCGCGGTGGGAAGTCTTGTTCAACATTACGGTGCTTCGCCTTATAAGCTTCAACATGGACTACTACTGGAGTAAAGCTGATAGCGGAGGAGAAAGCCCAATTCATGTAAGTACCTCTTCTAGAGCTTGCTCAGACCTCAGCCTAATAGCCTCAAGAAGAAAGGACTTGACCCTTCTAACCTGTCTGAACGCGATCGTGTCAAGATTCCAGCACGTGTCTCTGACTACAACTTCTCCAACTACTTTGCATATGCCCTATATGCTCCGCTCTACCTCACCGGTCCGATCATCACATTCAATGACTTCCTCTCACAACTCCGCTACCGTTCCCCGAGTATCACCAAAGACAGGACAATCATGTACGGCGTGCGGTTCGTTGTTGTCCTTCTCACCATGGAAATCATGATACATTTCATGTACATGGTTGCCATATTCCACGCCAAGCCAGACTGGAGTGCATACACCCCTTTCCAACTCAGCATGCTCGGCTACTTCAACTTGAACCACATCTGGCTAAAACTCCTCATCCCCTGGCGATTCTTCCGCTTGTGGGCGCTCGTCGATGGCATCGATCCACCAGAGAACATGGTGCGTTGCATGAGCGATAACTACTCCGCACTTGCATTCTGGCGAGGATGGCATCGCAGCTTCAACCGCTGGATTGTGCGGTATATCTACGTACCCATTGGCGGAAGCGGCTTCTCAGGGCGTTTCGGCCAGGTCAGATCGATAGCCAACTTTCTGGCCGTCTTCACGTTCGTGGCGCTGTGGCATGATATCCAGCTAAGGCTGCTCATGTGGGGCTGGCTCATCACACTGTTTGTCATACCCGAGATTATGGGAACGCTGGTCTTTCCGGCTCGTCGCTGGAAGGACTGGCCGCATGCGTATCGGCGCATTTGTGCTGCCGGGGCTACGCTCAATATCCTTATGATGATGGCGGCGAATCTGGTTGGCTTCGCGATCGGGGTGGATGGATTGGTGGAGTTGCTCAAGGCTATATTTTCGACTCTGGATGGGCTGGTGTTTATATCGCTGGCTATGACCGCGTTGTTCATGGCGTCGAATATCATGTTTGAGATTAGGGAAGGGGAGCTGAGAAAGGGCATCAGGATGAAGTGCTAGCTAGCTAGCCTGTGTAGTATTAATCTAGCTAGTCGAAAGATTTTTGACGCACGGCAGCTTTGTGATGATAAAGTCAGCACTTTTGACCCTTGGAACATAACTAGTCTAGAAGGTGAATACGTGGAAGATATAATTGTATTCATTCGTACTATACCAACTAAGATACCAAAGCTGAAAGTTTCGTTCCGGGTTCGTGCAACGGTTATAGTCAACGCTGTTGAGCTTCTTCCTACTTTGTCTGAAGAACCGTGAAACGTTTGTTGTTTACACGTGCAGTCCATATTTGTTCTAGCCGCATGGTATGATCTCGTCTGGCGATGATCTCATCACTAGTAGTTCTCATCAGGCACTCGAAGCGAAGTATGGTGTACGATTACACTCTATTACAGTAAATGCTTATACGTACATCTTTATCGACCAACACCTACGAGTCCACGTCCATCTTCTCGCCAACTGCACTCTCATTCTTGTCATCCAGTTCGTGGACCGTCACATACTTGCTAATCTCTTCTCGCGTAATAATCTTCTCATCGAGCACAGCGGTAGTACCACGCTTGAACTTGTAGTCGCGCTGCTTCTGTTCTCTGACATTGGGTGTGATGTAGTTCCTCAAAAGCTGTGCCTTCTCCTCGGTGATGACGCAAACGTCCACGTTTGAACCTGAACCCAGATCGTTCCAGATACCGGCCTGGATGGCATCGCTCGTCAGCTTCACTGCCTCATCTCTTGTCAACTTCGCTTTCCACTGGGTCTCGAAGACGCTCATGGCGGCCAACGATCCACTACCCATTGTCACGTAGGGCAATTTGTCGGTCGATCCATGCGCATGGACCGTGAAAAGGTGGCACCCGGTAGGGTCAACACCAGCTACGACAAGGTACGCGCCAATATGACCTTGATATCTGAACAGGTGCTGCTTAAGCATAGTCATGCATGTAACAACGCGGGGCTTGCGGCCAGTCGAGAGAGCGTGCAGTTCGAGGTTGGATGAGATGATGGCGGTAGTGAACTCAGTGTCGGCAGCCGTACCGGCTCCAGCACACCAGATATTGGGGGAGATGTAATGAAGCTTCTCACAGTTCTGTTCGGTGGGATTAAATGTGTGTTCTATGCATCATCAGGCTGGGTTCTCTACCTTGTCTGCTACTATTGGACCGCTCGTTGCTCGTGTATCTGCTGCAATGACGACACCTCCATCATAGATACAACCCACGATCGTCGTACCAGTACTGGTGGCTTTCGGTAAAGGTACGCCTCTGGCATGTAGAGCTTGATTGCGGTTGTGGTTGGAGAAGTCGAAGCCCGGCATAGTGAGCTGTCGTAGGAGGTGGAGAGCGTTGGTAAGTCGTTCCGGGCTTGAGAAGTTGTGAAAGTTGCGCAAAGCTTTCGGATAACCTCCGTCTAACACTTAATGCAGGATATCGGTATTTCGAGTCGAGTGATGGTAATGGTCGCAGTTATGTGGGTTGAGATTCAGTAAGGTTCGCGGAGCTGTGAGGTCGTGAGACGCCGGCGAAGCTCCTGCCGCCTTCCACTAGCTCCGTTTGCGAGCTTCAGTTCGCGCTAAGTAATTTCATGTCAACATTAGCATTCATCCTAGGTACTCCGCCTTTGTTGCTTGTCGCTCTGCCTGCCTAGAGCGCAAGCACTGTACCTGCAACATTCTCAATCGAACTTTCGACCTCTTCCGCCCAAGCCCTCCGCGGCTGACAGCCCGTTCTTCATCGTACACGCTATACAACCAACGGTCTAATGCACATGGGACACTGTCGCAACGACCGCACAGCTCCCATACACCTGAACTCAGACCCGAATATCTGAGGGCCAGAATGGCTTTCAACCAGAATGCACAGGTGGAAGAGGGGCCTCCCTTGGAAGAGATACCAGCCGAGGAAAGTACATCCTATGGTCATCAAGTGTGATGAACTACTAACCCACGATACAGACTATAGGATTTCTAGCTGTCAACAAAGATAATAAGATCCGGTTATTGAAGAACAAGTGGCCCTCGAATGCAGAACCCTCGCCAACAGCCTCCCTGCTCAGTATCGCTTCCCGACGAGGCCTTGTCGCCGCCGCAGGACCTGACGCGCTTGTCATAGCAAAGGCTGAAACCCTACGTGAGCTGCTCAACAAGTCACAAGAAGCCAGCGCCATAATCGAGTATGACTCCCCGCTATCTATATCCCTTCCCATGCGGATATCGCACGTATATTTCACATCCGATGAGAAGTACCTCGCAATCACGGCAGAGACCGGCGGAGGGCTTGCTGTTTACGAGGTAGACTCATTACTCCAAGGAAACAAGGAACCCTCGTTTCAAATCGCCACGAATGGGACCTCAGTAAGAGCAGTGGCGCCAAATCCAGAGATCGGACAGTACCTGCTACTGGTCCTCAGCAATGGCTCCCTGGTACTTGCAGATCTTGAAAGCAAAAGCCTACAGAATGGCAAGAATGGCGCAGTACTCTGTGAGAATGTCAGTTGTGCGTCTTGGAGCGTCAAAGGAAAACAGTTGATTGCTGGGCTCGGAGATGGCTCAGTCTCCCAAATCAAACCCGATGGCGACCTTGTGGCGACGATACCAAAACCACCATCATTGACAGGAAGTGTACATGTCTCCGGCATAAACTGGCTGGCTAACGACGAATTCTTGTTCATTCATACAGATTCATCGGGCGCTAATGGCGAACAAATTTTCCACTTCGTTCGTCGTGAAAAAGGCACTTCGAACTTCTTGTTCCAGAAGCTGGCGGCAGATATAGTTATGCCAGGTTTTGACAGGACTGAAGTCGCTCCTAGTCCGTTCATACTTCGTCTACGCGACTTTGAACCCAATTTGTCAAGCCTGCTCCTTGTCACAACGAACAGAACTACGGAAATCACTATGCTTGCAAACGCTACGTCTCCTCTAATACCAAGCCAACCGATCGTCAATACATATACCGCGATCAACCCACCAAATGAAGGCCGCAAAGCAGCTCTTCCATTTGGAGATGATGCAGACACTTTTCCTGTTGGAATGGCCCTGGATCTCTCTGCAACTGAGAAGGTTCGCAGACCGCTGCCTTCAGAGCTTGAATATGAAGAATCTCTCACTCCTCTTCCGGCTGTTACTGCTCTGAACAACGAGGGGATGTTGATGATGTGGTGGATTGTCAATGATGAGTCGATCAAAAGGGGCACCGGGTATCGGGGGCTTACTGCACTCGCAGGAGGTCAGTCTGCTACAACTCAAACAGCACAGCCAGTTCAGCCTGCGCAATCAACTCCAGCTCCGTCATCTGCATTTGGAAAGCCCAGCACCCCTGCTTTTGGGGCTCCAGCTTTTGGAGCTCCTGCATTCGGAGCTGCAACGTTCGGCACACCTAGTCAAATAAGTGCGTTTGGTGGACCTGCACTCAGTAAACCCTCACCATGGGCTCAACCAGCTGCAACCACATCAAGCGCAGCTGGGGCCGCTTTCGGTAAGCCTGGTTTCGGCCAGCCAGCCTTTGGATCAGCTGCGAAGATCGGTGCAGGTACTCCTGGTGCAGCTACCTTTGGAAGTGCTGGTGGTACTACTGGTAGTTCGCCTTGGGGCGCGCAGCAGAATCAGAACAAACCTGCTTTCGGCACCCCTTCAACTCCAAGTGGTAGCGGGTTTTCGAGTTTCGCTGGCAGTGGCGGTTTTGCGACTGTGGGTCAGAGTGGCCAATCTGCATTTGCTTCTGGAACCTCCCCATTCTCTGCATTTTCTCAAAAGGGGACATCGTTCGGAACACCAAGCTCAAGCTTTGGTGTTAAGACTGAGCAGAGCTTTGGATCAACTGTGACTCTAGACTCAAGCAAAGGAGGTTCAAACGCGGGAAATGGCGGATTTTCACCATTTGTTAATGTATCCAACTCGAACACACCGGCTAATCAACAGTCTGCCTTTGGAAGCACTCCTCAATCATCATTTGCCTCGATGTCACAGGAGTCTGACATGGGCGATGCTGACGATATAGCAAGTAGAGGAAGGTCAGAAGCTACTCCAACACCCCAATTGCCGCCTCCGAAAGAGCCACCCCAGAAAGAACCGCCGAAGCCTACTTCTGGGCTTTTCGGCGGTGGTTCTACCTTCAAACTCGGTTCCACATTCGCTGGAGACGGCTCAGCCAAAGACGATCTTCCAAAGCCGCCTGGTGGAACATCCTCCTTCTTTGGGTCCAACTTTGGGAAGTCCTTGGACAGCGATAGTAATCAGACTCCTGTCACACCAGTTAAAAAGGAACCGGTAGATGAGAAGTTGAATCTTAAGGATGTTTCAGAGACACCTGCCGCCGAGCCACCACAACAAAAGCCAGGTCTCTTTTCATTTACTTCTACACAGAAAGCTCAGGATAATCAGTCTGCCACTCCGCAGGCCGCCAAACCAGAAGCTGCGCCCTTACCCCCAGACTTCACCAAGTCATCAGCGACCAAGGCGCCAGCGTTCGATGATGTACCCTTACCACCAGACTTTACAAAATCATCCACGCCGAAAGCGCCTGTACCAGAATCTGCGCCTCTACCTCCAGACTTCACTCAGCCCAACAGCAAGAAGTCAACTGAAGACGATTTACCTCCTCTAGCTGGTAGCCCACCTATCACAGTAGAGCCCCCAAGCAGCGATCTAGGGTCCGTGTCCGTGCCTGAGGAGGAGAACGATGACAGCTTCGAGGTTGAAGAGCATGATGGAAGCGACGAACAGGACGAAGCCAGCGAGCTAGAAGGGGTCGGTCAAAGATCACCAGCTCGTCGAGCTTCTCGACCACAACCGCCTGGTAGCAATTGGTCGTTCCAATCATCGACACAGTCCCACCAGCCACCACCCCCTGCTCCAAGCCCTCCTGTTCAGTCCCGTAGTCCATCCCGCTCACCTCTCCGCAACCAAGTCTATCCTACCACAACCCCACTGGGACTTCCAAAAGGCCCCGTATTTGCGCCTCCAGCTTCTCGCACACTAGAGTCACCACGCTCCCCAAGCCCCATACGGTCGGCGTCTACCCCAGTATTTATCAAACGAGAATCCGTCCCACCAGCAAAGGCACCGCCCCGCCCAATCTCACGTGCGAAGGCCCCAACACCACCTGACCCCGAACCTGTAGTTGAGGATCTGAGTGACGCCGAGGATGCGAGAATTCGCGAGGAGCTTGAAGCACCCATAGAGCCCACGACGACCTTGGATCCCTTCATTGTGCGATTGGGTTCGGAGCTCAATTCTAAGCCTGGCATTCCTGGTCAAATCGAGCGCGTCTACAGAGATATTAATGCGATGGTTGATACGCTTGGCGTCAACGCCCGCACTCTCGCATGCTTCATTGCTGGGCACACTGCAGATTCAGATCGCCAGCGAACTCGTGACGACCTCGATAGTATAACATATGAAGATACCGTGGACGACTGGACGCTGGTCGAATGCCTCGAACTCGCTGACCTCGAAGATGAGTTGGACGAAACTCTCGAAAACGGCCGTGTTAGAAACGTGCAGGGCAAACTCGCGGAGTTGGCCAACCTACATCGCGGTCTTAATCGTCTTCGCGCCCGCGCAAAAGCGCTCGACCGCAGTTTACGCATAAACGCGACCGATTCAGTGGCTGCGACCAATGCTCCGCTATCCACAGAACAAAGCTTCCAACTGCGCACGCTACGAAATGCCGTCTCCGATCTCCAGACCTTGCTCCGCGAGACAGAAGGCGCGGCCGTGCTCCTGCGCGCTCGACTAGCAGCCGCAAAAGGCGCAAACAGCGCAAACGGCAACGGGAAACCAACCCAGACGCCCACCGTCGAAGCAGTCACCAACACAATCGCAAAAATGACGGCCATGATCGAGAAGAAGAGCGGCGACGTCGATGTCCTGGAAACCCAGATGCGCAAACTGCGCATGACGGCTCCGGAATCCCTGAGCGCATCCTCGAGATCGCTCGAGCGCTCAAAGTCGCGCGAGGGCACGTATGCCCTGTCTTTTTCGGACTCTGACGACGACGACGACGACGACGAACCATCCGCGCCAAACAACCGCGACACGCCCTCGAAACGCATGCCCGGCGCCTTTGCCACGCCCCAGAGCCACAGCCACAGTCACCACCGTAGCAGCACCCGCGTCGCGCCGCCTAGCTCCGGCCGCAGCGTCGCCTCTGTCTGGCACACACCAGGCAGCTCGTTTGAGCAGAGTCCGTCCTCGTCGTCGTTGTCGCTGCTGCGTGGCGGTGGCACAAGTAATAGCACTACTACTACTAATGGCCGGGGCTTGGCCGGCATCAGCGATGAGGAGGTCGTGGTTAGAGCAGAGAGGGTGCAGAGGAGGAAGGGCTTGGCGCAGAGCTTTGCACAGGCTATTATGCGGAGGGGCGTTCGTGTTAGGGAGGTTGGGGCTCCTTGAATTTCTTGTGGTTTGGTTTGGCTTGGTCTGGCTTAATCTGGCTTTTGTCGAGAGTGAGTGAGTGAGTGGGCGAGTGGGCGAGTGACTGACTGAGTGACTGAGTGGGTGTGAGAGTCAGTGGGAGAGATGTTGGTGTTGAGTGTTGAGTGATAAGTGTAGGATAGATGGGATTAGATGATGGAGATAATGAATTGATTGTGTATGAGTATGTATGTATAACCTCTGGGTGTGTGTGTGTGTGATATTGCTTTTGAGGGGGGAATGGAAGATGTGGTACAACATGCTGTACTGTACGCATTGCAGTCAAACATGTCCACGATCCACCGACATTCTCTGCCCCTATTTCTACGGGAGATCTTCTTCTTCTTCTGTACCGAGTCTCGCACATATACAAGATGCACTGCAGCTCGTGGTGAAGAATATGCTCGCTGGTTCGCCTGGAAAAGTCTAGTATCACGTCTGGGTCACGCCAATTATGTAGTATATGTATAATGTACTCTCAAAGGGGTATCTTTATGCATGCTACAATGTCATAAACTATATTCGCCTCTGCTGATCCTTCCCTGATAGCATACGCATACAGCCATCGCCTCATTACCCCTACATCTAGAACTTCACAACCCACCTCGTCCGTACAAATTCACCGTACCTCAGGAACAAGAATGGCATCGGAATGAACGCAATGGCCACAAACGCAAGCAGACTATTTCCCCATCCATAGCCCAGATCCTCGTAGAGTTTCCGACCCGCCAGTGGCAGTACAGCCGCAAACACGCTTCGTAGCACTGTGCTCGCTGCCATAGCACTCGCTGCGTGCACAGTGAATACATCTACTAGATATGTACTAGCAGGCATAAAGATCCACATCAGCCCACAGCCGACGAGACCCGATGCCGCAATCGGTACTATCCAGTGCACCGTGTACTGCACCGTCCAGCCGTAAATAAGGAGGCCGATGGGCAACAGAATGGCGCCCGGGACCATCATGTGTAGGCGGTTTTCAGGGCGTGCGTCACCGCGGGATAGCTGCCGTATGAAGATGCGATTGGCCATCCAGGTACCGTAAAGTTGGGCGAAGATGCAGCCGACGCCGAGACCAGCAAAAGAGAGCCCGACAACACCACGGGAGAAGCCATATTGAGTGCTAAAAACCGGGGTGAATGTTGTGAAGAGGACGTAGAGGTAGGCGTAGGTGATGGCCATGTAGAGGGAGATGCTGGTGACAATCGGGGACATGATGAGCATCTTCGAGGGTCGCACAATAGAAAAGAGGAAGAGGTCTTTGGGGGTTAAACCAGTGTCGAATTTGGATTTCAGAGCAGTGTTGCCGGTCTCTTTACGAAGACGGCGGACCTTGGCAGCAAGTATGGCGGGGGCATAGGTTTCACGCATGAGAATCGCGGCAGCGATGGCGAAACCGGAACTGATTATGGTTAGGATCCAGAAGTTCCATCTCCAACCTTTGGCCTGGGTTATAAAGCCACCAGCGATAGGGCCAATCGTTGGGCCAACGGTCTATCATGAAGTCAGTATAGGCCCAGACAGGATCAAACAAAAGATACAACGTACTGGTCCCATCATCCACAAAGCCATCGCGGTAGCTCGTTGCTCCCGTGAGATTATATCTGCGATAGTCCCACCTCCGAGCGTAATGGGTGCGGCGCCAAAGGTGCCCTGTAGGAAACGGAAGACAATGAACATCTCGATATTGCTTGCTACTGCGCAGGCAACAGTGAAGATTATGAACAGAATATTACAGCCATGGTCTAGCAGCAATTAGCAACAGTTGGATGGCCTCGCAGCAACAACATACACAATGGTAGACGTCCATACATTTCGGACAAAGGAGCAATAGCTGGGACTTGTCAGCGTGATAGATCCCAGAAGACGGATATCACTCAGGAACATGCCTAGAGGGCCAAAAGCAAAGCCCAAAACGTATACTGATACAATGAAGCTTGATATGGCTTCATTGGACGATCCGAATTCTTGCATCACTTCTGGCACACCTGGAGCAAACATGGACGATGCAAGCGGTGTCAACAAGGTCAGACCAGATACAATGCCTACGGTACCCCATCTCCGTGGGCTGGACCAATTCAAGGGATTGTGTGGATCGTCAGGACCGTCCCAGAAGATAACGTTGGAATCGACTGCATGTTGAGCTTTCTCCTCATGTATTGACGACTCTGTAGAGCATGTAAGAGCCTTCTCGACATCAACCTCCTTTACGGAATCGACATCCTTGGTGTTTGTTGAGTGAGTCCTTGCGGACTTTGTGGAGCTTGAGCTAGAAGACAAGACGCCGGCGTTCGTGGGGATGTCGGCATCATGGGCTTCGTAGGCAGCCAAGGAGAGGATCTCGATGGGCTGGCTTGGCGCCGCGTGCGGGACGCTATGCGCCATGGACCGGGAGCGAAAAGCTTGGTGGGTGGAGTATGGAGAGGGCCTATGTGGGTGTACTTTGTCGCATCTGTGGCAGGCGTTTGATATGGGAGTCCGAGTATTTTGAGTGATCAGGACTGCATGGCTATAGGCCGAGCAAGTGGGCAATGGAAGGAATTTAACTTAACGAGTGTGGATGGGATGAAGCGGGGACGGAAGAGTAGGAGCCGTTGGAAGCACCAATATCAGCGAGTGACGGAAATGGAGAGAGATCGACAGTGGATAGGGTGTATTATAATGTGCTGCTTGAAGAAGCCTGTGGGTTGTGAGTTGTCAGTTATCGGGGCGTGAGGTGCGAAGTGCGAGGTGCGAGGTGTAAGGTGTGAGGTATGAGTTTGGAATGGAGAAATATGCTAAATTGGTTGTGGGTGTTTTGGACTACAGAAGCTGAAGGTAAATAGAGAAAGAGCGAAGGCACATTACAGGACGGGAAAGAGGTTGATATTGTAGATACACCTGGGTAATAGGGAGGGAGTAAATAGTGATAGCTAACTAGGCAAGTTCGATACGATACGCCAGAAGGGGCAGGGGCAGAGGCAGAGACAGAGACACACAACACGCACAGGCACAGGCAGGCACGGAGACGGAATCCGGCCTAAGACGACGGTATTGCATTATCTCCATCATCACCGTGTGGATCCATCTCAGAAGCACAGGCTTGGATGTCAGCAGTGGAAACAGTAAGCGTAAGCAGTGTATTGCAGTGTAGTGAGGAGTCGTGGTGTATTCTTACGTGGTGATGCCTCAGGGCTGAATGAATGTTAGGATGATGCTTGAACGCATGTGGAGACGATGCAAGATCCATGGTACGTGGGGCGTGGACGGTCAAGAGTGGATCCATACAGTAGATGAGCGGGCCTGATCGCTGAGGAATAGTGAGTGGTATGTGCGCCGACTGCACCCAATTGACGCCGCCGTCCAGCCCATTTTTTGGCGAGTGACATGCCTAATCGCACGCCCATTTGCCCGGTGTGAGAGCCACTAAGTCAGCCACCTGGTCCCTGTCTACCTCCCCCGCCTATCTGGATCGTCTCTGTATGTGCATCTGCAGCTACAATGGCTTAATACTGCGCTATAAGAATAAAACGACGTATTGATTCCCTCCATATTAATGCTTCGTATGCGCCCGCCACAATCATGTACCGCCAGTAGTGCCGTCGCCTTTGCCATACATAACTCGCAGCTGTGCATGCCCGAGTCGTTCATGAACCGGGCACACGGCTCGTCGTGTTACTGGCCCTCCATGCCCTGCTGGTTGTGGCTGCAGCTGCACGCCGGGCCCGTCTGCGTCTCCTCGCCATCGAGATGCCGTGTTATCCTGCTGTAGATACGCACACTGTCTTATCACGCTGCTTAATGATCTAGTACGAAGGCGCACGACATGGAAAAAGAATGTTATCAATCTGCTTTTATGTATTACATAAGTTTGGAACGCATGGAAGATGTTTTCCTTGTATACCCCGGCTGGTGGCCCCAGTCGGACGTGGTCTGTGCTACAACCTCCGAGAGGGCAGCCCGTTTGATTTCCCCGGACGGTGATAGAGATCGATCATCATGATCCTGCTCCGCGGATTCAGCAGCAACAAAACTTTCTGGCACGTCTCGATAGCTATTGCGAGTACACCCTCCATGTTTCATCATCATCAAAGACATACTACCCATCCACAGTGCAGTGACGTATCACTTTGTTACGTGAACCCATTCAGCCCTATCGAAGTAGCAAGCTACCATCTTTAGCCGCCTATCAGCCATCACGTGCGTTACCGTTCATATTACATTCTAGTAGTATATATCAAGGGTATATACATGTTTATATGTGTATAGTGGTGTACTAACATAATCAGGTATATGATGTTTGATCTTTCGGTCCGCACTGCCAGACTGCATGGGTATGAGCCACTTGACCTTAGCCAACATACCAACCACAGCGAGTCGGCTAAGTAGACCTTATTACAGCTGAGACAAGACGCCCTTAGCCATACCAACGAGCTTGTCTTGGTTCAATATGCAATCTGGGGAATAGTATCGTGATATATTGAACTGACACTTTTTATGCTGCTTAGCCATTTCTAGGTCGTAAATTCGTATAAATACTGAGGTCATGTAGCACTCTAATCCTCGTCCTCACCTCTCACCATCTTCATAACCTTCGTCATGAAAGCCAGTCTTATCTTCACCGTCGGCATTGCTGCCGTGGCCAATGCCCACGCCATCGCTCAAAGAGTCAAGGTCGCAGGCGTGGATAAAGGACAGATGGTCGGAGTCAGGGCTCCTTCCGACAATAATCCAATCTTGAATGTGCAGGATGCGAATATGGCTTGTAATCAAAATAGACAGAACACTCCTGTTGACGCCACTGTCATTGCTGTTGCGGCTGGACAGGAAATTAGTGTTTGGTGGCAGCACGTATGTTCACTGTGGGGTTAGCGACGAAGGGTTTGCGCTGATGAACGTGTAGGTATTCGGCGGGCCCCAGTACAGCGGTGATGCAGACAATCCGATTGCGAAGTCTCATAAGGGGCCACTCATCTACTATCTGTAAGTCGAACCTACATGTTTTCCTTTCACCGTACTGACTTATAATCCCCAGTGCGAAAGTCGATAACGCCGCATACGCGTCTCCAACAGGGCTGCAATGGTTCAAAGTCGCGCAAGATGGCCTGGACACCAACGATGGGACCTGGGGCGTTGACCGTATGATTCAAAACAACGGCTGGCACTCCTTCACACTACCCTCCTGCGTCGCGCCAGGACAATATCTCTTGCGGACTGAGCTGATCGCACTGCATAGCGCGGGTACATCTGGCCAGGCGCAGTTTTATCTGAGCTGTGTGCAGATCAATGTTACGGGTAGTGGCAGTAAGACTGGTAGTACGATGAGCTTTCCGGGGGCCTATCAGGCTAGTGATCCGTAAGTGCAAGATGCGTGAGAATAGAGATAAGAGGCTAACGAAATGGCAGTGGTATCCTCATTAGTATATATGATGCGCAGGGGAATCCTACGAATGGAAAGAAGCCGTATGCGGTGCCTGGCGGTAATGTGATGACTTGCTAGGCGGTGGGAACCATGTGAGTCGGCCGGATGTGATGATGTTCACTTGGTTATCCGGATAGATGGTAGTAGTAGGAGAGGTCGCTGCCTATATGCCAGCGGATGCCCGGTAGTGCAACGATACGAACCAGCGCGATGCACGTGGCTATTCGACACTAGGTATGGCTAGTCAATTTCGACCATGCAAAGTGATGCTCTAAGTACTACCGAAGAGTGACGTGTTATGCCTTTCCTGACGGTGAGAGATGGGTGATGGGTAAAGGGAGAGAGGTTTGGGTGGGCCGCCCAGAGCCGTGGGGTCTCTTTTAAGGAGTCGACCTGGGGAGCACAGGCATGGATCCCTACCGAAGCTCACTCTTCAATTGCACCTCAAGCAAAGCAGCTCTTTCTCTCCACAACCTCCCATCATTCATTGCAAATTGCACATCTCCCTTTCGGGCCGTCGCTATATGTCGATCTATCCTTTGGTTCTGATATCCGCACTCGTCTTCGGAAAAGACCTCGAGTCGCCGGCCAATACTTAGCTTTCGACCAACACGGCTGTTGGGCTACCATACGTCATCGGCGCTACGCTAAGCTCACACAGCTGGTGGGCTTGAGCTTCGATTACTCAAACACAGACGACCACCCTTCCTCGTCCTCTTCTTTGCCTGATCCCTTCCCTTTCTCACGTATAGGATCTCGCTTTCATATTGCCCCACACCTCCCTGGTACATCAACCTGCTCGACGTTCAATCATTGCAGACTACAAAGCATGTCAAGGCCTGTGACGCCCTCGCATGAGTTTGGCTCTGTGCCTGCTCCCAATGCATCGCAATTTGGCCGTGGCTACGGCGGTGCTGGGGAATACAGCACTGGCACAGCTGATTTTGCTCCTACTGGACATGTCCCCGATTCCTCGCCGCTCGCACAGTCTTATCAGCACGGTGGTATGGCAAAGTTCAATGAAGAATTCGACGCCAGCCAGCGTGGCTCCTCGTTGATCGACGGTAACGGTCTACACCGCTCCGCATCCACTGCTTCAACAACGCTACACAGCACCGGTACACCATCCAGAAGCGGAACGCTGAAGAAGAGGGGCTCAGTCAAACGCAATGCAAGCCTGAAAAGGAGTGGCAGCAGGAAGAGTCTGCGCGCTGGGAGTATCAAGGGTGTCCCTTCCGGCGACGGTGCCGGGGAGGACACTCATAACAGCGTCTTTCACACTCCCATACCAACTTCGGGAACGCCGACAGACATTCTCGCAAATCGTTTTCAAGGTCTGTACAACCTCACCTTACAAAGGCTATTTGACCATCTGCTAATGACCGTCGCATAGCTTGGCGAAAACTCCTAAAGGACCTCATTACATACTTTCGAGAAGTCCAGACTTCTTACGAACAGCGCGCAAAATCTCTCCTCAAAGTCTCCAATGTTGTAAACAATATCGACAATCCTTCATTCCTCCTAACTGAAGGCGGTCTCAACGACGCAAACAGGATCCTTCGGGACTTTCATAAGCAGTCCATCACGGAAGCCAACAAAGCCAAAGAGATCGAAATAGAAGTCATTGGCCAGTTGAGTGGTCTACGTGCTGATCTTGGCTCCAAGATCAAGGAGATCAAGTCTCTTTCTGGCGACTTCAAGAACTCTGTGGAGAAAGAGAAAGACGCTTCTCGTAAAGCAGTGTCTGCTCTTGAGGAAGCTCTCTCTCTGGTTGATGAGAATCCTGATGCCGTAGCTGGCAAAGGAGATCCCTACGTCATTCGTCTGAGTGTTGATCGCCAAATTGAACGCCAGATCGACGAAGAGAACTACTTGCACCGGGCTTACCTCAATCTAGAGGGTTCTGGCAGAGAGCTGGAATCGATTGTCGTAGGAGAGATCCAGAAGGCTTACAATGCCTTGGCAAGCATCCTGAAGCGCGATGCTGACGAGGCTTACAATGTAGTTGAGCGTCTTCGAAACGGCCCGATCGCTATGGACAAAGCTTTTGAATGGGTACACTTTGTGGAGAAAGACCCTCACTTCGTCAACCCAAGACTACCTTTACGACGACTCGAGGACATCGAATACCCAGGCAAGAACCATCCTGCTGCGGCAGAGGTCAGAGCAGGCATGTTGGAGCGTAAGAGCAAGTACTTAAAAAGCTACACCCCTGGATGGTAAGATTAGAACAACGATATTACTTCCTTTATTGACTTTCATATAGGTATGTACTCTCTCCGACTCATCTACATGAGTTCAAGTCGGCGGACCGCATCTATACGCAGCCCCCTGTGATGTCTCTGTATCTCCCGGATCAGAAGCTTGGCCCACACTCTCAACCTGGATCGTCTTCCCATAAATTCATGCTCAAGGGTCGTCAAACTGGTTCCATGCATCGCGGACACTCCTGGGTGTTCCGAGCAGAGACTTATGATACCATGTTGGCCTGGTTCGACGACATCAAAGCACTGACCGAAAAGAGTGGCGCAGAACGAAACGAATACGTACGCTGCCATGCCCGGAGCGTGAGTGGTGGTAGCGCTCGATCAATTGCAAGCGGGAGCGAGTTGGAGGAAGACGAAGCGGACGAAGTTCCATACTCGGCACAGGCATCAATGGCGAGCCAACAAATGCATGCGCCGCAGCCGCAATCAAAGCGGCCTTCACCAGGTGGGCGTTTTCCAAGTGATCTCCAGGTCAACCGTCACTTACAAGCTCCACTTTCGCCTTCTAGTGGAAGCTCCGATATCGAACAAGATCTGACGGCCGCTGCGGGTGGATTGCAAGCCTCTGGACATGCCTATCCCCAGGAGCAACAACACTCCGAAGGTGGTCGTCCTGAGATAGTACACGAAACTCCGGCCGCCGCCGTTCCTCCACACAATGCTCAATCGTTCACTTTCCCTCCCCCCGAACCTGCTCCTGCCGTCGCCCGAGAAGCAGCCTCCGGTCTCCAGCCGATGCAAGCTCCCCCAAATGCCCAGCCTGTTCCTATTGCAAGGTCAATGGATCTGTCACAACCTCCTGATGCACCTAGGGTCAATAGCTTGTACGGAGACTGGATGGCCCCAGCAGCTGGAGGCGCTGCCGCTGGAGTCCTTGGCAGCGAAGTGATCCGCCATCACAATCATCAGAATGAACAGATTCCCGACGCTCTCGAAACACACCCTATCAAACCCACCGCCCCTACCCACACCGTCCAGCCCATTGTTCCTATTCCAGTTCCTTCAGCTTCTGCATCGAGCGGCCCTTTGGTCGATTCTGTTCTTACTTCGCCTACCAGTCTTCTTAGCGACTCGACTGGTCCTGTCGCGACCGCTGATGCTGTGGGTGATGTTTCTACCCCGACCACTAGCCCTACAACTCACCCTGGCATGACGAGACATGGTACTGACTTTAGTGTCAGTGATCTACACGTGCCAGGCGAGTACCCCAAGCGTACCAGCGTGGTTCCATGAGTAAGATGTCTATCCCATCGCTTTGTGTCTTGCAATTACCCTTGAGTTTACTTTGCTCGTGTTTCCTTGTTCGTTTCGGAGGATATACCAGACTCTTCGTGCCCGTCTTATTGGACGCCTCACTTTTCAGTCTTGCTGTTTGGCGGTCGCGCAATTATGTGGGCGCAAGTGGGACATCTCTTTCGGTCTTCTATGTTTTGCTTTTTGCTCCGTCTCTTATGTATCGTATGCATCAGCTGCCCCCTAATACTATATCCGTCTGTATAACAGGTATGCCATGCGTGTTGTGTGCCGTTTCATCCTACCATATCCTCAAATAGCTTATCACGCTTCGCTCGTAGTCTGACCACTTGACTCTCGAGCGTCTTGATCTTCTGCTTGGCTGCGTCACGATCGGCTGGAAGCCCCTTAAAAGCTTCGAGTTGTGCCTCCAACGACACTACTTGCTCGGCAAGACTCTCAATCTCCTCTTCCGCGCGCACGATCCCCGCAATCCCCTCGCTCGACAGAACTTCAGATCCTCCAACCACGTCACTCTCCGCCAGCGCTGCCAGTCGCGCCGTATATTCCGCCAACTTCGATCGCAGATGCTTCGTCTGCCGCGTATACTCGGCCGTCTTCCCAGGCAAGTCGCGCGGCACATTGAACTCCGGCTCCGTCTTCACACTATCGAGCGTGTGCTGTGTCTCGGCGAGTTGACGCTCGAGATTGGCATGGAGGGTGTGGATGTAGGCGAGGCGCTGCTCGAGGTTCGATGAGGTGGTGGTCAGGTGGACGAGGGCATGTGCGAGGGACTCGGTGTCCGCCGTGTCGGTAGACAGCAGGACCGAGGCGCGCGAGAGCGTGGAAAGCGCGGATTGAGCCGGTGCAGGCAGCGCGTCTTTCAGCGCCGTTAGGACTAGCACTGTTGTGTCTGGCAGGTTATTCTAGAAAGGCACACACAGAGTAAGTAAGCAATCAATCAGCCAGTCAATTGCCCCAGAACACACACCCCCTCCCTTGCATCCAGACCAAGGAGCTCTCTTACCTCGTCCTCTTCCAGCTCAATCAGCGCCTCGCGCTCCGCCCGGTTCACGATCCCGGTTTCCTCCTCGGCCTTTTCATTTGCGGCGGCAAGCGCGAGGAGTGCTTTTAGGGTGTCGTCGTTGCGCTCAAAGGGCGGGATGGCGCGGTTTCGGTAGTGGGCTGCGAGCCAGGTTTCGATGAAGGCCCAGTCTTGGGCTTGGGCGCGGTGGAGCGCGGCTTTGGAGGGGGAGAAGAGGTCGGATGGGGAGAGGGTGTCCATTGTTTTGTTCTTGTATACTATGTTGGAGGTTGGGGTGAGTGGTGATTTGATGTCAAGGTGTGGATTGAGGGTTTGTTTGGAATGTTGGATGAGTTCAAGGTTGTTGTGGGAAATTTAGACAGGACAGGGTTTCGGAGGAGCTACCCCACCCACATAATGCTAGCGCGACAGGGATGGATGATGCTAAGGATGGATGGTGGGGCTTGACGTCGACTCTAGAATTACAACACTCCCTCAAGCAGACCTAACGTCATATCGACATCTCCTCTATGCCATTTAGCGACTTGCTGAGCTAGCTACTGAATACATATCGAAGAACCTCCCTCTCTGGCATTTAGGCTATCCTCACCAAGACGCCTCGTCTTTGGACCTCGCTTTTCCACTTGACACTCGTACTAGCTGCCACATTGTTCTTAAGAAGCTTTAGACAGTGGGCTACCAGCTCTGGTGCCACTGGACGCTCACTAGGAAGTATGGCCTGGCGAAGTCATGGCGCAACAAACCAAGAACTGGTCGAGAACCTAGCCAAGAACGGATTGATCAAGAGCGCAAGCGTCAAGCAAGCGATGATCCGTGTATGTTATTCCGGCAGAGGATGAGTGCAAACAGACAGAATCTATGGCTGATCCGCGGTCAGGTTGATCGCGCCCACTATGCACCCTCAGAGCCCTACGACGACAGACCTCAGTCAATCGGCCACCGCGCCACGATATCCGCACCCCACATGCACGCCTCGGCCTGTGAATCACTACTCACATACCTCAAACCCGGCGCTAAAGTGCTAGATATCGGATCCGGCTCCGGATACCTCACACACGTCCTCGCCGAGCTCATAAAACCAAATGGGGTTGTCATCGGTGTCGACCACATCCAAGCCCTCGTAGACATGGCCAATCACAACATGGCCAAGAGTACAGAAGGGAGAGAGCTGCTTAGAAGTGGGAGTGTGCAGTTCGTCAAGGCAGATGGCAGGAAGGGATATCCCGAGGGGACACCATATGATGCGATCCATGTAGGCGCTGCGGCGGCAGAGCATCACCAGGCACTTGTGGATCAATTAAAGGCTCCCGGCCGGCTCTTTGTCCCTGTGGAAGAGGACTACGAGCAACATATTTACGTGATAGACAAGAAAGAGGACGGCAGTGTAGAGAGGAAGAAGTTGTATGGGGTGCGGTATGTGCCCCTGACGGATGCGCCTTCGTGAACCCGCTGTAAGACAACAATGATCTCTCCTGACATTGAGTTGATGGTCTCTACGTGCACGACGCCCGGTCATCACAGCGCTCCTCATTAAATTGGGTCACACACTGATAAGGTTTTCTCGTCTTATCGTCCAACTTGGTACGCAGCTCTGCGCCTAGTCCTACAGGACCTTCGACTGGATTCGGCCTTCATCAGAAGCTCACATGTCACGAGCTGAGCGATGTAGATCATATGCTGCAGAACGCCTATCTCGTTATACAACACGGCGATGTGTGGTCAATCATAGAAACGCTGGGCGATCTTCGACCACTTTACTTTTGATAGCCATTATATGGCGATACCTGACCATTGCCTCGTCCCAATCTGTTACCCGGTTGTACAGCTGAGTTAAGGCACTGGACCGGACTCAGACTGATATGTATGGGTATGAGATATGAATCAAAGCTAGTGCAAATCTGAGTGCTATACGAAAAGGGGGATGTGTATAACACAACGAGATAGCTATGGTAAAGACTAGTTTTATAGCATAACTCACGATCATCACATTGCGATCGTGTTTACCAGGCTTTGAGTAGAGTTTCTATCACGTATACTTGATACCTATACTTGAACGCAAATCTGCACATCCTTGCGCCATACACATACTCAGCCTCACTGTGGCGTAGTCATGATTGTGTGCAGTGAAGTAAACAAAAGCAATAATGTCACTCAAATACACTTACTCTAGTCCTACGCGTGAAATAACGAGAATAACACACTAATAGTAATAGTTCACTAGTAACAGTTCACTAGTGACAGTTCACTAGTAACAATTCACCAGCAACAATTCACCAGCACCAATTCACCAGCACCAATTCGCCAATAACAATTCACTAATAACAATTCACCAATAATAATTCACTAACAATAATTCACTAGTAATGTTTTATAAATAACAATTCACTAGTAATAATTTGCTATTAACAATTCACTATTAATAACAGAGTAGTACAATCATATTATATATTATAATATATGTCTACTTTATTTAGTTCTATAGATATTAGTCTATTAAACTATTATAAGAAGTATCTACTTTTAAGATCTAATAATTAAATAACTATTATACTAAATAATCTTATATAGAAGAATCGATAGTTATAGACTGATATATAGTAATAGAACGATATATAGTAATATAACTCTTTATCTTCGAGCTTAGAGATATTAGAAGTCTACTTACGCGTTGTTAAACTTTAATTATATTCTCTAGAGAGACTTAGAAGAGAAGATAGCTACATGTTAGATAATGTCGACTAGAAGGACTTATTAAATATGTTCGAAATTATGATTATCTCGTACTGTAGTGTAGTATATCTATAGTATAACGTTAGTGTTCGTGTAGGTATATAAGCTGTCTAAATGTACTACGATTGTTCTATACGTACTAGAATCGAGATTTTTAGAAGGACGTATTAAAGAGAGTGTCATCAGATAGTATTAGGACTCGAATACACGGGAAGGCGGTCTTTGGAGTAGATACTACTATTCTAGGGTATCATTGAGAGGGCGACGTTTATACGCGCCATGTGTCACTAATTAGATTCGGCAACGCGCCGATCGGAAAGTTCGTTTATAACTATCTCGGACATAGGCTTAAGAGGTACCTATTGCTCAGTCGGCATTCTAGACTTGTGATGTATATGATAGATAGGAGCCAGACGAAGATATAAGACCTGGAAATTACAACCCGGATCAGAAAACAACGGTGCCAGGAAGGGACGCTCGATATCTCGACGTGCTTAAGCGGCTAAAAGAATTCTACTAAAACATGTACTAGAGAGGACGTCTTATCCTAAGACTAGTGACTATTCGCTTCTATAAAAGTAACTACTATCTATGTCTTCGAGCAGACAACGGGCCCGAGCATATACCAGCAAGTCTCACTCCCCTCTCCGTCCTCGATGGCGATGAAGTGTCTGTCTAAGATGATTAGATAGATACGATACTACCACTGACTCGCTCTCTATCCTCTACAAGCCCCTTTTAGAGAGTACACGAGACCGGGGGCGGTAACAGAGCCTGAAGTTTTGGGTAGGCAATTCCGACGCGGAAGTTCTGGACATCTCGGACTAGACCAGAAACTTTGCGATAATGTCGAATAGAAATGTACAGGGTGAAGTCTTAAGCGTTGTAACCATCGCCTTATATAAGGGTTACTTAGGGAAGGTCAACTCGACAGCTTCGTTGATATCAACTTCGATGCCAGACAAGGACTTTGTGCACAACAATGCTATTCCCACAAGTGCATTTTTGAGGAAGAGGAAAGCGAGCTTTGAATGTGATCTCGAGGGAAGTTCGACACTACAGGAGATTGCACGTGTTATCCATGTGAGCCAGCGTAGATATATGTTATAGGTTCCTCCAACTGAGCCGGAAAGTATACGAAACAAGCGTCTACTGGAGATCATTTCAAACGAGTCTGTCCAGAAGGGACATTCAGAGGTCATATGTCGAACGGGCGAGCGATTGAACAGTCTACGATTCACAAGCGGTTTTGAACAATGAGTGATAGAAATCGTCTATACTAGGGTACGATATCTCTTGCTATATTATTTGAGCCCGAATCCGGCCTTACCAAAGGCTCGATCAATATTCGGACTGTGTATGCCGTGGTCCTGTATTATGGTACCACGGTCGAACAGTTTTTGCTTCATTCGCCGTAACATAAGTCCCCTCCTTACATGCACGCAGCTCCGTCGATACCAATCACCTTGCCGTTAACCCACTCACCATCTTGGGAGGCGAGGAAGGCAACAACGCGGGCAACATCTGAGGGTTGACCGACACGCATGTGCGGTGACCAAGTCTTCGCGTACTCGTCGACCTCATCATTGTTCATCCCCTCGCCATTAGGAATATATTCTTTGCACACAGCGTGGTACATGTCAGTCTTGATACCGCCGGGTGCGATGCAGTTGACAGTGATCTTCTTGTCGCCAGCATCTAGAGACTGTCAATGAGCGTTCAGTGTAGAGCTGCCAGAGGACTTACCGATTGCCATGCATCGCACAAATGTCTCGATGGCACCCTTGCTCCCTGAGTAAAGCGTATGCTTTGGCACGCCCTTCGCTTGCGCCGTAATGGAACCCATGAGGATAATTCTACCGCCGATTTCCATGTTCTTGTACGCCTCTCGTGCAACAAAGAACTGTCCACGTGTGTTGATCGACATAACGCGGTCGTACTCTTCCTCGGTCACATCCTTCAGATGGCCGAAGCTCACGACGCCCGAGTTCGAGCACACAATGTTGATCTTGCCAAAGTGAGCCTTGGCCTGCTCGAACAGCGAGACGGTCTCTGAGACGTTGGCAACGTTGGCTTTGATGGCGATGGACTGACGGCCCATGGCCTTGATCTCGTTGACGACCTTTTGAGCGCCTTCGAGTGTGTTGGCGTAGTTGACGACGATATCGGCGCCACGACGGGCCAGTTCGAGGGCCATTTCCTTGCCGATACCACGGCCAGAGCCTGTCACGACGGCAACTTTGCCCTCAAGACTCCATGGGGGGATGGTGTGTGATGCAGCTCCGTTTCCATTCTGGGCACCGTTGCCGTTGGCCGAAGCATTGATTGGAGTAGTGTCGACAGCCATGGCGATAGAATTCGGATTTGTATAGAGGAAGTGTGGATGTGGATGCTGTGGTAGGTAATGTATGATAGTGGTAGATTGGTAGACAGTGCTTAGACGGATGAGCTTCTTAGGGCCCTTTCACGCTACATATAGTCGAAGTGAAAGCCTTCGGTGTCCAAGCAACTGAGTCTCGCGTCGCGAAGAGAGCGAGGCAAGTATGACAATTTCCGCAAAACATCCCCATTTTTCGGCCAGCATCATATGCACCTGCGGGGAGTTCGGACTTGAGTGGGGTCCCGAAGGTGTCTCAAATGTTCTGCAACTCCCACACGGCTTGGACTCAACAGCAGCTAGACCACCACTTTCACATTGTGGCGTGTACGCTGATAAGATAATGCGCTTCCACGCGATGTGAAGATGTCGAGAGCTAGAACTTGACTCGGGAAGTGAAGGTTTGACCTTGAAGATTGATGACCAGAGTTGCAATTCTGCATTGGGCCTAGCGCCGGACATCTGATCTTGGCGGAGGACATTCCCCCTGACTGACATTCACTAGCATCTTCGAGAAGTAAACAAACATGGATACTTCCGAATCAACGATGTCCCGATCCAATCGAACAGAGCACATCTGAAAAGTCATAGATATGGCTCTGACTACAGGTCCGCATACGATCACAAATCACCACGGCGCTTTAAAGCTTAGGCACGCCTAGGTGGTGGACTTAGGGGGTAGAGAAAGAACGCTATGCGTAAGGCTTGGCTACTGAGAAGGTATTTGTTATCTAGTCATTCTAGTGTCTTGATAAAGTGATGGGTTTCCGATGACCTTGGCAAGACATCCAAACAGTTCGGAGCGGCCCAAGCTCTTCGGATGGACCTTCGAACGGCTAAAGGGACTTCGGCTCACCATTCGGAAGCACTAATACCAGAAATATTCCGCTAGATGCTCACACATCTATGGCTGCTGTGCTTTGATCTGTTCTCGGACGCGTGTGAAGGCTTGAAGTTAGTTACCTTGTAGGCAAGCAGAGACAGACACAGTAAAGATCAAAATTCCATATCGTACTAAAGATATCATAACCACGAGTCCAACCGTCATAAATTCCAACATGTTCCCATGTGAGCATTTGTCTCTACGATATTTAGTTCTATCACGTCGATGACGTTATAGCCGAGAGGTTCAAGCATTTGTGTATGTATGACTCGTTGGCCCACAGTTTATCTGCATAAGCATTGGGATTCCCGAACTTCGATAATAGCTTCAATCATTACCTGTGGGAATCCTTTGGTCCGGGCCGAAGGCGGTTCCCGACATTCATATGAGACTACTTTTCTTTAGCCGCAGGCGAGACCGTGATTACTCAATGGAGGGAAACACAAGTTCTGTAAGTATCTACAGAAGAAAGCGAAGGAAATATAGTTTCATAGACAAAGAGGCCTTCTGGCTTTCGCGATAGGTCTGCGTCCTTTGATTGGGCAGTGTAGAGTATTCATGGACGCTTAAGCGGTATTGAACTAGTAGTAAGAATTGCCTCATACTAACTATGGACTATTACACGGCATTTTCCGAGGAACGGCACCATGTTTGGGGTCCCGTGATAAGTCCGGACCGACGCTGAGTATACATCTATGCCTCTTCAGCTTCATCATCTCTGTCACCCTCGTCTACTTTGGGTCTCACTCAGGCTGTCGCATCGTCAAAGTCATTCTTCAGCCTACAATGCCCAACAGGGCCGATTTCTACACGACAACCCGGTCACTATACTCCTTGTAGGAAACCACACTCGTCACAATGTCAAGTACGTATCTGCTGTGACGATCTCTCTGTCACACTGCGCACATCGACAGCTGTACCAGGAGACCCACTATTACTTCATCATCCTTTAGGAAATCGATTGCTGTCATGGTGTAAGCTCGCTGGAAGCCTGTGGATCACATATCACCTCCAGGTTCCTCATATGATGAGAAAAGAATACAAAGGTCTGCATGCAACCCAATAATCGATTTTTTGGCGTATTGAAACGACCAGCCCTATTTTGAGCACATTCGACGATAAGTAAATTCCAAAAACCGGACATGACGATATGCATATCTTGCTCAGGTTCTCCTATCAGGGAGTCCAGGACATCAAAATGACGAGCCGCTATTCATGATACGGCTGATCTTACACGAGCTTCAGTCATCGGTGCAGAAGATCTCATCTTTATTAGTCCGTCAATATGGAACGGATCGGCAAAGGAAAAGAAAGAACGAAAAAGCAAAGAGTTTGCTCTTCATAATTCCATGAGCCAAGCAGGATGGGAGCAGCCTCTCACTATCCAACGAAACTGCTGAAATCAAAACACGTATACGACCATATCCACAAGACACAAAAGCCGGTCGCATTTGTAACGATGGCTAAACAACAATATACCTCCTAGATTTCGTAAGGTCGTTCCGAACATGACGTTGGTGCTAATTATATCATAGTACGATATCGTCAATCCCTCGTCAATCGCTCCAGCTTAATCCTAATTCCATCCGAGAATAACGTGGGAATTCCTTGGTCAAGAACATCAATACAGTGACTGAGCACGACGAAGGCATTATTCATGGCTACTGGGGAGCCATCTGTACTCGTCAACACTGGTGTGCCCTCCTTCTTGGTCGTATACTGGATTATTAAAGGGTGATCAGCCGGCAGAGCGTCCACAGCAATATCGATGGACGGCTTGTTGGTAGAGAGGCGATTATTTGAGCGCAACCGTTCGGGCTGGCGAGACAAACTGCCGTTACTGGCGCCTAGATTGCCTTGCAGATCATTATTATCATTAAAGCTGGGACTGCTAGTCGAATCGTTGTGTCGCAAAGCATCGGTCCACAGAATCAACGCTACTCGATATATGGCCCCAGACCACCAGGGGGGGCGTATGCTCCGCGCCATATTCCGCACCAGGCGAAGGACTTGACCAGCATGGAATATAGCCTCTTCGACATTCGTTATACAGCGCTTGTGTAGCCACAAGACCTGCTGATAAGTCCCGTCGAAGCCTTCGCGGCGTGCAAGCTTTTCGATTTCAGCAAAGTTGGTAACCGCATTCAAGGATATGAGATGGAACATGATAAGATTGACTTGCATGATGGTGCATAGCCGGTTTCGATCCAGGTAAGACTTAGCGAGTTTGTACCACCTCTGGAGTAACGTCTGCACCTCTTTGAACTGGTCAAGCGTCGAGGTGGTAGCAGGGACATCTAGATGAAGCGGATCGGAACAACACATCGACAGCTGTGTGTAGCTACATACCGACGACTGGAGCGGATGTAAGAGGAGGCGAAGTTGTAGCGGCGTCAAAGCGAGACTCTGCGCAACAAGATCGTTGTCCAAGAATCGACCTAAAAGCGTGCGAAGAGAGGAGGGTCTCGTGTGTGTATGGGCTCCTTTGGAACGCTCTAGCATGATAGTGGACCATTCCTGTGCTGATTTGGCGTGCCAAAGCTGGTCAGAATCGGGCATGGGAATTTCGAAATCGCTGACATTGAGTAGCGGAGCTGAATTATGAAAGAGAGCCAAGTCTTGGTCGACCATAACCCACGAATAGATCAGACTATACGAAAGAATGGTCAGTGACGTTATCATCAATCGAGAAACCGTGTGCGTAAGTGATGAAGTACACCAAGCGGCACGCAACCAGTCCATATTGGAAAGGAAATGGATATCACTTACCGACTCCGACCCTCCTGCTTGACCCAATCCTTCCATGATTCCTCCAGCACCGTGCTCTGTAGGTTATGTGACAGCGCCTGGCTTTGTGTTGGGGCTTCACTGAGCATACCCGAGTGGCCCAGCATTGCAAGGTACATTCCTCGCCGGCTCATGGCAACGTCAGTCTGCCACTTATCGCCGCTCCAAGCTGCTTGGATGATGAAAATTAATGCCGCGCGGAGAATAGTTAAATCGTTCGCAAGTGAGTTCGGTCTCATAGTGGCGTCAAACAAAGAGATTCGGCAAATTTCAGCCATACTTCCGGTAAACGAACGGGACTCTGTTGATGGTGCGACCATAGCACCTTGTGCGAGCATCATGAGAACAAGAAGAATTCCTTCAATGTCATCGTAGCTGGAGATAAGGTCGTTGGCGTCCACCACTCCACACGGAGAAAGGGGAAAGAATGTTTCGATGCTGTTCGCATACGACCGTAAGAAGCATTCGAGAACCCTTGCAGGTGGAAGAAGTATGAAGTTCGATGGCAAATGGTATGGCATTGATGACATCTCCGCGATAGGACCGCTGAAACCATTTCTATGTGTTTCAAATGCTTTGTGAAGGAAGGCCTGGGTAATGGCAAGAAGCTTATCTCTGGTGCTTTCGTGCAATGGAACGATTACAATTCGATCGTCACTTGCAGCGCCTTCCTCATCCCATGCTGGTTGCCAGTTGCTCCATACTTCGTGATTTTGGAGACTCGCTGAAAGGCGATTTAAACTTGCCTGTAGCGTTTTGGGTACCGCATGTGATGGCAAAGGCGGTGTGTAACGACACATTGTCCATTCAAGGTCTTGAGCTGGGCCGACTGGTGTAAAGCCCGAAACACCAGAGTCATATGAGTCGCAGACAGATGGCTGTCGTGGGGAAGGAATTGGACGTGAGGCGAAGAAGACCGAATGTGCAGTATTCGTACTACAAGACATATCGATATCTGACGCAAACGAATGTTCCATACGCGGCGTATGAAGCGGTGTAGGTATGGCATGAGAGAAGTGGGGATTGACATCGAGCATTTCATCAGTGGTTTCCGTATTCAGGAAGTTTATGCCAAAGTCCATATCTCCTGGATTCATCAGTTCTGATGTGTAGGCTCCATTCATCTGCAGTTGTGACCAGTCCATGAAAAAAGCCGAACTATTTGAACGATCAGGATTGCTACCCGATGATCCTGCTTGTAAGAGACTACCATCATAGCGATTTTCGTTGCCGAAGTCGTTAGGTTCCGGTGCAGGAGACAGCAGCTCGGATACCATGATTTCGTGTGAAGATGTGGCTGGTGCATGATCCCCAAACATTGTCTGCCCACTCAAGGCCCTTTGTGAATCCCGTACCGACAACTTTTCGTGTGCTAAAGTCTTTTTGGAGGTATCTTGTTGTTCCTGATTCTCACATCGTGTTGGTGAGCTCGAGCTGGATCGGTCTTGTGGACTTAACCCCTCCGTGGCTGCTTTGCCGCAAGTAGATATTTCCTTTTGATGCGTCTCCACTTGAACTGCTGTTTGCTTTGATGCTCTGCGATTTGGTCGCATCTCACATACTTGATTACGGCTTTTACAGCGACTACATGGAAACTTATTGTCACACTTCGTCTTTGTCTTTGCGCAATTGGTGCATGCCTTAGGTGTTCTCCCTGCTGACTTCACGATCATTCCGTTGTTGGGTGGTAAGACTTCTTGATTGTTATGGTCTTTGCCGTGGACTGTATAATGACGTTGAAGGAGATCCCTGGATATGGTCAGCCAGTACCTAGCATAGATTCCGTCCGTTATGGTACCTCCGGGCGAAGGACATGTGGCAATAGCAACATTTGTATGGCTTGATCTCGCTATCTAGTGTTTTAACGATCAGCAAGGGACACCGAAGAGTTCGATGTACTGGAGATGCATACGAGTAAGAATATGCCTCTCGAGATGCTCGTCTCTTGTGAAAGGCTTGCCACAGTAAGTACACCAACGCATTATTGTGGACACGTCGATAGTAAAGAACAGATTATTTGAAAAGGGCAGAGTTTGTGTCGTTTCGTGCGTCTTGATGGCCTGGCCCTGATGAGTTCGACCGAGTTTGAAAGTAGATAGGTAGCGAATAACATCTAATGGTGCAAACATACACATGATTTGTCAAAGCCATTGCGGAAATGGTAATGGCGATCAATCTTCGCCGTTCTCTGCATTAGGATATTACATTAAGGAACGAACTCGGAAGGAAAGCCGTCGAAGGAGATGTCGATCGTGTAATCTGCGAAAGGTCCGTATGCATTAGTCTATGCACTCTTGGATCGCATGACTAGTGCATTTCTGCCTGCTTGTTGGCATATTATGGGTATATATGGAACCAAAGATTACGTTCAACGTCCTAGCACAGCAAGAAACCAGAAAATCAAGAGCTGTTGCATGGTCCTTCTCCAGGTAGTTCGCTAGGGCCCGTTCCTCCCGACGCCATCCTGGACTCCTGGGAAGAAGCTCTAAGGATATGATGGTGTCCGGTTTATGTGGGTCTACCTCTTACATTGGGTCCGAGGTACTGTCACCCGCGTTAATATTAGTATGAGCACCTCTTCCTTAGGGATGAACGAATCCAGCATGCATCTCTGGTCCGAGAAAGCAGATTCGTGGGTCACGGTACCTCCAAGCTCTGCAACGATGTGGCTGTGTTTTGGTGGAATCCACCTTCTGTTCTAGAGGGTGTGATATCGCTTACCTGCATACATCACTAAGTGCTGACCTCGAAGGCTCATCCGGTGGCCAGACCTGTCTAAGGCAATCACAGATATGGTCGCTGGGACAAGCAAGAATAGTCTATTTGTGCCGGCTCAAGAAGGCGATAGACTCACTGTACGGGCTCATCGGTGCTGTAGGCGAGGTTCTCGTTCTTCCAACAAACAAACGTGGGATAGTGGCAGGATTCTCTCCACTCCTCTGAGCTTCATTCAGTTCTCCGTCGATATTCATCAAGAACACTAGATGGTTTGAGACCGGGACCACGATAACTTCTCTGTACAATATAGCAGGATATCAAAATCTGCCATCCAGTACCACTTTGTAGATACTTTGTGACATATTGTGGCTTATTCACATACGGTATATGCAGAAGGGTTAGCACGCACATGATGGTACGGCGGACTTGCTGTCCTTTATTCCTGATTAGGCTAGGTCTCTGATCCCTTGATCACGCATGCCTTTCCTGCTCCACATAAGCATCAGCCTTATCAAGGACGCAAACCACTTCGCCTCTCTACCACGTTTAAAGCGTGGCGCACACGAGCTCTTGACGCTACACGACCTGAAGTCGTGGTACTCGTTATCACGCCCATTTTCGCGTCGACTAGATGTATGGATCTCCATACGGTACTGAATTTGCTTGAATCACTCGCGTCGCTGCAGCCTTTTTGTCGCATTCGTGTCAAATCTCTACCAGCACCTCCCTTGGAATTGTCCAAGCAATATGTGGTATGTATCAGAGGTATTGATCAAGACGTCTCCAAGGCATGAATGAGGCTTGCTATAACCTCTCGAAACAGAGTACCTATAGTAGGTCAACCATGATTCCATTTGATCTTGCCTGTGTTGCTTCTTTGTTCTAGTCATTCGCATATCGAAGCGTGGTAAGACCTGTTTACATGACTGAGTAGTGTGGAACACTGTACTCTGTCATTCAGCTACGTGCACGCTCTAGGTTGTGCTCAGCATTACCTGGAATATCGTCTTCGACTTGGGAGAAGAGCGAAGCACCGATTCTTGGCATAATTGAGTTTCTCACCGCTGTTTCCGAATGCACAGTCCTGAGGCCAAGAAAGCCATAGAACTATTCTATGTTACACCTAAATGTGAGAAGGGTTCCAGGATCTCCTGCTACCCAATTCTCGTCATATTAAAAACAACGAACTTGTTACCAGCAAGTGTCCAGGTACAACTGTTTTCGCGTTCAGGTTGTGTGAAGTTGCGATATGGTTGGTTGGTAGCATTGAAGTACTCATGACCTTGTCACGATGCACAAACACTGACTTTGTAAGCTGGTTAGGAGACTAACATACTTTGCCAATCAGATATGGACCTCGGGTTTCGTATTGACCTACTCGTAAAGAGAAGAGTGTCCACAGAATTTACGCGTCTGCGGAGCACTTGAGACTACCGCACTTGTTCACTTCTTACAGGTTTCCCTGCACGACCTGTTGCCTTTGCATGTCCCATTTCTAAGCTTCGGTACTGTCAGGTAGCTGTGGTGTTAGACGCGCGTGGTTGTGTTACTCAATGACATAGTCGGTCTGCCAGATAGAGAGACAACCCGCAGCTATCATATATCATAACTCGCGCAACCTGAGTGTGAACGTAGGAGTCAACAAGGATAGTATACATAAATTGTCGTGCGCTCATGGTCTCCATACCAAAGCATGAATTTGGCCATACCATATGGCGTATGCTTATGTGCAAGATTCTAGAGGACTGCAAGATATGGCCATTGGAAGTCAATAATAGGGCGCGCTATTAACGAGACGTGCAGAAGCACTGTTTCCGGTGCCCGTTCCTGAATATCCAGTACCTTGTACATTTATTTTGAGCACCGTAACACAAACCTACAGGGATGCGGAGCCGAGACTATCATGCACATCTACAACAGAGCCGCATCAGATGAATGTTACCCACATTGCCGAAGTATTGGCACGAAAACACTTTTCTCGCTCGGGTTATGAATGTCTGATATGGTCAATCGAGACTTCCATATCATTCATCATGCACGTCACACAGAGTACTGTACCCCTCACCCAATCCCTCGGAAACCTCATACTATGTCTGGGCTCAACGTCTTTATCTGCATGTATTGCATCACCACTTATAGACCACACCCATGTTCCGTATTTGTTTCAGGTCTGACCATGGACAGTGGGGTCGAGATGACTTAATTCTGTTATGGTGCATGGATGGTCAGGCTTCACTATTCTAATTTCCACCTCGATGTAATTTTGTTGCCATATGCCACCATAAGCGATGCACGCAACATTTAATGGTATGTACGTCACTGTACGTCCTTAGGCACGTCAAACTCTCCTATCCTGGTCGCGTACTCTTCGATATTTTGGAAGCAACAATGCGACCGACTGTCGATGTCGAACCTCGCTATCATATCTTGCTCGATGTATGGCTCCGGCGTATGTCTCAGTCGCTTGTTCACAACGTCCATCTGGAAGCGCTCGCGTGTTTGAGAGATATTGCAGCTTACGTTCCTTTTGCAGCTCGATATACTACTACAGACCATGTATACATGCCAAGACGATCCCATACTCGTGAATCTGAACTAGACACATAGGGTTCAGTAGAAAACTGTCAAAACGCAGCACTCAGGGTACCATGGAACACTAGTGCTGAGTAGGTATTCAAGTCGACTCGTCGAACTCGAGGACGTCTAGCAACTTTGGTAGTCAATGGAAGTCCGCTCGCCTCAATTTGCAGGAATGGCTGACAAGTATTGCTTCTCAGGTGGTCTCAAGGTACCTGTTATCCGATTTGATATAAAGACCGGATATTTCTTAGACTTCGATACGTCAGACACGAAAACGTGAGAGCGCCAGGCCACGAACATTCCCCATACTGGTCGACAAGACTTCCCTATCGTGCTTGCCTCAGAATGTCATTTGTGCGTTGACGAGGACAAGCCACGTTCAAGTTAAACGGATCTGGCTCTTAGTTATCCATGTATCTCGTCATGACATCATCCATTGTTACGTTTCCACAGTACCATGCGGTAAATTCATGCTAGAAGCAATATTGGCATCAGGAAGTACCAAATGGCTGCCAAAACGCTCCGAACTTCATACACATTGCAGATAATCTTAATATGGTGTCCATGCGCTAGAGGCGTTGGCTTAGTGTACGTCATGATCTTGAATACACTTTGATGCACAGCGAGCGGTGAAATGTGTCAAAGCGACATTGCCCCCGTGAGTAAGGCCTATTTGTAACCTGCAACAAGTAGCTATACAGCGGTAGACCATAGCCGAGGGGATTATCATGGCCCTCAAGTGTTTGTTGTACGAATCTATACTTGCGATGAGAAGGCACGAGGTTCCTTGGCTTTCGGGTAATCATGTATCCGCTGTGTCTTTCCAAAGTAGCCAGTACCGCAACACGTTGTATCTTCCGAGTGTCAAGGGATATTTATAGAGTGTAGTAGCTAATGATGATCGACAAGCCCTATAGCCTCCCTACAATCAGATTGACGAGTCGCCGATTTGGCTACAAAGAAGAGCCATACGTCGGAGGATAAGGCATGTTCGATGAATTGCATTTGACAAAGGCAATGGTCTGATGCATATCTCGCCCAAGAGAGGAAAGATCAATGCTGCCTGAGATTGAGCCCACTCGCCAGGGTTGCTACTTTTGCCTTGGTTGTTGGTTCTTCGTTAGGGTAACTTGGTTAGTAAGCACGACTTCAATCCAGATGCGGGATGGATTCATGAAGTTCCAACCTCCACCGACTGAACGCTTGCCCTTCACAACCTAGCTTTCACCTGCATACATGGGATCATTCTTCACCCCTTCGGACATATTCCCCACATGACAGGCTTTGTTACTTGTACCGGTAGTCGTTGCGATGAGTCGAGACCTACAGCCATGGAAAGCCACAGACGAAAGGCTGTGCCCATTCCCTGCTCACGCGCAAGTGCTTACGCTGTAGGACTATCTCGGATACGGCTCCGGATAAGCAAGACCTACGGCACGCTTGTAGGCATTGCTTACAGCGAAGTAAGACCACTGGAACGCGATGACATTGCCGTTTACGGCTACCAGATTATGATGCTATGGTGGTCATTCCTACTGGCGCAGCACTGTTGCTTTACGAGACACCCGGAAGCTTGTGACGATCACCAATACTAAAATCAGATCCACTGTGAAGCACTGTCAGTTTCAATATGGAAGTTCGCGGCCATGCTATGCATGCTTCCTGCACCCGCAGAAAGTTTCCGCCTGCTCGGGACCCGCATGATTTTTGTGGTCATGAGCCCTGGGCTATTCAAGAGCAGTGAAACAAGAAACGTGCTATAGACTAAGCCTCGACAGTGGTCCACAGGGTTATGGATAAACATCTCCAACCACCCTACAGAGAAACGCCATTAAGCTACGCCAGCATTCATTGCACCGTCATTCCATAGAAATTGATTGCCACGCTATGAGGATTTCACGAGCCATAGTTAAAGCAGCATTACAAATTTCCGCCTTATGGACTTCTGAAACCGGTAGACATCAGTCCCCAGCGTTATTTATGTGTGGCAATCCAGAACGGGAAACAAACACTCCGAGCTGTCGTAATTGATGCGAACGTAAGGTCGTATACGAACCTTGTCGATTTCAAAGCAGTGTGGTCCAACGGTCCAAATTGAGCGGGAATACTCGAAGTTGAACCCGAAAGTATTCACATATGTCAAGAGAATGACTTGATTCTCTGGAATAATCCTTGTTGATACACTGATAAGCGCGATTTGCGTTGTCACGCAATACCTGATAACATAACCAGTAGTATTAATCTTCGTTTGTAGTGTTCGGACATTGATCAAACCACCCGCCGGCCTTGAGGGGACCCGGCCCCCTATTCCGGCCTTTCGAGACCACGCCTCGTTCTTGCGCTTCAATATACCAGATTTGCTCCCGTCTTGATGGATTGGTTGAGAAATGCCCGGCTATAGTACGATATGTGCCCTGGGCGCATTCACAGCATTATCCCGCCTGATCAATTCCGAAATGGGTACCGGATTCACCTTTGCCGCAGCCCCACTACATCTAGTGTTCTCTCGGGTCGTATCATGCCTCGATCTACCTTTATCTTCTGTGGCTTGTCGCTGAAATCGCCAGCCACACTAAGTTATTAATATAGATGTGTCTGCGTGGCCACTCGATCCTTACACAAGTTCACTCCTACACGAATTTCCGAACCACTAGCGGTTCACACAAGAAGCCGAAATTCCCCAAGGCTTCCCTTCCCTTATATCTTTCAGGAGTGGACGTGCAAGATTTCTGTTTTATCTTTACCAGTGGTGGTTTCTTAGCCTCTCACATATAATATCCATCATCTTCCCTACCACTGTTCCCTGGCCCATCAGAGAGAGCCCTATACATACTCTTTGACCAGACACTCTCCCTACATCTAATTAATTAGTCAACAAGGGCGTACCCGGTCAACTGGCAGTCCGATCTGCCTTTTGGTACGTGGTCAACATACCCTGAGGACTTCCCGAGTCGAGACCGCTGCGGCCCATCATCATGAACATCATTCTTTTTGGCGATCAAACGGCGGACCAGTACTCTTTACTACGCAGAATATGTTCCAAGCGCGATAATGCATTACTGTCTTCCTTTTTAGAGCGGGTGGCCGTTGTTTTGAGGGAAGAGGCCCACATATTACCACGTTGGCAGCGTTGCCTGATCCCAGATTTCTTGACAGTGGGTCACCTGGTGGAAGCCTACTACGAGAATGGGATGAAGATACCACAGTTAGAGAGCTGTATGGTGACTATATCGCAGCTCGGTCACTATATTGGGTAAGTTACGTACGTACGCATTGGTATCATTCGCTAACTTCACAGGTACTATGGGGAACACCCGACAGAGCTTCCGACTGCTACAAACAGGAGGATACTGGGTCTCTGCACCGGTCTCTTTGCTGCCGTTGCTGTGGCTTCTGCACCAGCATTGAGTGATCTTCTTCCTCTCGCTGTAGAGGCTGTCCGTATCGCTTTTCGCACAGGCACGTGCGTTTCGACGGTGAAGAACGCTCTTGAGCAGAACTCGGAGACCCGCGAGAGCTGGTCGACCATCGTTGCTGGCATCTCGGAAAGCAATGCGCGCAAAGCAATCTCTGATTTCCATGGCCGCAACAGCGTATCAGCGTCTAATCAGGCTTACATCAGTGCTGTCAGCACCATGGCCATGACAATCAGTGGTCCGCCTTCGATTCGAAAACGCTTGTTCGAGGAGTCTGAAGCTTTCAGCAAGACTAACCGTGTCAATATACCCGTTTACGCCCCTTATCATGCATCTCATTTGTATAGCTCGACAGACGTTTTAAAGATACTGGATTGCCCAGGCCGGCAAACTCTGCAAAAGTCGCGCCCACATTCGCTATTCCATTCGGCAGCAACCGGAATCTGCCATAGTACCTCAAATACGATGGAGCTTATGGAGATAGCACTTACTGAGGTGCTTAGAGAACCGGTACGATGGGACCATCTCCTCCAGGAAGTCGTTTCGGAAGCCATTTCGACAGGGTCCCAAGAATGTTCTCTCTTCGCTGTCGGTATGACGAATATCACCAACAGCCTCGCCTCAGCCCTCAAAGCAGGAGGAATTCCGACCGTCACTGTGGTGGATCATTTGAATTGGACCAGTGCCGAACATTCACACGGACGCACACAGAACGACAAAATTGCTATTGTGGGAATGGCCGGACGGTTTCCAAATGCTGCTTCTCACGAACAGCTGTGGGAGTTACTTGAGAAGGGATTGGATGTCCATCGAGAAATTCCATCAGATCGATTTGACGCCCAGGCGCATTATGACCCGTCCGGTAAAGGCAAGAACAAAAGTCACACGAAATTCGGTTGCTTTATTGATGAGCCTGGCCTTTTTGACCCGCGGTTTTTCAATATGTCTCCCCGAGAGGCGGCGCAGACCGATCCTATGGGTCGCCTCGCCCTCACAACAGCCTATGAGGCTCTGGAGATGTCGGGCTATGTCCCAAATCGTACCCCCTCGACCAAAGTACATCGTATCGGCACATTCTACGGACAGACGTCCGATGACTGGCGTGAAATCAACGCGTCTGAGAATGTCGACACTTACTTCATTACTGGCGGCGTGCGTGCTTTTGCCCCTGGCCGCATTAACTACTACTTCAAATTTAGTGGTCCATCGTACAGTGTTGATACAGCCTGTTCAAGTAGTCTGGCCGCTATCCAGCTCGCTTGTACATCCCTCTGGGCCGGTGATTGTGATACCGCCTGTGCAGGTGGACTGAACGTTTTGACAAACCCAGATATTTTCTCTGGCCTTAGCAAAGGACAGTTTTTGTCGAAGACTGGAAGTTGTAAAACGTATGATAACGATGCTGACGGATATTGTCGCGGAGATGGCTGTGGAACGGTCATCTTGAAGCGTTACGAGGACGCTGTTGCGGACAAAGACAATATCCTTGGTTGCATTCTAGGCGCAGCCACCAACCATTCTGCGGAGGCAGTGTCTATTACACATCCTCACGCTGGAGCCCAGGAGTTTCTGTACAAGAGGGTCCTTGCAAATGCCGGTGTTGATGCCCACGAAATTTCTTATGTCGAAATGCACGGGACTGGTACGCAGGCTGGTGATGGTATCGAGATGACGTCCGTCACCAACGCATTCGCTCCGAGGCACCGACAACGTCTCCCACATGAGACGCTCCATCTAGGTGCCATCAAAGCGAACATCGGACACGGCGAAGCTGCGTCAGGCATCAACTCACTCATCAAAGTCATGATGATGTTCCAGAAGAACGTCATACCAGCCAACGTCGGCATCAAGGGAGTCATGAACAAGACCTTTCCGAAGGACCTGCTCCAGAGGAACGTTCATATCGAAACGAAACAGGTAGCGTTCCCTCGACATGGTGCTGAGAAGCGGAAGATTTTCTTGAACAACTTCAGCGCCGCAGGTGGCAACACAGCGATAGTTCTCGAAGATGGTCCACTTCAGAAGGCCCCCACTGTAGACGACCCAAGATCATCACACGTGGTTACCGTGACGGCAAGGTCGATCGCATCACTCAAAAGAAACATCGAGAACTTGACGAAGTACCTGGTGGACAATCCGACAACAACACTGCCTAGCTTGTCCTACACGACGACTGCTCGGCGAATCCAACATAATTATCGTGTCGCCTTCACTTCGTCTGCTATCACCACAGCGCAAGACAACTTGAGAGCGCAGCTCAAAGACTCATACAGTCCTGCCGCTATGGCACCTACGAAGGTTGCATTCACTTTCACTGGACAAGGTTCACAATATACCGCAATGGGTCAAAAGTTATACAAAGACCTTCCATCGTACAGGGCCGAGATTGACCAGCTTGACGGCCTCGCACGTCTCCAGGGCTTCCCTTCGTTCCTACCGTTAATCGATGGGGCTGACGTGAAAACACTCTCACCGGTTGTTGTTCAGCTCGGGATGGCATGCGTGCAAGTTGCCATAGCACGTATGTGGTCTGCCTGGGGTGTATCTCCGGTCGTAGTGGTTGGTCACAGCTTAGGAGAGTACGCCGCTCTCCATGTTGCAGGCGTACTTTCTGTAAGCGACATGATATTCCTCGTGGGACGGCGTGCGCAACTCCTCGAGTCGGACTGCACTGCCAACACTCACGGAATGCTTGCTGTAAAGGCGAACATCGATACGCTATCCAATACTCTTGGCTCCGACATGATTGAGGTTGCATGTGTCAATGGTCCCGAGGAGACTGTTCTTTGTGGTACGATCGCTGTCATCGAGTCAACCAGCAGCATCCTGACCACGCGAGGGATCAAGTCGACCAAGTTGAATGTCTCATTCGCGTTTCATTCTTCTCAAGTTGACCCTATCTTGGCCGCGTTCAAGCAAGCCGCATCCTCCGTTGTCTTCAACAAGCCATCCATTCCGCTGCTGTCGCCACTGACGGGGAGCGTTATCCGTGAGGCCGGTACTGTCTGTCCAGAATATCTCGTTCGCCACGCTCGCGAGACTGTCAATATGTGGGCAGCGCTAGACGAAGGCAGTAATGTGAAGCTGGTAGATGAGAAGACGGCCTGGTTGGAGATCGGCGCCCACCCAGTATGCAGTGGAATGGTCAAGAGCTCCTTGGGTGGATCACCAGTTGCTGCTGCCTCATTGCGCCGGAACGAAGACCCTTGGAACACTATTGCCAATAGCATTGCCACCTTATTCTTAGCTGGCGTGCCTTTTGACTTCAACGAATATCACCGGGAGTTTAACGACGCACATCAGCTCCTGACTTTACCAACTTACTCTTTTGACCAGAAAAAGTACTGGCTGGACTACCATAACAATTGGACCTTGACGAAGGGTGAGAGTCTGAAGAGCATCGACCTAAAACCGGCACCCATCGTTGAGACCAAGTCGAAACTTTCTACCACATCATGCCAACGCATTGTACACGAGGAGCTTCACGCCAACACCGGAACCGTTGTTATTCAGTCAGACTTGGCAGAGCCAAAGCTTCACAAGGCTGTCAGTGGTCACCTTGTCAACGACTCTGCGCTTTGCCCGTCATCATTATACGCTGATATGGGATTGACTGTGGCAGACTATCTATACAAGCAACTCAGACCTGGGGCTCCCGAAGTAGCGTACAATCTCTGTAAGATGGAAGTTCCGAAACCGTTGATTGCCACACTCCCACCTCCACCAGAAGGCCAGCATATCCAGCTAGAAGCAACAGCTGATCTTGAGCTGAGACAAGTTCAGCTGAAGTTCCGGAGTGTCACGCCACATGGCAAAGTACTCGTCGAACACGCACATGCAACAGTGCGTTACGAGGACCCCGAGAATTGGCGAGACGAGTGGCGGAGGACTCAATACATGGTTCAGACCCAGATCGACATTCTCCATCAAAAGCTTCAATCTGGTGGCGCCTCCAAGATCTTGCGGGGTATGGCATATAAGCTATTTAAGGCTCTTGTTGACTACCAACCAGCCTATCAGGGGATGGAGGAAGTCATTCTCGATGGAAAAGAGACGGAAGCCACTGCTTCTATCCGATTCCAAACTACGCCTGATGATGGAACCTTTTACTGCTCACCGTACTGGATCGACTCCCTGGCTCATATCTCCGGCTTCATTGTTAATGCGTCTGATGTAGTGAATTCTGCAGACAGCGTATACATTTCCCACGGTTGGAAGGAGGTTAAGATCTCTAAACCTCTTTCGGCGGACAAGCAATACCGCTCCTATGTTCGCATGCAGCCCGCTCCGGGTAACGTTAGAGTCGGAGACGTCTACATACTAGAAGGTAAAGATATCATTGGCATGGTCACCGGACTTAAATTCCAGGAGATACCGCGACGTGTGCTGAACATCATGATGCCGCCTGCGAAAAAGGCTATTGGACGGCCAACGCCTGCTCCCATCGAAGCCCCTGTCTCTGCAGTGACGATTCCAAAAATCACTACCAAGCAAATCATCAAACAAAGACCAAACCAGGAGAAGAGGCAGCAAGCAAAGAATGTCAAAGCGGTTGTTGCTAAGCAAGCCGGATCAATAATCAGTAGCCGGGTCATGAGTATCATCTCAGAAGAGACCGACGTGGACATGTCCGAACTCGTAGATGATGCCGCTTTTGAGAACCTTGGTGTCGACTCTCTCATGTCTCTGACTATTTCTGCCAAGTTTAGAGAGGATCTCAACATGGACATTAGTTCCACACTCTTCACTGATTATCCCACAGTCGGAGCCATGAAACAATTCTTCGCACAATTCGATGGTGGTGTACCGCTACCAGAGCAGTCTGACTCCGAAGATGATGATAGTGTACCTTCCGACAATCTAGAGACCCCCTGTGATGACGGGCTGTCGGAAACGCCGCCAAGCTCAGTCCCGAGCTCGGTCGCCAGCGATGCCGGGAAAGATATTCAAGGGAAGGGTGAAGCTATCCACCTTGAAGTCAATGTGAATCCTGCAGGTCTACCAAGTCTTGCCCGCAAGATCGTCGCAGAAGAGATGGGCGTGTCAGTGTCCGAAATCTCTGACAAGGCCGATCTTTCAGAGATGGGTATGGACTCTCTCATGAGCTTGACAATCCTGAGCTCCCTTCGCGAGCATACTGGGCAAGAGATACCTTCAGAGTTTCTTGTGGCAAATACAACCATAGAGGACATAGAGAATGCTCTGGGTTTGAGACCGAAGGCTATCGCTGAAGTTCGCCTCACTTCTACCAAACCCCACGTCAAGCCAAAGAGGCCGTCCCTCGCCGTCGTTAACAAGAAGCTTCAAGTCCGTAATATCGCGATGTATCCCCCTGCGACATCTGTGCTTCTACAAGGAAATGCTAAGATAGCAACGAAAAAGCTCTTCCTGCTTCCTGACGGCTCCGGTTCCGCCACTTCATATGTCTCAATACCCAAGATCTCTCCCGATGTCGCTGTTTATGGTCTGAATTGTCCTTTCATGAAGACCCCAACAGACTTTACCTGCGGTATAGAGACAGTGGCGGCTATCTATGTTGCTGAAATGAGACGTCGTCAACCCAGTGGCCCTTACATCATTGGCGGATGGTCTGCTGGCGGTGTCATCGCATATGAAGTCGGCATGCAGCTCATAAACCAAGGCCAGGTCGTCGACCGTCTGGTATTGATAGATTCCCCATGTCCTGTCAGACTTGATCCATTACCAGCCCGTCTGCACGTCTTCTTCGACTCAATTGGTCTTCTAGGTACTGGAAAGCCTGGTGGTACTCCTGGCTGGCTGCTACCGCACTTTTCTGCGTCCATTCAGGCGTTGAAGGAATACGAGCCTGCTCCTATGGATCCAAAGAAGGCGCCAAAGGTCTGCGCTATCTGGTGCACTGATGGTGTCTGTAAGCCCGGCGACCCAAGACCTCCTCCTGGCGAAGGAGAGGATCCAGCGCCTATGACGTGGCTTCTGAATGACCGCACAGATTTTGGTCACAATGGCTGGGCACAACTTATGCCAGAGGAGAACTTTGAGTGCGCGGTGATGGGAGGGAACCATTTCACGATGATGAAAGATGATCACGTAGGTTCATGTCACGTTCCATGCACGTCTAACGACTAATGATTCCATAGGCTAAGACGCTTGGTCGTTTGATTCAGAAAGGTTTGGGGATCCAAGTATGAATATGAGATTGCATTTCCTTTGTTTGGGTCTCGTTCGCTATCTCGGTGTAAATGGCTTGGTGTTCACAGTTAATGATACCGGATGGACGATGATGCATTTCTGGGTACACGCTACGGAGAAATTGAAACAAACATGAAAGAGATGGTAATGGAGGATACATGATTGGGGTCTTGTTAGCATTCTGAAGCGTTTCCTCTTACATTTCATCACCATCACTTAATATCTCGTAGAAACACATTTCCTGCTAAGACTTTTTCCGCTGTATATAGAACCTAGTATATCTCATTATCTGTACTGTATGATCTGTTCTGTTATGCAATGCCGTGTTGTCTTGTGCGTTATCCAGCTTTGCAAGCGGCCCGTCGGACACTATCCGATGTCCGCACTGGCCATGGATGGATGTTTCGGACTGTGTCAGAATGTCATTTCCGCTCCAATGTACTGCATGTCGACCTCGTCGGAGTCGTACATAGGCGACTCACAGAAGGCTCGTCATACGGGACAGAAGCATGGTTGGAACGAGTCGGGGCAGTGATGAGTCGATATGGCGATTAAAAAGCTGGATGTTGGCACAAGCATACAATGCGAGAACTAATGACATTATGTGAAAAAACAGCGACGAACATGATTGTCCAAGGATGCATACGGAAGGATGCAGTATACACATTGTCTAGTCGATGTATATATACATAGAATCGGCCCTATGAATTAAGCCTCCTAATCCTAGGATTTTCAACATGTAGTTGGCAGAGTTCCCACACGGCGATGCCCTCCCAATGCCCATATATGATACACGCGCCCATCTGAAGAACGCCGTCTTAAGACCCTGACTGTTGACTCAGCCAAAGTTGAAGCCACCTGGAAATCCTCCTCCTTGAAACTTGAAACCCCCACCGCCTCCTCCGAACGGCATCCCGCCACCGCCGCCTTGTTTGAAGAAAAACTGCTGCCCACCTGGGCCGCTGAACGGCGAGCCCTGGAATGGCCCACCCTGTTGCTGCTCCGGATTATTTGGGTCATCACCGTTATCGAACCTTGCCTTCAGTTCCGGGTCACTAAGCACCTCATATGCTTCGTTGATACTCGCCATCTTCTTCTCCGCATCTTCCTTCGTGATGCCTTGTGTCGCAGCCTTGTCGGGGTGAAACTGTTTTGTCAAGCCGCGGTATGCCTTTTTGATCTGGCGCTCGTCGGCCTCGCGGGATACACCAAGAACCTTGTAGTAGTCCTTTTGCTTGGAGATTTTCAGCTGCTTTTGTGCTTTGCCGAGAAGTTCGTTGATCTTTCGATTTTGGGGGTGGTGTTGGGCGGCGTCGTTGAGGGTGTTGATGGCAGGTTCCCATTCCTCAGCGTCGTAGTGGTCGTGTGCCTTGATGAGCATCGCGTGGATGTTGGTTGAGTCCCAGGCGAGAATTTCGTGGCAGTAAGGGGTGGCGCGTTTGCGGTTGTTCATCTGTTAACTATAAGTGATTTATTTGGGGAGACGATTCTGTCACTCCTTACCTCCATGTATGCCTCACACGTTATCTCGACGAGATTTCGGTATAGCCCTGCTGGTGACATTGGATGAATGTAGCCCTGTGCTTTGAAGTCCTTGACGTCGTCTTTGACCTCTTGCAATAAGCCCACCTCATCTCCGGATTTGATGAGCTGTTTGACAGCCGCCGCATAAGATCTCTTGTCCACTTGTGCTCGAATCGTCTTTAATCGTTTCTCAATGGATTTTTCTCGTTTCATAAGTTTCATGCATTGTTTTGAGTCTGGGTCAGACTGCAAGCATTTTCGGATCTGGGTCAGGCCCTTCTCGGTCTCTCCAAGAGAGTAGAAAGTCATGGCCGATATTTGTAGATGCGGTTCCACCGAGCCAGTGGAAATTTGGAGAACATGCTGTAAGTCGCTGACTCCTTCCATTACTTCACCGCGCTCCAAGCGACATCTCGCTCTTAATTTGCGGAGATCTAGTGCTGTACCGGCGGTGAGGATGGCCACTCCGGCTTGCGAGACACAAGCCTCCCAGTCCCCTTTCTTTGCAGCTTGTTCGGCCAATATCGCTGCCCCTTCAGCACTTTCAAGCTCCGATAACTCTTCGGCTTTCCCCGCTGCCCTGTAGTCTGCTCGAGCTCCCGCCCAGTCCGCGTTCCTGCTCTTTATTTTTGCGCGCTGCGTCAGGGCCCCTTCATGGTTCGGCTTCAGGCTCAACACTTTGTCAAAATCGAGTTGCGCCATGTTGTTGCGCCCGATAGATAGATAGGTAGTCGCTCGTCGGAAGATGGTCATGTAGTTCTGTGGATCACGAGCGATGGCGACATCGTAGTAAGTCAAGGCATCGTGGGTGTCGCCTGCTATAAATCTTGCATGCGCAGACTCAAGGAGCTTCGAAATCGGTGTGTCTACAGGTATATCGGCAGGGCTCAGCGCGGAGACGGTCGAGAAAACCAGTGCTCCCAGAGCGATTGGGGCAATTGAGAGTATCATTGCGGAGTCTGAGGACGGTGCAGTGGCAGGCGGTTAGCCTGGTGTTGTTTAGGGCATATATATTATTAGTGAAGCCAGGTGAACTCTACAGAGGTTGCGGAGTTGGAGTAGAATGGGACTGAGGAATTATTCAAGTAGTGATGTATTGAAGCCAGATGGCCACTTCTTATCGACTACAGACATGCCTGAGGCATGAATGTCGTTGACCACCATTCCTTCTCCCATTGGTCAGTGAATGCCGAAAACGGCAAGTTCGTACACATGCTCGTCGAACTTCTGCCATGCTAACTAACACGATGGATGGATGAATCCTGGCTTGGGCGCCATAAAATCGCGCTTGAAACGTGTCACTCGGAAGGATCCGGACATCCCGAGAGGGAGACGAGATGTACAGACTTCGAAGAGTCTGTAATTAACACTAAGTTGAACTTTTATGAATCGAGTAAAGACTATGATCATCGTATTACTGTATAAACGAAGCTCATGCAGAAGATGTGGCTCGTGAGCTCGTGGCGCTCATTAGAGCTATTTGGGCCCAAGGGTCTCGGAAGCGTTTCCCGAACCGTAATGAGATCACCACGCGAGCTTGACGTCGTGAAGCTCTGCAGTCCACGAGGGCAGATTGGTTGCATGCTCAGAGTCAACTGTACTGCCTGTGCACTTCTTGCAAGCTTCTTTTATTGACGATTACACTAGCTCTCATGTTTGCATAGTCATATCCTTCCATCAGCCCCTATTTGCCTTTGCTCTCCTCAAATGGCTCCCTTGCGTCTCCGCATAGACGGCCGCGTGTTTCGCGACGAGCACGACCGCGAGATTACCCTCCACGGGATTAACGTCGCAGGTGATGCGAAGTTTCCCACCATTCCCGATCTGCCCTCCCATGTTGCTGAGAATTTCTTCGAAGGCGACACTGTATCCTTCGTTGGCCGCCCCTTCTCCGTCGATGAGGCCCACGTACATTTTGCTCGCTTAAAGAGATATGGTTACAACACTATACGATATGTTTTCACATGGGAAGCCATAGAACATGCTGGCCCGGGAACATATGATGAAGAATGGATTCAACATACTATTTCAGTTCTGCGTCTCGCCGGAGAATATGGGTTTATGGTTTTTATGGACCCTCATCAGGACGTAGTATGTCACACCACTACCATAACTCCAGTGGGCTACTAATATAAAAGTAGTGGTCGCGCTTCTCTGGAGGTTCAGGTGCCCCTATGTGGACTATATATGCCTGTGGGCTCAATCCTAAGACATTCCACGTAACAGAAGCGGCCTTAGTTCAGAATGTCTACAAAGACCCTATCACATTCCCTAAGATGATATGGGCTACCAACTATCAGCGAATGGCTTGTCAAGTGATCTTTACGCTCTTTTTCGCAGGCAGAGAGTTCGCTCCCAAAGCCGTAATAGACGGGAAAAACATTCAGGACTATCTTCAAGATCATTTTCATAATGCTTGCAGGCATCTGGCACAGCGAATGCACGAGGCTGGAGGACTTGAAAATGAAATTGTGATCGGGTGGGAAACGCTAAACGAGCCGAACCGTGGGATGATTGGCTGGCACGACCTTGCGCAGTTCCCAAGTGAGATAAAACTACGCAAGGGAAGTTCTCCTACAGCATGGCAAGCTATTCTCAACGGATCTGGCCGAGCTTGCGAAGTGGAAACTTGGGAATTCGGGGGCATGGGGCCTTTCAAATCAGGCTCGGTGTTGGTTGACCCCGAAGGTCAGAGCGCGTGGCTGCCTACCACGTACGATGATACTTTCTATGGCTGGAAAAGAGACCCTGACTGGAGACTTGGGGAATGCCTTTGGGCACAGCATGGCATATGGGATCCTGCGACTGATGCCTTAGTTCAAAAGAATTACTTCTCCAAAGACCCACGCAGCGGAAAGCTAATCGATTACGAGTACTTTACAAATCACTGGTTCATGGATTTCTACCGCAGATACCGCGACGCAATACGGAGTGTTTTCTCAGGGTCTGTCATATTCTGTCAACCTCCAGTCTTAGAGATACCCCCTGCCCTCAAAGGCTCGCCAGATGACGATCCCAATATGGTTTTTGCACCCCACTTCTATGACGGTATTACGTTAATGACGAAAAAATGGTGTGTACCATTCGCTTCACAAGCATGCAGAGAATAACGGTGATACAGGAATAGGATATGGAATGTTGATGTCTTTGGTGTGCTGCGTGGCAAGTACTGGTCTCCTGCTTTCGCCGTTAAGATAGGGGAGACAGCCATTCGTAATTGCTTTAAGGACCAACTTACTGCAATCCAAAAGGAAGGAATGGATTACATGGGCACGAGGCCATGTGTGTTCACCGAAATTGGAATACCTTATGATATGGATGATCAGTATGCGTATAAGACGGGCGATTACACAAGTCAAACGCTGGCCATGGATGCAAACCATTTTGCCTTAGAGGGAAGCAATGCGAATGGTTTCACCTTATGGGTATACGTCGCTAGTGTGAGTACAGCAAATAGTCTAAAATGGAGAAGTGCTAATTAGCAAAAAGAACAATCACAAATGGGGAGATCAATGGAATGGAGAAGATCTCTCTATATTCTCGAAGGATGATCGACCACTTCCCCTATCGCCCTTTTCTCGCAATCAGTCGACCGCCTCTTTCGACAATACATCACCTTCGTTTTCACAAAGCCAAACGTCAGAAGCCCCAAGCGTCACACCTTCTACATTGAAGGACTCGCTGTCCCCTCATGCCATGAGCTCCAAAACAAGCAAAAGTGCTGAACCTGGGTCAGGCTTCCGGGCTGCTGAAGCCTACATTCGACCTACTCCAATAACGACATGCGGCGACATTGTATCATACGGTTTTGATCTGCGCAATTGTGTCTTTAAGCTTGAATTGATCACCCCGAGTGCTACGAGTGAAAACGCGCCTACTGAAGTGTTTCTACCAGAATTTCACTTTCCACCTGGGAACACCACCGTAGAAGTTAGCGGCGGTAAATGGCAGATTAACATTGGCGATAAAAATAATGGCCTCATCCAAATACTGCGATGGTGGCACGCCGCAGGCGAACAAACTATTACAGTGAAAGGCGTCATTCAGCGGCCAGGGCTCATGCTGGATAAGGAAGAAGAAGCGGGCTACATAGAGCAGTGCCAGCAGCGCAATTGCACCCTCATGTAATGCAGCTTTGGATACCTGAAGAAGCTTTAGCGACTCAATATCTGCATTCTGTGGGCACTGGGCATCGTTCTAGTCTAAATGACGAAACTTTTAAGACCGCAATAATGTATCATTTAAGTCACAGATTCGAGGTGGAGCACAATCAAATATCCTTGTCTTTGGCGCGCGGTACGACAACGGCTGTGCGCTAGGGCTAGGTCCCCCCACAAGCAACTAAGGTCAGCTAACAGCTTGGTCGGTGAGGTAATTTAATTAACAGTCTGCATTCCTGTAACTCTTGCGAACACTACAAGTCTGACGCACACATCGCGAAAAACTAACAGGAGATTCAAGTTTCACCTCTTTCATAGATACATTTCTTTGAAAGATATGAGTACTTTACTTACCCCACTAACGAATTACACCCTCACCTGCTTCATCACTTATAAACGAAGCTAGCTGAAGAGCTCCCCTCGTGTTTCGCCATCACAAGTCATTCTTGAGCATTCCTTCCGAGCATTCTTGCACTCAAAACGCTTGCTCGAAGCTCCAGTCCTTCTTGGAAGAAATAGCGCTCATCATGAACGGCTTAGGCAACCTCGTCCTCAATTTCAATCCGACCACGAACGGGTCCCCGCAGAACCAACAGAACATCGACAGGTCGATACCGCAGGATCTTGATCCTGTCTTAGAGGCACTAGAAGTCATATACAACGCGAAAGTCCCGAACTCCACGCGCCACGCAGCCACAGAATATCTCGAGAGAGCGAAGCGGCATCCTGATGCCCCATACACAGGCTTCACACTTGCGTTGAATAAGACACAAGCTCCAGCGTTACGCTACTATGGACTTTCTATGCTAGAGCACGCAATCAAATTCACATGGGAAGATTTTGAACAAGAGCAGGCACTACTCATCAGACAATATGTGATTCGGCTCGCACAACAGATTGGGCCCGACGATCCAGTATACCTACGCAACAAAGTTGGTCAACTGTGGACAGATATCGCCAAGCGTGCCTGGGGAGCAGAATGGTTAGACATGGATGCTATGTTACTCGAGCTATGGGGAGCTTCTTTGGCGCACCAAGCTATAGTACTCTACGTACTTGAAACATTGTCAGAAGAAGTGTTCAACAAAGAAGACCCAATCGCGGGATTACGTGGAAATGAGCTTGGTCGCGCATGCGTTGAAATATTCACACCGGCTACTGTTCTGCATGAGCAGCTCCCGAATCGCGATACTTCAGAAACGATAAGAGCTGGGGACGAAGGTTGGGTAGCTCGTCTATGTGGTCTACTGGACCAATGTCTTGCAAACGACTTCAGACAAGATGAGCGAGTTCTGAGTTGTGCTGTCAAAACCCTCAATGTGCTCAGGGCTGCTATGCCTTGGATAATACCAAAAGCGATCTCATACACCAACACCGTAGACTACATCTGCAAGGCGCTCGATGCGTCCAGTGAGACGGCTCAGGCTCCGTGTGGGGAAAGTGTATCCTTATCAAAGGTAAACACCTAACATTCGAGCCTCATCAGGATTGCTGATATTGGAATAGGCTGCGATTGAAGCCTTGTTTGCAATATACAACCGACCTCATCTACAGGATGCTTCTGACTTCACAGATATCGTCGGTCCCATGTTTTCCCATGAGCGTGGATTGCTCCTGCACAAAGCTTACGAAGCTACCAAGCCGCATATGGATCCAAATGATATTGACGAAGCCCGGTACCTGACTTGTAAAAAACTTTCTGAGGTATGCATCTCAGTACCCACACAATCAGATGTATTCCTTCATAAGCTAATTATCAACAGCTAGTGGCTCTTCTTGGAAATTTTGTGGAGCAGAAAACCCGCCTAATACCTGCAACACATGATCTTGCTTTACTTTTTTCTCTTTTCTACCAGCTGCTTATTCATTCGAGCTTGGTCGTTTCGATACCAATTCTTCATAGTTTCACCAAGCTGCTAAGATCCCCATCCGTACGAGAGTGGGAGTTCGTCGCAAGGATGATTCCTGACCTGCTTAATTTGTGTACCTCTCGTTTGATACGTTACGAGAACCTACCAGACGAGTGCGAGGACGCAACTACTCTTTTCCTGAACGACGATATAGACACGAAGCCTGAAAAGCATGCCTTTCTTGGTAATTACCGGCGTTATTGTGTGGACATCATCGAAACCATCGTACGTAACTCTCCAGGTGAGGCAATGTCGCACCTACTGGATGCGGGAGAGAGTGTCTCAGCTCATCTTTATGACAACACCGGCCCATTCCAAGGTATGTCGATATACTCAGGTACTGTTGAGATCTGGATCTGATTGTGTGCAAGTTCAATCTTTTAGCAAAACGTCCCTGCCGTTTCTCCGATTCGATGCGCAAATTGTTGCCATTGATGCCGGACTGAAAGGTTATCTAAAGTGGCAATCTGGGTCTGCATTGACGCCAGAGCAGCATGTACGCCCCTCGTTTCTGTCGGTTTAGGGAGAAGCTACTTATTTTCTTAAGGAAACTCTTCGAAACGATTTGCAAGATCGGTTCGAGACCTGGTGTATGAAGATGCTTAGTACAACGTTCGAGGTTTGTGTTCACATTCTTGTTAGGGTGATGAAACTAAATGTTTAGGATCCTGAAATTCTGCGAAAAGCTATCGGCCTCATGGTCACATTTTCGACTAAAGCTCTTACCACAAAACCAAATTTTGCACTGGGATTGTTAAAATACATTCTAGATGCTCCAAAGCAGGAGGACTCGGCATTCCCGCAATATAACGAGTCAGTGAAGGATCTTGAGCGAAGCAGTAGTATGGATGCACAAAGGCTTGCAGCTATCTTTCCTAATGACTTCATGGTAAGCCACAATTTTCATACACATCGTCAGATCACTAAGCATTGGCATATAGAATGCATACGAACAGATAGATCAGAAGCTCAACGAGCTGTCCGCAAAAAGTACTACGGACGAGCGTCAAAAGAATGGCTACGCGGCGTTGCGTTTCATAATCATGTGAGTATACTGCTTATCCCCATTAGCAAGCCTGACGCATCCAGCCATCGCACCACGGTCCTAGACCGGAATACTATGCAAATAGAACTGCAGAAGATGCTTCAACCACTCAAGGATACTTGGCAAAATCCTCATTTTACCGAATCATTGTCGACGTTCGAGTCGTTTTGCGAACTGGTTGGCTTTGGCCACCTCGGCGACTTCCTGGCTACGAAGAAGTTCCATATCGTACAAGACTGGACAGCACAATTATTGGACGACGAAGGTATGCAGATGCAAGCGGCCATCCTCGATCGTTCGCAAAAGCTGCCTTTTCGGATCACTCGGACACTTCTCGGAGCCTCAACAGATAGATTGCAGGAAGAGGAAGCTGCATACGAGATCGCGAGAGAGCTCTGGGCTGACGCTATGCCAGCGATTCTCCCAAATCTTTTACAGCTAATCACTCATGCACAAGGGTTCAACAATATGGAAAACTGGGCAAGTCTACCACAAGAACTACAAGCTGTGATCAGGCGTGTCCTGACCGATCGCTTCTGGCAAGCTGGTATATCGACCGAAAGCAGGGATGACTTCTTCGCTCGCGTCAGTGGATCAAAAACCACGTATGAAGGATTTGCATCTACGGTACGAGGTACTGTTCGACAGATTCGGGAGACGTGCTACTATATTATCTACGCTCTGAGTCGATTTGGAGATACTTTCTATGGTATCTCTGACCTATCACGTCCGTTGAGCCAGGCTCTCTTCGTCAATGCGAACACGCTTTCTGCTCATCACCTCTCAGTCCTCCTCAGTGCAGCCACACATATCATCGAGGGTTGTCCAGTCCGCCTTCGTGCCCAATTTCTTCCTGAAGTGGTGTCTGGGCTATTTAGAGAGCTGAACATGAAGGTCGAATCAGAATGGGCGCTTGTGACCGCGCAGGCGACGGGAGAAATTGAGCAAGACAATCTCGGAGACGAAATGAAGACGGAAAGCATACTGCGCCAGCTTACGCACTCCTCAGTGACGTTGGTCTCTGTTCTCCTAGACACGCAACGTATCGATGCGCCAAAACGTGACTCCCAGGGCACTAAAGAGCAGGCCATGTGGGAGTTTATACTTTCGGAAAATAGTTGCTTGGAGCCCATACTCATATTCGCTAAGACTGCGATACGAGTACGCGATTCGCGTTCTTGTGCCCTTATGCTTCGTATAATCCGCTATGTACTCCCACATTTCAAGGACAAGTCGGCGGTGAGGGTCTACATATGTACGGAAGTTCTACAGGCTGCCATCAACTCACTTCACGAGCCGTACTTCGTCGACGTCCAGAAAGACCTCGCGAGTGTCATTGCCCACATTATCCTCTTGGACATCGAAACTACACGCCAGATTCTCCTTCAGCTTCCTGGTATGCAAGCTCGTGCAGACAAAGTAGATCGCAAAATTGAAGCACTGCAAAACATCGCAAGTGAGCGTGGTCAGCGCAGCGTTGTTTTAGATCTTCTGGCTAGTGTCCGAGGTGTCAGCATCCATGAAGCTGGCAAAATGGAGCGCGCGAAGAGAAAAGATCGGGTAAATGAGCAATATACCATGGTGGAAACACAGCAGACGGGAATTATCAGGGGCAATAGTCCAATAGGAGGTATCTCGGAAATGTTTGGGACTTGACGAAGTGAATCCTGACGAACGGCATCCAAGGGAAGACATGTGGGATTAGCGAAGGTGTATAAGACACAATTTCGGTTTCTTGGGCGACATCACATCATCAATTATACCAGACACACTGCGATGAGCAGATGCGCGTATATCTAGTATCTACTTAGGTCTATTACAACAGTATAATAGATTACTTGATCTCGCATGTCTGTGTCCCGGTCACGGTCAAGCAGGGACCAATACTGTGACGCTATAATCTGCCGCACTCTTGCTGTGGTTTAAGGTATGACGTCTGAGGTAAATTTAGAGTTTAGCGCGATCTAGAATATACGATTACGTAGTTTCGTTGTATACTATATTAGTGCCGGTTGGGTGGGAGCTTGGCTACTTACTTGTCGTACGTCGTTCGGACTCAGACCGCCCGAACTTCCGGCCGGCCGCAAATTACGGGTCCCGAAGTCGGATAATATAAGGTGCCAATTATTTCCGCCATCATGTTCTGCATTGCACGCTAGTACGCTATACTCATTACAATCGCATATACCCTTGGTTCACTCCTTAGACCTTAAAAGATGACTTATTCTCTGCCCCGTGTCACCCTTTACTTGTCCCTCGCCGCTCTCATCTACACCCTTACACGTACCCTCCTTACTACAATCTACCACCGCCGACGCGCCCGTGCTCTGGGCTGCCTACCCGCGTATCAATTCTACGAAAATGGGATTTTCGGCATCAACAATTTCTTGCTTCCGGTCAAAGCCGACCGAGAAATGCGGCTCCCGGATTTCATTTCTGAGTCTTTTCACGAGGCGAGTAAGAGGGCGGGGAGGTGGGTAGGACTTTGGGAATTCAATATCCTAGGCCAAAAGGGCTTTCATACGATTGAGCCAGCAGTGGTCAAGGCAGTGTTGGGGACGCAATTCGAAGATTTTGGGCTGGGAAGTGCGAGGTGTGGGAGCTTTAAGGGGCTGTTGGGCGATGGAATCGTAAGTGTCTCTTTCTGCTAAGTCAACCGTACATCACTGTTGCATGGCAGCTCGTTTTCCCTCGTGAGTCAGTGAAGAAGAGTAACCCGATTTAGAGCTTGCGATGTTAGGCTTAAATTTTTGTCTACCTTCTACAGCATCCGGACGGCATACCTTGTTCCTTTTTGTACACTCGCGTTCCGATTCTTCTGTCACATGGTCGTCACCATTATCTGAATCTAACAAGCACTAGTTCTCCTCCGACGGCAAACAATGGCAACATTCCCGTGCCCTCCTCCGCCCTCAATTCGCCCGTGCTCAAGTCGCCGACCTCGATCTTGAGGAGAAACACTTGCAACATCTCCTCCGTGCCATCCCGATAGAGTCCACAGGATGGACCAACGCAATTGACATCGCTCCGCTCTTCTTCCGCCTCACCCTAGACTCCGCAAGCGAATTTCTCTTTGGCGAATCCACAGACTCGCAACTCGCCGCCCTACCCTCCTACCCACGGCCCAAAACTGCCGCCCTCGCCGAGTCCGACTTCGCTTCCGCCTTTGACGAGGCCCAGCGCCTCCTCACCCTCAGCTCCTACGCCGGTGACCTATACTGGCTCCTCCAAGGCCCCGCATTCCGCAAGGCATGTGCGCAATGCCACACCTTCATCGACCACTACGTGCACAAAGCACTCACCGAAACACCTCCCGATGCCCCAGAACAGCAGCGTCCAGACGAGCGTTACATTTTCCTCCGCGCACTCGTACGCGATACGCGCGACCCGCTCGAGCTACGGCACCAGCTGCTCTCCATCCTACTCGCCGGCCGCGACACCACGGGTGGGCTGCTATCATGGGTCTTCTACCTGCTAGTGCAGCACCCGGATGTGTTCCAGAAGCTGCGCGCAGAGGTCCTTGCACACTTCGGCACGTACGCCGCGCCGCGCAATATCACGTTCGCCGGCTTGAAGGGGTGCGGGTATCTGCAACATGTGCTAGCTGAGACGCTCCGTCTGCACCCCTCAGTGCCGATGAATGGGCGTCGCTGTCTGCGCAGCACTACGATCCCGACGGGTGGGGGCCCGGATGGGAATGCGCCAGTGTATGTGCGTGAGGGTCAGGAGATTATTTATACGGTGTATGCGATGCATCGGCGAGTGGATCTGTGGGGTGCTGATGCGAATGAGTTCAGACCAGAACGCTGGGAGGGTCGGAAGAGTGGGTGGGAATACTTGCCGTTTAACGGTGGGCCGCGGATCTGTCTCGGTCAGCAGTTTGCACTGACGGAGGCAGGGTTTGTGGTTGTGAGGCTGCTACAGAGGTTCGAAGGATTGGAAGGTGTGGGTGTGCCGAAGGCCGGAGAGAGAGTGAAGCATGCGGTTACCTTGACGAGTAGGCCAGGCGAGGATGTGACAGTACGATTTAAGGTCTCCAGTGAAAAGGAACGGGACCATGATGAATGAGTCCACAATATGAAGGATTTAGCATCATGATAAGAGAGCAATGTGATCTTGAGATATCACCTAGCAATTGGATATAAGATTCCAGGCTATAATATGGACGTAACGCCCCGTGTATCCGTACTGTCATGTGCATGAACTTAAACAAAACCAGCGCTAACATGGCCCAACTCCAACAGTTTATGAATATGAACCACGAGACTCCTCTGAACCAATGCCAACAAGGACTGTATCACAAAAGTGCATTTGATACCGGACACAAAAACGCCTCCGCCATGCTGGGTATATTCGACAGGGCCGATGCCGCCTATTTTCCTGCGTGAAAAGCAAACTTTGAGAGATCGAACGAGACTCCGGTAGACTTGCCGGTCAAATCTTCGTCTGGCTCAGACTCGCCGCCACTGTCAGGCACAAGCATGTCCTCGCTCCCCTTGAGGTTTTGTTTGCGGCCCACAGAGGTTGATACTTCGATGGACACAGGAGGAGATGGTGAGCGTAAACCATCACTTCCTGGGACAACAATGGTGTTCCCAGTCTCTTTCCATTCGGCATCGGAGATATCTGGATAGTCATCAATAGTTTCGGATGTAGCGCCCGGTAGTGTGTCAGATACAGAGGCTACATCTCCAGTCTTTAACGATGGCTCAGGCTGGCTCGAAAAGATCGGGGGTAAGGGTATCGGACGAGATGTGGAACGTTTGGATTTAACAGGGGCTGAATATGTTCGAGCAAATCTCCTCTCGGTCGCGTTCTTTACCATTTTCCTACTCAAAGTGGGCGAGTCAATGTCCCTTGCTGACTGAAGCGCAAACCTTGAGTGAAGATCTCCGAGGTTTTTGCGTATGGAGTCGTCGAACACTGAGGGTTCATACAGGTCGTCGGTCGGTGAACTTCCAACAGATGTAGCAGGTGTCAGACAGCCTGTACTAATCTGCGACTCGACGGTCATATTTGTCATTGCAGTCATCTGAGATGTATCGCCGTCGAGACTGTCTCTTTGCGACAGCGCAGGAGTGGTAGGAACATCCGCTAGTACAGACATCTTCTTTCTAGGCTTCACAAAGTCATGTTCAAGGTCGGGAAGCTCAGCCATGGCATCTTCAACCGAGTCATCAGAGAACAGATTGAAGTCGAAGGATTTATTTTTCCCCTCACCGCTCACTGCACGCGTTGGCTTGCGTGTAGCAGTAAGGGTGGGTCCAAAGAAGTGGCTTTTTTCATCAGCGTCTTCAAGTGTGGGTTGCTCATTGGCTCTGCTGACAACAGGTCCGACACATAATCTTGGCCTTTTGGGTGCGTGGCGCCCTGCATTCATTGTGGTATCGGATGCTGACCTACGCGGGGCTGATGCGTTGCGAAGAGCAGGTCGGCGTGGCTGCATGGCCTGGGCAAGGCTCATCTGCGACGCAGCGTTAGCTGTGAAAGGTCCTGGGTTGTCTTCGAGCAGCCGCTGTTGACTAGGGTTTGGTCGGAAGACATTTGGATCCAGTTCAGCCAAGGGGACCCGCTTCTTGAAGAACTGATCGATAGGCTTCCCTTTCTTTGGATCATCATTCTCGGATGAATTCTCGCTGCCAGTCGTTGAGTTGAGTCTCTTCTTGATAGAGGCGACAAGACGTTCACCGGATTGCGAAGCTTTGGTCTTCTCCGGAACTATCATTGTCAGCTTGGTGTGGGGATTCAGTCTGCCCTGGGCGATCCCTCGTGCTGTCTTTGGTTCCAAGGAGGCCCCTATGTAGGGCATATCGCCAGCTTGTAGATTGTCCGGCAGCGGCGTCAAATGTACGAGTTCTTGAGCATCTGGGCAGTACACCCACTGGTACAAGAAAGTTCTCTCAGCTTGTTCGAATGAAGTCTCGTATCCGGCCGGAAACTTGATCTTACCATCGAACCTGGCGGCGGAAACTAGACGCTCAATCGTTTTATACTTCCGCACATGCCTGTATGCCGTCTTAAGGCCCATGCTGGCAGGGTTTTTCAGGTAATCACAGCCACTCAGAATAGCCATACGTCTGAACTCTGCATCAGACCATCCAACAAGACTGACTTCTCGACAGGCGGTGAAGTCTTGTCTCCTGACCATGATACATTCTCCGTAAGCGTCCAGCTTGGTGAGAAGTGTCTTGGCACCAAAAACTAGGAGATCGGAATCCTCAGAAAGAATTGCCTGGATAATACCCTTCTGCTCGAGGTATACCATCTGAGCGTCGGCCTCGTATGGAGCAACAACATATTGCACATTTGCACGCTTCAATTCCTCGATAAAACAAAGTGCCACCTCGGGAGTAATATCGACAGCTTTCGCAAGCTCCTGGTGAGCTAATGATGATTTACCCGCTTTGAGAAGATCTGTACCGATTCTTCTAGCTTCTGCCCTTGCGCTTGCTCGATCTTTCTCGGTCTCCGCTTTGCTCGGTAAATAGTCGCCGTCGAACACTAGATAGGGCGTAATGCCAAAGTGTATGAGCATGTGTACCCTCTTCATACAGAACTCGATGTGCCTAGTGCACGTTAGCGCACACTCAGTAGCAGATACAGATCTTGCGTACTGCATAGTGAATTGGCCGAGAGCAAGCTTGACGCCGCAGGTATGAGCCCCACGATGAAGCCATCCGTACGCGTCAATGCCAACAACATGGCCAGCAAACTTCCTTATGTGGCATGGTTTCTGGATTGACTTGAGCAGAGGGAGCAAGCCTGCCAGTTCTTAGCTGAAATCTAGACATGCAAATCCTACACGAACCGGTAATCCCCATGTTTATGCCTCGCGGAAGCCTCGAATGTGATGACGGGAGGGGCCGCAATTCAAGACGACATGGCGAAAAGGAACCAACAAATTCGAATAAAGTATCGAGCAGAAAAACAAGTCGTTAGTCCCGTAAACTCGCGTACGAGCGTGCAGTTGCGTATCGAGAGAACTCGAGCTCCGTCGGGGCAGTTGGATGCGGTGAGGCGAACGCGCCGGGATGGGAAGAACACCCAAAGGACGCGACGTGCTACGCCGTAAAAGGTATGTCGCGTGTATAAGGAGCAGCTGAGCAACCTACAAAACTATCTCCTCGATACTCTATAAGAAAATGTAGCAGCAGGTCTGACTAACAACCTAATTTGCTGAGAATTAGATATCTTAGCACAACCGAAGACTTCAAGTACATCCGATAGATCAACCCTGAGTAGACTGCGCACTGCTTGAACCGCGATGTCTCAGGTGGCTGTTCCTTAAGCGGGAGACCGGCGCTAACGGCGTGTTATCGATAAGCATTTTGTGTAGGTCTTGCCCAACTCCATCTGATTTTATTTTGACGTAGAACTACGACAGCAGAATACGATGCCGACCAAAACCTTCACCAAAGTGCAAAAGCACATTGCCAAGAAGAAGGGGAAGAACGCAGCTCTCCATGAGCATAGCCGGGACTCGCACAGACTGCAAAGAGCGGCGATGCGGGATGACAAAGTTCAGAGAATCACGTCTGCGAGAGCGAAGCAGAATCAGCCTTTATGTGAGCAAGGACAGCCTGAATTCTTAACACTAAGCTGATGATGTCCCAAGTGCAGAGAATCGCCTGGTTTCATGGCATCGCGACCGAACGTGATCCACCATTGGACATATCCACAATCCAAGGCCTAATACGAGAATGCATACATCGCGACGACGAGGAGCTAGGAAAGTTGAAGTCTGAACGTAGAGCAGGACGTCCACCAAGTACGCGTGAGGTTATGCTAAAGCAGAGGGTGGACGAAGAGACGAAAGAGCATAAGTCAGGTTTCTATCTGCCAGATCTAGAGGACGAGAAGAACATCGATGCGCTCAAGGAGTGGAATGGCGACTATGTGGCATTGAATACCGTAAATTTCGTGAGGATTTCTGATGATGGAACGAAACACCAATCGAAGTTTCCCCCGAGGCAGAAATAGCCAATGAAGCACATGAAAAAATAGAAAGTTGTGGTGTGTATGTGGATTGTGATACCCCAGGCAGCGAGATGCAGTTACGTGTGGGTCAGATATTCACATGGGCGGAGATGATGTAGATGCAGACCTTTGCCGTACACTGCATCGCCAAGAAGCTCTATAGCTGCACCAGGCCACTGGCTTGCCAAGGTCGACGGGAACCCGGCAGAAGTGGTGATAAAGAAGTAGAAGGGGGATACCTTTGATACGCACATACTGGTATTTATGTCATTCTGCTGTGGCTTCTGCTCCCAAATTTGAATATCCTGCAAGTTCCCGCGCCCGGCAAGTCGTCAAATCGAACATGCGCTGAAACTTCGCTTCATTGAAGCTGAGCCTCAATCCAATGACTCTATTGGCTCAAGCGGATTTTACCAGCTTGACCGAGCATCGCACTCCGTCTCTCTTGACCTAGTCGAAGTTGACAATTTGATGCGCCTCGTAAACTTTGGTACACCATGACAAAGAGATGGTGCTGGGTGACTATCGACGGTCGGGCTTATGTTGCGATTGGAGAAAGCATCAACTTGAACATCTGGCATTCACACTAGTATTAGCTTAGATGTCATCGAAGGGCCTTCCTTGTCCACATCTTACGCTGAATGTACCAGGCGTAAATAAGCTTTTGATGTAAACAATGCCCCCGAGATGTTACTATGTAACAAGGGGTTTCCCTCGATGCCGAACTCGATATGATGTAATGGATTCACATCAGGCTATGGCTTATCAAAGATCGATGAGCCAGATTGTAGGATAGCTTGAGCTAGCCACTTTGCGGTCTGCCCACATGATGCCGGCAGCATAGCAGGTTCAGACGTTGGCGACTTAGGGTCATTCGTTGTTGACAATTTTCATACCAGCAATTGCATGATGACTGTCTCTTAACGAGGATTTTTGGCGCCCGATAATTCGAGACAGTGCAGAAATGAGGACGTGTATACGGAATCCTGACGTTGTTGAGCTCGCCGGTAGCTTCCATCAGATGCGGAGATGCAGGGCGCAGTAGGCTTATACGTTCCTAGGGCAGACATACCACTAAGCGATCAATGTGCGACGTAGATCAAATCATTACCGGCTTTAATGGATTTGTTCGCCAATACGGATGGATAGAGAGTAGGCGATAGACGTCATCTGTTTCACATCCTTATTCAACCGAATTGTGAGCAAGCCGCGTCATGATGCCTCTTGCATTCTAACCTGCAAACTCTTTCCCCACATTTCAAACATCGTATACGGCCCCAGTAGCCACACATTACACAGAAACGTCTGATCGGTGGCCCATGTGCTGAAGGCGGCGCAACACGGGCTGCGTTATATGATAAAGGTGGTGCGGAGATTAGAGCCTCAAGCTCTTCGGGCGTGGGTGCAGGCGGTACGGTAGACTCGAGCAATGGATACTTTAGCAATGGATCTGGTGACTCTTTTGATATGCCAGTCATTGGCGCGGGTGTTTGATTTTGGGAGGCAGTCGCTGGTGTACGTGGAGCTGTAGAGACGCGTCTAGAGCCGTCTAGAGCCCTTGCTACAGCCTTAGAAGGATTGCTGCGTATTTCAGCCTCTTCATCAGCGAGATAGTTGTCGAATCGTTTGCCAGATTGCAATATTCGGCGCACGTTTGCAGTATTTCCGCCTTTGAATGCTATTTGGGGAATTAGTGAATGTGGCGCATACATCCCGTTGTCTCTGACATACCGCCCTCTTTCTTCTTAGAAGGTATGTTGACCTCTTTGGTGCTTGTATCGCTGTCCAGTAGGTTCAATCGCTTGGTCAGACGCATCTGCACTGCTGCTGCGGTGGCTTCACTGCTGTCCCGGCCAGCTGCGACTCGACGCCTCTTGCCGGCAGGATTAATGGCGACTTTGGACGGATCGAAGCCTGTATCTACGATATAGGCCCAGCCCGGACCAGGAGCTGAGCCAGTGTTCGGAAGCACTTCGATACGAGGCATTGTTAGTCGTAGTAGAAAGCATGGTAAGTGAAGATTGAGGTCTGGAACATGGTGGTCGAACACTCCATATCATATCCATTAGATAATACGGAGCTTTGATGTTACCGGGATACCTCACGTCCCCTCGGTCATTACCTACTACAAAACTATCACCCAATGATCGACCGCTATCTGTGTACATGGAGTAGAAGGTGAACCATTGAATACAGCTCCTCACATACGGTTCCCGTCAATGGCTGTGATATAGTACCCAATGGAGCATACCTGGAACCTAAAGCAGATAAGAACCCTACCGACTACCGGGCCGCTGTCAACGTGAATTCGATCGAGCCAGAGGAAAGCGCGATTGGCATCCTTACACAGAGCGACACGCCAATATGAGTTTTGCAACGGTCAAATGTTGGCGTAAAGTTTCGTCGCAAAGGTTTCCTGCCAAGAAGAGTTTGAGTGGGTGGTACAGCATAAGGCATAGTAGTTGTATTGTTGATGCAATGGCCTGCATGATGAAGATCTAGTCTCTGTCCAAGGGATGAGAAATGCGACGCGACAATCTAAATGCAGTAAATGGTATAACGTACGATTACAGCATATGTATGTCGAGCCTCGTTTCATTCTCTCTAGGGGTCCGGCAGAGGAAGTCTTACATATTATGATCACCACGGTAGTCGACACCAAGAATGGGTACCATATCTGTACTTTGACCGCACTTGGTGGTGAGGATTCTCTCAGGCGCACTTGAAATTGGTGCTTTGTTCGATATGACCAAGGTCAGCCGAAGGGGGATAAACGGCAGGTATTGCTATAGTTTGAAGGCAGCCGTGTGTGATGAACTGCTGCTGGAATACCAGACCAAATTTGAGGGAGGGAAACAAAGAGGGTTTCCAAGGTATGGCGGGTAGGGTTCTTTCAAGTCCTTCACATCATTCTTGTCGTGTGTTGCTTTTCGAGAACTACAAGCGTAACAATTACGCCTTTCCGCAATACTGTTCGATTATTCGTTGTCATTGGTCAATATTCTATTGAGATTCTTGTTAGGAAGAGATTAAATCCTAGTAGTAGGTTCATAAAGGTAGTGAAGTTCTGCAAGAATTCAAGTCCACCAATGCGGCCGTCTTCTTACGATGTTTCGCATTTCTGCTTCTACTACACGATAAGTTTTTACTCTGAAAGCATCGAGGCCTAGTCGATGATGGTCAGTACGTTCAAAAGATCAAAGATATTCATGTCAGGGCAAGAGGAGGAGGAGCAAAAGGGCAATATCTCGAAATGGCCGCTCGAAATCCAAAACAAAAGCTCATGCCCGGGATCGAACCGCAGATCATGCGCCTCTGCGCCCCTGCAGATACTTAGCTCCTTCATCTGGTGCTTTTCTTCAGTGGTGGGTCATGTCGTTAACCAACTAGACTAATTCTCCCACTGGGGACTGGAATCTTGGAAGGATGATTCAATTATAAATGGGTGGTTGGATATCGAACTCTTCACTTTATTGTTTGCCAAGCACTAGGGCTCGCCCGGTAGCCCGCAAGGCCCGCCGAGGTTCCATCGCGGTCTACACCTGACTCTCGTCTGTTTGCTTCCCAGTTCTAACTGGCGAGCGATCTAGTTCTCCGTTTCGTTGCATCACAGTGTTTGTCTTTCGTCTCGTGCCCAATACAATTGCTCTCCGCATAACGAAATTTCATGTACAATGGCGCCTCGAAAGGAACCGAAAGAGCCAAGAGAGAACGCCGCTGACATGATTCTCACGTACCTCCGCAAGCAGAAGTACACTCACCTCACACCAATTCATGCCTTTACTGACACTCTACCTCACTTCGCAGTCGTCCCTACTCTGCAACCGATATCTCCGCCAATTTACACAATAAGGTGACTAAAGCTGCGACTGCAAAGCTTCTGAAAGACCTACACGAGCGCAAGGAGATCGAAGGTCGCGCCGCCGGCAAGCAGATTGTGTACCACTCAGTCCAGGTTAGCTGCAACATCATTTTAGCATATCACGGCACGTAGCCATCATTCGTTTGCGTTCGCCTTCATCCCAGGAACGGGTTTTTACTGACACGCAGCTCTGTATTTACCGGGCTCTTCGCGAAAGCCGACCATTTCTCTGCTAACAACCACTAGTCCGCAGACGACGGTGCTTCACCAGAGGATCTTGCGGCCATTGATGCCCAGATCAACACCTACCGTTTCCAAACATCAGATCTGCAAGCCTCCATCAAAGTCCTGAAAGGCAGACTCTACACACTATCATCGACGATGTCCACCGTGGACCTCGTAGCGACCATGGCGAGTCTTGACGCCGAGAGAGCTGAGATATTGGCGCGACTTAGCCCGCTTCGTGCTGGGAGTGTTAAGCCAGTTGACACAGCGGAGATGAAGCATGTAGATGCTGAGTTGAACAAGTGGACCGGCATTGAGGTGAGACGACGAAAGATTGAGGCCGAAATGTGGGCGCTAATGAGAGATCTGTTGCCGGAGGGTACGGATCATGCAGAGCTGAGAGAGAAGCTGGGGCTGGACGAGTGAGGACACTGTCTGGACATGTCTCTATCCTTCTAACTTTGACTCATGTTGCTACGGAGATCTATTCTGGGTGAACAGGTCAGAGTGTAAGTATTTTAGATCTGTGTGAGTAATGGTATCCATGGTCATCACAAAGAGCTTCGGATGAAAGCACATCCCTAAGCTAGTGTCTCATCAAGTTGTAAATCGGAAGGAAGGATGATCATCACCAAGATTATCGACATCGTCTCCCTCCAGCCGCCAATCCCTCTCACCCCTATCTCTTTTTTTGTTCTCTCTTCTGACGCCAAAGAACAGTATGGTGCAAGAAGCGCCGCATACCCACAGAAGCCCAAGAGAAACACCATAGCCCGTCGGATACCGAGGTCTCTCACTGTCCAGAAAAATATTCGACGCGACAATTCCTCCCATATTGCCAAAGCCAACTGTCATGGCAGCACTCACGCTCCTCTTGTAGTGACCAGCCATTGAATTCTGCACCCATGTCAAGACAACTGAATGTGTGATTGAGTTTCCGGGTACGATGAGGAAGAGGGCGAAATACTTGACGCCCTTGGAAAGACCATGCTGGTTGAGTAGTACGATGTAACCGACAGACGCAACCAACAGACCAAGAATGCAAAATGAATAGCGATGTCTCAAACGATCGGTTGCCAATGCATTTACCAGGGCGACACAAGTCGCGACGATTAATACTGGAATAGTGCGTACTTGCGCCGCTTCAGCGGTGTACCCTAGCTCGCGAATAATCGTAGGCATGAAGAAGCTTGCGGAGTAACCTGTGTTAACGACACCAAAGTACATCGGTACAGCAATGTAGATTTTCCAATCCCGGAAGATACGTTTCAGAGCGGGCTTGTCAAGCCTATTCATGGCTGCCTCACCCACGTCAGCATGCAAGCGTGCAGCCAACATCGCCCTTTCGGGCTCCGAGAGGAACTTCGCTGTCTCTGGCCAGTCGACAACCCAGAACTTGGCCACCAGACCGATCGCAACGGTCGCGAGACCCTCAATGATAAAGATCCAGCGCCATCCACGGTACCCGCCAACTCCATCCATGTGCGCCAACGCGTATGCCAGGAGCCCGCTAAATGCGCCTGCGAGAAGGCTTGCGCTGAAGAAAAGCGTTAATCGCCACTGGAGCTCGAAACGCTTGTAATACATGCTAATCAGGTAAATGCAACCAGGAAACAAGCCCGCTTCGAAAAAGCCGATGAGCACACGCATGGCAACAAGACCTTCGACGGACTTGATAAGGCCCTGACCAACTGTTGCGATGCCCCAGAGGACCATGATCAAGCTCAGCCAGGTGGATGGCGCAACTTTTTTGAGGATCATGTTACTGGGGATTTCGAAGAGAATGTATGGGATCTGGAGGCGTCAGTGGCGAAATAGTGTAGAATGTGATATCACAAACAAAGAACACGAAGAGAGCAATGTTGAAATCATTCCCAACCATATTCAAGTCCTCGGTCATGCCCTGGATCCGCGCATTCCCTTCGAATGTCAGCTGACCTCAACAAAGATCTCTGAGAGCGATTCCGCATTTTGACAGTTCTATCGATTGGCCACATACCTATGTTCGACCGATCTAAGAACGCCATCAAGAATAGGACGAAAAGGGGTGGTAGTATATTCAGATCGCATTTCCGGAGCAGCTTTTTCTCCTGTATAGCGTCAATGCTGACGTTCAGCTCTACCGCATGCTCTTCATCTTTGACCCCCTCCACATGCGTGTTGAGCTGCGCAGAGTCGGTCTTCTCTCCGAAAAGCATTGTACCGGATCTGTTATTCACTTGAGCCCCTTCTCGAATGTCTATCGTCGTGATGGAGTCACGAGCGAAAGTAATGGTGAATGAAGCAAGAGAGAACTCGAGAAGTAGAAGAAGAATATTTAATTAGGCACAGTGCCAAATACAGCATTGACCGACGACGGACCGTCAAGGTCAAACAGACACGTCAGGTCAAGCACATACGGGTGCAAAAGGTAAAGCGCATTTCACTCTCCTTGCGCGGTGTCTATCATTCTCTCAACTTGGCATAGTGGGAGACCTCGCCTCGCAAACATCTCGGAGACGCCGGCAGCTAGAGTACAGGTCTATCTTGCGATTAATTCAATCATCCGAAGTGCCGTTTGGTTGCAGCATTGGTATACAAGGATACCCCGGATTCCCACAGCGAGTTACGACCTGCGACAGAAAAACGCCGGACGGACCTGCGATAGAGAGGGCATACGTTGCTTTTGAGTACTGTGATAATAAGCGACCAATAAGTGGTAGATTGATAAGGGTACGCACGGGTTTATCATAGCTGCTATGTTGTACGCGATGTTCGTTGTATTACAGGGGGCTTTCTATTCTGCATCGGCGGAGATAGAATAAATCCAGCGGCTTCCCTTTTCGGTAGAGTGCGAGTGCCTTTGAATAAGATGTTGGGAACTGAAAAAAGCCCAACTAATTAATCATTTCTGCCCGAAAGTATCATCCATTTTGTTTTCCGAAAATTCATCTTTTGCCTCCCAAACTTACCTCCGTTGAAAAAGATGGGCACCCTATTCGATAGATACGACGCATCTCATTGGCAACCGCACGTAAGCTTGCTTCCTTGTTTATGCAAGTAAACCAAATAATTATTCTCGTAAACACTGTCACATTCATGGTGAATGCAGTAACACGCGTATGAAACTCCGCTCGGCATCAAGAAATTGAACATGTCAGGTCAGCCATTTAATTCAAGAGCGCACGTACAAACCCAAACGGTTCGATTGGATCCCATCGTATTGTCTCACTCCAAACTCTTTGGCCAAGATCGATACCCCGATGCTGTGACGATGATCATTTCCACGTCAGTTTCCAGGTGTCTTCTCCCCTTCGGAAAGGGATGACTTCAATATCACCAGTAGCGTTCTTCAGCACATCAGGGACCTTTGCGCCTTTCCTCTCTAGTTGAATTTTGCGGCCATGGGCATGCTCTGGCAGCTTATAGAACTTTCTACCGCGATTGCTCAAGAAGTCTTCAAGCGACGCCGCTGTTACCTCTCTTGAGATCCATCCCTTGGCTACGGCCTCTTCGATGGCTCCAATCACAAGCTGCGTGGCACAGCTCTGGGTAAAGCATCCCGCTGCGGCCTTCTTGACACCTGTTTTGGCTGTCACTGGATGTGGCGCCGAGTCGCTTCCTATATACTATTTTCAGAATTGCGTGTGTGTGTACAGACTGTACTTACCAAAGAAGAATTTCCCGTTTCCTCCTTCTACTGCAGCGCGAACGAGAGCCACGCGATCCTCCATAGTCTTGGCCACAGGCTTACAGAAGTTGAAAGCATCACCGCAGACATCGTCAACACATATCCATAGATGGTGAGCTGTGATAGTCGCTGCAACACTCGGTCCGCATTTTAGAACAGCGTCCAGAGCATCGCGCGTCGTACAATGCTCTAGAACTATCCGAAGCTTCGGGAAAGCATTGTGAATCTTGTGAAGCGTTGGAAGGAATAACTTCTCTGCATTGAGAACTGACACAGCGCTCTCACCTGCCTTTTCGCTGGCGATAAAGTTTCCAGAAGGTGTGCTTGGTGCTTCGCCATGCAGGTTCAGGACCATGTCGTTCCTCTGCATAGCTTCGAAGATTGGGAAAAAGCTCTCATAGTCTACGACTCCTGACTGAGAATTCGTCGTCACTCCAGCTGGATAGACTTTCACACCGGTAATACCTGCACTAGCGGCGTCATCGATGATCTCCGGGGTGAGGGATTCGGTCATGTACAGAGTCATGAGAAATTTGACGTCTGGTGCTAATGGCTGGATTCGGGCAAGATACGATTTTGCGGCTTCTACAGTAGTGACAGGCGGGATGAGGTTAGGCTACTGAGCATCAGCTTGTTATCACCACTACAGCCAAGCGAAGCTGAATGGGAAGATCTGAAATACCATCACATACACGGTATCGACCCCGCCTAATCTGATCGTGGGAACCACCATTCTCATCATCTCGCCATCTCGCAGGTGCACATGAAAGTCTGCTGTAGGAGCCAGCTCAATCTTTTCGAAATCCATTTTGAGCCTTTTACCTCAGGGAGTGCAGAATATCATACTTCACCTGGTTCTACGATATCAAAAATATGAGGTGGTGCAGCGCCCTTGAAAAGTAACTACTTTTTCAAGGCTAGCGTAAATGGCGCTGCGCCCTAACCCACCTGGGCAGGACCACGCTGGAATAGCGCCGTTCCTGGTGATGAAACTACGAAACAGTGTGATGACGATGAATCTTGATATAATGAGCTCTTGGAGTATTAGGTAGATGCGCCGAATTCAGTTGTAAGCTTTCCCCCAGCCTAGCCTTACTAGAAGCTGGAGTAAGGCTGTCAAAGCACTGTCAGGATCATAAACCTAACATATCGTTGTACAGATACTGAGAATCAGAAACTTGTGTAACGTGGGTAGAGCCATACGATCATCGATCGCGGACCTTATTATCCTCTTACGTGTTTTTTGACTATTACCACCATGCCTCAACATCGCCTATGATTGAATACTAGTTATAAAGGGCAGGCTTATCACCATGAGGCTAGTACTTATGGTCGTAAGTCGTGACTATCTAATTAATTAACGTTTTTGAGCTTTACTTTCGTGATGCTGCCTGCGGGCGGATACATATCGGCAATCTAACCCCTGTTGTGTATGTTATGGAAGAAACCGTTGATTGGAGATGATATACGGAGCATTATTGGGCTTTTGTTTGTGTAGATAAGTGTATTATAAGTAGAAAGTAGACGTGATTGAGGTCATTAAATGTATTCTATAAGTGTGTAAAGAACTAAGTTCTAGGAGATAGAGTCGAAGCTATTTAACCGTTTAGACACTAGTCCTATTTAGGAAATAGTATCCCTTACTTAAAGTGCCTTCTAATAATACTCCCCTATACTAAGTATATATATATATATACTTAGTAATATTAGAATAAAGAAAAGCTTAAAGTAAGTAATAGTAAGAGATAGTACTAAAAGAATAAAGGAAAGAGGGGTATAAGAGAAATAACTAAGAGAGAAATAACTATAAGTAAGATAACTCTACTATAAACTAATTACTATCTTTATTTAATTTAGTAGTAGTAAGGGTAGTCCTTTTATTCCTATATTAGTAATATTATTATAACTTATAATATACTATATAGATATAACTCTATTAGTAAATAATTCTTAAACTATATAATAGTATATTATAATATATTTAGACTATACTATAATTTACTAGTTTTAGATAAGGGCTATAGTAGCTTAATTATCTATAAGAAGATAGGGAACTAGAATATTATAACTTATAAAGATCTCTTTTATATCTAGTAGAGTCTACTATAAGTAACTTATAGCCTTTAAGTAGGCTATATATTCTACTTTATAGGTCGACTTAGTAATATATAATTATCTTTTACTATTCTAGGCTACTAAGCTTCTATTTAATTAAAGTATATATATAGAGATAGACTTTATAGTATTAGGGTCTAAACCCTAGAAAGTATCCGAGAATATATTAATTTCTATAGTATCTTTTAACTTCTTTAGTATAAGGTATTAATTAATAGTATACTTAAGATAGTATAATATACTAAAAGTAATCTATATATATTATACCGACGGATTTATATTAAATATAGTATATATATCTACTATAAAAGTAAGATCTAGACGCGTACTAGTAATAAGGTAATTAAGTAACCTAATTAATTATATATATATAAGCTACTATTCTTAATTAATAATTTCTTCTAAATATATTAGAAAGGTATTTATATCTACTAGAGTCTTTCTACTATTATAGTCTATTATACTAAACCTCTTTAGAATATATTAAGAGTAAGCCTTCTATAAGAGCTTAATTTCGCCTTCTTATAATTAATTAATCTTAATATCTAGAATTAGGCGGGCTTCTCTAAGGTCTTTATATTTTATATAATTTATAATCTTATATTTAAATTATTATATATACGAGCTCTCCTCTATAAGTAGAAGGTTATTAATATATATAGTAATAATAATATATCTAATAAAGATATATAGATTAAACTATAACTATTAGAATTTAAGAGACTAGAGAAGGTTATATAAGGTGTGAAACTATTTCTAACTAGACTATTTTAACCTATAAATTACCTTCTATAGCTTAAGAATCTTACCTAGCTTTTTAAATCCTAGCGGGTGCCTTATATAGATATTTTTAGATAGACTACTATTTAGATAGGTAGTATTAAAATCGATCTAGTAAATATACTTACTATATTATATAGCCTATTAGAGTATAATATAAAGAGAATTATACTTAATAATAGGTATAAAAGTTTTATTATAGTTAAGACTATATTTCTATATAAAGCCCTATATAATAAGATATATCTTATAAACTTTAGTATTATCTATAGTAGTCTTAATATTAAATATCTATCTAGAACTAACTATTATAGGGATATTTATAGTAAGCGGAGCTTCCTACTATAATATAATGAATTACTAGCTAGAGCCATAGAAGAATACGTAGACTCTAGTACGAGTAGCGTAAGGGATAGTATAACACGTAGAAGAGGGGCCTATAATACGATAGGTAGCCTTAGATAATAATCTAAGGCTAAGGTAGACATCTATAAAGAGAGCTAATCATAGGTACTTAGAATAGGTATTCTAAGTAGTCCACTAGATAATTAGGAATAGAATATTAGTATTCTAAGTAATATACTAAATACTTAGAATAAGCATTCTAATTAGAGGACCTTAGTAGAACTATATAGACCCTTTAGACCCGACCTCTAGAAGATAGTTCTATAGTAATTAATTTAAACTTATACTAATATAATTACTACTTTACTCGCCTACTAGCTAGTTACTATTTATACCCTATTAATACTTACTATAAATCTACTTACGCCTTTCGGAGCCTTCTAAGTACCTTTACCTTTAGGAAAGCCGGGATACTCTATAGAACGGACTACTTTAGGGATAAGCTATACCCTTATCGAGGAAGGTTTATTATATATAATTAATTAATCTTATAACTTCTTAGCTCCTTTTTAATAGCTATTTACTACTAATACTAATTAGAAGAATTTCTAGTCTCTTTTAGATTTATAGGAACGTTTATATTTAAGGTAGTATTAACTAATAGAGTATAGATTATTTCCTTCTCTTCTATATCTACTAAATTTATAGAGTTATTAAAATAAATTATATACTTATATTTTCTTCTAAAATAAGATATATTAGAAGGTAATCTTAATAGATATAGATTTTTATATAGTAGGTTATAGCTAGAGGAAGATTTAAATTTTAGTTAATTTACCCTAGGTATAGTAGAAGGCGTCCTACTATAAGAAAGGGTAGATAATCTTTATTAGAGTATCTTAGTAAGACTTATTATATCTTCTATATAGGGCTAGAGGTCCTATATATTTTAGACTATAACTAGTATATTACGAGATACTTCTCTATTATCCGACTCTTCTTTAGAGCTATCTCTTTCTATAATAATTAAGGAAAGAGATTACTATAGAAGTGGTCTTAGACTAAAGAATACGAAAGTAATATCTTATAACTTAATAATAACCTTATAGTTAGGAATATAGTACTTATAGATTTTATCTAATTTACTATAACTAACTAGAATACCTTTCTCTAATCTATAGAGGAGCTTACTATCTAGCTTTTATACTTCTTTTAGAATATATATATAGTAGATAACTCTAAATAGATATAAGTTTTAGATAGAAGGCTTCTTACTAAAGAGAGTATAATATAGTATATCAACTATTAGGAGAGAGGTATATAGTATAATATTCTTAATAAACGTTATTATATAAATTACTTTAGCCTAGAATTTTAACTTAGTATTAGAAGAGAGAATAGATCTTACTAATATTTAAACTATATAGTTAAACCTTTTAGCTATTCTATTTAACTTATAAGAGTAGATATAAGAGGTAATATATATAGTACCCGTCTTATAAAAGAAGTCTTAAAGACTTTTAGTAATATATTTACCACCTTAGTTAGATATAAATTCTTTAATATCTATATTAAACTACTTCTTAATATATATAAAGAACTATATAATAATATTAGAAGCTTTTTATTAGGACTTAGCCTTAGATAGAACCCGATCTATATGTACCTTAGCTAATAGGGTTAGAAGGTAACGTAAAGGGCGGTAAATAGTCACGTACTAGATAGATTAGCGTCCCTTTATATATATACTCTCGGATTCCTACTAAAAGGGTTCGGTAGTAATTCGTTCTATAATAGAATATTGTTAGGACTTAGCCTTAGGCAGGACTCGACCTGCACGTACCTTAGCTAACAGGGTTAGGAGGTGACGTGAAGGGCGGTAAATAGTCACGTGCTAGATAGATCGGCGTCCCTTTATGTATATACTCTCGGATTCCTACCGAAAGAGTTCGGTAGTAATTCGTTCTATAATAGAATACACCCCATTATTCCATCTGGCTACACTACTATCTAATAATCCTATTCTTACATTCGAATTACTACCCATATAGTACTATAGTTAAGATAGTCTAACTAGAACCAAGAAGGTCGACACGATCCACTATAGGGACAAGTAACACTATATTAAATAATAGGGATCCTCTATAATCGGCATTAAATCTAGCCGTTCTTAATAGAGAAGTAGAGATGTCCGACCGAATCACGGAACTTTCTAATAAGGAAATGGTGGATACACTAAGCGACTTCCCATAATAGGAAGCTAGACAACGAGTCGTGGTAGAGCTACACGAGGAATCGCAACCATCAATCGCCGAACTATAGGAGCACATCGCCAATCAAGCCCGAGAGATATAGATTCTTAAAGAATAGACCGAACGTGCGAAACTCCTCGCAAAACGACGAGAACTTAACGAGTCTCTTAAAAGACTACGCGGAATGATAGTAGGTGGATAACTTCCTATACTAATTCAGGCGGAATTAGTTCACCTACCATTAGAGTTGCGATAATCTACCGTACACCCGGCCGCTTCGTTACCGATTTACCCTGCTCCTTCCTTAGGTATACCG